CGCGGAAGCAGCGTACTGCGATGGAGATGAGGATTTTGGATTTAGTCTCGGGAGTGGAAACATGAAACGTAACGCCGTCGAAATCAGATACTATCTGATCGATCGAAACTGGGGCAGCTCTATCATTGATTGTCAGTTGAATCTATCCCAAGGCAGCACACATTGGGTGGGGTATTTACCCTGAGAACCGCTCAGTTAGCAGCGAGTGTATGAGAACGTTGTGGTAATCTAGGAGTAGCATCTTTAGGAAACCAGTATCATAAAATCAATTCCGATAACCACGCTGCGCAGACGTCATGTACGTGTTGTTTGGACCTGTTTTGTTGCGCTGTGATACTTCTCCGTTCAACTGTATCGGCGTCAGCGATGCGTTCACTCGTCTGCACTTAATTACGTAATCTTAAAATTGCTACACTGGTCTTTGAGGGCAACCGCAGCTTATCCGTGGAACTCAATATTTCTTTTGCGCATTTCGAGACTTTGAAGCTTGGTTGAAGGGCAGATATTGGAGTCTCGTCTTTGACGCAAGAGAAATATGGTGAAGTCGTATTTGTAAGTTCTGCTTGTCGCTCTCAATTCGAATTGCTACTAACAGTATGCTTTTCATAGAAAATTCGAGGCTTCAAAGACTTTCGGCCTGGTCACTTCCGCCTCAGCAAATGCGGTTTGGCTGAAAGATGAGAAGACGGCCGGCTCAGTTCGAAAATCGGGTTCTGGACGTGCAGTTGTAGGCGCCGGAGAGAGTGTTCTATGTTGGGACATCAAGAAGGGGGATTTACTTTCAAAATGGACTGATCAAAAATGCCTGGCGCAAGTGACAGCAATTGCGCAAAGCAAGACCGATGAAGACCTTTTTGCAGTAGGGTGAGGATACTCTTTTGAGGAAATACCATACTTTTTCTTTATGGTGGATAAACTGTCTAACTCAAGAGCTATAGGTACGAAGACGGCACAATTAGAATATGGGACTCAAAGTTAGCTACCGTGATGATTTCTTTCAATGGCCACAAATCTGCGATTACCAAATTAGTATTCGACGCGCAAGGAACACGAGTTGCAAGTGGCTCTAAGGACACAGATATCATACTCTGGGATTTGGTGTCTGAAGTAGGATTAGTGAAATTGCGAGGTCACACTGACCAGATTACTTCCCTTCATTTCCTGACCACAGGCGCTGTGGATGATGCGGAAGCTCTTGCGCTTAGCCAGCACGATGGTTTCTTGTTAAGTACAGGAAAGGATTCACTGATCAAAGTCTGGGATCTCTCTTCTCAACACTGCATCGAGACACATATTGCGCAAGGAAACGGAGAATGTTGGAGTTTAGGCCTTTCGCCTGATATGAGCGGTTGCATCACTGGTGGTAATGAAGGTGAATTGAGAGTTTGGTCCATTGACGCGAGCTCAATAAGGGAGGTTGCAGGAGGGAAAGCCGAAGTGAATAGCCGCAAGATACTGACTGATCGGGGTAACCTTTATCGCAATGGGAAAGAAAGGACGTTGGGCATACATTTCCACCCACAATTGGATTACGTTGCCCTTCATGGATCCGAGAAGTCGACCGAGGTCTGGCGAATAAAGAGTAACGAGGAAGTACAAAAGAGCCTGGCAAGGAAACGCAAGCGGAAGAGAGAGAAGGCCCGAGAAAAAGCAAGCGAAGGTGGGACGGAAGCAGACGTGGATATGGATGACCCTGCCATTGCGGCCTCAATTACAGAAGTTTTTGTTCCGCATACAATTGTTCGGACAGGAGGCAAGGTATCGTCTGTGGACTGGATGGGCTCAAAGGGTTTACAACTACTTGTGGCTACGGCCAACAACCAACTGGAGACCTACGGAATCACACCAGCCGAGAAGAAAAAGTCTCAGGACCAGGATGAGCCTGATTATAGCCGTGTTCTTTCCATTGATATCCCGGGCCACAGGACAGATGTGAGATCCCTTGCCTTAAGTTCCGATGACAGAATGGTTTCATCGGCATCGAATGGAAGCCTGAAGATTTGGAATGTACGTACGGAAACATGTTTACGGACACTGGATTGTGGCTACGCTCTTTGCTCTGCATTTTTGCCAGGGGACAAGATCGTGGTCGTTGGGAATAAGAATGGAGAAATTGAGGTATTTGATATTGCGTCGTCCACCTTGTTGGACACAATACAAGCACACGATGGGCCTGTTTGGTCGCTTCAAGCCCATCCTGATGGAAAGTCGATGGTTACTGGCAGTGCCGACAAGACAGCGAAATTCTGGAATTTCCAGGTAGTGCAAGAGGAGGTCCTGGGAACCAAACGGACTACCCCTAAACTGAAGCTTGTCCACACCAGGACATTAAAGGTGACTGATGACATCCTCAGTCTACGCTTCAGCCCGGATGCTCGTTTACTAGCTGTTTCTCTTTTGGATAACACTGTCAAGGTTTTCTTTGTCGACTCCTTGAAACTCTTCCTTAACTTGTACGGCCATAAGCTCCCGGTCTTGAATATGGATATTTCATACGATAGCAAGATGATTGTTACTTGCTCAGCTGATAAGACTGTACGGCTATGGGGTCTTGATTTTGGTGACTGCCACAAGTCTTTCTTTGCTCATCAGGACAGTGTCATGGCTGTGGCCTTTATGCCTCACAACAAGGAAGGTGATGGGCATAATTTTTTCAGTGTGGGCAAAGACCGAGTTATCAAGTATTGGGATGGCGATAAGTTCGAGCAAATTCTCAAACTTGGGGGTCACCACGGCGAAATTTGGGCACTGGCCATGAGCCATTGTGGGGAGTTCATTGTAACTTCCAGCCATGATAAGAGTATACGACTCTGGGAACAGACAGATGAACAGATATTCCTGGAAGAAGAACGAGAAAAGGAAATGGAAAGCTTGTATGAGGACAACCTGCTCAAGTCCCTGGACCAGGATGAGGACGATGAAGACAAGGCTGAGGCAGTCGCAGCCGGTAAGCAAACAACGGAGACTCTTACAGCTGGAGAAAAGATCATTGAAGCTTTGGATCTTGGTATGGATGATCTTGCGCTGCTACAAGACGCAAAGGAAAAGAATCTCCCACCTCCTACACGACACCCGCAATATCTTGCTCTTGGAAATATATCAGCCGAGAGATACCTTCTCAACGTTATTCGAAAGATACCCGCTGCCTCACTACAGGATGCACTTCTCGTTCTTCCCTTTACCAAACTCCCTGCTCTATTCACCTTTGTAGATATATGGGCTAGAAAAGGGTGGGATATACCGCTTACCTGCCGTGTCCTGTTCTTCATCCTAAAGACGCATCACACCCAGGTTGTCAGCAGCAAGATGATGAAGCCCATGCTCGACTCTATCCGCTCTCACCTGCGCCGAGTCCTCGACAGGCAAAAGGATGAAATGGGATATAACCTGGCAGCTCTGCAGTTCATTGGCGGGCAGGTGAGAGAGAAGAGCAAGTCGGAATATGTCGATGAAGAGCAGTGGGAACAAGACGAGCAAAAACAGACCGGCGTGAAGAAGCGACAGTACGTTTCTGTTGCATAGTGTGTTTGGTCACGCATAATATACTATTTACTATTTTGGTTGCAAAGTATCAAAAGGGTGTTTCGTTGCATTTGAGGGATACCAAAAACATGTTGATCTTACTTTCTGTTTCACCAAGACGGCGGATTGGAGTTTTTGTACAGTTAAGAAAAAAGTCGATTGAATAGAAATGAAATAAAAGCAACATAGAATCAGTATTAATTCGTTAGTATGCCATGGCTATATCTACAATCTTGGCCATGAGTCGAGGGGATATCCTGCAGTTCGACACAGTAGAAGAACATCATGTACCATCGCCCACCAGTTATATATATCTAGACAGCACCCCACAGCATATCCTAATACTACAGGCATATCATTGACATTCCACGGTATATGGATGGCTCGGCTAGCAGGTTTTCTTCCCTAGGGCACGAAGCAGATTAGCACACTGTACCCACTGGTATTCTCAACGAACAATGTGCATAGCGAGAGGCTGAAAAGGACAAAAGGCACTCCAAAACCATACACAGCTTTCCTCAGCAGAACCGTTATAAGCATCGACGACACAAATAATAAATTAACCCGCTCCATGTGGTAACGGTTGCCATACCTCTTCCGGCTCTTCCTAAAAGTACTTGGTTCGTATGGTATTCATCATATGAAAGCCGTGTATGGCTTGGAGGAGTGGCAATACGTAGGAAAGGTCAACTTACATCTATACTGTCAGTATCCAGTGAGCCCAGCGACATTGAATGACATTATCAGTCGACGGGCGTAGCTAACGAAGAGCTTGCAGCGAAAGAATCAAAAGAGAAAACGCGAAAGCGCAAGCGACTTTTATCCCGGTCAACATAGCATCACGTGGTATGATTATGTAACGACCACAGCAACCAGGACAAAATAAAATAAAAAAAAAAGGGCAAAAAGAGAAAGCCGAACGCGAGGCTCGAACTCGCAGCCTTGTGGTGATCTCAGACCGTGTTTGCTGTAAAAGCCACACGCTCTACCGATTGAGCTAGCCCGGCTTCGATGGTGGTAGGCAGGGCATGGAAGGTATATCAGTGGCAGGTCGAGGCTGCGACGCCTTACATGCGAGTGTCAGTCCTGCTCTCCCTCACGGCAACGATGTCAAGCTTGCCGCAGTTTCTAGATTAAAAAGACGGAAGATGAGGCAGGATCTTAGAAGACGGCCGTGGTTGGTAAAGATGTTTGTGCCGCCTTTGGACTGCGGGGGTTGGTAGAAAGGTGACATTATCAAGGTAGAATACGAGCACGCTTGGGTTACAGGGGCATTCTTTACTCCAACATATCCGTCTAATGTTTCATTCATTTCGTTGAATTTCTGGCTATGTACATCTAGTTGCGTTACTGAAGAACTCAATACGGTACTCTTGATAGTTTCCCGGCTGGTGAATCCTCCAGTATCTTCCAACCAACTCCCGGCAGCAGCAGGAGAAAGCAAGTCTTGTCATCAATCATTTCCAATTACCATCCATTTAGCTGGTACCAGAGCAAGCAACAAAGCCGCTGCCGCTAGCACCGGTGTGAGTGATCTGACCGGCCTCGTCGCAGTTTCCGGTGATGATGACACGGTCAGCGCCGGGAGATCCTATATCATACGGTTAACCACTGCACATGTCGAGCATGTAAAATATGAAGGAGTTTCTGGTACATACCACCGTTGTAGACGCCAGAAGTGCGGAGAGGGAACTCGTAGAATGGTCCGCTGAGGCCCTGGAAATAGAAGCCCTCGTAGTTACGGTACTGGTGAGGGTAGGTAGAGCCGCCGGCAGTGGTGCCGCTCTGGACGTAGTTGCAGGCAGCGTTGCTGGCAGCGGTGACCTGGCTGGCAGAGTAGGAGGTGCTGCCGCAAGTAGTGGCACCTCTGGCCTCGAGGGCAGCTGGGGCGGCAGTGGCAGCAGCCACAAGGGAGAGGAGGGCGAGGAACTTCATGGCTTTGTTGTCTGATCTTAGGTCGAGGGTGTCTTGGGTGGTTGCTTGGTTGGCTGCTCCATCACCACACTCTAGGGACAGCCAGCTCTCTTTAAATGTCCAGCATGATCAGATAGATCGAGCAGCTTGCCAGGCTGATTACTTTACCTGCTTCTCTCTCTCGAGCTGGTGGAAATCAGCCTGACCATGGACCATGGGACGCGGCATCCTGACTGGTGGGCGGGCCGTCGATCAATGGCAACAGCTCTCTCGCTACTGTCCCGCAAAAGTCAAGGAAGACGAGCCACTCAACGCCGTGGCCTGGGCAGCATGTGCGAGTTGGTGGAACTCGAGGGTTCCATTTTCTGAGGAATTCGGCTGTCTGCAGATGTGCTGGATACGAAGCAGAGCTCAGGGACGGACATGGCTGGGTATCTCAATTTAAGCATCACCTGAGGGGCGCTGCCGAAGCGCTGTCGTTGGCTGCCAGCAGCAGCATCCGTGGTATCGTAGTCGTCCTAGTGGCTGATCCCCCAGGCTGCTGGCCTTGTCGTTGCATGCAGCATTGACGAGATGCATGCTTAGCTGCCTGCATGAGTGGACGGACCTGAGTTTGTCGTTCTTCTTGGAGCAGGCGTCCGTACGGGTCTCGCCGAAGGTGCAGCGGAGCTCGGTACATATAACCACCACCTGTTGGTTAGTTAGCTAGCCTGCAGATGGAGATAGTTAAACAGGCCGAGACAAACATCGAATTATTGGGAGCTACAAACCAAAGAATCAAGCACGCTGGCATTATATCTAAATATTAACTAATCATAACTAGCACACATATATACTTGTAAAGGAAAAAGAAAAGAGAAAGGGAGGAGGTCAAATAAATATCCTCCTGCTATGTAACTGGCTGATATGGTGAAAATGTTCAAAGAATGTTCAAACGAATTTTTATCGGAGTTATTACCGAATATGCTCGGTGATTGTCGAGATGGCAAGCCGGAATTCCCGTCCGACGGCGATGGCCTGCTCCCTGGTTAGGACGGATGACCAGTAGGTTATGTTTGCCGTCATCTCTGCTTCTCCAACAGTGACCACAGTGACAATGTCATACTAAATAGTGCGTTTCTGTCAGCCATGTGCAACCACCAGAGGGAGATAAATTAACCATATTGACAGTAGGAAAGAAAAAGAAAACTATCGTACCTCCGTAGCCTCCCGGGTCTCAAGTGCTTCAAAGTGGACGCCCGGTTCCTTCTGGTTGCTGTTGGACAACGGCTGTTCTACTGATAGACAGGTGTTGAACAAAGATCCGGTGCTGTCTATACGCTGCATCACCTCGAACAGTGAGCAGTACTGGTTGGATAAACGGTTTGCCATCGCGACCTGATTCTCTTGCAGACATTCTCTTAAGGACATATTCTCACTTAGAGTGAGCCGACATGCAAGAACATTGAATATAGAACCGACAATGTCATGTACTCCCGGTAGCGGTGCCTCTCTGCCCGTCGCCAAGGTCCCAAAGCACACATCGTCAGAGCCAGTGTGCTGTCGAAGTACGACACCCCAGGCAATCTGGAGCAGGTTGGTAATCGTTAAGCCGTTCAAAGCACACAGCTTTCTCGGCGGGCTAGGATGCCCCAGGCTCACTTCCACTGAGTTAAGAAAGTCCGTAACGGGCTGTATTTCTCTCGGCAGCCGCGGGAAGTGGCATGGCTTTGCATCAGCAAGGTATTCGAGCCAGAAGTCCATGCAGTCGGGTAGAGAGAGGGCATATGAGACCCAAGAGCTATACTCGAGCCCTTGCCTAGGTGGGAGCTTTCCCTCGTACGCTAGTGCAAGTTCTTTGATAAGTAATATCACGGAGACTGCATCGATAATGGCATGTTTGCCTTCCATCTTGCAATACACTTGGCCAGTATTGGTTTGGCAGATAGAAAAGACATGTGGAAGAACAGGGCCAGCGTTATCCCTCAAATTCAACGTTGGGTGACGTAGGACGCGCATGGCTTCATCATCTGTGCAGGAAAGTATTTTCACTTCGCGAGGATATGAATTGAGTACAACATGCGTCAAGGTCCCGCCTTCAATACCTTCAAGGGCAGCCTCAACTAATATCGTCCGCAAAGCAGCATGGCGCTGTGCGAGTTGATACCACGCCTTTTGAAGCTGGACTGGATCAATTTGATTTGTTGATCCTATCCTTTCAACTTTCCATATTGTGTGAGAGACATATGCATCGTTCCCCAATTGAGGAATAACTAGTCCTTCGTGGTACGGTGTGCATGGGTATACTTCTTTAATGCTCATAGTAGTTGAAGACCCTAAAAGATTTTCCACCTCCCACTCAAATCGTTTTGTTCGCTTGTACCTTGCTAGGTTCGTTGATGGTGGCAGCTTGGCAGCCTGCTTTGATCTCGCTGTTATGAGGCTCACTGTCCTTCCTTCAAAAATATCCATTGCCGTGATTGAAAGCTTGTCACGTTGACATTGTGACACTACTTGCATCACAGAAATGGAATCACCTCCCAAAGCGAAGAAGTCTTCGTCGGCCCCGACTTCTTCGGGTTTCAAGTGCAAGACTCTGGAGATAATAGATGCAAGCTTCCTTTCTGCTTCAGATCTAGGTTGTTGGCGGCCTGATTTCTGCAGCCAAGCTTCAATTTCGTTCGAAGTCAGCCGTGTTAGAGCTTCCTTCAAATTCTGGCGGCCTTGTGCACAGATGCCATTATCCCACATATATCCAAGTGGGATACACATGGGAGGTGCGGCAACGAACTCGGTCACCGTGTGAAGCTGGCGCTTTAGGAGCGCCAATGTCTTCCTTGAATCAGAATTTGGAGACGCTAAAATAAAGGAGTTATTAGGAAGAGGAATGTCCCCCTTTTGTGGTCCCTGGTCATTGCATGGCACGAGAAGGGCTAACCTTGGGTTAGACATTAGTTTGGGGGTGATCATCTCTGCATACACATGTCTGTTCCCAATGAGGTTTCGGGCAGCTGCTTCTATAGCTGCCAGTCGGGTTTTCTGGGAATTTAGCTGTTCCACCTTGCATTCGTCGTGAACTGAAGAACCAAATTCACACATATCCATCACCTCACCCAATGTTTGACTATCCACAGAGTCTACCAGCCGAGTTAAAAGGTATTCCAATTGTCCCAACATGGCGTTCACTTTGTCCAGTGATAAAACAGAAGCGTCGAATATGGCTCGTACCGACACCGACTCGACGTCAAGCTCACATATCACAGTCAGAACATAAGTGCAAAACTTCGTCTCGTCCTCGAGCGACTCTCCAAGTTTTAGAAGCCAGGTTTGAGGATGTTGATTATTCTTAGAGGAAGGCTGGATCACCAGCAAACTCTGGAAATCGCAGGCAGTCGATGCCTCAGGGCTGCAAGTTCTAATTCCCTGCATAGCTGTCTGCTCAAAAGGAATCAGAGCCGTGGCATGGTTTTGGACTTTTCCTAGAGCCACCTTGATGGGATCATTCCGGTCAAGTACAGTACGAACTGGGAAAGTTGCAATTGTTGGGCCAACGATCTTTTCAATTCCAGCAACAGGTGCATTTCTACCTGTTACCGTGGCGCCATGGACAACGTCGTTTGATTGAGTATCTTGCGCTATCAGCATTGCCCAAGATAACCGAATTAGCGTTGATGCTGTGAACCCTCCCACTCCAGTTGAAGCTCCAAGTGGAACACTCCTGCTGGCCACTGCTATTTCTCTAGGTACGTATCCCTCGGGCATGCGGAGAGGAAATACTGGAGCTTTTAAGCTCTGGAATTCGTTCTTCCAGAATGTTTTGGTACATTCAGGATTTACAGCCGATAGGTGGTGAACAAACGGAGCAAATGGGAATAATTCAACCGTCCTACTCTCGTATGCTGCTTCAACGATCTGTAAGATTTGTTCATAACTCCATTTATCAAAGAGCGCATGGTGCATTTCCAGAGTGAATATTGGAGCTTCATTCTTCTGGTGGCAACTGTTGTTCATGATACATCTGACAAGGGGGGTTCCATAAGACATGGGATCTGCAGCTGCCACATCTCCATCTTCGGAAAAAAACCATCTCAATTTGTCTCTGACAATTACCTGGAGAGCTCGGAAAGAAGTATCCGTCTGGATGATGCGAGTGCGCAATATAGGTGTTGAATTGAAGGCATAACACCAGGCTTCGTGGAATTTTTGGGTATCAATAGTGTCAGGGAGGCGAAAGATGAAGCGTGCCTGGAAAGAGCCGGGATTCCTTGCACTCCAAGACATGAGCCCTTCTTGCAGTGGAGTGCAACCATATATGTCTTCAATTTGGTCTCTGCTGATTTGACATTGTTCAATTGCCTGTTCGGTAACTGTTTGCAATTCGGATGTCTTCAGCATGGAAAAGGGAGCGCAAATTTGCATTGAATCCTGAGTAACGAATTCCATGGTTTGTGCCATCTCATATATAGTAGGAGCAGCAAATAACGAGGCAACTTTGATTTGTAAGTTGTATTCCTCTCTCGCCATACCAACCAGTATAATAGCACTAATCGAATCTCCGCCGAGTTCAAAAAAGCTGTCCTCCCTTCCAACTTCATCTTCAGACAATCCAAGCACCTTAGAGTATAACTTTTGAAGAAGACGTTCAGAATCTGTGGTAGGTGCAGCTTTCAAGCTGCGCGAACCCATGTTTTCCTTCAGGGAAGATTTTTGAAGAGCGGACCGATAATGCTGAAAGTCTGACTCTGGGAGGTTTGCAACTGCATTCCTTAGTATCTTCCTATCTATCTTCCCGGTCCGCGAAAGAGGCATTTTGACGAGAGGAATCACGGCTGTGGGTATCATATATCTTGGAAGTTCATCTCGCAGTTTGTCCTTCATTTCCTGAGCAATAACTCGAAAGTTCTCATTTAATGGTCGAACTAATGAATCACCAATATGCTCCTGGATGCCTTGTTCTTCCGCAACAAACAATACCAAGGACGGGGATTTCTCTTTTTGACTGGCGGGAACAACCACTTCGGCAGCAACGACAGAGTCAGGAAACCATTTCTGTGTATGATGTTCCACCTCACCGAGTTCAATCCGCTGTCCATGAAGCTTCACCTGAGTGTCCTTTCGGCCCTGGCACATTATGGTTCCATCAGAGTTATACCGTGCAAGGTCTCCTGTTTTGTAAAGCCTCATGTTACCGCCCATTGGGAACACCTTGGGTATCCAGTCTGGATTCTGGATGAAGGCAGAAGCTGTCTGTTGAGGTCGATTCAGATACCCCCGACCGACAATGAAACCTCCAATGACTAGTTCGCCCGTAACGCCGATGGGCACAAGTTGATGATGATTATCTTTATCCACAATCCAGCATGTCCCTGCGTATGAACGGCCAATGTTTCCAGGCTGGCAATCTTCTGACAGGACTGTTGACACCACAGTACACTCAGCAGGGCCATAGGCACATACCAAACGCACTTTATCGCTCCACATGGATATATCTGCTGGAAGCATAGCCTCTCCTCCAAGTACTAGTGTTTTCACGGATGGAATATCTTCCGGCCGTAGGAGTCGTGCGACAGAGGGCGTCAGCTCCATCCAGTTCACGCCGAGGCCAACTATTGCATCTTGAAGTTGATTGACGCGCTGTGATTCCGAGGGTATACAGACACATCCTCCCAGGATCAAAGGAGTTAGGTTCTCATGGATGCTTACATCGAATGCGTATGATGCGAATTGCAGTACTCGAGAGGAATGGTCGAGATTATGCGCGTTGCTGCTCGATATTGAATTCAGACAAAACGAAGCATGCTCTATCATTATTCCTTTTGGTACACCTGTTGAACCCGAAGTATATGCAATGTAGGCAATATCATCGGGTCTGACAGGTGCCTGACGAGGTATATGTATCCTTTCGTCATTTTTGATGGTGTTGTCCACGACAATAATTGTCTCGATGAGGCTGGAGCTAGCGGCGCGTTGCTCAGCAGAGGAAATGATGACCGTGGCCTCTATATCTCTGCAAATCGCTTCCGTCCGGCTGCGAGGATATGAGGGGTCCAGCAGGACAAACGCTGCACCAGCCTTGAGCACTCCTAAGATAGCGACGGGGGTCCATTTGCTCTTTTCAAACTGCAGAGGAACGACGGCGCCAAGTCCGATTCCACGATCCCGCAGCTTGGCCTGCACGACGGATGAGAGCCTGTCCAGCTCTCGATAGGTCAAATCACCATCCCAGGAGCACACTGCCTGAGAGTTCGGGCGCATCAAACACTGCTGGCGGATAAGGGTCGGGATGTTTGTATCGAGAGGTTCCGACGGCGCTTGGCTGTTCCACGAGATGATCTGCTGCAGGTGGTGGTTACTAATAATTGAGTTGTGGTCGGCTAACGTGCAATGCGGTTCGTCAATAAGCGACTTCAAGATACGCTCCAGCTCACTCGCCAGGTTCCGAGCCTGAGCATCGTCCACGATATATCGAGAGTACCAGAGCGAGATGCGTGGGACCGGTGCACTTTCATTCAGATTGACTATGACTTCTAAACCCTTCGGTTTTCAACAAGGATTTTCCAGATCAACCCGGTTAGCTGACACGTTTTCGCCTTGATCAAAATGAGGACAGCGAAGAGCCAAAGCTCACCTTCAGGTCATCACAACCCTGTAATGATTCACATGGCCCAAAGAGAAGACCGGTGTTGAAGCTCGCATTATACCCTGAATCCTCGATTTGAGTCAGAGAGACCGCGAGAAATCCTTGTTTTTGCTCATCGATGGAGGCAACCCATTGCTCGAAACAGGAGGGGGTATCCGAACGTCTGCATCCAATACCAAGAATATCGTTGCTCTGGTACCTGGTAACAGTACGAAAGGCAACAGGATTGGTATCTGTATACCTCGCAAGCAGAATCGACCAGGCTATTTTGAGGGTTGACTTTAAACAGACGTTTCTCTGATGAAGGTCCAATGGCTTTAACTCCACAAAGCCGGTCTTTTCATGTTCACGTTTCACGGGCCGATGGTTTAGCTTTGGAAATACACAAATGTTCGTGCTTTGCGATGGTTCATTGTCTCTTGTGCTTGCCGTCAGGCACACGTCTGGATTGAAGATAGTCATCTGGAGACAACACACCCTCACATAACAGCGAGGACTTTTCTTCTATTCTGGCATGGATCTATTGAACGACTAGCGAACAACCATGAGAAGATAAGTACTCTATTACTCCGTACTCTCTCCTTGCTGATTTTATCTTCGGGCTTTTCTCAACTTATCCACATCCACCATGAGCTTAGCCCGTACTCAGGCTAGCTCTATTTATACCATTTCCTCATATGTTCCACTTGGTCGTCTTGCAGATATCCCGAGGAGGATGTTTTTAGTGACATCCGGGGCCTGTCATTGACCGCTTTCTTGCCACCTGATGGAGCTTACGGCGTGTTGTGGCCCTGAACTCCTCTGTACCAGTCGAGGCTCATTGCGTATACAGAGCAATATCTGATACATTGAAAATCTGATTGGAGTATCTCCTCGTCATTACTTTTTGAAAACAAAGAATAAGTTAAAAATTAAAAATTAAAACTAGCGTTGAACCCTAACCCTTGCTTATGCCGCTGGCCGTTTTGTCAAACTGTATGGATTTTCCCTCTCATTCCGGACCCCCTCCCCTCTGTGGCCACAGGATGACGCTGATGAAGCCAGCCAAACTCAGCGCTCTCACTTGGCCAGAGACGCTTTACGAGGACTCCATATTCTGCCCGAAGTAAGGAGTACAGTGACAATCGAGCAAAACCATAACTCGCGGGGAGACTAAAAGAAGCCATGAATGAGACATCTAAGTCCTCAAATTACTTTACTCCAGCCAGCTAACTAGACATAGCGAAAATAAGGTTTACGGGATCTTTACGGAATAGTCATCCCGTAGTCCGTACCAAGGACCAAAAATTTGGTCTGATCCCAATGAGAGCTGAAAACCCGCCTAGAACGATGATATATCGTACCAGGCCGACGACGCAGGGAGCCTGGGATAACTTCGGAGGTGACGTTGAGGCAACATCAATAATCCCCCGAACAAGGATGATACGACCCGGAGTTAAATATGGAGTATCTGCAGAAGTATTGAGTCGTTATGGAGTACTCCGTACGGAGCAAGTGTGATACAGAAGGATCGCCCGATCTAAACCTTGCTCGTTTTTTTCTTTTCTTTTTTTCTTTTTTTTTTTTTTTTTCCTTTCCGCCTCGATTTCTTTTTCCGCCTGTTAGCTCACTCGTTAGTTAACGAGTTTAACGGATGAGTTACACCCGCCAACTCACTGACTACCGAATTTAACAAAGTATTAGCCGGTCGTCGATCTTTGCATATCAGCCGCCTCTCCGCCTCAATATACAACTTTATTCACATTGAATACAGAAAGAAAAAGAAAAAGAAAATAAATAAGTCAGTGGGCATCTGAGATGAGGAACTCAGGCGGCCATACTCCGTACCTGATGCAGCTGCCGAGACTTGGCTTTTTGTTGCGCCAGGGCAGGCTACCTCGGGAGAGAGTGAACGAACCAGTGGCATCCATACGGAGGAAGCTCTTTCTCATGAATAATTGTTAGTGGTTTTACAAGCCGGCTAGCCCCTGGGATGTCCATGCGGTTACCCGTTCCCAAGACCAAACTCGCGAACTAGTCAAACTCAGGGCCAGGAGGGTCCAGCAGGGGGCTGCGATTATGGATTATGGTGGCCCGAAAGACATACATACAGATCTGCAGGGATAACTAGTCCGTATTTTGCATGGAAAGTAAGTGACAGTTGGGCAACCAAGGACCGCCATGAGAGACAGAATCAGGGGTACATCACGGAGTAAGCAAGAGGAGAATCGGGAATCGACTTGTAACGAAACGGCTACACAGAAAGGAGGCAAAGGAGTTGCCATGCGCTCTGTCATGCCGCTCGGGAAAAAGGAGTACTGAACACGAGGTTATCTGATGTGACATCTGGAGAATTCTTGACATTTCTGATCTTCATGGGAGAACACACGTTTGTTCAAACCCAGGCTGCAGATAACCTGGTCCCGCCCCGTGTCGGGGAGCAGCATCTGACGGAAAAGCTCCGGGTCCCTTACAATAATAGCGAGGAGGATCAGAGATTACTTGCCAATATGCATCCGATGGCCTGCTGCATTAGTTATTGAAGGCGAGGTGTCCCCGCTGGAGAGAAAGGCCTGGGCTCCACCGCTCCATCTCAGCCCTCATGGATGGAGCAACGAAGGACGATCACAACGACGCCCCTGTCAAAGCAACAGAGCTGGAACCAACGCCACGACAGTATTGATCTTCAACATCTCAGCAACCGCGCTAGTCAGGAGAAGGTGACTTGTGGTGTAAGATACTCAAAATTCGGGACGGTCTTGAAAGCGGGCTGATGCATTTTCATAGCCTTGCGCAGAGGACTCCCCCTTCTTCGAAACCTGCTTGTTTCGATAACTAGTGATAACTACCGGAAAGTCAGACGGCTGTCTCCTTTAGTTAGTAATGGAGTGCTCCGTACACAATGAGAATAAAGGACGGCGATGAACTGCTTTTAAGTGGAAACATACATCACCACGTACGGATACATAAAGATATGATTGTGAGTTTTAAGCGTAATAGTAACTGTAATAATACGATGAGATCAGTCATAACATTTTGTCCAGGGCATCAGGCTCAGTTTATAATGAGATACTTAACTGCGGGAGTACTTGCCGGTCAGAAAGAAAGTTCTTCAATCGGCGCAGTGATTGCTTGCTATAAATAAGTCTTATCCTTCCCTTAATATCAGGCTGCATGTAGTCAAAAAGATCACTTTATACGAACTCTTTCTCACCGAAGAAAAAGATAAAAATAAAAATAAGAAAAAAACCGAGTATTTCTGCCTTCCAATTTAGCTGTTCACGGCTGTGTTTACGGAGATGGCAACTGCTGGAGTTGGCCCTGATGGAGTGGCCCAGCCCCATTCCTCTGGAATCAAAGTTATCATTGTCGGCCTCGGAGTGGCTGGGCTCACAGCAGCAGTAGAATGCCACCGTAAGGGGCACACTGTAATTGCCTTTGAGAAGGTGAAGGAAATGAAGCCTTTAGGTTGGTTCTCTGTCCACTGTTTGCGCTTCAGTCAATGGGAGCCATTTCACTAACACGAGAGATACCAGGGGATGGAATCGGCCTTGCATCCAATGCTGCCCGTGTCATTTCGAAATGGGGCGGCGGCAGCATCCAAGAGACTCTGGAATCATTCACCTCGGTGATGAATCCGTCTGCTATCTATGACGAAACAGGCACGCTGAAGGCAAGGGCGCCAATACCAGGTTACGGCAAAGGTGAAGGGTACCTCTTGCATAGGGGAGACCTGGCATTGACCCAGTTTGATCATGTAAAGAGTCTGGGTATCGATGTGCGCATGGGGGTATACGTCACGGAGTATTGGGAGACAGAGACGGCTGCAGGCGTGATTGTGGACGGAGAAAGAATAGAAGCCGACTGCGTCATCGCCAGTGATGGAGTGCATAGTCAGGCAAGGGGCCCAATCACTGGCCAGTCTCCTCGTATCCGGGCCTCTGGAAGAGCCATTTACCGCGCTTGGTTTGATGCTTCGGCGCTGGAGGGCGCTCCAGCGGCCAGCTGGATATTCGAGCCCAGGACTGAGGGTGCCGACAACGCCCATATATTCCTGGCGCAGGATGTTGTATGCATCATGAGTACGTCCCGAGACAGCAAAGCCATTACTTTGTCATGCATTCATTCGGTAACTAATAAGCTAACCCGGCCCTCTCTCCAAGCCCATCCATCCGTGTCTAGTCAGCTAATCATTCGTCCGGGGTTGCCTTAGGATTCTCGTGGGCCTACCGAGCGTTTCTACTATCCAGCAGAAGTTGATGATGTACTTGAATACATCAAGGACTGGCCTGCGAAGCCCAAGATCGAGGCTGTGATGCGAAGGATTCCCTCTGGTAACCTTATTGATTATCCGCTATTAACAGGAGACCCAATTGAGAATTGCGTGTCCAAAGGTGGAAGAATGATTCTCATTGGCGATGCTACTCACCCATATCTACCTACTTCTGGCCAAGGTGCCTGCCAGGCCATCGAAGATGGAGCAGTTGTTGCAATAGCTCTGGAGCTTGCCGGGAAAGACAATGTGCCTCTGGCTCTAGAGGTCACCAAAAGAATGAGGTACATAGCATTACTGGAAGCCATAATCATAACTGCACTACTGACGAATGTATAGGGCTCAAAGAACCACTGAGATCCATAAGCTGGGTTTATCCGCGCTTGAATCACTTGTCAACCCTGATTGGAGCGAGTCTGAAAAGAACTCTAAGCTCTTATCGATGCCAAACCCTGGGTGGGTTTTGAACCATGACTGCCAAAAGTATGCCTACGAGGAGTACAGCAAAGTGGTTGCATCCATCAAGGACGGGACTGAGTACAAGCCCCTGAATACACCTGCAGCACAAGTGTCAAACTAGTTAAAACTAGAAAGATCCAATAATATCTAGCTAAATTATAACACTTCAAGTCATATTCCTGCAAACAGTACTCAAAAGGCCTTACCAAATCTTTTCTTGCTTGGCTAACGAATTTGCCCACTATTTCAACGACTTTACCATGGATGCTCCTGGTCTAAATGAAAATTTCCAACTAGTTCAGTGAGAAATAAAATAGCATTAAACATTTTCAAAATAATACCATCAGATATCCTCAGCACCCACACTATCTGGTTCATTTCTGCTCATCCTCCAGCTTCCACATGTATTCAGACGAACTGTGATAATACACAGTGATGTATACACCGTTTTTCTCGGTGAAGGCAAAGGAAAGCCAAGAAATCACGCATGAGGTTCGGCTAAGATCCAGGTTGGGGCTGTTAAACGGGTTAAGTTAGCCATGTGTACAACAGTTGAGGAACAAGGAGATGGCACATACTATAGGGCCTGCAACTTATCAACGTAAGTCTCGGCAAGCTCCGTCCATCCGATCTGTGCAAAAAAGTCACAAAGACCCTTGGCAATCTGGAGATCGTTCTCGCCGTGGGTTGGGAGGTAGACTTTTGAGACAGGGTGTGGGCTACCGGGTGTGATCTCATAATTTATAAGGACGGGAGCTTTCTGGCCCTTGGAGGGAACCTGCATTGGGTCATCAAAATATGGTACCAGTTCCCGCACTCCTTCCGCAATCCCCGTTGCTTTCCATAGCTTAGAGAGCAGCTCAAAACCTTCGAGGGTAACTGGATCATTTACACGGCCACCTAGCGTGTACAGATCCTTAATCATACCCATCGTCACATCTGCGCTGCCGAGGTACATCTTGAGCCGGGATTTGGATGGTGCAACGCAATCCCAAGCGAGGAACCCAATGTTAGACCCAAGGTTGTTGGCCAGGATGTATTCCTTCAACAGCCCAAGCGCCGCCGAACAATCATTTTTCTTCTCAAAGTACTGCAGGCTCTCAAAAACCAAGGTCTCGATAGGGACGCCGTTCGCGGTCGCTTTAGCACGTGGATAGACGTACCCCTTCACTGATATTTGGCCGTCATCCGACAAATCAAAGCCCGGTGCCATTTGAGTCTTGAATACACTGACATCAATGTTGTTCTCAGCAATATGACGCTGCTCGTTTTTGCTGACTGTTAAGCAACTCGAGAAATAGTCCCATAGCTCGGTGTCGAAGTTGCAAAAGTCATAGCTAGCGATCTTTGCCATCAGCTCCTTCGTTGGAACTTGATTGAATGGATCAATAGGCAAACCGGATAGGTGGGTGCATGGCTCCACGCTGATTCGAACAGTTGACTGGCCCTGTTTCCTATAGTTGACGCTCAACTCGACAGGGACACCGCTACGCGTGATAGTGCTTCGCCATGTCCTTTGGGGAGGGGTATATGGCCCAAGAGATGGAACGAGGACTTGAGATAAAAGTAGCAGGTATTGATATTGCGATTCATTGCTGTAACCCGAATGTTGGAGGACTCTCTCGGCCATCGGGGCAACATCGTGCCACCAAGATGCTTGATCAAGGTTCTCAAATTGGGTCACCTTGCTGATGACGCTGTAAGGGGATGGAGCAGCGCCTGGCTTTTTATCCATTGTGACAGTCGTCATGTCGATTTGGTAATCAGGAGATATAAGAGGCCAACGAAAGTGGATGGATGTAGCGGGCTTGGAGTAGGTTGGGATAGGGGCGAGATTGGCTTGTCCACAGGTCGCATCAGACGGCACCCGGTATATATATAGATGATTGGTAGCATGTTTAACATACGCCGCTTGTCGGTAACGAAACAATTTTCAGCTCTTTTGGGTGAGATGCGCCATAATGCGAAGGCCAGACAGCGCCCAGTGGCTACCGCACTTTTGGGCATCCTGACAGGCGCCTGTCGTTGCCACCGAGCATGGAGTAAACATAAACTACTTAAACTTTGATAGCGCCCAAACGCTAACTTTTCTATCCACGTCTCACACACAGTCCTTTGGCTAACCAGGGGCCAAGTCAGAGTATGATTCTAGGTTAGAGTTCAGCTACCCGGGTGGGTAAAACATAACTCTAACTATCTGGAGTAGTTAAATATTACATGTCTCCATAGTTAAGCCGTACATCCCCGTCGATCAGGGAGAAAAAGAAAAAAAAGTGGAAGACATTTGCTCTTTCAGTACTCGGTAGTTACTCTGTGCATGATACAAGTCCAATTTTAAAGTATGTGGTTGGAAAAGTCCCCGAGAAAAATTGTGTCCCCTAACTAGCCAGTTACACTTCAGTGACCAAAAATATACCCTGATACAGCTGAGGAAGACAGGGAGGACTCCGTATCAACTTCGTATAGCCTTGTGCTGACATCTGGGCAAGCAACTGATTGTTATTGGCCTAGGTCATTATCTTACTTACTCCGGTTACCCGATTATTCCGTACTGAATATGACATGGAAACAGATGTATTACTCTGGTCTCCCCTCAAAAAATTAAAAATATCCAAATAGCGCTGCCGCTGCTAAATTACGAGTATCTAACAAGGGGGAAAGACTGCCAGGGTGCACAGTTCTCGGCCACCAATCATTGGCCATGCTCCATGCTACGTAGTATATTGGCGTGGAGCCGGCAAATGATTTCTGGCAAGGGACTGTATATGTACTTACACATATTGATTTTGAATATTCCTTGGCAAGGTTGTAGTAACCAGGTGGCTGGCTTGATACATGAGCCATGAGTGTACGAAATCGGACCTGGCCAGTGCCCAGGAGGTCAAAGTGGTCTATGACGGCTGCTTTTGATCCTTGACAACTCTACCAAAATCCCATCTCCCACAAATGTTATTGGACAATATCAAAGACTCCTCTTGAAAACATTTCAGCAATTAATGATTCATTCTTTCTCATTAATAAATTCACTAGTTAACATGAGTTGTGAGCGAATGCTGTTTTATTTTATTTTAATTAACAAGCCAGGCAGTGCTCGCTCTGCTCGCTATAAGAGAAAAAGAAATATTCACTACTTCCCATTGGATTACTGGATTATTTTATTATAATAGGTTGAAGGGTGATAGGGTAGGTGATAGTTATATATTGACGACAACATCCTGTAGCAGTGTGTCAGGCGATTGGTCATGGCAAGATTCTCGTTGATGTTATCTAGATACTACTTGGATGACTTAATGCTTTTGTGTGCCAATTACACCGAGTTCCTAGCGCGTAAAATCTCCTGCATTAGAAAATCATCATAAGCAAGCTCTTCAGCTGTAGGCCTTTCCTCGGGAAGCCAGCGTAGCACTCGTCTCAGAAACCCCAGAAAAAGTTCCCTATCTTCACCGGAAAATCGCGACTCCCTTATCTCAAACGATTGTTTTGGTATAGGTATAGAACCTTTCCAGTTTCCTGAAAATTAGGCATTAGAGGTGACCAAAAATATTATACGAGAGGCTTACCTTGGCTGCCCCAGTACTCGTTAGACTTTTGACTTCTTCTCAGAAACTGAGCAGGAGGAGGTCCCATTAAAGAGACCATTTCCGCCAGGTGCTGCTCATCATTCAGGACTCTATTCTTTTTTGCAAAAAAAAGATGACTGCGTTCTGCCAAATCCCAGATCTATGACTGTCAAATTTCAACCCACAGGTTAGTAGCCGGTACAGATTAGACATACCATAGTGCCCATTGACCATATATCAACCTTGGAATCCCATTCCATGCCCAAAATCACTTCTGGTGCGCGATAAATACCTGGCATAATATCGCCCCTATGATTTTGGGGTCCAATTCTTGCCTCGCCTAAATCAGAAAGGACTGGCAACCCAGTAGCAGTAGGCATTGGTCGAGAATAGTAGACGTGGCGATCATCCAACACTTTTCTGGCAACTGGTCGCCTTTTTTCATCTTCCTCGAGTTGAGCTAGCATGGAAGTGTCCTCAATTCCTTGTAGCAAGTTGTTCGATGAAATATCTATCACCCGTATTAGTACCTAGCATCTCATGAACTAGTGGTATTACAGACCAGTGTGGATAACGTTGTTTTCATGCATGAAAGCTAGGGATATGAGGGTGAGCTGCACGCTTCTCTGAATGAAAGCCTTTGGCAGCGCTTTACCATCAGACATGCTCTGGAATTCAGTAAAACTCATCCCCAAAGGCTTGTATATCAGGCAAGTATGTTTTCCGTGAGGCCCATCAAGCTCAAAGGAATCAAGAACTAGTCGGACCAGCTTCTTTCCGAAATGATCACCAGAATTGTTCAAGTGCTCTGACGCGGTGAGTTCACGGTCAGGTCTTCGTCCACGGGTACATACTTTCAGTGTGTAGTATTGATGGCTTCTGTATCCAATTAGATATTAAAACGCAATTGGTCAATAAAGTCTAGACATGGAGTCATACTGAACGTCACGGCAAAGCCATATTGTTGAAGTTGAACCAAATCCTAATTTGGCAACGATCCGATATTTTGACGCAAGCACATCTCCGATATAAACCGGATAAAAATCTTCTGCAATATATTCCGGGAGTTCTTCTTCTTCGATCTTCCGTGAAGAGTCCAGCTTCACAAAGGGTGTTGTTGTTGACAGTTTGCGGGATCGCGAGACTGATGTTATAGGTATTGACGGTTTAGGGCGCCGTGGACCGTACGCGTACAGGGTCGGATATTTGAAGGTTAACAAAGCTCTCAAGCCGCGTCGGCAGATTGACATTTCTGGGTAATCAATAAATGAATACTCAAGTATTGAGCTCCTAAGGATGATTGTTCACAGCAATTACAATTTTCGAACCTTGGCGTGGTAAGCTAACTTGTTAGTTAACTAGTTGTTTATCCAGGGCGAGAGTGTTAGTTGTTAACACTTACTTAATACAGCGTGCTCGTTCCGTCGAGGTCCGCTAACTTGAACCTAGGTAGCTACCTTAAGTAGCTGTACAGGGGCCTCCCGTTGAGATTCTTCAGCACTTGTCACATACCAAGCATATTTACTCATAGAGACAATATCAGTGGAAAAACTGGGGGTTTAATTGGGGCCTTAACTAGTAGTTATCGGCAGATTGCACCGCATGTAAAGTGGACTTGGCTTTATATAGCTAGCAATTGTTTCTAGTTTTCCCCGAAATGCCAGCAGTTAATAGAGCACAAGATCGTAGAAGGTTGGACTCAATCAGTCAGCTTCATCGTCCCACAGGCAGAACATGTCCACCATTGAGACTCCATAAAGGCTCCGCAACAATGGCATACCCACCCCAAAGATCGTTTTGGCTTCGGAGGCTGATTCTTTTCGAGCTCAATAATAGCCTGGACTGCAGATTTGCGAGTTTTCGTCCCACCATGTCTTCCAGATGGATACAGTTGCTTGCCAATCTTTTTTTCCTGGGCAAGCTTTGAAGTCACTTTGGAAAGAGGTGAAAAATTTGCGTCTGAGGTACGCTCGGTAGCGCATACTTCACAGGCAAGGAACAAGGGCTTATTGATAAACGTACAAGTGGAACACGTCCAAGGCTCTATGTCGTTTATATCCGAGTTTGACGAGAAGACGGTACTGTCTGATAATTGAAGTTTGGAAGAAGCTGCCGCAGGGTTCGGTGTTGGGGGTACTAGAGCCCGAGGGCCCATAGGATTCGACGAGCTAGGAGGTGTATAGGAGTCGCCATATTGTTCTCTCTCTTCTTGCTGGATAAGATCAATGTAGGCTTCCATAATAGCTTTCTCATTTGCATCTTCCATTTCGGCCTTAGTCCGAAACCCATTTCGAGTAGCCTCTTCTGCAAGTCTATCGCCTTCTATAGTTCCACTTGCACAACCTTTTGTAACTGTAGCTCGCCTCTCGGCAGCATCTGCAAGAACTTTTCGTATATCTGCTCCTGGAAGAGCTGAGGCACCACCTAGTTTCTTGCCAGTGCCAGAAGACAGCACACGCCGCTTTTCTGCCGCGGCACGCGCGAGTCGACGAGCTTCATCCATAGGTATTCGTCTTCCCCCCAGGCGGTGGCCGGCAGATAGAAATCCTTCACCAGTATAACCTCTGCTTAGCAGCTGCTCGTGTTCATCTCGAAGTTGATTCCATAGTGCATGGAACTTTTGATCATGTGGACCATGAACTATATGACATAACCTAGTTACTATCAGACTTGTCTGCTTCTTTTTATTTCCAGGGTATTAAAAGCTTTAAAATGACAACTTACTCATGAAGCATAGTGTCAACCACTTGTTCTATTGGAAGAAACTGCCTTTCATCGTATGGCTGCCTTAATCGAAGACATATTTTCTGTCCGTGGTTCACGTTTAACCCCAGTAGATTCTGGGTAGAAGGGTAAAATTCACAGAGAGTCCCAACCTTCCACATCCGCTGCCGCATAATTGGCTTAACCATAGAAGCAACTTTGCGTAGGGTTAATAGTGCTTCTGCTTCACGAGGTCGGTGTTTATCATGTTGAAACTCCGAAACAAGAGGGTCAAGCTCCCTCATCCTGTTTCCCTGGGATATTCGATCACACTAGATAAACAGGCTGCGGGGATAGTGCGACTGCTAGGAGAAGGTATTATATCAACTGTTGAATTTATGAAAATGATGATCCAAATGCTAGATAATCTCCTTCGCAAGCTAATAGATTTGTAGCGAATATACAGGGTATCAAAAAGCTCTGGGCTGCCGGAGGTGTTGCTTAAGGCAAGAAGATCGACTGTGAATCCAGGTGGTTAGCCTGCTCGGAGTTAACACTTGTCATTTCCGTGCCTGGATTTATAAACCACAGTCTGCTGAAGACGCTTCGGCCGTTTTCTTCACCCTTCTCTTCACCCTGCCCTTCTTGATCTTCTTCTCTGTCCCCCTGGGCCAGGCTGCTATCAACGTCGACGCGGCTCGAAAAGCTTAAGATAGCAAAAAACCTTATCTTATCTAGATCTAGGTTCTTATTTATTCCGCTCCGAGGGCGGGAAACGGCGGCAGAATCTGTCTTTTCGTCATCGAAGTTTTTATGAAGCTCACCAACTCGCGATTGCTTGCTCAATCGTCTTAACTTGACCAAATTATATATAACTAAAGGAGAAGACAGCTGTGGCTGTATGCTGGTCAGCACTGAAGTTAAAGAGCCATGACGAGTGATGATAACTTCTTCTTCAGCTATGTGAGTGAGCTTTGGTTTAAAACATTAGCTTTGAGAACCTAGAATGCTGATATAGATGGCTTCAACTATATAGCTGGCTTGGGTTCCTACCAACGTGACAAAATACTCCAACGATCTGGCAAACTCGATTGATAACCATGTTGAGAATGCAGCTCTCTCCATTCGCGAAACTTTATCCAAGCAGTCATGGATCCCTGCATCCATACGGCCGCCTCCGCCGAACCCTAAGTTCTTCTCGGATACCTTCCTGCCTCCAAAATCTACGTTTGAAAGATGCCAGGACTGGGTAGCGACACATCGAGTACTAGCTGTATCAGCATTAGCGTTTGTTGGAACGGGCGGTGCCTTACTATATGGACAGCGGAAATTTCATGTTAGACGGAGAAGAGCTCGACGTGCTGGCACTGGAGCTCGAAAAGAGATAGTTGGTAGGTGCTGAATGCCCTAATGCTTACCTATGAGATATCCTGTGGAATTACTTACCATGAATACAGTAATATCTGGCTCACCTCATGAGCCCATGACAAGATCGATTGCCTGCGACCTTGAGAAACGAGGGTATATTGTCTTCGTTACTGTTACATCAACAGAGGAACAACATGTCATCGAGAGTGAAGCGCGAGAGGATATTAGGCCGTTATGGTTTGACCTCTCACAAGTACGTTCATAACGTTGCTCCGACTCCCTAGGCCCATTCTTTTTTCTAATCAACCACATAGACTCCGGCAACTCCGTCGGACATACATCCTTCCCTCTATGTGATACAATCCATGATTACTCATGCGCAGACTCCATTACCTGGGGTACCGGCCCATTCCTGTCAGCTGAGCGCTGTTATTCTCATACCCTCCCTCAACTACCCTACGGGCCCGGTTGCAGCGATCCCAGCGTCCAGTTGGGCTGACACGATCAACACACATATCTTATACCCTATCCTCACCACTCAATTCCTCCTCCCTCTCCTCACACTTAAGTCGAATCCCGCTTCCGTCGTCTTCGTATCTCCAGCCATTCAATCCGCCCTCTCCGCTCCATTTGCCAGTCCCGAAGTAGCGACTGTACGTGCTATATCTGGCTTTGCCACAAGCTTACGCCAGGAGCTGAATCTATTAGTTTCATCAAATGGCAATTCTAGTGGTGTTGTTGATGTTGTCGAGGTGAAAATCGGTAACATCGAACTTGGTCGCCAATATCGAAGTGGACAAAGACATAACAGTAAAGGAACGGAACTCCTTACATGGAAGCCGCACGAGCGGGCTCTTTATGGGTCTCCTTATCTCTCGAGCATCGACTACCGCCTGGGAAAACCTATAAATATAGCCCCGAACTCTAGTCCGGCGCGAGAGTTGCATTACGCGATATTCGACGCGATTGCTCCATCTAAAAAGACCATTTTTGGATGGCGCAAAAAGAAACCTCGCACTATTCATGTTGGTCGGGGGTCTATTGCATACAGCATCATTTCGCGGATCATCCCTGGTGGAATGATTGGATGGATACTTGGTCTGCGACCTAGCTCTCTTGATACCTACGCCGAACGACCAACGGCCGACGAAGGCAATGCAAGCAGCAACGAGGCAGGCTGGGAGAGAGTTGCAGGTGCCTAAAAGGTGTTATCTATTTGCCCAAGCACTAAATGTATTTTTATCTTATATTATCCTACCTTTGTCTCTTCCCTCACTTTTTATTGTCATGACTGATCTTCTTTCAAGCAGGAGTTATGTTTGGGATGTCATCTTGACATGTATATTACGAACTTTTTAATAGCAGCTGACACTTTGAATATATCAAAAATTGGTATAAACAAATCGCAAAAATATACTATGAAGGGCCGAGCAGACCTTGTAAAATTAATATTAAACCACTAGATACGGAGTAGATACATCGTTAATCAGGGTGGAAGGACGCTTGATCGTCGTAGAGTTTAGCCCTTCCAACAACTTTGGGAGGAAGGGGATAAGATATCCCCCTACCTAACAAGAAACGTATATTCAGAAGAAAGTGAGCGCGAAGGATACAGGAGAAATGAACTCCAGCCAGAAATAACGCGCATCATAGATTATGTATCTTTCGCTAATTTGTTAAAGTGCAGCAAGGAGCATAAATTATGGTCACTTTTCTGGACCCATCGCTATTTCTTCGTCCACTCGTACTGGCAGTGTTGCAAGAATTCTCTTGCCGCCGGTCAGGCGCTTTCTTAACCAGATTATAAACCATGATGCACTGAACAGAAGAGCAGTCCCAATGGCAATCCCAAACGAGTATCCGGTCACCAGATTGCTGCGCTCACCGTTAACTCCAGGGTCAAGGAAGCTATAGGTATAAAATCCGTTTATCGAGTGGTTGAGGAAGGCCAACGCTGTGTATAGGAGGAGTATGATGATGAGGAATGGCAGATGGAGGAGCGGAAGAGGTTCCGTAGCTGGGATAACGAGCTCAAAAATGGCATATCCAGTTTGCATAATATGCTTGGAAACCTGTAGATGGGTTAGAATGTCTCAACACTGACTGTTGCGGGAAGGATACCAAAAAAATATAATAAAAATAAAATAAAATAAAAATAACTTGCATTTGACCAGGCCTCAAAAACCTCTGGAAACCATGGGCCGCCGAAGAGCAGTGTCCAGTACAGTATCGTGACAATGATCGGTAAGATGATAATCGACGAATAGAGCAAGCTATGCAGCGCGCGCAGGAACCGCGGGGCCTTATCGAAGAACACGGAGCGTCCCGTCCGCGCGTAGACGAAGCTGTGAATCGCGGCAAAGAGGAAGTAGAAAGCTACTCCCCAGTAGCTCAGGTTGGTGAAGTAGACGAACATGTCCTTCATGTTGTCGACCTGGTGGTGCACTGCCCGCCATCCGATGATGAAGAATATGGTCACGAAAGCATAGAGCGAGAAGGCAGCTCGAATGCACCCGAGGACGAAGGGCGAGAAGAGCCAGGAGGTTTCGAAGGCATGGAGATGGTCCTGCGAAGGGTCCGCGCCCATAAGGCTCATGAACGAGCGCATCGTGGATAACTGGCTTATCCGCTTCGACCAAGGCTATTATCTATCGCATAATAGCTGCTCGTGGAGCCTGGATATTGTACAGAGCAAGAGGCAAGGGGGAATCTTGTTGTGTGTATATGAGTATTATACTGTCCAGGGTGTAAACAAGGGATAGAGAGATTGTCGTTGCCACCGATTCGGCAGAAAGGAGTTTCCTCGCGGCTGCGGGTGCAATCAAGGACCTAACTGCAGCACGAACGGGGAAGACGAAAGACGAAGACGGCTGTTCATCTCTCGCACGACGGTCAAAGCCGGCGCCGGCGCAGACGTTGCACCAGGTGATGCTCTTGGTCCAGGATGTGGCTCTCAAGCCTTCGCTTTAGCGGCGAATCCGGGCTGGGCCTCGAATCTTGTGATGCTCGCGCGCTACATCCACGGCTGAGATCATGCTGGAATAGTTAAGCCTGTTTCGAAGGGGGTTGCTGGCGTTAACCATTAGTTGCAAGCAAGCTCGAGCGTGGGATATTATGCCCTATCTTGACTTTAGGCTGGGTGGGACTTTGATTCTTGGGGGGCCCTCCCTCCGGACGGATGTTACCGCGAGAGTTACATACGGAGCCCAGCTTGCATGTCTGGCTGAACACCACCAGAATAGGCGCAGATACCGCGATAGATGGGATTCTGTCCTGGAAGCTGGCTTGCTAACTAATGGTTATTGGAATAATAACTAAAGGCGAGAGAGTGAGACATCTGGTGGGCTCTCACTCCTTTTGATATCCTTGTCCTCTGGGATAACTAACCCGACGCCTGGAGGCGCTCCCCTGGTCCTGCAGACTCCTGGACAGAGTTGCACCGTTCCTGCAGTATCATTATTGTTTGCTTAACCCCAGAAAGATGGCACGGAGCCGCCGAGGCCGGTTCTTTGGCATATTCTCGTCCTTTCGACCATCGCTGCTTTCGATGTCTCAGGACCTCGACCAAGTTGCATGTCCCTCCCTTTACGGAATGCCCATGGAAATCGTGGAGATAATCGCCAGCTTCCTTCGGTATAAAAGCCTATGCTCATTACGGCTCACATGCAGACTCTTATATGAGAGAACTTTGCGCTGCTTTGGCGTCTTCCTGGCGACTGTGCCCCTGGATTTTTCGTCTCATAGCCTACAGAGGCTACAGGCTATATCCAGTCACCGGTACTTGAACCGATACGTCCAGTGCCTGTCTATCATAAATCAAACCCATGGGAAACTGGGGGTAGATCTGCGATGGAATAGGTCCTCTTCTGGGTGCCTCATTGTCCCTCAACATATAGTGGATATTCTCAGTGATGTCCTGATGCTCTTGGTCAATTGCCGCTCGTTCGAGGTCCATCATATTTATCGGCGAGAGCATCAATACACTTCTAATTTCTTAGGGGGAAGTGATGCGATAAAGATTCTCCTATACATTATGGCTGAAACGGCATTCCCGGTGAAATCACTCATGCTTGAGCGTGGAGTTGCTCGAGGATGGAGATACGGTGATCATATCCATGGGGAACGCCTGGATATTTCAGCTCTTCATAAGTTGGGCGTTCGTGCTGGGTTGTCCCAGCTTCAATGCCTTACGTTAAACTATCAGAAAGAGCTCGAAAGCAGTATCGACTGGACCTGCGAACTGATAAGAGCCGCCACCAGCCTGACGACATTAACAGCCCGGCTGAACGAGTTTGACAATGCGCCGCTACTTTTTGACCGTCTCACTTTGGCCAATGTTCTTCCTCCCTTGAAAGAACTTGTTCTAGAGGCTTGCGAATTTTCCTCCCCGGAAGGGTTTATCGATTTTCTTCATTATTTTCGCTCTAGTTTGCGATTTCTTTCTCTCACACGTATTAGACTAAGTACTAATGGGTGGATCTCAATCCTTCCAAGGCTCCGAGAACTTTTCCCATCCTTGACAAGTATCAAATTACATCACCTACGGGGAGACAAGCGACCCGATACATTGATAAGCTTTCCGGATATCCACAAGCACAGAACATCTTTTGAGATTAGACAGGGGATCTCATACTACTATAAAAACTGGAGAGGGAAACGGAGTTTGGTGGGTGTGCGATATTCCGGGCCTGACATGGAAACCGCATTGCGGATAGTGGCGAGCTCAGCACGAGCCTGTTAAGGATACTATGGGCCGAGCAATAATTCTATAACAAGCATGCAGACGGACGTATGGAAATCAGAATGCAGTGTAGAAGTCACTAAAATATTGGGTATCTGTATATAGACTAAGCAGAAGAAGTACAAACTCTCTATGCTCCGAACAAAGAAAAGTAAAAAATATTGGTCATACCACTCGGGGAACTTCACGTGCATCTTCATCAAAGTGCAATAAAGACGAGGAGTTGCTAGAGAACGTATTGAAAGAGGGGGTTGGGAAGGTGGCCAGTAGCTTATCTGATTTTAAGCCTTGTTTGGGTCCTTGTAGCTCGGTGGTGGAGCTCCCACTGGGTAGCTAGAAATACCGTCTCCTTGATAATAAGGTTGCTGATATCCTGGCTGGCCCTGTGGTGCATATGTCTGTTGGGGCGGGGCAGGACCCTGGTTCGGCATATACCCATATTGCTGTTGTTGCTGCTCCTGAGGCGGTGGAGATTGGGCAGGGTAAGGATATGGCTGCTGCTGCTGCTGATTGTACGGTTGCGGCTGAGGGAAGGGTTGTTGAGGATAGGGCTGAGGACTTGTGTTCTGCAAGGGGATTTGCTGTGGTGGCAGAGGCCCGCCCTGCCCCATGACATATACGTTGGTTTGGTTTCCTTGAGCTCCTGAAGTTGCTGTCGCTGCTGCTGATGCTTGGGGTGCAACATAGGTAGTAGTGGCAGGTCTTCTTCGTCGTAGTCGGAAGAGAAGGACAATTATCAAGATGAAGAAAATTATCCCACCAATAATTCCTCCAACCGTGGGCCCATAGCTGTAATAATAATATCTCTTTGCAAGGTGGTGTGGCTTGCTGGAGGACCGTCGGAGGAGAGATAGAGCCGCCATCCCTTCGAAGATATCAATATCTCCGAAACAGAATATGAAGTCAACGTCTGCTGCGTGACTAGAGGTAGGCCCTGGATTTGATCAGTAAGTTATCCAGCAAATCTGAGAGCAAACATGTGTGAGTCACCTCAGCAAAATATGTGGCACTCACCAAAGTAGTTGTATGTCAACTAAAATTGAAAATAAATGTCAGTTTCCTTGCAATGGATGTTCGGCCTAGCTGGAGTCGTCGGTAACACTCGAGGTTGTTAGTGTGACAGCAGTGTTGGACCGGAAGTTCTCCATTATTAGCAGGGCAGCGAACTCCTTTCATAATATATACCAACGCGCATGGAGAAAACGGCCTCATCACATTAACCCAACATGCTTGGCTTTCTCATCCCGTCCCTTGCAATCTATTTTCTCATGGGGCTTAGCCCTGCACCTCGTATCCTGACCATGATGGGACTCCGCTCGAGCTCAGAACATGTTGGAGCTTCGCCAACCCTTGACGGAGTTCTTGTTTGCATATTAGTAGACGGGCTTCCATGGGCGCATTAAATCAGGTAATTTAGGCGAGACCATGCATTGTATGAGTAGCGAGGGAAAAGCGACAAGTTATATATCGCGGAACGCGAGGTAGCTCTGGCAGCACCTGCAAAGGGGGAGAAAACCATCGCGAGGTCAAAAAACGCCCTTGAGTTGTTTTTAGAAGCTTTAAGCTTAGCGGGAAGTTGTGGAGCGCTCTACCAGAGATGCTATTGGCTGCAGTGACCCGCTTTTACGAGAAGAGATGAGTCAGCACGACGAGGCTCGAGAACAAGCAACGACGAGACGAAAAAAAGCCAACACAAGATCGAGTGACGGGCATGCGACAAACAGACGGTATGTAAAAGGAGGCTATGGTCGGTTCGGGGACCTCTGCAATTGATCGCGGCTATGTCTGTATGTACATTTCTCTGCGCTCGATATCGCATAGCTCACGTAGCAAAGTATCTACGGAGTACCATGGAATGTTTGTTTCAATTTACTGGTTGTTAGTTCTCCATAGCCACATGAAAACAGACTTCGGAGCTTATCTCTGGATAACAGGGATTGCAACACAAAGCAGTCGTATGTTCGTCAAACTAACCAGTAGGGATGACAGGGAGAAAAGACTGTTTAGTTTCAATGGCCTTCAGCGCCTGGTCAGGTAGCCACTCAGGAGCGGGTACCAGAGGAAATCCTCCAATGTATCGGGGCAGAAAACGAAGACTCTGTATCCATGCATCATCAGTGCTAGTTACATGTATCATGAGAAGGAACGTCTGTTGGCTGATGTTGTGAGCCATCCTTTTTGAGAGTGATTCCCACGCTTCATCTCACCAAATTGAAGCAGGTTGACCAATAACTTGATCCCTCCAGTAGTTACTAATTGGAATATCAAGATAAAGTCGCTTTATAATTATCAGTCCAACGTCAACGTCTAGCTCTCGGGTTCTTGAGGCAATACTCTCCATGTTGCCGTACTCCGTACAGTATAATAATATAGAAACCGAAACTTGCAGCTGCACTCTTCTAAACGTTGTGGATAACCTAGCCGAGAATATATTACTTTTTACCGACTTCTCAGAGGTAACTCAAGAGCCGGGTATACGTGAATAGAATAGCAACTTCTTAGTAAATTGTCGTAGTAAAGCCGAACTTCTAGATGTCTAGTGAGCATTTTTTTTTTTTCGTTTGGACTTGGGATGTAATGGATAGTGTGATGCTAAATGTTTTCAGCCACCTAGAATGGTTACTGATGTGGATGGCTTATTTGATGTTCTTGGAGAGTGACGAAGACGAATACACACATAGTCCTGGACTCCATAAAATCAGGGTTTCCATAATTGCCCCTGGGGCAGGAATGTTAGACGTTGGTTGGACATTGATAGCTCCCAGACCATGCTGGATATCGCTTGCAAATATGTGAAGGGGTCCTTCGAAAGGTTGACACGAGAGCTTACGAGCCAAAAGTCCTGTTGATAGGATTTTTTTTACAAGTTCTTTTTCGTTACTTAAAATGGCCACTCTCGAAATACCTGCAGTAAGACTGATTATCGGAACCGTTTTGATCACCTGTTTATGTACGGGTGCATCCTTGTATAACAAATCCGGAAGGTCCATGGATACTTTTGAAACAATGGATAAAGGTTGGAATGCTGAGGGAGCTGTTTACCAAATATGGCTGGCATAATATGTTGACCAGGGTCAGCATGGAGATCGAGTTTACCCACAGGGATCGAATCCAGCCAACGGGCAGGCCGTTCTGGATCTCAATTGGCCGCCGCTTGATTCGTGGAAACAATTTTCGGGTATCTTATCTTGTAGTTAGAAGTTGATCGTCTATCTCTAGACCATGGCTTTCCTAATATTTGCCGCATGCCCTTAGTTTGGTATTTTCAATCAATTTCCCCAATATTGTTAAACTCGGGTTGAAATAAAACTAACGTTGTATTTAACTTGGAAATAGAGTTTAGAGTATTGTAAAAACGACCGAATAAAATAATCTTGCTAATTAACAAATGAATTAGTCAAATTACTATTGGTGGAATAAATAAATTAGCTTATTAAGGACATTAATTTAATTGGACAGTGATTTTCAATCAATACAATACCCCTTCTATATACTCTGTACATCTTGGATTTTATATATTTATATTGAAAGGCCCCCTTTTGCCATCGACATGGCTAAATATTTGTGTAACTCTTCAATTTTCAATATTCATTTCCATTCAGCCTTCAAGAATTCTGACGAGAATTATATTATATCGCCGGCCCCGAAATTCAACCTCGAAAGGCTGCGAGCATGTGATCATCACAGATGACCATTTGGCAAAGATGATAGAGGCTACAATCGAAAATGATATCGGTATTTACTAAAATGAAGGCGTTCCTACGACTCGCGCTTATTGCACTGGCCTTATATCACGCGACTAGATGCCAGCCCAAGCGCCCAGGATTTCTACCGAGGCGTGATGGACGACAACACGACAGCCTGACCGTTCACGAGCTGGTCGGCCGATCCAAAAAATCTCTCCAGCTGATGCACTGGGATATTGACTAAGGAAAACGTGTACCCAATAAGATAGAATATCGCACTAATTTCTGAGAGAGTTAACATATTTTATCCCATGTCTATTAGTCGAATATACACGTGGATTAAGCCATATTGGCATAATGACCACACTTTATTCTTTATGAGTGTTTGGTATGACCGTTCCACCCGCATCGGATCGGTACCTGACTGTCGATCCCGACAATGGGGCAGTTGCACGGGAGCGATATTGAATTCTCCGATGTGGGCAATGGCACGAGCCGAAGTAAACATTCTGTCCACAGTATCTAGTGTGGTATACGGTCAAGGCATATTGGGTTGGTACCCCTAAAAACTATGCAGTGATGCGGTATTTGGAAGTCTGACTCCTGGTCTGTGTCCTATTAAACCAAAAGGTGGGCTGGAGAATGGACGATTGTCGAAACCTTACCATTATCAAGAGTACATGGATGGAGTAGGCGGCTGTCGCAGCTCCTGCGCGTGCTATATTTTCCAAATACGACCACCCCATACTCAATAGGTGGTCCCTCCATCCGTGGGTAGTATCCCATTCCCCCGTAATGTTCACAAGAGCCATCAAAACGTTCATGTCCAACATCTCACCGATAAATGTCAAAGATGTAAGCCACAGAGAGGTAAAGGATGACGTGCAAAATTTCTGTAGTGGTGTTCCTGGGCCGGCACCAGTGCACGTCATGAGGAAGAATGACGTCCAAAAGTCATCTCTAACATATCAACAGCATCGTCGGTTGTGTAACAGTGGCCACGAGAGGATGGATATATAAAGGCATTCGAATGGGTAAACGATATGTCTCATATTCCAACCAAACAGACAGACAGTTCTATAAGCCTTTCCGAGACACCTGTTCAAGGACATAGCCTAAATAGGGCAATATCAAACCTCTCCCCTTTGGCACACCACCAACCGAGTCACGCACTTGCGGGATCAATCACACCATGAAGACCCCTTTCACCATACTTGCGGCCCTGACCGTGGCGACTACGGTAGTGGCCAGACCATTTCCAACCAACGGGACGGAGCTCAACAAGCATGCAATGATCGATCGGGTATCTACATGCAAGCTTTGCTAACGGGTCTGGCTATCTGAAGCTTGCAGATGTTCCTGATGAATGGGACATTATCGAACTATCTTTTGGGGAGCCTACATCTGTGGACTCGGGGGAGATCAAGTTTGCCATGTGCCCCAAGACAGAATGTCCTAACGTCGAAAGTGAGGAGGAATTCAAGGCTGCCATCAAGGCCAAGCGAGCCAAAGGCAAGAAGGTACTCCTATCAATCGGGGGGCAGAACGGCCAGGTCCAGCTCAAAACGACCGAGGCGAGGGACAAATTCGTCAGCTCGGTGGGAGGTATCATCGACAAATATGGCCTTGACGGCCTGGATATCGATTTTGAGGGGCACTCTCTTTACCTCGACCAGGGAGATACCGACTTCAAGAATCCAAAGACGTCCGTGGTTGTCAACTTGATTGCTGCCTTGAAGTCCCTGAAGGAAAAGTATGGCAAGGCCTTCGTCTTGACCATGGCACCAGAGACTTTCTTCGTGCAGCTGGGGTACAGTTCCTATGGCCCCTCGAACGGCAACGATGCTCGCGCGGGATCCTATCTGCCTGTCATCCACGCCATGCGAGATGACTTGACTGTTCTGCAGGTACAGAACTACAACTCCGGCCCGATCATTGGTCTTGATGACCAGTACCATAACGTCGGCACTCCGGACTTCCTCATTGCCATGGCGGATATGCTCAAGGCTGGTTTCCCCGTGGCTAAGACGAACAACACCTTCCCACCGCTTCGAGAGGACCAGATTGCCATTGGACTACCATCCACCGTCAGCGCTGGCAACGGCTTCGTTGACGAAAAGGGCGTACAGGACGCCCTGAACTGCTTGATGAAGGGCGAGTCTTGCGGGACCTACAAGCCTCGCGGTGGTAAATCTCCATCCTTCAGGGGTCTGATGGCCTGGTCCATCAACTGGGACAAATTCTCCAACTGGGGATTCCTGAACCCCCACCGCAAGTACCTCGACAGCTTCCCCTGAGTTATCAGTCGTCTCATATTTTCTTCCTTTTCTCTTCTTTGTTGACTCGAAGACGTTCATGTCTATTCCTTGTACAAAGAGACGACGTCTATATTTGGACATATATATATATGCTTCACGTGATATCTGGATATCCCAAAGCGGAAGTTTTTACTTCCTCGATGTTTTTTTTCGGCTTCTTATGAATTTCTGCTTTTCTGTATTGTATAGATAGATTGGATATCATGAATGAACGAACAATCTTGATGTTTTCTTCTTGCGTGGCCACTTGATATCGTTGAAGCCGTTCTTTTCCCTGTCCCCTTGTCGGCTCTGCTGCAGTTTCACGTCGGACTGCAGTACCATCAAACACAGGCCCGATGCAAGCCCTCCTCACCACCACCTGCGTCGTTTCAGCTGTCTCTCCTGTCCGCCTGCGTCCATCAGGAGCACTCCGGCTGCTTTCTTGCGTGGGTTTTCAAGGCAACGGCCTTAGTAAGCTCGCCTCCCCGTTCTCGTATTCGACTGATCGCGAACCTGATGGCTAACTCGTTAGTTAACTAACCCCGAAGGCAAAGCTGAGCCGCCCATAGACGTTAAACTCCGAGCAGCAAAAAGAAATTTCAAACGGGGGAAAAATTTGACAGCGAGCGACAATCTTGGTGACAGGTTCTTCGTCTGGAGGACCCATCTTGTGTGAAGCAACAACGTGAGTCTCCATCGATGTCGTTGTCTTAGCCGGCTGGCCCAATCTATATCGCTCCGCCCTGGGTTAGTTCGGCCCCTGCATGACTGCCCCTTGTCTCCCTTAACTAATCTGCTTAGCTCCCTTTTTTTTCCCATAATTAACTCGCGGCCTTAGGTTGAGCCCGTACAATTTCGACAGTCATCAAGAAAATTCCCCCCTTCGAACGACACCTCGCCAGGCATTCATACATATATTCAAACATCGAGACCCCTTGTTTCGAACATCGCAGCCCGCTTATCGTGATGATATGACGGCAGAGGCAGGGCGTGCTCTCTAGCTTCCCCAAACCAGACACTCCTTTTACAACCAACAAAGTCGAAAGAAGCGGAAGGAAGACGATTACAAAGACCAGCATTTATCGATGTCCCGAACGAGAATCAACGCACTCCATTTCAAAAATACCATCGTTACCCCCGAATCGAAGTTGCAACTGATTGCTTGCCCGATAAAACCCGATGGCGACCCCTAACAACGAGCTTCCGTTGCCGGACTCCCTTTCGATCTCTCAACAGTCCACAAGCCGGCTCCAGGCATCGAAGCCGCAAGCGCGGTCACCGTCACCATCTCAGTCTCCAACACCAACTCAACTTCATCCAAGTCGTCCCTTAGTTTCCCCCCGCTTACAACATGTCGCAGGCGAGATTCCTCCCGCCCTCTCTCCGCTCGATGCCTTTGCAGCCCAGGGCCGGCTGTTGGCTAAGCAATTTGATGAGTCCCGCAAGGCTGGCCGCAGGTTAAGCCGGCTGCCGCCAGCGAGTGTGGAGCGGTCACTTTCCCAGCCGAGAGGAGGGTACCATCGGACGCTGTCTGATGAGGATACCAGGCAGGCCCAGACGCCGATGCGCGCGGGGTTCAACTTCGAGCAGAGAGGACGGGGCAGAGGAGAAGCGGAGAGAGCGCCGTTCAGCAACGGCATGTCGCTCGAGGAGCCTTCCTTTAGGCCCAAGTCACAACATCCCAGAATCAGCGGACTCCCTCTTAACACCAGCACTGGAAATACGTTCCCTATAGATGATAGCTGGGATACCAGGTCGGTTGGAAATAGCGCGTATGGGATCCCCCGCGCTAACTCTCCAGACACATTCTGGAACCGGGATGGCTCGCGTGAACGAGGCAGAACTCCTTCTCCTGGCCCCGGACCGACTATAGACAATAGACTGCATGTTGTACGTTCTCATTCACCACAGCCTGGTGGCTCACCTACCCGATTCTACGCAACCCAACAGCAACAACGCAGCAATAGTAACAACTCCGGACAGCAGCATAATCACCTCGCGCCTCCCCCGCTACTACCGTCTTACAGCAGCCCAGCAGGCTCTACACAGGAGAGCTCAGACGATGACGGGTCGAGCGCGAAATCAACATTCTCACTGCCTCGCAAAATGTCGTCGAGCAGCGGCATATCGATGCTCCATTCGCCCCAACCGTCACAAATGAGCCGAGCATATCAGCGGTCCCCGTCGCCAAACTCAGAGGCGGGAACAGGAGGAAGCATGACACCCAACCTAACGAAGCCATCTTTTAATTTCTCACGGCCGATGAGCCGATCTAATACTTCTCACTCCGTACATGATTCTGCTACGAGTTCTCCGGCTACGGGTAATACGGCTACGGCCAATTCGATCTTGAACAGGGAAAACAAACCAGCACCCATAACCGTGCCGGCGCCTCTGGCCACGCCGTCTCCATCTGCGGACGAGGCCACCGAACCACCCCTCTCGGCTGGACAGTCGTACATCTATGCAAAGTTCTCCCTTCCCCGCGGCCGGTTGATCTCACGGGACTCCAAGACCTTCAATGGCGGCGAACTGCAAGGAGAGTTCCAGCCCCCTCAATTTGAGAGATCGATCACGGATCCTGGATCTACCCAGGACCAGACTCAGACTCAGTCTCAAACAGAGACGCAGACGCAGACACAGATACGGACAGAGACCCCGACACCGATTCAGAATCCAAACACAACGTCTCCAGCGAAGAGCATCAAACGGGTGCGGCCGTCGCTTGAGCAGGAACAATCCAGCACGCTCATTGCTTCAGCCAACGCCGAGACCAAATCAGTATCCGTTCAAAGCCAGAGCACCGTACGTGCCACCCCTGCAGAAGAGAAAGAGAAGGATAAAGACGCAGAAAACGAGCCGACGACGGCCGAAGAGCATGTAACGAGGGGTATTGAATGCCACGAGTCGGGCTCGCTGAAGGAATCAACCTACCACCTGCGCCTTGCAGCCATGCAGAACCACCCAACCGGAATGCTCCTGTATGCCCTCGCCTGCCGTCACGGTTGGGGCCGCCGCCCCGACCAGACGGAAGGTGTGCAGTGGTTACGCAGAGCAGTCGACACGGCCGGGCTCGATCTGGCGAGCAGCAACCCCCCTAGCCCGGAGACCTGCGATGCAGCACTGCAGAAGCTGCTATCGAGCAGCGGCAGCGGGAAGATGAACATGTCGGAGCAGAAAGCGCGCCAGGCCCAACTGGCACTGGCCATCTACGAGCTGGGCGTGAGCAACCTGAACGGCTGGGGCGTGGGACAGGACAAGGCTCTTGCACTGAGATGCTTTGAGATTGCAGGACGGTGGGGGGATGTCGATGCCATGGCTGAAGCCGGCTACTGCTATGCTGAGGGCGTCGGCTGCAAGAAGGACCTGAAGAAGGCGGCCAAGTATTACCGCATGGCCGAGAAGGGAGGCATGAGCATGGTAGGAAGTAGCTGGTACGTATTTTTCCCCCCTCTCCGCTAACCGCCTCTCCACCTTTTACCTCTGTGTTGGAAGTGAGTGCTAATGTAATATGAATGGGATGCAGGATCTACAAGGACAAGTACATGGACGACGATGCGGTGTCGAAGAAAAAAGGGGGAGGCAGCGTCAAGTCGACAAGCTCCAAGTCTCGCACGCGCAGCCGTAGCATCTTTGGCCGCAAGAAACCCTCTGACGACTGACCGACCCACCACTCTCTTTCCTCGGCTCTATCACATTCACTTCTGGCTTTTCTTCTTCTTCTTCTTCTTCTCTTCTTCTTCTCTTGACATCTTTGTCTTTTCATTTCCTTCCGCCCTCCCCAATCTACTTCTGCCAACTGTATATATATCTATACCTTCTTGGTGCCGGATACCCTTTGCTTACTAATCTCTCACAACTTTACCCCCTTTCTTATATATAGCATACATAACATCTACATACTTATTATATATTTATTCCCTTATATATAGTTCTTTAGGCCCAATTGCACGTTTGAGCATCTTCCGTGTACCAACGTTCTCCTTGCTTATGTACTATATACTGGGCATTATCATTGCTCATCTTTCTCCAGACAGACCCCAGGTTGCGAGGTCGGAAATTAACACGAGAGACCCTCATTTCCCCGGCCGCGGAGGACTCGTAAAACAGCCACGCTAGCCGAGCCTCCTCTTTTAGCCTTTTCTTTTTTTTTCACTTTTACCCCGGAATCGGCCAAGGTCAGGCCTCCTTTGCCATGGTTTGAAGGGTTTGAGAGTCAAGTTTTGAGCGGCTCGGCAGGCGTAATGTGGGTGTACCTTGTGGTGTTCTTAGTTAGCCGGACATTGAGATGGCTTAAAGCAGACTAGGTAAGCTGGCAGCGGGAGCATGGGCCGCAGGTGGCAGCATGCAGACTCGGTGTCATATGAAAGAAGAGAACGAACGAGGACGATGACGGGGAGGAAGACGATGACGGGAGGAGTTTTTAAGCAATTGGGAGGTGATGTCGATGAAACGGCTTTGCCGGTCGAGGAGTTGCTTGTCCCGCCCGTCAGTCGACGCCCGCCGTGGCCATCGCTGCCTTTCGTCCGCCGGCCTATCCCAACACTTGCATCGGGCATATGTCAGCAGCCAGTATACCAGTATACCAGTATACAGTATCCGTAGTTGACGGTCTCCATCTCCGCAAAACGGAGTATCAGTAGTGTCTCTCTCCCAGGACGGCTTCTGTCCGAAGCATCCAAGTCGACTCGTCTCACCTTCGGGCTCCATGCTCGTCGATCCAACTCCATCCATGAAGTCATGAGAGAGCGCCTATCGGTAAGCGCTGACCATCACTACGACTTCGACTTCGACTTCGACTTCGACTTCTACTTCTACGACTTACCGGCCATCACCGTGAGCATGCACGTCACCGTAGCCATGCCGTGTCATCGTCCAAGTGCTCGAGCAGTTATAAGTAGAAAACGGGCAAGCCGACGCCGCCAGCCGCAGTAGCAGTAGCAGCAGCAGCAACAGCAGAAGAAGAAACGAGCGAACGCCGCCCCAAGCAAAAATGCTAAATATGCACGCCGACTGGTCTGTGTCGCTCGCATGGCAAGCTCTTCCAAAAAAGCAACGAGCGCCCTTCTTCCTCTGCTGCTGTCTTTCTTTTGCTCTCGGTTGGCTTGCCATGATCTACGGGATGCCCGTCGCAAATCTCTCTTTTGTCACGTGCGGGGGGGCTGGCTGGCTGGCTTTTCGGCATGTGTTGGCCTGCTCGTTTTCGTTCTTCCTCCCCTAAGTGTCAGCACTTACGGATGTTATTATCATTATTATCATTATCATTATTACTATTATTGACTGATCCGATCTGATCTCATCTTATCTGCACTCCACGACTGCTTCCCCGGACTCCTGCAAACCCAATCGCCCCCTTTTTTTTTCTTCCTATAAGAATGATAGCAATAATTAATATTAAATGCTGTTCGAGTCAAGAAAATAAAGTTCTACCTCGGCATTACATAATCACAGCAGAGTTTTCAAAGGGCGGAACGGGGCTAAGGCCTAAACGGGACTAGGTTGGCCCCACCTCAGGAAAACCAAAAAAGAAGAAAAAAAGAAGATGAAGTTGAAGTTGAAGAAGAAGAAGAAGAGGAAGAAGAAGATGATGAAGAGGAAGAGGAAGACAGAGAGACAGAGAAGACGATGTCAAAGCAGATGCCAGAAGAAAGGAGGTCCAGAGGTGCAGCAGATCGAGAGAGAGAGAGAGACAGAGAGAGAGAGACAAGGACATGCGAGAGCTTGCCAAAAGGTTTCTTCGACCCAAGCTTTTTCCTCCTCACATGCTTTTTCCTTCGTTTCTTCTTCCTAAACGCTAAAGACTAAAACACAAGCAAGAAGAAGAACTGAGCAGAAGACGAAGAAGACGACGAAGAACAAGACTCGCAGAGTTCCTACTACTCGCTATGGCTGCCAGCTCTATAGCCCGTCGGCATCACGAGCTTCTTCTCCCCTTTCACGCTGGCTACCCCGGACTCTCTCCATCGTGCATCTCGCATCGTGCATCCCCCATCTCCAGCCCCCATCCCCCATCCCCCGTCTCCGTCTCCATCTCCATCTCGCAGCTCTCTCTCCACGGGGAAGTATGTTAATACCTAATGGATATGGTCAGGATGGGCCGTCTCCTCCTCTCCTGCGCCGCCCGCCCAACCGCCGTCCCTCGATCTCCTCCCCGTACCCCGTTGGATTGGAGACACGGTACTCCGTATGGCCGTCCGCGTAGCAGCTCGTAGTTGTATCCCGGGCATGGTAAAGTAAAAAAAAAAAAAGGACAAGAAAAAAGCAAAGAAGGTCGCCTCCACCGAGCTGTCGCTGCTCGCCTGCTCTCCTCTTCTTCGTCGTCTTCGTCGTCTTCTACCTAGTAGTCTTCTACCTAGTCTTCTACCTAGCCTTCTACTTAGTCTTCTACATGCCAGAATATCCCTGCTGGCGTCCCTTCGTTTCTTTTCCCCCTTTGGCTTTTTCTTTTCTCGGGCGGGCTGCGGGTTCGTTCGTCTGTCTCATGCCTTTGACGCCGTCCTTGCTTTAAGTATAACAAGCCGCCCGGCCTCCCCCCCCGTCCCTTCATCTCCCACCGTCGCAGACTCCTGTCTCCTCCTCCTTGCTGGCTGCTGGCTTCTTCTTCTTCTTCTTCTTCTCTCTCTCTAATTCTGCTTCGCTTCTGAGTGCTGCTGGCACAGGACTTCAGGTAGGACCGGCGTTCCTCTAACATTCCACCACCACCAACCCCCCCCTTTCCATTTCTCCGTCTCTGTTGCATGAACAACATGCAATCCGGCGTCATCGTGCGACAATTTGCGCCCTCTTCTCTTGCTTTTGACTGTCCGCGCTAACCAGGGGGGTGCTCTCTAGTTTATATTGCATATATTTGCCTGACATTATACATAACCACCGCCTGGCATTCCCGTACATATCAACATCTTAGACCCTCCTCCTCCTCCCCCCCAAGTTACCCTTCATCTCTACGCGGTGTCGGGGGGCTTGACTTGCATATATTAGAGAGACAGTCGCCGGCCTCTCTCTCTCCCCCTTCGCGTTTCCTCTCTTTCTATACATCCCCCTCCCAGCCACAGAGGAAGGCTCACCACCACCACCACCACCACCATGACCGGCAAACACAACATCGAGACCATCGACACCGTCCCCAAGGGATCGCTGGGGTCTCGCATTGGCGCCTTCTGCCGTCGTTTCTGGTGGCTGCTGGTCATCATCTTCGTCATAGTCGTCCTGGTCATCGTCCTTCCAGTGTAGGTCCAAGCTTATTTCTATACATACCACACACACACATATGATATATTCTTTGTTCAATGCTGATGGTGTTGTAGTATATTCGTCGCATACCCCAAACTGGCGCAGGAAGATGTCTCTGCCTCCACCCTCACCATCGCAGACATGCAGACCACCAACCCAAGACCAGATGCGCTCCACGTCAAGGTCACCCAGGTCATCGGCTCCAAGTCAAAGTACCACCCTACTCTCGACCCCTTCGAGGCCAAGGTCTACCTCGAAGGCCAGCAGGAGTCCTTCATGACCCTCCACACTCCCCAGGTCAAGGCCGACGACGGAGTCAAGGCCATCATCGACCAGGACGTCAAGATCGAGAACTCAGAGGGCTTCTCTGCTTTCTCCAAGGCCATCATGCTCTCCAAGGAAGTCAAGCTCAACATCGTCGGCACAACCAAGCTTAAGCTCGGTGGCCTGCAGAAGACAGACGTCGACTACGACAAGACCACCACTCTCAAGGGTAAAGCCACACTCTTGTCTATACTCACTCAATTACCCGCTTGCTAACCTTTTTCACCAGGAATGAACCACCTCGAGGGCTTCAACATCACCGATATCAAGATCGGAAATATCCCAGACACCGAATTCAACATGAAGGGCAACGCCTTCATTCCCAACCCTTCAGTCCTTACCCTGGACATGGTAAGCCGACACCCAGCCATTCAATATATCTATATCTATATCTATATACTAATCTATGTAGGGCAACCTCACCCTTAACCTGGCTGTCGACGGCCACCCAATCGGCTACTCTGTCCTCCACGACGTCGTCATCAAACCAGGAGACAACAACATCCCCATGCAGGCCAAAGCAGACCTCGCCTACGTTCTCAAGCAGACCGGCAAGGAAAGCAAATACTCCAACGGCATCGTCCCCGTCACTATCCTCGGCAACTCCAGCGTCGCCCACGGCAAGGAACTACCATATTACACCAAGGCGCTCGCCGCAAACACCCTCAAGGTCGACCTCAACGTCCCCGCCATCCTAAGTGGAGGAAAATAAATAATACCAATTTGCTCTTGCTCTTTTCTTCCTTTTCACACTACCTTTTACTTCTCTCTCTACCTTACTGACCTAATGTATGTACGGAAAGGCTCTATATATATATATACCGGACGGGCACCAGGTTTGTTTTGCATTCGATTATTTGTACAGACTTGTTGATGTTTTTTCATCCTATATACCTATCACGATACATGAATGATACCTCACTTCAATATCCATCTCCATCCCCCTTTTCTATTCATTCCTAGTCCATCGCCGACCTAACGAGCTACTACCGCGTATACCAACCGAGCTGTCTTTGCCTCTAAAACATGATAACAAGCTTTTTCTATTAAATCATAGCTTGGCCATCAACCTAACTAGTGATTATTGCTTGCATGCATCTCGCCCATCGCACCATCGCCCTACCAACTCTACCAGGCGCCTCTCCCAAGCAGATCTTCCACGCTCACGAAAGAAAAAAAAAAAAGGAAACCTTGCACATCACTTTCAGCCCTCTTCTTCTTATTCTTCTTTTTTTTTTTTTTTTTCTTGCCCTTTTCCTCCCCTCCTCTGCTCTCAAACACTAACGTGCTGTCAAGAGGCGAGTCAATGGAGTCATCACTCGTTCCCCAACTAACTAACTACTACTGTCTTATTTTTTTTCACCCACCTTTCTATCGTCCACTAGTATGTCTTCGATCGCAACGCATCGCGCCTAGTTTTCAGATCGGTCGGTTAACTAACGTTACCGGGGAAACTAACCAGTCATCTCCAGCCAACGAGGTTACTCCAATTTCCTTTGAACTTTTCAGCTGGTCATGCGCCCCCAACCCAACCAGACTTCAATTGACAAGAATTCTTTTTTTTTTTTTTTTTTTTTTTCTTCTCTTTCCTTTGCATCATCGATTCTACCATTTACCCAATGCTGAAAGTCGAGTCAGTCCACCGCACTTTTACAACGCATGCCATTGGCTCAGGCTGGTTCTGTTGGGCGTCCTCTCCCTGGTTGGTCTGATGGAGACAGCAGGCATGGCGGTGGATTCTCCCTTGGCTTCGTCCCTTTTTTTTCTCAAACCCGGACCAGGTTACAGGTTACAGGTTACAGGCAGGGGCTGTTCTGTGGTTGCGAGCGAAAAGGAGAAAAAGGGGTTAACCAGGAGAAAAGGGAAGTTTCCGCCGGCGTGGAGCCGCGCGGCCGGAGTAAGAGCGGAGTTTGGGCCGGAGGTTAGGGCTTGTTAGTAAGACGGGTATTAGGTAAGCGGCAGGCTAACTTTGACGAAGAAGGAAGGAGCCGTTTGACCTTAAGACAACGTCCAAGTCAGACTCTTGAATATAACTGTGCTATACAGCTACCAGGCGGTTCTATGAAGTACGGGAGATGCCGTTCTGGACGGGTGGACGGCATGTATGCAGGTACAGGTGCCTACATACTCCCGGTGCTACCACCAGGATGAAACGCATGGCAGCCTGACAGCATGGCCCTGCACATACCCTCTCTATGTAACAAACATGCTTGATACAGCGTGCTTTCACGACAGATGTCCATCTACACCAATAATGCAGAACATATACCCCTCGGCCATCTCCATGAGGAGCACGGCTACCGTCTGTCGGCATCCTGATATGGCTCGCCTGAAATAGCTCCTCCGCGCTTGCCAAACTGCGTCTCTGTCCAACTCTAGCCTCGCCCATGGCCGCGTAGACAGCAGCATACACAGCATCGGGATTTCCCTCCAGCATGGCCAGCGTCGTGCAAAGAGCCTGTCATGGCCGTTTGATATCGGGCTTATATCCTCTTCGGCATGGAGGATGGAGGAATGAGGATGAGGATGTAAATTGGACAATAGGGGAATTCTTCTTCTGCGACTGCTTTAAATCCGCCAGCGTAGTCCATGTGGAGGGCGAAAAAATGCACATTCATCCTCTACCTATTCCAAATCAATGGCAATGGCTACATTTCTCAAGTTGACCCTCTACATGGTCGTTCTGGCCTTTGCTGCACTAGCCTCCGCGGCCGGGCGCCCTGTACCTACAAACCTGCAGAAGTTGTACAACCACGCAAAGGCATGTGCTACATATATTATACATGCACATATACATCAATCGGACAAACACCTCGCCTACCACAATACTAACGGCTACTTGCATAGAGTAACCGTTGCCACTCCCCTCTAAGCAGCACCAGGTTCACCGACGGGCACAACCGAAGTATACCCCCACCCAAACCTATATCAAGATACCGGTCCCCCCTTTCCCGAAACGGCCTGCCTTACCCACTAACAATTGGAATGTAATAAGGCGGTTTCACCTACTGCGGCGACCACGAAGGCATCATCTACCTCACTGGGTCTTCGGACCGCATGGCTCTGGCAGACATGGACGTTGACTGCGATGGAATCAACAGGTCCAAGGGAGCCTGTTCCAATGACCCATCAGGACAAGACCAAACAGCCTTCAAACACGAGATATCTCGCTATGGCATCGAAGATCTAGACCCGAACAAACACGCATACGTCGTGCTGGGTAACCAGGGCTCGCAGCCAAGTTACATGCCCTCCACCTCGGGCGTAGAGTCACTCAGCGTCGTAGCTGTGGTATGCAATAATACATTGGTAGGAGAAAGCCTTGTCGCCGGTGGAGACGGATGTGTTATCTAATGAATATACTACAGTTCTACGGCGTATGGGGCGACACCAACGGCGGCACCGATGTAGGCGAGGCGTCAGTGTCTCTTGCCAACGCATGTTTTCCCGACGAACATTTATCGGGCGATAACGGTCATGAGAAGCACGATGTTCTTTACGTTGCGTTTGTGGGGAAGCAGGCTAAGCCTGGTGGTAAGGGGGCGAATTGGAAGGCGTCGATATTCAATGGCTTTGAGACTTCGTTGGCTCATATTGGAGATACGCTTGTGTCAAAGATTAGAGTGTAGCGGGCGATAACTGTACATATTGCTTGCTTTGCTGGTGTTATGATAATGGTTGGACCTATTGTTGACAGTGGTAGTTAGGGTAAATATATTGGGAGCAGGTTTCAACAGCTCCTCCCATTTACTATTGGCTGAGCTCTAGTTAATATTGTACCTGTTTCATGATTGCCGTAGCTCCTAGTGGTACCCTGTAGATAGTATGCAGTCACCTTCAATGAAGATACGATAAGCCATGGTACCTAAAATCATGCTCACTTCTCGTATCTTGTTTTGGAAGGCAGTTAGGGTAGAATATAGACACTTTGTTCTCGAGCACGAAGACACAATTCTTGTACACACGGAGTAGTTTCTATAGATCCCAGGGTCAAACCATGCCTGTAAAGCTGGTCGTAGCCAAGTAATACATCCCAGGGGTTAATGTCTCTGACATACAGGGCAGGCTGCAGGTCGACGGTCGATAATAAAACATCAGAACCTGTTCTCTTGAATACCAAGAATAATAGCTACAGTAAGATGCTATATGCTTTTTTGATTCAAAGACAAGGATAACTACAAGCCAAGCACCTTCCAATATCCGATGCATGAGGAACGATGACAATGCCGTAACTCCGATGTGCTGTTCAAACAACAAGAACCAAACAATAATAACCCAACAACATAATAAACGCTCCTACAAATCATGCATGGTATTATACCCTGTAGCAATCAGACTTCTGGCTGCAGTAGTCGAGTCTGCGGCAATGTGCCAATAAAACAGCCCCGCCAGACCCGTCTGCTTAACAAACTGTGCCTTCAACTTGACACTCTGTGGTGAATCGTACGAGATGAACCCGGAATTCTGCTCGTTGTCGACGCAAAACGCCGCATTGCCAACTTCAGGGTCATGTTGCTCTATCGAACCTGACACGGGGAGATCACAGTAGTCAAATACTATCTCTTTTTCGTTACCTGCGCCGTCATCTACCGGTTTGTCGGATCCATCAGGTGCGGGACATGAGTACTGCCCAACACTGTTGGTACCTGGGAAACCACGACCGTACACCGGTATACCCATTAAGATTTTATGAGGCGGAACACCTTGGGCGAGCAAGTATGAAACGGCAGAGCTGCATGAGAGATGAGCGGCATCGTTATGGGGTTGCTCGGGAGCGAAGAGCTGAGATTGGTGGCCGCATTGCGGCACCCATGGGCCAGAGAAGTCGTATGTCATGACATTTATTACATCAAGGTAATATTGCGCTAGGTGTAGATTGATATGTTGCAGGGCCCACTGACCGGCCGGCAGGGCGGATGAGAGGATGTATTGAGGCGATGGCAGCTGTTCTCGAAGAGTAGCGAGAAGAGATATGTAATTTATACCCTGCTGGGGGTCAGATGGATGCTCCCAGTCAACTATAAATATGGGTTAAGAATAATTAGTATGTTTGCAGTTCTAAGGGAAATGAAGGTACAGATGGAGTATTCCGTACCATCTAGTCCGTCAAGGCTGAACTTGTCTACCAGATTCTTTGCGGTCTCCACGAAGTTCGCTGTCAAAACTGGATCCGCTGCAACGGCTGCAAAGTTCTCGCTGCCAGCCCCTCCACCGCCGATTGAGAGGATGACCTTCAGCTGTGGATATTGCCGCTTCGACTGGGTGAACGCTCTGATGCAACCCTTTGCACCGTCTACCGGCATCTGTTCGTCGGCCCATTCATCACTCAACTACTGGCTGCGTTAGAATCATTTTCCTTTCAATCATACCCGCCAAGCTAATGAAAAAGGGAGGGAAGGGGGAGTACTGACATATACTGTGCCATCTGGCTTGACCCTATATACCAAAACACACGACAACATGCATCATCTTTGGTCAGTCTCGACCCTTCTATCAGAAAATTACCCTATGGCGGGCAACATACTCCGCGATAACATCCAGGGAGTTACGCGGGGCTGGCCATAAAATGTAGGGGTGAGGGTGGGGAGCCGGGAAGGATCTCTCACCAAGCAAATGCATAAAAAACATGCGAGACGTAGCCCAGCTTCAGCGAGGACGGAGGGCTACTCTTGTATATCCGCCAATTGGGGTAGTAGACGGCGTTTGAGAATATCGGAATCTGGCAGAGAGACTGCTCGATGCAGCTGATGGACGCGGCGGCGCCCACCTGCGACGCTTGGCTGTCCATGGTTTCTCTAGAGGAAAACCACGACGACGGCTTGAACCGAAACATCTCAAAACACATAGGCGATATAGACAGAGGAATACCCGACTGCGGTTTTTACAAAAAGGACAGGCGACACAGGAGAAGGAGAAGCGCCGGCGAGGAGAGAGAGAAGGGGGAGGGAGAGAAAAGCATGCAGGGTTGGTGTTGAGGGACGCCCCTTCTGGTAGGTGGACACGAGACCAGCAAAAAATAAAATAACGATCAGGAGTAAAGGAAGAAGAAAAAGCCCTCGCATGCATGAACGAGCCAGCAGGGGAGGGGAAGCGGGAGCGGACGGATTAAATATAATTCAGCCGTTTAGTTGGTTCTCTTGTCCCAGGCTGAACGGAGGCAGATGCGAAAAATAAATATGGAAAACGGTGGTGTGCAAGTAAGTATAAGTATGTATGCTTCGAAGAAGAAAGGTTGCATGTATAAGTTTTTTTAAGGGGGGGTCACGGCGCCCCGTCGCAGCCATTCTTTGCTTCTTCTTCCTCTCTCAGTCCTGCACGATAGCAATCTGGTCGAGGCGCCCACTGCCTCGAGCCAGACGAGGGCTCTGGAGATGCGCGGATGGCGGTGGAAGCGCCAGGTCGGCTGATACATGACGCGGTCTGCGGTGGTTGATGCTGTCACCGAGCCAGGGCCGCGCAGGGTGGACGGAGTATAAATTTGGGGTAACGAGCCCGGGTAGCGCCAGCACAGTCGCGAACGGACGGAAAGGACCTTTACTTAGTGCTCGGGAAAAAGCAAGCATAATCAATCAACTGGGAGTTATGGCTTCCTTGCGCTTTCACCTCGCTCCATCATCCATGCGTCTGCCAGGGAGGCTCCCTCTCTCTCGTATTCACACGAGGCATGCCGCAGACCAAGTCTAGACGCCCAGCAGCGATAACTCGCCATGCCCAGTGATCGCACGGAGCCATCGCCGACCGATCGCCTCCTGTCCTCGCCCTTGTTATCTGCCTCCTCGGCCGCTTCTTCCGTTGCCCCTTTTCCCCGTCTTGTCTTGTCGCTTTGCTTGCTTGCTTGCTTGCTTTAATCCGCGAACCGAGAGTTTGATATCAGAAACCCTCACGTGATCTAGGATTACATAATAACACCTGGCTTTTGGCGCCAAAAAAACCAAAACCCAAAAATAAAATAAAAAAAACAAACGACCGAAAAAAGACGTGCAGAAAGCGAAGAAAAGCAGAGAAAGCAAGCTCAAGGAGCTCTGCAAGGCACACTGGGGGAACGGGACAGGCAGATACACATCCAGACCGGGCTGCCCAGCACGCGAGACACACGTTTCATGTTATAATTACACTCCCAAGGTCCCGACCGCTGGTACAGAAAGAGCGCAGCGGGAAAAGGAGAGGACAGCAAGCCATCCGTCACCGTCGCCGTCGCTGGTTTTGTCGTCGTCATGGCCGAAGTCCAGAGAATCGCAGATCGAATAGTCTCGCCTGGAACGCCTCGAGACCCCAATTTCACCAAGTTTGCCTTTTCAGACTTCGTTGCCAAATCCTTTAGCTTTGCCCTTGCTTCCGATGTGCCGGTTTGCAAGGCCTACCGTGAAGGCCACTGTCCGCTCGGCCCGCTCTGTGCAGAGAGACACCCGACTCCATCTCGCATATCGACCTCTTCGTCTCCCGCGATAGCCCCTTCGTCCACACATGGGAGTCTGGTATGCAAGCATTATCTCAAGGGGCTGTGCAAGAAAGGGCTGAAATGCGAATATCTACACGAGTACAACCTGCGGCGGATGCCAGAATGTCAGTCCTTCTCCCGTAACGGATTTTGTCCCAACGGGGACGACTGTCTGTACCAGCATCTCTCTGGTGATGCAAAGCTGCCGCAGTGCGAACATTATGATCAAGGGTTCTGTCCGTTGGGTCCTATCTGCGCCAAACGGCATGTGAGGAGGAAGCTGTGTCGGTTTTATCTTGCGGGTTTCTGTCCTGCTGGGAAGACGTGTACTGAGGGTGCTCATCCGCGCTGGTCAGAAAACTTGCCCAAACCGACCGTCAGAGTGGAAAAGACGCAGGAGGAGATTGAGAGTGAACGAGCAAGGATCAGAGAGGAACAGGAGCGGGAGGAAGAGCGGGAGAGAGAGTGGAGGAGAGAGAACCGTGGTCGAGATGGCAGATATCCACGAGGACGGTATCGGGGGAAGAGATGATCACCTCCCTGCCTTTCCTTTTTTTTCACTAATCATCTTCCGGACCCGCCGTTACACCTATATATACCCTACACGGCGGCCGATGTACGTTTTATGTCTTCTATGTCTTGCAAGCCCGGCGTTACGGTGTCTCATCGCACTTCATTTCACTGCCTGCAGGCTTGGGATTGGAAATATCGGTTTCAGCATGGATATCAGTACATCTACATGCATAAATTTCAACTTGGCATTGCCCTATCACACATTTCAGTTCCTCAACTATCCTCCGCTTTACCCAGCGCAGTTATATAACAAACACATCCATAAGTATCGCATTCCTGGAAGTGAACAGTCTGTTTCCCTCTTGGACGGAATAGAGCATGAGCTTGTCGAGCCAACCAGTGGGTGCTCTCCAGGGCTCTGAGGTTGTAGCTCGTTCTGCGGTCCTGTTGACAGCAGATAAATCGAAGAATGACCGGCTCCTCCTTTTTTACCAGGACGAGATGCATGGAAATTGATGAGACTCCGTTGAGTCCCAACGCCTCCATTCTCCAGGGACTTTCTGCTCAGTAGGGTATCTTATGCGTATTAGGATATATGCTCCATGAAATAATGGCTACTGCGATGGAAATTCGATCGCTAACTTAACTCCTGTGGGTGTATCAAATGGCGTTTGAAAGACAAAATATCAAGAACCAAGCATCAAGTTTCTCTATAGTTTTTGCAACTTGAAAAATTTGACAGCAATAATTGGAATAAACCATGCGTTTCGAGACTTTATTGTAGTCATAGTAACTCTGGGGTATCGCCGTAGTCGAGATGCGATGAATGAAAACGCAATAGTAGTACTCCTTGCTCTGTATCTTAAGATCTCATCGCGACAGCATATCAAGAGCAGAGAATGCTTCTAACACTCTTATCAAAACCAACAGAGAAGCCTCCAGTTTCTGTTAACATTCCTTCCCCCCTGCGTGTTGATATATAAATAGACAACCAAGTCAGGCTGAAACTGCCCAGCAAAAGCAGTGCGCTCCACGTCATAAACTTGGTGAACTCGTTACTTGAGTTAGCGTCGCGCTTCGCCAACCTCCTGCGTCGGCCACAAGACATCACAACCCACAAGCAAGCGCTTCGTGTTTATTACCCTGCTACACTCTGCAAAAGCCAGCAGGCCAATAGGCCATGTTCTGAATACAGAAGATACCTTTTATTATTACCATTCTACACTCAAGCCTGGCGAGCCTGTCTGGGCTGCCCTGAAAAAAGATGTCGCCAAATCTCCCTTTCCGTGACATCAACCTCTACGCCTCGCCGCACTGCTATGCCTTCAGATCGGCCTCTGCTTCCACCACTCATAGCTTGGTCATAGACCGACCGACAGGCGACTTGCGACTTGAGAAGGCGTCTACTCATCAGGCAAAACGAGTCTCTAGCATTGCTGGAATATTGGGTATTATCAAACTGAAGCTTGGTATGGCTGCCTGCTCCCCTCTTTGATATCTGGCCTACGTAGGGGAAATGAAACTAATTATTATAGATAAATATGTCATTGTCATTACAAAAGAACAACCAATGGGGAGGCTGAGGGGTCATATGGTATATAAGGTCGTTGCGACTGAATTCTTACCTCTCCGTGAGACGCCTCTCCACGACCCAGACGAAGATGCCTACCTCGCACTCCTAAAGAAACTATTAGCCACGGGGCCGATGTATTACTCCTACTCGCTCGATATCACGAACAGTTTCCAGCGCCAGTCCCAGAGTGACCTTTCACTGCCTCTTTGGAAACGAGCGGACGACCGATTTTTTTGGAACCGTTTCATACAGACAGACCTGATAGATTTTAGCACCGGGCTATCTGAAAACACAGGGATCAGGAGTGGACAGTCGTCGGATGTCGACCCATATATATTGCCAGTCATGTTTGGCATGCTGCGCATAACTACAGCCAAAATCAAATCTACCCCATTTACCTTTGCTCTTATAACTCGCCGTTCGAGGTTCAGAGCAGGCACCCGATATTTTTCCCGTGGAATTGATGAACATGGAAATGTCTCGAATTATAACGAGACAGAACAGATCGCTATCTTGAATGATTCGAATGGAGCAGTCTCCGGGTTCGCAGGAGGGGTGGGTATGGGAGACAGCAAAATTGGGGAGAAGAGCCACAAAGAGCTGCAGGTCCTGTCATTTGTTCAGACCCGAGGAAGTATTCCAGTCTACTGGGCTGAAGTGAACAACTTGCATTACACTCCAAAACTTGCCGTGCGTGGTGTGGACGCTGCATCTTCAGCAGCTCGAAAACACTTCTCGGACCAGATCGAGACCTACGGAGAGAACTTCCTCGTCAATCTGGTCAATCAAAAGGGTCGCGAAGAGCAGATGAAAAGAGCGTATGAGCAGATGGTGAGATTACTCTTATCTTCACCAACCGAAGCAAAGGAATCCGACATACTCTCTCCTGAAAAGATGCACACCCTAGAATCTTCGAGTAAAGAGCAACTGATGGACCGACTCCATTACATATACTTCGATTTCCACAATGAAACCAAGGGTCTGCAGTGGCACAGAGCAGAACTTCTTTTGAACCAACTCAACGAGGGCCTCCAGCGCGGCCAGTACTTCAGTGGCATTGAGTCGTTAGGTAACCCATCAGGTACTCTGGAAGCAAGAAGACTGCAATCCTCAGTCGTTCGAACAAATTGTATGGATTGTCTGGACCGAACGAACGTTGTTCAGAGCATGCTTGGCCGATATACCTTGACCCGCCAATTTATCGATTGCGGCATCCTGATGCCAGGAGAGAAGACTGACGATGATTTGGTCTTCCGAGACCTCTTCCGAAATATGTGGGCTGATAACGCAGATGTTGTCTCAAAGTCGTACTCTGGGACTGGCGCTCTGAAGACCGACTTCACTCGGACCGGCGAACGAACGAAGGCCGGTGCTCTTCAGGATGGCAACAACTCCATCACCAGGTATATCTTGAATAATTTTATGGACGGACCGAGACAAGACGCCTTTGATCTCTTCCATGGCACCTACCTCCCGTCGACCACTGCATCATATGTATTTGCCGACCGAAGACCCCTCGTTATCCAATCCATCCCATACATTTTAGGAGCAGCAATATTTATGATACTGGTAGCTACATTCACTCGCCAGCTGCCAGACTCTACCGGATGGCCGTTGAGAATCTTCCTTATCTTTTGGATAGTAGTTGCTGCCTGGTGTCTAAATTTTATACATTCTCACGGCATGTTATATGTAAGTTGTCAGCATTCCAGGCTTCGGGTATCTCTCGATCTATTTTACTAATTTGATACATAGGTCAACTGGCCAAAGCTCAACACCCCTACTACAGGAGCGGAAGGATATGCAGAAGCCCTTCGCCGGGCGAGCAAGGATAAGCTCATTGGTGACTTTATACCGACTACGGGACGCCAGCGAGGAGTGAGCAACGCACGACTCGGCTTTATGGAAGAAGGCAAAAAGAGGATAGAGTAGATGGACATTTATAGACCGGGTTTTCTGTCTTCCCTTTCTTTTGTATCAATTGTGCATAGACGCAGCTCCTTTTGCATTTACCCTTTTCTTCTCTGCTGCGGCTCATTCGAGTTTATAGTCACAAAAAATGTTTAATACAAGTTATCATGCTGCCTTGTGCGTCCCCAGCATGTCGGCAACATCGACAGGTAGTCGTCTTTGCCTATGAAAAGTCCCTTAGCATGTTCGGCTTTTATGCATGTCTGGCTGTTCCTGCAGGAGCGCGAGAGTTAAGTTAGTTAAGCTCCGGTAGTTAAGAGAAAAAGTTCTCTTCGGTCCGAAACGTCAAAACGAGGAGGGATTGAAGACGCAGCAACAGCGAGCGCAGAACCAGAACACACACCGGCAGCTCCTTTCACGACTCTCGATGCTAATCAGAAGTCATTGGTCTCACATAGTCTTTAAGTCCCGTACTCACTATCTCTCGCGGTCCTGCCGCCGGATTTCTACGATGGATCGGACATATGGGGTAAGTCTGCGCATGTCCACACGGGCGGTCCCCCGCGGGGAGTAAGTACTTCGACTGATACAGGACTTGCTTTGCAGGACGCTATTGCGGCGTTGAATTCGCTTCAAACAAATTTTTCCATTATTAATGCTATGCGCCAGTCTGGTCGTGTTCTGAATGAGCAGTCAATACCAGAAACGATTGAGTGGTGCAAGAAAATAGGACACAAAGTGAGTTGCTGAAGTCCCCCATTTACCGCCCACGAAAAGCTGCCAGGCGCACTGCTAACCGTTATTCTACATTCATTTTACTGATAGCCATCTGACTTTGATCGATTGAATATAATACACATCGCTGGTACCAAGGGCAAAGGGTCTACATGCGCATTTATATCCTCCATATTATCGCAATACCTGACTCCGAAAAAGGATGCGGATACCTCAACTTCACAGTCAACGCCTAAGTTTGAAAAGATCGGCCTTTACACCTCTCCTCATCTTCGATTCGTACGGGAAAGGATACAAATTAACAACACCCCATTAACAGAGTCACAATTCACGCAATACTTTTTTGAAATATGGGATCTGCTGGAAGAAGGTGCGCGCGCCAGAGGGGAGGATCCGAAAGGGCCGAATGTGAAACCGAACTACTTCCGATTTCTTACCATAATGGCATTCCACACCTACTTGAGGGAGAATGTAGACGCTGCGATTATAGAGTGCGGTATAGGTGGGGAGTACGACACAACGAATATTGTGGTGAACCCCGTGGTCGAAGGCATAACTAGCCTGGGAATCGATCATGTGGCGATGTTGGGCTCAACCATCGAAGAAATAGCATGGCATAAGGCAGGGATCATGAAGCCTGGAACCATGGCCTACACCGCACCACAGCCTGAGACTGCAATGGACGTCCTTCGAAAACGGGCGGAGGAAAGAAAAACCCAGCTGCATGTTGCACAGGGCCACCCGGACCTCGCCCCAGGGAAGATTTCATTGGGCCTCTCAGGCGAGTTTCAAAACAAAAATGCAGAGCTGGCAGTAGCTATCTGTAGCTCATTTTTAAAGAAACTTGGCTTCCCTGATGTACCATCGTACATCGACAAGACCCCTCTACCCGAAAAGTTCAAGGCCGGCCTCGAAGGGGTAAAACTAGGTGGCCGATGCGAAATTAGAAAGGAAAAGGGCTTGATCTGGCATATCGACGGAGGACATACGGCCGATAGTATTGAAGTTGCTGGGACCTGGTTCTCAAGTCTGCCATATACGCAGACGCGACCTACTGAAGGCAAAAGGAAACCTTGCATCTTGATTTTTAACCAGCAGACGCGGGACAGCACTGCGCTGGCAAATACCCTGCACAAAGCACTGACTGCTGGCAACTGTGTCTTCACACATGCCATCTTTTGCACGAATGTGACTTTCAAAGAGGCGGGATACCGACCAGACCTCGTGAGCATCAATACAGATGCCTCAGATATTGAGAAACTCAGTGTGCAGAATAACCTAGCGAAGGTATGGCGTAGCCTGTCACCAGACACTGAAGTGGAAGTCAAGGCTACGATAGAAGAGGCCGTGGAGACTGCGCGCAGTATAGCCGCAGCACACAACGAAGAGGGCTCTTCTTCAGAGAGTGTTGCTGTCAGTGTATTGGCCACTGGCAGTTTACACCTTATCGGCGGCCTCCTTGAAGTTCTAGAGACGAATCCCCAGGTCAAAGGTACTTGAAGCTGCGTTCCACAAAGCTAGGCATTTTTTTATATATTTTATTCTTTTCGGCTGCTTCATACTTACTTCGACATATTCTTGCATTATAACCCGGTGTTCTCATTCAACTTAAAACATGATTCCACAACGGGAGTTATTTTTTACATTTATATTTTCTACATAGAGCCTGGTTTCAGGGCCTGGAAGCACTTCTATTTAACTAGCAAGCGCCACAATTCATGTCACTCGATCACTCACATGCGCACGACCAGATCACTCTATCAATCTTGATCTACACGTAGTTTCTACTACATCAAATATCTGCACCTTGTATAGGTATTCCCTGCTTATTATTTTTAAAGACCAGATTCAACCAAGGTTCCAACGTGGATAGCTTAGATAGATGTTAACCTTGGTAGAGCTGAAGTAACTAGCTAATATTATGTTAATTAATAGTTGGCTGCCAAATAAAATACTACAATAACCACCCCCTGATCATGCCCACAGGTTAGAGAAATGCTGAAGTGTAACCAAGTCCCCCCAAGAATATCATAACTATATGAAATGCGCCTATGACGAAATTGCGGTAGAAGGAAAAACGAGGAACTCCAGGGGCCACAACCACATGATGGACACCAGGAACTAACTTAACTCCTAGTTAATTAAATCTTCTTTTAAATAAAGCCCAACCCGCACCAACGTCTGCCCCTCATCCCCGCCAACGCCTCCTTCAGCTTGGATAGCACGCCGACAATTAAGACGCCGACCACAGCATGGCAGACAAACAAGACGCAGAGCCGGCTCCTGGCCAGCAGAACGATGTACCCGACAGCGGCGCAGGCAAGAATGGCTCAACTACCGTGAGCAGCGGCGACAAGGGCAAGGGCAAGGGCAAAGCAACGATAGAACTCAGCACGAAAGCGGCACAGGCGCTGATGGACTCCAACCCTGCGCTGAAGGGCGAACTCGCCGGCCTGGATAGTGAGAAGGCCGCAGAGTTGATGCGGAAAATGGACATCAAGGACCTGCTAGCCGGACTTGCGGCCAACCCGAAAAACAAGAAGGATATGGCATCATATAAGTTCTGGCAAACTCAGCCGGTTATAAGATTCGACGACAAGGGTGAAATAGTGGACGGACCGATCAAGGAGATTGATATCGAGACTGTACCGAAGACACCAGGTCCGTTAATTGATGGGTTTGAATGGGTTACCCTGGATCTGAACGATGATAAAGAGACTCAGGAGCTGTACGAGCTCCTGACAGACCATTACGTGGAGGATGAGAGTGAGATGTTTCGGTTTAACTACTCGAAAGACTTTTTAAACTGGTTGGTGCTCTAAACTAATGAGCTTCTTGTCGTTCAATGAACCTAGCTAACTCTGCATAAGGGCACTTAAGGCGCCTGGATGGACTAGCGATTGGCACGTTGGAGTTCGAGCTTCAAAATCCAGGAAGCTAGTGGCGGCAATTTGCGGCATTCCAATCGAAATTTGTGTACGCGGAAAAATAATACGATCAGTCGGTATCGATTTCCTATGTGTCCACAAAAAACTACGATCCAAGCGTCTCGCGCCGGTTTTGATAAAGGAAATAACTCGGAGATGCTATCTGAGAGGTGTGTTCCAAGCTGTCTACACGGTCGGTATTGTTCTGCCCACGCCGATCAGCTCATGTCGCTACTACCACCGAGCTTTAGATTGGTTGAAGCTATATGAAGTGGGATTTTCTGGTCTGCCAGCAGGTTCTACGAAAGCCCGGCAGGTTGCACGAAACCAGCTGCCATCAGCGACGGCCACACCAGGACTACGACCAATGGAAGCCAAAGATGTCAGCGCAGTGTCTAGCCTTCTAAACCGTTACATGAAACGGTTTGAGCTCTCGCAGACTTTCAGTGAGGAGGAGATCCAACATCTATTCATCAACAAGGAAAACACGTCGGAGACTGTCGTATATTCATTCGTCGTCGAAGACAAGGATACCCATCAAATCACGGACTTTTTTTCATTTTATTCTCTAGAATCCTCTGTGATCCAAAACGAGAAACACAGCAATGTCAGAGCTGCATACTTGTACTACTATTCCACAGAGACAGCTTTTGCCGAAAATGAAAAGGGTCTGAAAGAGCGTCTGCAGCTACTTATCAATGACGCATTGATTATCGCTAAGAAGGTAATTTCTCTATTCACTCCACTTCATCCCAGATCCCTCCCCGCTGACCAATATATTTAGGAGAAATTCGATGTATTCAATGCCCTGACATTGCACGATAACCCTCTATTCCTCGAAAAGCTCAAGTTTGGTGCTGGAGATGGACAGCTTCACTACTATCTATTTAATTACAGAACAGCACCCATCGCCGGTGGCGTTGATAGCAACAATGAGCCTGATGAGCGCAAGAGGCACGGTGTCGGTGTTGTTCTTGTTTGATAGTTTTCCAGCGATTTACCAATGACACTTTTACATATTCAAATACTGTCCCTTGAGTATAAGCATCCATATACGGGACTGTACATAACCATAACAGTTTGTTGCAATATACTTACCTGCTACAAAGCAGTTTTCTATTTTTATCTCCCGTTTGAGGAACTACCCACGTGATGAAGAGCCGCAGGTCTAGAACAACTACACGCTAGCCTAAAACGTACTAGTATGACATGTCATGCGACTTCCACGTGACTTGGCGTTCCAAGCCAACTTCATAAGCAACAAGAAACAACATTCAAGGCTGCAACTGGGAAGCAAAAAGGTTGATATGCAGTCATTGATCAAAACAATTACATGATAAATTGCCTAGAAATGGCATTAGCGTGGATTTTTTAAATAGGGCGCATTCACCCGTCGTCTTCTGCGGATTATATAACCTCCGGAAAACCCCCCAGTTTAGTATCCGTATCAATCCCCACCCCGTACTTGAACGAACCAGCAGGGTAACTACCTAGCACGGATGTCAATATCTACACGGCCTTATAGTACCTAGACTACTTATCTCACGCAGTTTGAATTACCGTCACCATGGGTGCTGGTCAGTCAACCAATACCAGTGGTCATGGAGCGTCACCCGGTAAGTCTAGACCAACTTATGTACATTTCTCTAGGGGACAATGCCAGAAGCTTTTGACGAGTATGCGTATCTAACACTTCCTAGAGGAAATGAGCCGCATTCTAGCTCATCGGTTCGCGTCAAAATGCTTCACACCGCTGGAATTAACCCACTTGAAGGATAATTTTTACTCGTTGGCATTGAAACAAGGCGACATTCACTACTGGAACGAAGAAGTTCTATCCAGATTCCTGGGCATACCAGATGGTGACGAGAAATTTGGTCTTGGTACCCTTGATGCGGGTCCAGTCATTTTTCGCATGGTCTCTTACCTTGGAGCATTCCCTTTTCAAAATACCCTAGCACCAAGTGTTCTCACCTTTGACGCCATGGTGAAAGTGATTGTTCTGTTGACAGACCGTTACGGCAAGGTTTTGCGCAGAGGGAAAAAAGACCGTATCAAACTATTATTTGGAAGTCTTGCGGATATCGGAAGAAAGGAAGCTTCTCCTATCACATCTGGGGACAAGTCGGATAACGATCAGGGTCGACCCAAAACCAGATCCGATGAAGCAGGATTCTCAGTTGACAAGCCTTCGAATGATGCCGACGATTACAATGATGACGACGATCTAGTTCTTGCAGCGCTTGAGTCCTTGGACGCAATTGAAGTGTTTAAGCATGACCAACGCATTGACCGGACCGCCTACGAAGCTCACATTTCATTCGACACATTCCAACGGTTATTGATGCTGTTTGTTGTTATAGCCCCGTTACAATCCTGCGAAAAGACCTCAGAGTATTTCTCTCAGCTCAACGAAGAGTCCTTAAAATCTGCTCGTTACTGTGTCGAAAACATCCTCACCTCATTCGACATCGGAGACCGTACCAAGGGGATAGATTATGAGACCTTCTACTGGGTGATCTCGACCTCCCTTCCGTACATGTTTGACCCTCTAACTCCACTTTTTGAGCATCTGCTTTTCAGCAAGAATCTTGACTTGTCCAGGAGAAAGGACTCCGGAACTTGCTCGGTTAGCGAAGAGAAACAGAAAAAGACAGAGTTCTGCATTTCACCTTCACACCCGCCAATAATACTTCCTGGATCTTTTAAACCCTGCATCCTAGATTCCGCAGTGATCTCCCATCTTTCCTTCTTCCTTTCGACCTCATTTCCAACCCCCAACCTTTTGCAAAATGGAACACGCCTACATGGAGTATTTTCTTCTGATACCCATGGCGAATCTCTGACATCCTTTTCGCATAACGTCCTTACTTGGGATGCCCCAAGTATTCTGTTGGTAACAGGTTCCATTAATCATTCTTCTGGTGATGAAGCCGATATAATAACTGTTGGAGCATATATTCCGCAACCCTGGAAATTACCCGCATCGACATCAACATCCCATTATGACACATCTCATCAGTCCCAGTTACCTTACCTATTCCAACTAAGTCCCAGATATGCAGTGATGCAGGGATCTCCATCAATCAATTCTCTGAAACCCAATCTACCTGTGGTATCGTTTTCTACTAAGTCTGGTATAGCTATCGGCTGCAAAATACCTCCACCAACACGCACATCGATGGACTCAAGTCGCCCTACACCTGCAGGCAGTGGCAGTTTGTGGATCGATCCCGCTCTGGAAAACGCTGAATTCGTCATGTCGAATGGCCTAAGTCATGAAGAGGGCGTGTTCCTTCCCCCTGGAATCGCACGTTGGTCTCCATCGCGCCCACCATCGAAAGCAGAAAGTGAAACGATTAAAATATCAATCTATAACATTGAAGTTTGGGGAGTTGTTCAGACGGCGCCCACGCCTGCACAGTCACCATATCACAGTCGTACTTCCACAGCAAATGGAGATATACCTGATGCTGTTGCGCGCCAGCAGGCAAATTGGAATTTTGAAGCTCGCGAAGCTGAAAGACGCCGGGAGATCCACCTGAACGTTGGTGGCGGTGATTCCGAGGAACAGACTGGGAGAGCCTTGTTGGAAATGGCTGGGATCATTGGAGATTCAGCAAGACGCAGATAAAATGGTTGCCAAAAGAGAAGTTACAGGAGTCAAGCAGCGGGAGACTGTCTTAACGATTTTATGAAGTAATAATAATAACTAAGTTGCGAGAATGTGAATTCATTTTTGAGCCACACCTTTCCAAACATGCACTCTACCCGTTAATTCATGCTGATGTATGAGATGCTTCTCCCTTCCGAATACCCAAAAGAAAGATCTGTATACGCCGACAATGCAGAAGAGATAACGGGGAGAAAATAAAAAAGAAAATTCACGGTCTGAGAGGCACAAGTCCTGATGGAAGATCATAATGGTCTTGCAGTACTTCAACAGATTTGCTACCATTGTCATCTCTGTCCCCATTCCGAGGAGTGGTCACACCTGATTCACTCTCTGTTCCATTGAACTTTGAAGCGCCTCGCGCAGGACCTGCGAGTTTTGAGGTTTCGTCTCCTGCTGCAGCGCCACGAGCTCGTCGGTGTTCTTGTGGCAGTCTGAAGGCAAGATATTCGATATCGGCACGCTCAATCCTATCCATAACACCATTCATATAATCCCGCACTTCTCCAGGAGGTTTTACAACACGCCCGAGAGGTTCGAGAGTTCTGGGATTGCTTGCATGTAGCCGTAATGTGACAGGCTGGTAGTACTCCTTAACACTAGATTCCTCAGCTTTGGGTTTGGTTCCTGGAGCTGAACATGCATTATCATCAGGTGTTTCAGGGGCATCTGATGTCTTAGAATTTTCCGCGGTTGCAGCCGCATCTGTTCCTTTGGTATCCTTCATGCTTTCTGATTCCGAAGCAGGTGGTTTAGATAGGCTGTCACCGGAGTTAGAGGCAGCCGCAGCTTGAAGCAGTTTGGCCTTTTTGCCCCTTACCTTCACGGGAGCTTTCTTGTCTGATTCTGTCGAAGATCCCGGTGGACCGATCTTTTTGATTGCTAAGAAAGATGCAATAACCGTAGTATTCCCGGGGAAATAATCCAAGATCATATTCTCTGGAAATAAATATCGATCTCCGGTTGGGCCATTATTTGAGCCTGCGGGTAGAATGAACTCAAAGACCACGTTTTTGATATCCATTCTCGCAGGCTGTGAAACTGGCTGTGAATACTGAGGGCGGAAGTATCCATTTTGAGGCGGAGGTACCTTCTGGGTATGTTTAGTTTTAATCGAATTTGGCCCTTGCTGTCCAGAAGGGCCAGGGGGGTACTGGGGTCCCGGGGGATGAGGGTGTTGATTTTGAGGATGGTAGGGTACTGGCCCAGGAGCTACTGCTGGATTGCGTGACGCAATGGGGGTATGAACTCGGTTTTGTGCTGCGCTAGCTGAAGTTGGAGGTGCGCCCATCTGCGTAGGGGGTTCTGTCTTTGCTTGTGATTGGTTTGGTTGTGGGTCCTTCGAGTTTCTACTAGCAATAATCGCATTTATTTCATCAATATGGGCCTGAAAGGCTCGAAGCTGTTCCTGGTCAGCTTGACTATCCGCAACTATCCTCATTAATGCCCTTAGATCGGGGTTGGTAGCAGCTCTATTGGCGAGGAGCTGGATAACAGGGTCAGTGCTCGGTTTCCCAGGTGGAGGATTTGGCGGCTTCTGGGGGATGTTATGACCATGAGGTTGAGAGGGCGGGGGTTGATGAACGGGTCCAGGAGGCGGCGCAGTGGTAGGCGGAGGCGCTTGGGACTGTGGATGGGGAGGATGATGTGGTAACGGGGGTGGCTGCCGGGGTTGTTGGTGCTGTTGCTGCTGCTGTTGCTGCTGCTGCTGCTGCTGCTGCGGAGGGGCGGAAGGAGGAGGTGGTAATGGCGACTGTTGTTGATGCTGATATTGTTGTTGTGGATGGCGAGGAGGCTGGGGAGGAGGGACGGTATTGGAGGATCTATTTGGCGGCGCCTGAACTGGAGGTGGTCGAGGATTGTACTCATGAAACTGGCTCGAGTTACTTGGGGGTGTATACTGTAGTTGAACCATAGGTTTCTGCTGGTGCTGCTGGTTCGGCTGTTGGGATTGCGGTCGTCGTACGGCATAAAGCATGATATCGAAATAATGCGGTTCAATAACCATCGTACAAGGTCCCAACTTCGTCATTGAGTCCTTTGGAGGATTTTGAAATGTCGGTTGTGGTTGGTTCTTCTTCTTTGATGGTTTGGTCCAGTACTTCTCAAACAGACAATCATGAAGCCATCTCGTCCGCGATCGATGCAGCGCTGCAGAAATAACACCACTACTCAAATAAAATATTAGCGTAATTCTTGAATTTCAAGCGTACTCATCCAGAATATCTCTCCATCTCCAGAATGTAGGCGCACCTGTCTGCATATGACTGATAGTCTGATAGGGAGCTCTGTGTTTGCGGCCGGGGAAGGGTCGGTAGCGTCTGATTCTCGGATATCTTGGTAGGGAGTGATTCTTCTGCGGGAGGCTCTACGGGGAGAGACGGCGCAGGTGTTGCAGTAGCTTTCTTCGAAGGCGTAGCTGACGGCTCCCGTCTTCGCTGTCGCTTTGGAGATGGAGCGGCTTCCGCAGCGTCTTCGAGTCTCTTCTTGCGGGGCCGACCACCGCGATTCTTGCCCGGTCCAGGCTGCTTTCGCTTCTCTGCCATGCTGACAGCTGAACAGACAAAGCTCTAGCCTCGTTGTGGATTGAAAAAGGCCCTCCGCGGCACGCAGAATCAAAGGTGCGGCCACAACGCGAGATGTTGAAGTCGTTAAAAACGAAAATCCCGAAAGCGCGGAACTTTTGCCTTGGCTCGTGATTTTCAGCCTCCTTTTTCCCGAAGTTCAAAAACTAACTAATTAGCATAGCTCAGTCGTCAGTCTGCTTTCTTCACTCTCATACATATTCACAGTTGGTGGCTGCGTAGTTCACCATAATACTGTAATATATACCCGCTCGTTTGATGATAAGGACGCTGGCTTGACATTGTCCTAGCTACGGTCATTCAGATTAGCTACGTGCGGCAGGTATAAAACGTCGGTTTCGCGGTGACTTGTTCAGAACACGGGCTGATGATGATTTTATATAGTACGACTGTTTGATTCATGGAGCTTCTTCCAATTTTCAAAAAGGCCTACTGGCTTCTGGCAGCTAGCGGCCTCCTATATTTACTAGCTGTCCTGTCCTTGACACACCCAGGTGTCCAACGAGGGTATCTATTCAAGCTTGCCTTTCACTACCGTATGTCGCATGTACTGATACTCTTTCCAGCGTACTATACTCCAATGGAATAAATCCATCAAAATGCCTTGATTTGAACAATGTCGAATGTTTCGGGTTCCTGAGTATGTATACCCCTAGCTCTGTGGACTGGTGACTGCACATTAACAAGAAACAGAATCCCAGGTCCAACCTTTCACTCTTACTACCCCTGATAATGAAACCCTTTACTCCTGGCACATTATTCCCACACATCTTTACAAGGACAATGAGGATCTGCTTTTACAGAACCCTCCTTCAGGGCCTCCAGATGACATTACCAAGACACCTGCATTCCAGCTGTTAGCAAAGGAGAAAAACTCAAGGGTCGTTGTGAACCGTACGTAACGTATCTAGATACATATATTATTAAAGGGCCACCTACTAATACCCTATTGCAGTTCATGGGAATGCAGCTGACATCGGGACTGGATATCGTCCCAAAGTTTATCAAAATTTCCTCTCTGCCTCCACTCCGTCTCGACCTGTCCATGTCATTGCCTTTGACTATAGGGGATTTGGGAGATCTACAGGTAAACCAACCGAAGAAGGGTTAATTACGGATGCTCTTACTGTAGTTAACTACTTAACCTCACCACCACTCTCGATTTCCCCCAAAAGGATTGTCATTGCAGGTCAAAGCTTAGGAACAGCTGTTGCCAGTGCCCTAGCTGAACGCCATACGTTCGGAAATCCTTCAGACTCCTCCCCTGTAAAGGCCAAAGAGTCATTTGCAGGGGTCATTCTCATGGCACCATTTACTAATATCCCACAGCTTCTCCACTCTTACTGCATCATGGGTTTTATTCCTCCAATTCTTTCACCTTTACTTCAATACCCACAGCTAAAGAAATACATACTGGATCGCCTCCTGGATCGATGGGACACAGCAGCTAGACTTGCTGCTTTGACAGGCATTGCCCCAAAACAGGCACAAAACCACGAGTCGTTGCCATTTGATTTGACCATTATACACGCTATCAACGACCGTGATATTCCATGGCGTGAAGGTAGAAGTGTATGGGACGCAGCTACTGGTGGAGAAATGGCTGTTGAACTTGGATCCTTTACGCACAATCATACTTCTGAAGATGGAGTCATCCAATCCACCGTATGGGAGAGAATGGATGGGCCTAGTAAGGCATTGAAGAGAGTTAGGTGGGAAAGGGTTAGATATGGAGGTATGATGTTCTTTATTATTCTCTTAATTTGTTACCCTTCTACACGTACTAATCGCTAACACCCTGCTACAACCCCACAGGTCATAATGAAATCGGTACCCTCAATACCGTTGCTGTTGCTCTCCTGAGACTTCTCGATAAACCAATATAAACGTTCGGAGTTAAACACGCTCCTAGAGCCTAGGATATAGAAGAAATAGAGGGTATAATCTATCAAGTCGTATAATTTGAGATTCGTCATTAGCTGGGTTATTGTAGCAGGAAGGTCTATCTTTTGTGTATATTCGCCTCAAACCTCGCCACGTATTTGGCCCTCTGGATCGCCTTGAGGTTAGGGTTAACAAAGAGGCGCCATTTTTTGAGCTCTAAGGGAATTTGTACAATCTATAGTACACAGGTGCGTTGGAGAATAGGAGAGCTAGATAAATGCTTTGGAAAACGGCATGAAATGCAGAAATTGTCAAAGAGGAAATCGAAGGAACTGACCCATCCTGTGCCCTCCCAAGAAATCTAATATACAATAAAGCGAAGAGGGTGGCTTTATATCGGGGAAAAACATAAAACAGATTATATATGGTACCAGTAATGGGTGCAGCAGCGGTACCTCGCTTGCAGGGGATATTAGAATGGCACATCAATCGAGGCCCTACTTATGTCGTGCAGCCTGCGCCTTTTCGTATTCAGAAATGAGCTCTTTCCTATAATTGCAAAGAAGATCGTTAGTATTCAATACCCGGAAAATTCTAGTGCAATTGAAAAATGGTTACTTACTGGAGCTGACCGGGAGCCTTCTCGTAATGACTGAATTCCATGGTAAATTCACCTTTACCCTGGGTGGCAGCTCGCAAATGGCTGCTGAAGCCGAACATGCTGTTCAAACTGCAATCAGCGAAGATGGTAAATTCATCTACACCTGTTTCGGTATCGTTGATTATGGCATTGCGCTTGTTCAGCAGACCGATGATATCACCTTGGAATTCTGTTGGGGCGGTGATAACGATCTTCATGAGAGGTTCAAGGATATGAGGCTCGCCCTCTTTGAAGGCCTTCCTAAAGGCTTGCTGGGTTGCATTCTTGAATGCCATTTCGGAAGAGTCAGTCATATGGGTAGCACCATCATTGATGACCATCCTCGTGCCGAGGACTTTATGGCCGATCAAAGGACCCTTTTCGCAGGCCAAGTTGAAACCCTTTTCACAAGCGTACAAGAACTTCTCCGATATGCTTCCACCAACGATTTGTTCCTCGAACTCATTAACTTCAAGCTTTGGAGATGGCTCTAGCCAACCAACGACACGGGCATAGTCACCAGGACCACCACTCTGTTTCTTCAACAGGTGATCGAAGTCGACACGCTTTCCAAGGGCTTCACGGTACGCCACTCTAGGCTTTCCAGTGACGCAGTCGACACGGTATTCACGACGCATGCGCTCAACGTAAATATCGAGATGCAATTCACCCATTCCTGAAATGACGGTTTCCTCACTCTCCGGATCAAAGTAAACACGGAATGTAGGATCTTCTCGTTGGAAACGGTTGATAGCCTTGGAGAAATTGGCCAGATCTTTGGAGCTCTTGGGCTTGATGGATAACGAAATGACGGGCTCAGGCACAAACATGGAAGACATGGTGTATCCCAATTTTCCGTCCGTAAACGTATCACCAGATGCACAGTCAACACCAAAAACAGCACATATTTCACCGGGTCCAATTTCTGAAACTTCCTCCATCTCATTTGAGTGCATTCGTACGATCCGTGGAACCTTTATTTTCTTGTTATTCTTCACGTTGAACACGTTCATGCTCTTTCGCAGGGTACCCTGGTATACACGAATGTAAGTAAGCTGGCCGAAGTTACTCTCTTCAAGCTTGAAGGCCAGTCCGACAAAAGGAAGATCGGCATATGGAACAAGCTTGACAGAAGCTTCGTTTCGCTTCTGGTCAAGAGCCAAATTGGGGACTTCCGCAGGGCTGGGGAGGTAGTCGCAGACACCATCAAGCATGGGTTGAACGGACTTGTCAGCTAACGCAGATCCCATAAAAACAGGAGTGAACTTTAGAGAAATAGTGGCTCTGCGGATAGCTGCTTTGATCTCCTCCGGAGTTGGTACTTTCTCATCTAGGAATATTTCAGCAATCTCATCGTCGACATCAGCGAGGGTTTCAATCAGTTTGTTTCGTCTCTCCTGAACAACGTCTAGGAGATCTTCTGGAATTTCATCCTTCTCAACAATGATTTCGCCGTTGGATCCTTCGTTGTAGATTGCCTTCATTCTGATTAAATCGACAACGCCCTTGAACTCGTCCTCTTTTCCGATTGGCACCTGCACAGCAGCAGCATGGATCTTAAGTTTCTGATTGATCTGATCCACTGCTTTGAAAGGGTTTGCGCCCATGCGGTCCATTTTGTTAATGAACGAAATTCGGGGAACATTGTATCTTCTCATTTGTCGATCAACAGTCATGGTCTGTGATTGGACACCGGAAACAGCACAAAGAATCAAAACGGCACCATCAAGAACTCTAAGAGCTCTTTCGACTTCAATTGTAAAATCAATGTGTCCAGGGGTGTCGATCAAGTTGATGTGGTAGGTTTCGTCTTTGCCATTCTCTTTCTTGACCCAGTCACAGAAGGTGGCCGCTGACTGGATTGTAATTCCCTTCTCACGCTCGAGATCCATAGAGTCCATCTTTGCGCCAACGGAATCACGCCCACGGACCTCATGGATAGCCTTAATACGTCCGGTGTAGAACAAGACTCGCTCCGTCGAAGTAGTTTTTCCGCTGTCAATATGTGCCTATTGTAAGAACATGGTGAGTGACTGGTTACCTAGGAACAGAAGGAGGGTAACTAACAGCAATTCCAATGTTTCGCATTCGTGACATGTGTTTCATTTCATCTGGCTTCATATTTTCTATAATTGTGGCTTCTGTGAGTTCCTCAGGGTTGGCGGCTTTCTCAAGGCTATCGATTGGAAAGAATATAATTAGCAATTGAGTTCACAGGTCCACGTTCTTTCAGAGGATTTCACACGCTTACATCTCTGCTGCAGTTGCTAGACACCTCCGGGGCTCCCACCGTCCGCTCAGCGGAAACCGGGGAAGGGGGCTGCTGTTGGAAGTGAGTGGAGTGTTGAAGAGGCATCGTTGGGCAAACGGTGTCGTCGACTGCAATCGAATTGAAGTGCGCGAAAGGTTCGTAAACGCGCGGACTGGCCGTCGCATCAAGGTGTGAGCTCTCATCTTGAAGCAGTTGTTGATGCCTTTCAAACCAATTGGTTCTTTTGCTTCTCCAAATCTTCAATCTTCAAATCTTCAATTCAAAACTTTTTGGAGCTTCAAAAATAAACTTTTTTGCCAAGACTAGTGCAACTTGGAAAAGTCACATGATGTCATCGTTCCTGATTATATAATCTTCAAGTTGATATCTATGCACTCCAGCTAGTAGTAAATCAATTGCTGGCTGGAAGATATATTGAGCTCGCTACTGGAGAATTGTGAACGCAGGGCGCACGAGGTATGGGTATTTAAACGCAGGTTGGGTAAGGTCATCATATTATACACATTTAAGAAGTGGAAAACAACAGCAAAGATGGTATATACCACGTTATAGTTTCACAAATCCCCCAAGTTCCTTTGTTTAAAAAATGGGTACAAATACATTTGATTCCAACATCTATTTCACCTATTTGCCTTGTCTCTGCTTGTGTTTTGGGTTCTTCGAGCTAAAATGGCAGTTAGCATACTGACAAACAGAGCTGATTTCCTCGAACATACCAAATAATGTACACACGATTCTTCCGTCGAACAGGCTACAAAAAAGGAGTATAAGTTAGTAACAGCCTTGTTTCCCGTCTCTTATGATGGTGCTTATGTTAAGGGCAGTTCCCCTTAGCGAATCTACTATCGTGGACCCAACACCACACTCTAACTAGAATATCGTACCTTGCACCCTTCACATAGTCGCTTAACGGATGATCGTGTCTTCATTCCGCGGGTCTGGCCAAAAGACTGTACACCCTTTGAGCACAGATTCTTCAGCCCGGTTGATAAGGTCTCAGAAGTTCTCCATATCGACTTAGTTGAACGGTTTGCCCCGGAGGCTTGCGAAAAGGCTCGAACAAAGGTAGTTCGGCATATACTCCGCGGAAGAACTGATGTGAATTGGGAGAGTGGAAGTTTCGAAGACGTGGAGAGGAGGGATCGAAGGCCCAGCATAGTGCCGGTGTTGAGTGTGGGAGAGTGAGCGTAACAGTCACTTGAGGATATATAGCGAGGTCGCCGGGCTGCAAGGAATATGGAGTATTTCAAGGTGCCTACAACAGGCTTTAACAAGGAGGAGCTGTTCGTTATGGATGCCAATTGATATTTCTTTAGATCTTGCTAATTGCTTGCCGTCCAGCGTTTCGCGAGAGCGACGGGATCAGATTTCGATGTCTTGGCATTACGGAACTTTATTCCACCCTATTCCGAATTAAGGTTCGATTATATAAGCCATCCAGACTGGGTCCCTTGGCCAGTCAACTCGAAAACATGCAAACGTTGGCTTCTGTACCTACAAGATTGTAACACATTTCTATTCTTTCTATTGCTGCGAATTGAATCGATATGGGTCATCATTCGCATTTAATGTTCGTGGTATTATATGGCCTCGCATACTCTATTTAAGAAGTCTACTCTCGTGGATACCTGAAGAACGAAATAATCAGCTATCCCCTAATTGCATTCCCTTGCGGACAGTATGTGAAAGCCCAATAATCCAGGCATTACTCCATTAAGTACTCTTTAAATTGTTTGCGAATGAGTCAATAAAAGCTCAGGCGCGTTCATGAATGAGATATTATTGCCTCAGGAACATTTGATATACCGGCGATTCCGTACACTCGGTGAAAGGATAGCTGAGATCGTGAAGGAACGCGCCTAGAGCTTCTCTTTCATCAGGTGGGCATTGGATACCAGCGAGAACTTTCGCAACATCCCCTCCAAAGTTTCGATAGTGGAAGAGAGTGATATTTTGATTTGGGCGAAGGGTAGTGAGGAATTTCTCCAAAGCACCAGGGCGTTCAGGGAACTCAAACATGAACAATCTTTCGTCTGGAGTACTTGTGCGTCCACCAACAAGATACCGAAGATGTGTCTTTGCAAGCTCATCATTGCTCAAATCTGATGCTTCCATGCCCCCCTTTCGAATCTGAGCGGTCAGGGCTTGCAAGTCGTGGGCATCTGATGGAGTGGAAAGTGATATTCCCATGAAGATATCGGCATATTCCTTACCAGAGTAGCGGTAGCTGAACTCTGTGACAGAATGTGGCATTACAACATCTATAAGTTTGGCAAAGGCTCCAGGCTGCTCAGGAATAGAAACACGTAGCAACGCCTCTTTCTTTTCTCCAAGGCCGGCACGCTCTGCTACAAAACGAAGCCTATCGAAGTTCATATTCGCTCCGGACGCAACGGCGACTAGCTCTCTATTCGGATTCTTTGATGGGTATTTCGATATGTATTTCTTCAAGCCAGCTAGCGCCAGGGCGCCCGCAGGCTCGACGACTGATCTAGTGTCTTCGAACATATCCTTGATTGCAGCGCAGGTCTCATCGGTTGATACCTCGATGATTTCGTCTACCACCTCTCTGCAGAGACGGAAAGTCTCCTTGCCAACTGCTCGTACGGCAGCACCATCGGCGAATAGGCCAACTTCCTTGAGTGTGATGCGTGTCCCAGTCTCTAAAGATTGCTTCATGGCATTGGCATCAACAGCCTCGACTCCTATAACCTTGACATTGGGCGCAATGCGTTTGATGTAGGTGCCTATACCGGCGATCAGACCGCCTCCTCCAACGCAGCAAAAGACAGCTTCTAGGTTTTGTAAGTTCGCTTGTCTGAGAAGTTCCATGCCGCATGTGCCTTGTCCAGCAATGACATACGGGTCGTCGAACGGCGGGATGTTGGTGAGGTGATGGAGCTTCTCGAGCCTCTGCGCTTCTTCCTTCGCAGCATCGAAGTCTTGTCCGTGGAGGATGACCGTCCCACCTAGCCTCGAGACGTTCTTGTGTTTAATTGCCGGAGTACCTGATGGCATGACAATCGTCGCTGGGATCTTTAAATGGCGTGCAGAGTATGCAACACCCTGCGCATGATTTCCTAGTCATACAGTGTCAGCACGTACTACCACGTGGGCAAGATCGTATACAGGCGGAGCAGCTTGTATCTTACCAGCAGAGCAAGCAATGACTCCCTTCCACCGCTTCTCTCCCTGTAGATGGGCCATCTTGTTATAGGCACCCCGGAGCTTGAAACTAAAGACGGGCAGGAGATCCTCCCGCTTCAGCATGATCTTGCATTCTAGTCGGTTGCTAAGGTTGACAGCATGTGTAAGAGGCGTTTCTTGAATCACATCATACACTCGAGATGTCAGAATGAGCCGTATGTACTGCAGCCGCTTGTTAGTATGCCATGTCTACCAATACCTGAACTGTCAACCATACATCTGGGTATCCGTTTGGCAGCAGGAACCCCTCGGGGATGTCCCATTCTGGCGGGCATTCCTCTGACTTGGAGGGAGGAGAGGGAGTAGCAGTGTACTCGGTCAGCGAGAGGGTGTTCCGTGTAGGAGTTTTTGCGCCGCTTGGTAGTTGGTCGCCCATTGCGGTCTCCGTTGGGTAGCTGTGAGAACAAGCTGCTGCGTCTATCAACGAATTCCGAATGTTTTAAATAACCAAGCGAAAAAAAAAAAAAAAAAAAATGGTAAATGCGAGCTGGCCTTGCAGGTGAATAGATAGCTAGACGAGCAAGGATTATGACTCTTCTAGCTCGACGACCGAGTATTTTATTTTTATATTTAGCTTAGGGGAAGTCCTTGACACTTTTTGCTCACTAAAATTCTACTTATGATGCAATTTTCTTTCTTTTTTCCCTCTTAGGGCCTAACGAACTTAACTAGCCTGCGGGCTTCTGGGCGATGAAGGAGGAGCAGACCACGCATGAAGCACGATAGCCAGCAAACATCGAGTTGACAGCGGCGAGGATGAAGGGGCGTTAGTGAAAGGTGAATCAGTCAATCGTTACTTCTGATGGCTAGAAAAAGTACTTGGTTGTCGCCTGCTTGTGCTAGAGAAACGAGCACCGAATCCTTCCATTTTCTACTCGATGAAGAGAGGGAGGGAAGCCCTCTGCCAGACAGAGACATTGAGAGAGACAGCCCAGGCATATCAGGCCATGAATACTGATTCCAGCGTCTCCTATTATATAACTAACCTGACTGATTAACTAGTTATGATTGTCGAGCGTGATCAACCTGGCTACCTGGTGTCTAGGTAAAAAAAGGGTTCAAATCGTCAGATCCGGATATTTGCAGCCATATTGGCTATTTGGCTCAGTGACTTCACCAAGTTACGCCGTGCCATACAACATCTCTAGCAGAATATAGCACACTTCTATCAAATATTCAAACGCAGACTGTCAAATGCTGGGACGAAAGTGTGGACGCTTCTCCCCTGTGGGCGTTTTACCTAGGTCTCGGTCCTACAAAATTCCGCTGCTATCTTTGATGCTCGTGGTCCACCTGTGGATGGGGATATGGTTTATTGTGTAGTTAGATCCAGACAGCAAAGTAGTCCCTCTGCCTCGTTCCAGGCCACAAGGAGGACCGTTGAGCACAATGAGCGATAAGCCGTTGCCATCGTCGTTTGACGACGACCCGTAAGTTTCTTTTTACCTGCGATTCTCTCTCTCCTGCGCGCCCGGCCCGAGCTGACCTTGTGCCATAGAGACTTTTTCCAGGACAATGCCTGGAAGAAGCTGGGCCGCCGACTAAAAGAAGAGCCACTGGTTCCTCTGGGTGAGTCTTCTCTTTCCTTCGCTCTCCTTTACATGGATTATGCGGAAAGTATTCTTTATGGTGAACGGTATCTGTTTACTGACGGGCCCGTGGTTGCAATATAGGAATCGGTGCCACCTGCTATGCTCTGTTCCGGGCATATCGGTCTATGAAGATGGGCGATTCCGTACAAGTCAATCGCATGTTCCGCGCCCGTATATATGCACAAGCATTCACTCTACTCGCCGTATGCGCCGGCAGTGTGTACTACAAGACAGAACGGGACCAGCGAAAACAGCTGGAAAAGGCCATGGACCTGAAGAAACAACAGGCCAAGCGGGATGCCTGGCTGAAAGAACTAGAAATAAGGGAGCAAGAGGACAAGGATTGGCAGAGCAGACATGCTACTATCGAACAAGCCGCAAAGGGGGTTGAAGTGAAACCCTTCGTGGCAGATTCGGCACCGGACGCCGCAGGGGGCGACACCTCAGAGGAACCAGCCAAAGAATCCGGCGACAAAAAGGGCGGCAGTTCAGGCGGTGTACTTTCAGCTGTGAAGAATCTCTCATGGGGCTCGAAGTAGAGACCGAGGATATCATTGTTGTCGTCAACCGCCGCAATGTGTATACTATCAATCGGGACAGGCGTTCGTGGCCATTGTAGTGCCAGGGTTTGGAAAGGAGCATACACCCAATTTTAGCTGAGCTCTACTCTGCGAGGTAATGTACATGTGTATAACACCAAAATGAAAGATCTCTAGAATGAATCAATAAAATGAAGATAATCCCCCATGGCCAGCTAGACGATCTGTTCGTCTATATACCGTCTCATAGTATCAAATTCTGTCTTTCCAGTCTATATTCATAGAACGTCAGTACACTTGACAGGTATATAACTCCGTAACATTGGCTCGATTTAGCCGTACCGAGAGTAAATATCGTATATGACCCTACTTCCAAGTTACTAACATGTTTTATACCAGAGGAAACGTCGTGAACTTTCTGACATACCACATCCGTGATGTTTTTATGCCGTTCAAACTCTCTGCGCGCGAATGATCTCAATTCATGCTTAGTAGAAGAATTGGGTATCCCTGAATATCCAGGCGGCGGCTCATTCGTTAACCCCTTGAAGACAGAGTACTGTTGTACATGGTAGGCTGCTCACTTTTGGTTGATCGCAGAATTTCACGCCATAGACCCAAAACCCGTTGGCGTATGATAAACTTCAAGCATTCTATCAGTCTCTTGAATTATCTGCGTATGACAGTTCAAAACAAACGGCCTACCTGCTCTAAATTCAGCGGTGGCGATTTTAACCTCGAGCCTGGCCTTGCAGCCCCAGCCAGCAGTCGGATGGTCCCTTGCATGGCCGGCTCTTCATTAGATGCGTAAAGTCATGAAGGCTGGAGTCTTGCTATTGCTCTTGTGAACAGGGTATAACAATGCTAAGCGCTAATAAATTTTGATATGAAGAATCGAGGAGGCAATAACTACCTGGTAGTTAAGCTAGGGGTTGAAACTTTTAACTAAGTTAGTTAGCCGCGCCGCAATTGAGTAGTTAACTTAACTAATTAGGCGCCCAACTTGGTTAGCTAGTTAAAGCTGTTTGTTAGCTACTTAACAAACCTGTTAGCGACCGCGCTTCCTGCCTACCTACAACTCAGCAACGACCATCTACTAACCCGCCCATCTGTCGCAGAATCAGAAGACGATGCTGATAAAAAAACGAAAAAGGAATGCAGAGCCAACGGTGTCTGTGGAGACGCCCCAACTTACTGAACGCCCTATAAATATAGCAAAAACACGCATAAAAGGTGACTAGCCTAGCCCACAGATTTCCAACGTCCAACTCTTCAATGCTAAGAGGGTTGTAGGGCCAAAACACATGTCTCTAGTTGAAAGTATTAACTCGGCTCCTTTCAGCGAGTTTATTCATCGATATATACCGCCATATGCCTTGGATCTCACCATCAGACTCCCTACCACAAGTTCGGATGATACCCATGGAGAATCTGGACACATCTACTCGCTTCAGTTTTATACTGCTGCCTCAATACCTGAGCCATATATGAATGCGTGTTATGATCTTATATATCTCACCAGTTCGGCAGCATATAAGCAGTCGGCCTCTGGTTGGTCTGCCCGCAAAAAGAAATTAGAAATGAAACTGTTAGACATGCGATATATGGTACTTGTTTTGAAAAGGAATAACGAAGCCGAAGGTACTTTGGATATGCCGGCAGTTGGAGGCTTTTTGTCCTTTATGGTCACTGAGGAAGACGAGATGCAGGTTCTCTACTGTTATGAAATCCACCTTGCCCCCGAGGTACAGCACAAGGGCGTCGGAAAACAGTTACTTCAAATATTCGAAGACATTGGCAAGAACATAGGTCTTCAAAAGGGGATGCTCACAGTCTTCAAGTCTAACACGAGTGCTATTCGATTTTACGAACGGCTCGGTTTCACGGAGGACGCGAATTCGCCAAAGCCAGCCAAATTACGGAACGGGAAGATGAAAGAGTACGATTATATGATTATGTCCCAACCGTTTACGAACGATAGCAGTGAGAAGATGGACATCTCGACCCCTGATTTCAATTGAAAGTTAAACATCATATCTGTCTCGCTTCTTTCCCTCTTACTTCTGGCCGTTCTTCGTCCCACTCATCCCTGAGAACAGCGTATAGAGAGTCTGCAACGAGGATAGAAAGCCCAAGACTCCATACAAGCGTGATGGCATAGAAGAAGTTGGCGTTTCCCGAACCTGCGTATATCCACAGGTGATAAAAGATCGGGCCCAGAAGACTGGCATACAACAAAGCCGAGACGGAAAGGAAGGTATAGCGCATTACTAGATCGTGTTAGTGGAATTCACAGGGTACGACGGATATGGGAATACATACGAGGGAATATGTGTCGGTAAAGCGAAAGGAACGACAGATATATCGAAACATCGGAGATGCTGGGGTAAGGCTTGAAGATGGCGAAGATACCAAGAAGACATGTCATGACGAAAAGCGGTTGTCGCCTTAGTCGTATGGTTAAACCCCCCACGTAACTTGCTAGGTGCAGCCAAAATACCCCTAGGAAGAATTCACGGAACGGGTCGAATATCTCTATCAGGAAGTACCACCATAAGCCGGCATTGGGGGTCAAGTCGGGAACCAGTAGGTGCGCGCCATACGTAGCAGAGATGAAATCCCAAGAGTAACCGGTTACGCCATATGATATGGCCAAAAACCCTGCGATATCTGTGGCAAAAATGAGAAAGTGCGAGGCGGCGTATGGTACGCAGCTGCCTCCGGACTTGACCTTGCTAATATAATGATCATAGCAAAGTAAGACTAAAGGCGGGAACAAAAGAGCGGGATAGACGGAGAGATAGGAGGCCAGGCCCAGAGCTAGCATAGAGTTGACGCTCCTGCCGGCAATAGCATTTGATATCGCATATATTATCGCGCTGTTTGTGAAAGCTGTGGTAGGGCGCCCAAGGCATGTTGCTATTGTAAAGGGGTTGAACAGGTATCTAGAAATAGAATCATTAGATGCCAAATATATATTCGTGGGGGTTATTATATGCCATACCCGATCACAATAGCTATGCCATCCCATCTTATCTTCTTTCTCGGGGAAGTGAATAGCCGTGATACCACCGACTCGCCCGAATTTGATATCTCGATTAGCGCGTTGGCGTTAATGAGATCTAGCAGCGTGTAAACAAGAACCGTCAGGATAGTGTATCCATGGGACTGCGGTATGAGAGAGAACAGAGGGAGGAAAATCGGTGCCTATATCCCGCAGTAGTATCTGGTTAGCAAAGGGCTGGCTATTGATTATGGTAGCCTCGAATCTAAATGCGCACCTGATGAAACACCCCGCCGTCGTAAGGGGAGACATTCCGAAGATATAAGAACAAGCCTTCCTGCACTGTGCATAGTTGAAGAGAGGATAGTTAGCATGTACCTCCATGGCCCCAGGGAGAGGGATTGTTGGTAATACGTACAACGCTTGAAGCTGCTGATCGGAGTTGACACTTCGACACGGCCAGTTAGCAGGTCGGGGAGGCCGGGGAACAGCAAGATAAGGACAAGCCGCAGAGCGACCGCCGCCCCAAACACACAGAGCTTCCTCCTGTCAATTGGCATCGCTCAGTATGTCTGCCGGACGAGCATCGCAGTCGACTCAGCCAGCGTCTCTCTTCCCTCTGGCCGCTGCGTTGGTGTTGGTTCCCTTTGGCGCGCGGAAAAAAAAAGGATAAAGTGGAGACGCTCGGACCATCTCGAGTCTTTTTTTTTTTTTTTTTTTTTGTGATAAAAAAAAGTTTCGACCTTTAGGAAGAAGAAGAAAAAACCGATTTGCGCCGGTTTCTTTCTACGACATATCTGCACACATACCAGGCTGTCGCAAAAGCCGAAAAGATGGGGAAGCTTAAGAAGAAAGGTATTGTCTGCTTCAATGGGCGTTTTTTGCTCTAGGAGATCGCATGCTGATATGTGCAAATAGGAACCTCTGGCCAGGCCAAAAACTATATTACAAGAACTCAGGCAGTGAGAAAGTTGCAGATTTCACTTCCAGATTTCAGGCGACTATGCATTTTCAAGGGTACGCCCTAGATGGTTAGAGATGCGGTAGATGTGGAAGCAGTGTTGACTCTAGGACGCAGGAATCTACCCTCGTGAACCCAGGAACAAGAAAAAGGCATCGAAGTCTGCAACCGCAAACACCACCTTTTACTACACTCGAGATATACAGTATCTTCTCCACGAGCCGCTGCTGAATAAGTTCCGCGAACAGAAAGCCCTTTCAAAGAAGATTGCTAGAGCTCTCGGACGTGGTCAGGTCGGAGATGCGTCACGCTTAGAAAAGAACCTTGCACCAAAGCTTACGCTTGACCATCTTGTCAAGGAGCGCTATCCAACATTCATCGATGCCCTGCGAGATCTAGACGATGCTCTGTCGCTACTATTCCTCTTCGCTAACCTACCTTCGACTGCGACGGTCCCCCCAAAGACCATCGCCCGTTGCCAAAGACTTTGCCACGAATTTCAACACTACCTGATTGCAACCAACTCGCTTCGCAAGTCTTTCCTCTCGATAAAGGGGATATATTATCAAGCTACAATTCAGGGTCAGGATATCCTATGGCTTGTTCCATACCGCTTCGTGCAGCAGGTGGCTGGCGACATTGACTTCAGGATCATGGGAACCTTCGTAGAGTTCTACACGACTCTGCTTGGCTTTGTCAATTTCCGCCTGTACACCTCTATCGGGCTAGTATATCCTCCAAAGTTCGATGTCAGGAGTGATGAGCAGGGTGCTGAGCTTGCAGCCTTTACTTTGGAAGGCAAGAAGATTGACGATGGCGAAAACACCGCTATTGAGGCCGCTAAAAACAAAGAGACGGAGTCTGTTTCAAACGAGGTCCAGGAAAAGGTCAACACAATTCTAAAGAACGTCAAAATCGATACGAATTCAGAAGCTCCCGCTGTGGAAGCACCAACTGAACGTGAGGATGCAATTGATACCTTTGAGCCAGCAGCACCAGATGCGGATACTCTCCCACAGCCGCAGATTAGTGGAAATGAAGCTGCTGCCTTATTTGCACCACTTACCATTTTCATTTCAAGAGAAGCTCCTCGTGCACCCCTTGAATTTCTACTACGTGCCTTTGGCTGTAAGCGTGTAGGATGGGACTCAGTTCTAGGAGATGGCGCCTTCACACATGATGAATTGGACCCCAGGATAACACATCAAATTGTCGATCGACCTCCTCTTGCAGAGTCGGCTCTTCCTCCATTACCCCAAAATCCTCAAGAAAGCGAGGAATCGATTCCGAGAGTACGACCTGGGCACAGAATTCCTGGCCGGATATATGTTCAGCCACAATGGGTATGGGATTGCGTGAATGATGGGAAACTCCTCAGACCAGATCTATATGCTCCCGGTGCCATTCTACCTCCACACCTTAGCCCATGGGTCAAGCCGTCTAATGGCGAGTATGACCCTCGAGTGAGTTTGGCAGATCAAGAAGCAGAGGGCGAGGCTGAGAGAGCCGCCGAGGAAGAAGAAGAGAGCGAGGAGGAGGAGGAGGAGGAGGAGGAGGAAAATGAAGCCACTGCGGAAATAGATGAAGAGGGAGACGCCAGCGATGGAGAAGAAGGGTCAGACAAAGAATCCCTAAATGGCGGTATGGAAATTGCAAACTCAGATGATGACGAAGAAGATGACAGCGAAATGGAAGCGGAGGACTCTTTTGGTGGCTTTGACGAGGAACCAGAACTCGACGAAGAATCCGAAGATGAAGCTGATGCCGCACAGAAACAACACCAAAAGGAGCTTGAAGCCGAAGCATTGGGTCTCCAGCCGGTAAACGAGCCTGGGTCGTCTAAGAAATCGAAGAAAGGCCAGGGAGCCAAGTCCAAGAAGTACGCCGCCGAAAAGAAGAAGGCTGAAGAAGAACTTGAACAGCAAAAGATGATGCTTAGCAGGAAGAAGCGTAAATTGTTGGATAAAATGCTGTACTCCAACAAGAAGAAAGAGGAAGAAGCAGAGAAGCTCAGGAGGAAACGACGGAAGATTGAACAGGGCCTCATGAAATAAAAAAGATTTTATAACCGATGATGACGTAGATATAGAATAAAATCAAAAGATGAATTAAAAACTGTTTTCACTAAATACAACTACGTATCTAAATATTCTCCCTGCGTGATTGTAGCTAAATTCTCCAAGTAATAATAATAGTTCGATATCAACCAGGGCTCACTGTCAGTCGCACGTGACAGGTTCTGGGCCTGAGGAGGTTTTAGTTAGAGTCGCCAAGTTGATAAAGATTGGACTGCAACCAATCTTTCTTTCTTTCTTTTTTTTTTTTTTTTTAACTTCTACTCCATGATGGAAATCGATGATAGATGATCTTATTGAGTCTCTGAAAGGCTGTTTTGTTCTGCTCGTAACCTTGGATCCATGTTGATGTTAATAGGATGTCGTCACCGAGCTCCAGCGTTGTTGTTTCCCCCAGTCCAAGGAAGTACACATCGCTTTTCAATCCAGACGAAATACAAAGCAACCAGGAAGCTCAGTATGCTGCTACCGGAGGAGTCTCATCTTACCCTGACTTTGGGAATGGTGATAAACTAGAGGATGATCGTGGTTCAAGCGAAATCCGTGGCTCTAGGGATGATGAATTAGAAATACCACTCACAGACGACGTTGGTGATTCTGATGACGAAGAATATGAGCCTCCGTCTTCATTTAAAGAGCTAGAGGGAAGCCCTCCGAGGTTGAATAAATTCCATGGGCCACCATCCACCTGGAGAGGATGGACTAGACGAGAACGGCACGAATACGCTGCATTAGAAACAATGCGGTCAAGAGATCTTTCTATTCATCTATACAATTCGTTTATGCTTAAGAACAAAGCAAAGAAAGCGAAAGCCAGAAAACTGGCAACAGGAACGTTTAATGGAGCTTCAAGTGGAGAGAAACGAGATTCAATGCCCCCTTTCGCTCCCAACAGAGGCTGGACCGCGTGGCCTATGCCTACCGATGAAGTTCCAAGAGCGGATGAACGTATAAACAAAGACCCGGACGATGTTTGGACACTGAGCATGGCGCCGGATAATAGACCCAGTGCGGAATTGGAAGAATGTATCGTTGCACACATGATGAGAATATCCAGACAAAGGTTCGAGGCAAGGCCCTGGGACTGGCGTGAAGCTCAACGGTTTGAGAGGGAAGGATCACCATTAGGGCATGATAGTGAAAGTGTGCTAGTCAAGGACGAAAATGGATCCGATGACTTGTTACCACCAAACCCTGATCTTCATCCTGTAATTCAGACTGATGATGAAGAGTCTAGGAAGCTTCTTCGCCCGGAGGCAAGAAATATCCTAGAAAGGCTTGACAACCTTTTACTAAACCTCCAGGCAGCACGGAGTACATGTGCTGCGGTATCCCGGAGATCAAAAAGAGAGTCAAAATTGCCAAATACAGGAGCCAGAAGCAGCACACTAAATGACGAGGCTAGGCCCCCAAGTCAAATAAATTACGCTCACTCTGTGGTAGGATCTGAGGACGGTGCCAATAGTGAAGATGATAAGACAACGTCCACTTCACCATTACAAGGCCGCGAAAATAAGGCCGATAGACTCGAATCTCACCTCCCTTCTCAAACAAGCTCTCAAAAACACCCAGTACGTTTCGGCCTTCGCGACTGGAGTGAAGTTCTCGGCGTGGCATCGTTGACTGGATGGCCGACAGCGGCAGTCATGAGGGCTTCTCGACGGTGTGCAGACCTGTTTGGAGAGGATCAGGTGTTTAGAACTATGTACGAGAACACAGTGCAACTTGGGAAAACAGAAGATGGCATGCCGTGCTGGAAACATGCAGAGTCAGATCAGTCAGATACAGAAGCCAAACTGACGGAGAGCCGGCCAATGTTCAGTGGCATTGACAATCCAAAACAAGACGAAAGATACTGTCCCGTTGCAGGCTGTCCGCGTCAACTGAGAGGGTTTTCTAGGGCGTGGAATCTTAACCAGCATCTTAAAAAGGCCCATGCTGATCTGTTGGCGGAGTCGAAAATTCAACTTGCCAAACGGGTGCATAAATGACATTATATTTAGCAGTTTTCAGTAGCTATCAATCATTGTAGCTATCCTACCAGCTTCCTGCTATTCAGAATACAAAGTTTCCTTCCTCTCCTCTCAGCGTCCTTTCATCAATAAGCTTATATCGCCGAACCGAGATGCCGTCTTGGCGCCTCAAAGAGCTTCCAAACAGCCGGAACCGCTGCAAGCAGGATAACACTTCTACAACAACCACAACAACAACACCAACAACCTATGCACCAGCAGTAGGAATAACAACTGGAGCTCGCAAGCAATATATCTCGTCTAGCTAATTCCACAGGCTTAAGCTGCCATTCCGAAGTCACTGTCTTACTCCAGAGTGCTAGTCACTTTGTCCAATCTTCGGCTTCTGTTTTGATCCCGGCTACTTAAAGAACGCCCTGTGGTCCCCGCCTCCTGCATGAGTCAAGTCAGCATAGCTCAGCCATCCAGGTTAAATAGCTGTCCTGGCCTCTATTCTTTTCTGCCACATTTACCATGATGACAAGTGCTCTTCGTTCGATATCTAAGCAGTTTTCTCGATCGCATATTGCATTCTCTGCTCGCATTCCCCCACCGTCCTACGGAAGACGACATTACGCAATGCATACAGTCCCTCAGGTAAGTAGGAATATTTTGATATGGCCTATTGAGATAACATCTAACGTGGAAACCACTCTAGTTGAAAGATAAATCTTTATTTATTGAAAAATGCTACGTTAATGGAGAATGGGTAGATGCGGGTTCTGGAGAGACATTTGAGGTTCAAGGTACTGTCCTCCCGTCACCAAATGTATGATTTCAAATTCTGACTATTACCTGCTATATGAAACTCCATACAGATCCTTCAACTGGTAAACTCATTGGCACCTGTCCAGAATTCACTCCCGCCGACACACAGAAAGCAATCGATGCCGCTGTTTCTGCGTTCCCATCTTTCCGAAAGACCACTGGCCGCGAACGCGCCAGGATGCTACGAAGATGGCATCAGTTGATGATAGACAATGCCGAAGACCTAGCAACTCTGATCACATGGGAAAATGGGAAACCGTTAGCTGATGCGAAAGGAGAGGTCAACTATGCTGCTAGCTTCTTCGAATGGTTCAGCGAAGAAGCCCCCAGGATATATGGTGATACTATTCCGGCTACAGTTCCTGGAAACAGAATTATGACAATCAAAGAGCCTGTCGGCGTTTGTGGATTCATCACGCCCTGGAATTTCCCTGCAGCTATGATCACGCGAAAGATCGCACCTGCATTAGCTGCTGGTTGTACTGTTGTGGCCAAGTCTCCGGGAGAGACGCCGTTCACTGCAAATGCAATTGCTGAGCTGGCTGCCCGTGCAGGAATTCCAAAGGGTGTCGTAAATATAGTTACTGCATTGAAGAACACCCCGGAGATCGGTCTATCTCTTACAACTGCTCCGGAGATCCGCAAAGTATCCTTTACTGGCTCAACGGCAGTAGGGAAGCTACTTATGAAGCAGTCCGCATCTACAATGAAAAAGTTGTCTTTCGAACTGGGAGGAAACGCACCCTTCATTGTATTTGACGACGTTTCTGACGTCGACGCTGCTGTTGCCGGTGCCATTGCATCGAAATTCCGCAGTTCAGGTCAAACGTGTGTGTGCGCTAACCGTCTTTACGTCCAAAGAGGTGTCTATGATGAGTTTACATCTAAATTCGCAGAAAAAGTGGGAGGATTCACCCTGGGCCATGGGTTTAATGAAGGAGTTACACATGGACCCCTCATTCACTCCCGTGCGATTGACAAAGTACATGAACATGTCAGCGATGCTCAAGCGAAAGGCGGTAAAGTAATTATCGGCGGGAATAGAGCTCCTGAACTCGGATCGAACTTCTTTTTCCCTACGGTTGTTACCGAGATGACAAAAGATATGCGAATGGCATCCGAAGAAACCTTCGGTCCTGTAGCCGGCATTTATCCGTTCGAGACAGAGAAGGAAGTCGTGGACCTTGCCAACGCTGCTGAAGTCGGCCTTGCTGGATATTTCTATAGCAAGGATGTGCAGCGCATCTTCCGTGTTGCCGAAGCCCTGGAAGTGGGCATGGTTGGTGTGAACACGGGCATTATCAGTGACACGGTTGCCCCGTAAGCATCTCACCCTTCTACTTTAGCACAACATCGACTGACTTTAAATCTAGATTTGGTGGAGTCAAACAGAGTGGATTTGGTCGAGAGGGTAGCAAGTATGGAATAGATGAATTCCTTACCATCAAGACGGTGACATTTGGAGGCATGGGAGGTGACCTCCAAGGTTAATGCCGTATCACATCACATAGGTAGCTAGTTTGTTTATATTAACAGGTTATATAGCATAAACAGAATGGTATAAGTATTGCTCTCAGTAGCTGGATGTCTTCCTGTGGTTATTTTCATGCAGAAATGACGTTCACATGAGGCAGTCAACTAATTGGTTAACCATTTGGCTGCTTTAATTACTTTGAAAATGACTTGCTTGCATGACCAACCTGCATCCAATAGATCCCATGGCCACCAAGGTCCGACCACACTAAATTAACTAGTGAATATACGGTAACTATCGAAATAAGGAATATATTAGGCCATCCTTTGTTATATTCGGCCGCTTATCCGAAAGTGATAAAGAATTACTCAACTACTGCTTGCTTAGACCGAAGAGGGCTCCTGTGGAAGCCTTCTATCCCAACTTCTTCATAACTACTAGACGGTTCCGACCAGCTCTGTGGATCGTAATAGAGGAAGATCTTGCAATAATATATATCCCAGCTTAAAGATGTGTCTTCTTTCTAATATAACATCGTGGCCGCCTCTGGGCCAGATTACATTTATGCAACAGAAAAGGGGGACACAAGATAATACACACGCCACAAATGTAAGGACAACAGAACAGTTTTTCCTGCTGCACTTGAGTAGTGTTATTTTAGGCATGATGACCTTTTCTAATTGATTCTTACTTGGAGGTTAACACATATATGCAACAGAACTTGAGGTTTACAGTGGTGCTTGAATCAAATCATCAGTTTCCGGAAGAGTCTTGTGAGGTTGTCGTTTGGCACAATATTTGCAGTGATGCCTGGACAGGACTTGAATTAAAGAGTTCTCCTGACTCTCAGTTCACTGTGATTAGTGAGAACACTTCAAATGAATGCTTCCGGAAAGCATTCGTTGCCGAAATACCGCTTCCTAAAGAGGGGAAGCATGCGGAGTTTACTATCAAATACAAACCAAGGGCAGACTGCGCATGGCAATGGGCTAATGAAATGTTGAAATCTAAGAATGGAGAGATTATTATCGAACCACCGAACCCTTTACCGAATGACAATACACACTCTCTGCAAAACTACTTGCATTCAATAAACAACAATATTGACGTTAAACCTGGGCGAAGTGACGTCGCAGGTGCTTTGCTTTGGAATATCAGCTGCCAGGTTGAGCCGGCCGTCAACGGAGAGAGCAAGACTTCCAAAATCTTGTTTGGTACCCCGAAAAACTATGTTCGAACCTTTTCTCTTGTTCGAGCTTCGGCATCTTGGCTAGCACCACGGCACGGGACGACAAGCTATAACTTGAACGAAGACGCTTTAGTCTCATCCTTCGTATACAGAGATGGTATCGTGTTGGTCGTGGTCTCTGTGAGCGGCATTGACAATGTTTTGACCGTCTTCCAATCTGGTAAGGAAGGTGAACTCATCATAAGTTCAAGAAATGACAACAACCGCGCAGCGAAGAGTGAGGCTGTGGCTGCAATTGCTAGTTCATTTGAGATAGCCATGGCTGCGGCAATATATGAAGCTCGAAAGAAATCGCAAAACTATTCAGTGGCTTCACAGCGTATATACCAAGCAGCTAATGACCAAGAGCTGGCTCAAACAGTGGTAGACAATGGGCTAACACCCAAATGGCAACCGGAGTGGTATGATGGATTGTCATACTGCACGTGGAATGCACTTGGTCAGAATTTGACTGAACAAAGTATTTTAAACACTCTTCAATCCCTTAAGGAAAATGGGATCCAAATTTCCAGCCTTATTATTGATGACGGCTGGCAGTCTCTGGATAATGAGGGCCAATCGCAGTTTGAGCGGGGTATAACACGTTTTGAAGCAAACCAGTGTGGATTTCCGCATGGCCTACAGCAAACAATTGCTAAGATCCGTCAAGAAAACGAGGGGATCAAGCATGTTTCTGTATGGCACGCTCTGTTGGGTTATTGGGGCGGCATTTCGCCTGCTGGTGAAATAGCATCCAAGTATAACACAATAGAGGTCGAAAGAACAGGGGAATTCGCCTCCAGCAAAATTAGAATCGTCGATCCCGATGATATACCTTCGTTTTATGATGACTTTTATACCTTCTTATCGTCAGCAGGTGTAGATTCAGTGAAGACTGACGTCCAATCTGCCTTGGATAGCCTTGAAGGCGCGAGCATTCGGCGGCGTTGTATAACAACGTACCAGGATTCTTGGTCCAGAACCTTGTCGCGGCATTTTCAAGCAAGATCCATATCCTGCATGTCCCAGACACCTCAAATCATATTCCACTCCCTCTTACCCACCAACAAACCTCGACTCATACTGAGAAACTCAGACGACTTTTTCCCAGATATAGAATCTTCTCACACATGGCATATTTTTTGCAATGCCCACAACAGTTTGCTGACAAGATATCTCAACGTAATTCCAGATTGGGATATGTTCCAAACGTCCCATTCCTATGCATCGTTCCATGCAGCTGCCAGATGTGTGTCAGGTGGCGTCGTTTATATAACAGATGATCCTGGAAAACACAACCTGGCTATTATTAACCAGATGACTGCCCAAACAACGAGAGGTGACACAGTGACCCTACGCCCCAGCGTTGCGGGGTACAGCAGAGATGTGTATAATAGCTATGACGATGGACATCTGTTGAGAATTGGGTCATTTACCGGCTGGGCGAGAACTGGCAGTGGATTCTTAGGTATATTCAATATTGCGTCAGAAGATACCTCCGCTCTCATCCCTGTGTCCGATTTTCCTGGGGTCTTATCGGGTAATGATAACGAATATATTATTCGCAGCCACAAGTCGGGGAACGTCACAAAACCAATGTATCAAGCTGATACCCACGCAATGGTGCTTGTGACACTGAGGCCAAGAGATTATGATATTCTCACCGTGTATCCTGTTTATGCATTTGATGTGCCCAAAAAGTCGAAGTCCTGTGCCGCAGGAACAAAATCGCGACTTAAGGTTGCTGTGCTGGGGCTGCTCGATAAAATGACGGGAGCCGCAGCTATAATCGGATCAGATATATCAATGGTCCCGGGAAATGACCTTCGGTTTAATGTTACGCTAAAGGCACTTGGAAGATTGGGCCTATGGATTTCTGACTTGGCAGAAAGGAGTATCACGGACAACTTCATGGTATTGATCCATGGGCTACCAGTGCCGGTTGAAACAGTGCAGCGAGGGATTGATAGCGAAAGCTGTATTCTGTCAATTGATGTTCTAACTGCTTGGAAGAAAATGGGTTTGGATTCCGGACGGAGTAATGAAGTGGTTGTTCAGGTACTGATGATGTAGTGAAGTGTTGTCAACCACGCTCGAGGCTTGAATTTTAGCAGTTAACTTACTAAGTAAACTCACCCAATTGTAGAGTTTTGCGCGGCAATCAGACCCACACCCCATGCTCCGCGCTTATCGCGTTAATATTTTTCCTGGTGCAAAAAGCTCAATCGTTAATGATATCGGTGCTTGCTTCTCTGTGTCAAAAAAGGCGTGATTATGATGCGGTCTTTGTTGTACAAGCCCCTTTCGAGGGACATACCTTCATTATCGTGTGCTTTATTTCGAAATGGGACCACAAGTCGGAAAACTTCGCTCTACCCTCCCAGATCAGTGCCCGGCGCCGTCCAAAGAAGATGCATTACGCAAAGATACTTAGCCCGGATGGCCGAGGCAGAGGCGCAATGGGAGGGTTGGGCAAATGAAATCAGAGAAGGGAAAAGGCAGAGCTTTCTAAGCTTTATGGAGGAAAGAGGGCTGATTCATTCAGTTATTGGGGGGTAATCTCAATAGTTTCCTATTTTTTTTATAGCTCTGACATACATTGCTAACCGATTTATTCTATTCTTTTTCTCATTTAGGGACCGTGATGCCTTGGATAAGATGATTACGAATAAACGAGTAGGGCTGTACGCCGGAATCGACCCTACAGCCCCATCAATGCATGTGGGACATATGCTTCCGTTTATGATTCTTGGATGGGCCTACGTACATGGGATGAAATCGGTCTGGCTTGTGAGTAACATCTGGTTTTTGAGACCATAAAGCTGTTAGGAGCTATTTTTCAAAGGCTATCTTCAGTTTTCGCCTCGGCTTTATTAACGTGAGGTGATAGTTGGGTGGTTCTACCTCAAGGGTTGGAGATCCTACCGGGCGAACGACAGCACGACCCGTTCTTAGCAACGCTTCTCGAAAAGCCTACATCGCCAACATGCATATGCAACTAAAAAAACTTGGAGCTTCATTCGAAAGATATGGAGGCAAGCACGGTTACTCGTGGGAATGGGCTTGGAGACGAGCACTCGAGAACAATAATACTTGGTGGAATAAAGAAACGCTAATTGATGTCCTGGGTACTCTTGGGCAACACGCAAGGATAGGAACAATGCTAGGACGAGAACCGTATGTTAAACCTCACCCAAGGTTTTTTTTTTTTTTTTTTTTTGGCTATGTATCATGTCTCCTAACGGCCGAGGGAATAGGGTAAAAACGCGCCTTGAGAGCGGAAGTGGTATGTCCTTTACCGAATTTTGTTACCCGATAATGCAAGCATGGGATTGGTGGCACCTTTATCAGAAAGGAGTTATGATTCAAGTCGGAGGCTCTGACCAGTCTGGCAACATTCAATTCGGAATTGATACCATTAAGCAAGTCTTAAAAACCTCGCCGATAGAAACTAAACCAGGCGAAGACCCAGAATTATCAATGCCGTTTGGACTTACAGTGCCTTTGCTCACTACATCGACGGGGGAAAAGATTGGCAAATCTGCCGGTAATTCGATATGGCTCGACAAGGATATGACGTCAACTTATGACCTTTACCAGGTGAGTATATATATACTGTTACCTTTCTCGCGTGTGATTACAAGACTACGGACTGACAGAAATAGTACTTCATGCGTCAACCTGATCAAGACATGGAGCGGCTACTAAAAATGTTTACGTTTCTCCCAACCTCCCGCATCCCCGAAATAATCGAGGAGCATAACAAGGCCCCATCCCGTCGGGTTGCTCAACACACTCTGGCGCAAGAATTTGTGGAGCTTGTACATGGTCCTAAGGAAGCTGAGGAAGCATCCAAGGCCCATAAAGCCATTTTCCAACCTCAGGGCTCAACATCAACCAAGTCAGACGCCAAGTCAATACCTTTATTGCCCTCTGGAATTCCGGAATTTATCAATGCTGGAGTAAACAAAAAAGCCCCGCAGATGAATGCTTTTACCGCCCCCACACATCACCTAGTTCTACCTCGCTCTCTAGTTGTCGGACAATACTTCCACAAGATTCTCTACTCTGCTGGAATGGTCTCCTCCAAACAGGAAGGACATCGAATTATTGTCAACAACGGAGCATCCGTTGGCTGCATGCCCAGTGGTGCGGAGCAAATGGGTGACGCACTAAGTTATGTCCCTCTCAGAACATGGCCCGCTGATGTTACAGAAAAATTCCTCATTGACGGGAGCTTGCTGATTCTGCGAATCGGGAAATGGAGAGTTAAAATTATCAAAGTTATCAGTGATAAGGAATTCGAAGAACAGGGCTTGACTGTACCGCAGTCAGAACCGGAGAAAGAATCGATAGCCGAACAACAAAAAGACCGAGATCTGTTCGCGAAGAAACGCAGAATTGCTGGGCGACAAGTTCAACGGCCTGGTATTGCCGGAGGCTCTGCTGGCGGCCGGAAACCAAAGATTGTTTCACTCCAGGAATGGACTGACCAAAAGGAGAGAGAAGAAGAAGCAGAGCTGGCGAAGGAGAAGGAGCAGCGACAGGCGTGGCCATGATACCTCATTTCTTCGTTGCTGATTTCATTTCGAGCGTTGTCGTTATACACGGTGCATGCTGTACACTAGTTTTCTTCATTGGGTTACGGTTTTCCTTTAGTGTTTGGCGATTGGATGGCACTTTAGATCTCCCTGGGTCAAATCACCTTATGCTTTAACGCAGTTTTGTATAATAATACTATATACCAATCTCACTTGTATTCTGTCTCCTTGGGCTTTCTCCGTGTTCTCCATGGAGTATCAGGTACAGTAGGTTAGTACCACTGGGGTGGCGGGGACCGAGTTGATTACGTAATGACTCGGAATGGAACATAGATATTACGATTTGTCACGTGCCGCGTCGCGCTCTACGCGTTTTCGTGTTCGTCTGATAAGATAAGCAAGCACTGTTAATGGGAAATCCCAAGGGGGATTTTCTTCCAACGTTCGTCCATCGACACACACCTAGCTGTTACTGTTCTCGTTCAGCTTCAATTTCTAGCACTGTCTCTCATTTACCTGCTATTATTATTGTACATTGATGCACTCCAATCCCCCCCCCTCCATTGCTTTCTTTAATTCCTTGTGAGAATGGGATCATCCGCCCAAACGACGCCTGCTCCGTCTCGCGTCCTCAAGCGGTCAACACCAAGTACACAGAACATGAGCAAGACCCAAAAATCCATCTTGGGATTCTTCCAGCCTAAATCGTCTCCTTCGGCTCCATCAACCTCCCAGCGAAGTTCCAATCTACCAGCATCTTCTCCGTCTGGAGCCAGTCCACTCAGCGAAACAACCACCAGCTCGGTGAGAGCCAAATTTTCGAAGCAGAGGCTAGATGACGATCAAAATATTACTCCAGTTCCGAGTAGTGATGCAATTGAACCTCCCGAAGAAGACACACCGACCGCTGTGAGGAAAACATCTGCAGGGAACCATGAGTTCTCTACCTCTAACACATCCAGCAGACGGGTATGCTACCAATGTTCCCAGAAGTACCTGCTGTATTAGTTTCTTGAATATCTGGACTAATTATTATCTAGGCGAGGACGGCGGTTAAAAGTTATGAAGAATCTGAGGACGAGGATGTTGTCCAGCCAGGGAGAAGAAACGCACGGGGGCGGTCTCAGAAGCGAAGAAGAACTGGGGATCTCAGTAGTGACGAAGAATGCTTTAAGCCCGATGAGGATGATGACGAAGATAAATACATAGATGGTATGGTCATTGCGCCGTTAAGCATAAGTTTTAACGATTGAGCTGACCCATTGCAGATACTGATGACTTCGTTGTCCCAGACGATGAATCAGAAGAAGAATTGAAGTCATCTAGGAAACGAAAGCGTCCTTCCAAGGCACCGTCTAAGAAAGAATCCAGCAGCCCACCACCTATTCCTGGTGATGACATGGACTTGGAGATCCCTCAGTGCACGTCTGCTTCCACCCAAAAGTGGCGCTATGACCCCGACAATGTAGAACCATACCAGCCTCGAAAAGCTCTAGTCAAACCAGAGACACACTCCAGTAGCAAACAAAAAAAGGCCCATATGACGGAGCCAGAAAATCGATACCCATGGCTTGCTAATATTATGGATATGGATAAAAATCCACTTGGTCATCCTGACTATGATCCCCGTACTTTATACATCCCACCTCTAGCCTGGACCAAATTTTCGCCATTTGAAAAGCAGTATTGGGAGATCAAACAGAAATTCTGGGATACCATTGTGTTTTTCAAAAAGGGGAAATTTTACGAGCTATACGAAAATGATGCCACTATAGGTCACCAACTTTTTGATCTCAAACTTACGGATAGAGTCAATATGCGTATGGTCGGAGTTCCTGAAATGAGTCTTGATCATTGGGCCAACCAATTCGTTGCAAAAGGATTCAAGATTGCTCGCGTGGACCAGTCAGAGTCTGCATTAAGCAAAGAAATGAGAGAACGTGAAGATAAAGGCAATAAGATGGGAAAAGCACAGAAAGAAGACAAGGTCATTAAACGAGAGCTAGCATGTGTTCTGACCACTGGAACCTTGGTGGAAGGGTCAATGATTCAGGGCGATATGTCCACATACTGCGTGGCAATCAAAGAGGCTATTATTGATGGCTTACCAGCTTTTGGTATATCGTTTGTCGATACAGCTACCGGGCAGTTTTTCTTATCTCAATTCGTTGACGATGTGGATATGACAAGGTTCGAGACCTTTGTTGCCCAGACCAGACCCCAGGAATTGTTACTTGAGAAATCTGTTATGTCTACCAAAGCCCTCAGAATATTGAAGAACAATACCGGCCCAACTACTCTCTGGAATTATCTGAAGCCCGGGAAGGAATTCTGGGAGGCTGATGTCACCGTTCGGGAGCTTGACGCAGGTGACTATTTCGTTTCGGAAGACAAAAATCATGCATCCGCCTGGCCGCAGGCATTGCAAGACGCTCGAGATAAAGATTTGGTCATGTCTGCTTTTGGGGCTCTTTTACAGTATCTTGAAATGCTAAAAATTGGACGAGACCTCATCACCATAGGAAATTTCACTTGGTACGATCCAATCAAGAAAGCATCCAGTCTCGTACTGGACGGGCAGACCCTAATCAACCTTGAAATATTCGCAAACACATACGATGGGAGCTCGGAAGGAACACTGTTTCAACTACTCAACCGCTGTGTTACGCCGTTTGGGAAGCGACTGTTTAAACAATGGGTTTGCCATCCCCTGATGGATATCAAGAAGATCAATGCCCGGCTTGACGCTGTTGAGTCCCTGAATGCAGATAGCACAGTGCGTGAGCAATTCTCGTCACAGTTGACCAAAATGCCGGACCTTGAACGGCTTATATCTCGAGTTCACGCTGGTACATGCAAAGCCCAAGACTTCGTACGTGTACTTGAGGGATTTGAACAAATCGAGTATACAATGGGTCTTCTGAAGGAAGCTGGGTCTGGTCATGGATTAATCGGCCAATTGATCTCTGCCATGCCGGATCTCAACGGTCTCTTGAAATTCTGGGAGACGGCATTTGACCGCGCTAAGGCTAGAGAAAGTGATATCTTAGTCCCAGAGGAAGGCATTGAGGAAGAGTTTGACGCATCCAAAAAGAACATTGAACAATTGGAGGATGAATTAGAGCAGGTACTACAACGGACCAGGAAGGAGTTAAAATGTTCAACCATTGTTTTCAAGGATAATGGCAAAGAAATTTACCAACTCGAGGTTCCGATTAAGATCAAGAACATACCAAAATCTTGGGACCAAATGTCCGCCACGAAGCAGGTTAAGCGATATTACTTCCCAGAGCTAAGAGCATTGATTCGAAAACTACAGGAAGCTCGCGAGACACATGCTCAGGTTGTGAAGGGTGTTGCTGGCAGATTTTATGCTCGATTTGACAAAGACTACTCGAGCTGGCTTGCAGCTGTAAAGATAATTGCCCAGCTTGATTGTCTGATTGGATTAGCCAAAGCTTCCACTGCACTAGGACATCCAAGTTGTCGTCCGATATTTGTCGATGATGAGCGCAGTGTACTTGATTTCCAAGAACTCCGCCACCCCTGCATGATGCCCAATGTTGGAGACTTCATTCCTAATGATGTCAAACTTGGAGGGGATACATCAAATATTAACCTTCTGACTGGCGCAAACGCAGCAGGAAAGTCTACAGTTTTGAGAATGGTCAGTTTAGCCTCTACACCCGGTTTTGTTACCCTCAACTTACCTCTATTAGACTTGCACGGCAGTTATCATGGCACAAATAGGTTGTTATGTCCCTTGTGAATATGCCCGCCTAACTCCGGTTGATCGTATTATGTCCAGGCTTGGGGCTAATGACAACATATTTGCTGCTCAATCCACCTTCTTTGTCGAGCTTTCCGAGACCAAGAAAATTCTCTCTGAAGCAACCCCCCGTTCCCTGGTCATATTGGACGAACTAGGCCGTGGAACTAGCTCTTATGACGGTGTTGCCGTGGCACAAGCAGTACTTCACCATGTTGCTACTCATATAGGCGCTCTAGGTTTCTTTGCTACTCATTATCACTCACTCGCAGCTGAATTTGAGGGGCACCCTGAAATTGCTGCTCGCAGGATGCGGATTCATGTCGACGATGCTGAAAGACGTGTGACTTTCCTCTACAAACTAGAAGATGGGGTCGCCGAAGGCAGTTTTGGAATGCACTGTGCCTCAATGTGCGGCATTCCATCCAAGGTGGTTGAAGGTGCAGAAGTCGCTGCGAAGCAGTGGGAACACACAAGTCGGATGAAGGAGAGTCTAGAGAAACGAAAAGGCGGTGGACTGATTGGTCTGGGCTGGTGGAGTGATGTTTCCTGGATCTTAAAGGAGTCTGCGCAGGCAGCTGATGAGGCTACTCGGTCAAAAAATGGTGACCGTGGGGTTGAGATACTCCTCAAGGCCATTGAAGCGTTATAATCTTTACGCACAAATAACCTTGCAGCGTTCAGAGTATCTATCTTTCATTGAATATCTGCTGTATAACTACTTGGCGTGGATAGTAACGCTACGCCATTATTCATTCTAGCACTCGTGTGTATCATTACCGCTTACTTATAGTTAAGCATAGATATACTCACATCTCCTAGATTCTATATAATAACTAGACTTTAATCCTCGACTTGCAAGGTTCCGCGGCTCCTTTGATTCACTGGTTCCAGGGAGCAGGATCGTAACCATCCATGTTAGTCACATACTCTTCTCCGGCCTTGACCCAGCCCTTAATGCCACCTTCAAGAATAAGGCTCTGAATACCGCTTTCCCCTCGTTCCTGAAGATAGTCGGCAAACCAGCCTGCCGCCCGGGGCCCTCGGCCATTGCATGAACCTGTTGCATATATCAGCCAGCTATCATAGCCAAACGAAAGTAGTGTGTAAGCGGAAGGGGTATCTGACCACAGTAGAAAACGGCCTTTTTAATACCAGCCTGCTTGAGCAGTTTGTATAGTGTTGGGCGTGATGCGTAGAAACTTTGGGCCGGTAGGTTGATAGAGCCACGTATTGTTCCGCCCTGGAGACAATGAATGTGAGTATGAGTATGAGTATGAGCATGAGAATAGAGTGTCTGTAAGGATATTGGTATCTAGCTAGTAAGGCATGCCTAACTGTGCTCAACATCATATCTGGCTATGGAAGCCCGGTCGAGCCGTCGAGCCTTACCTCGTGGTCGACCCTGCGTACGTCAACTAGCACATAATCCAGCGGTCCATCACTCCTTGATAGCCACCCAAGGACTTCAGAGCGGCTTACAGCCCCGGGAGTCGCTGTGGGGTTTGGAAAGGCAGCATGCCATGGTGCGTCTGTCGATTGCTGGGCTGCCATGGCGAAGTAACTAGTAACTAACAACCTGGCTTTGGCACAATAACTATATAGAGGAAATATCCAGTTCTTCTAGTAAAAGGAGAGGCGTGAAATGAAGTGGAAATGTTTACGACGGAGGTTTTGTAGACTGCTGCCTGAGGGGTTCGGAAGTCTACCAACTGCGTATATGGCTGATAGTCTTGGCTGGCGGTTAACTTAGCTCGTTAGTTAGTTATTAACTAACTAGTGGATATTTAATTTGAGAAGCGTTCAAGAGGCTCGGCGATAGCTACGTAGTAATAGAAAGATCTGGTTTGATAAGAAACCCCTTGTATTTCGCTTATTGGAGCCTAAAGTAGCTAGGAGCCCCGGTGTTCAGGTGGTGAAAGAGAGGAAACACACAAGAGGGTCCAGCATGATATGGTTTCAGAGCAAGAACATGCTTGACGAAGGGATACATTCCAGCCAGACCGATATACCCAGTCCTTGTCCAAGGCAGGCAGCCAATGTTGGTCAAAAAACAGTAAGTACTTAAACCCAATACCATGGTGACAGCCCGTGAGAGATTATTGTTGCAAATCCTCGAGTAGTTCTGCGCAAGTTAACATGGAACTAGAGGGTCTCATCATCAACCTCAGAGTTCATGGGGCTTCCAGTTGCAGTAGTCCCATTGCCGCTGGAGAACGCTCCTACTGCCCAAAGAGTGTTTAGTGATACATCTGAATATGAATAGAGTGTTCCATCAATTATACCTTTGGCGAAATCTTCGTGAAGAGGCTCCTCCTTTACAGACACTTCACCCTTGATGGGAACCATCCTGTGTCTCGTTAGACATGGGATACTATACAGGAGATATCATGACAAAAAAGGGGAACTTACGCCATGGGGTCGGCCTTAACTCTTCCCCCGGCCTTTCCTTTTCCTCCTCTGGCCTTGGGAACCTTGACGGGATTGGCCTGGGTTTCTTCATTGCCGTTCGACTCCTCATCAGTGGTAATGGTAGCACCTTTCCCTTTTGCGGAGGATTTACGGAGCTTAGTGACTTTGTCACTAGTCTACTCACGCATTAGAAACGTCTCCCAACATCTAATGTCTTAAAGATGCATACCTTTTTTGGGCTACCGTTGGTAGGCGCAAGGGTACCATCTTCGGTCAAGGCAGACAGGATCTTACGTCTCGACTTGTTGAAGAGGACAGAAGCACTGGCGGCATTCTTAAAGCCTGCCTTTTCGGCCAATTTGTCATAGTCAACCTAGTGACGCGTAAGGATACGATATTAGCTATGTGTTTAGATCTTATGCAGATCGAATGTCATCGGTGAAAATTGACGCGGTCATATAATATCGTCAACTGGACCGAGACTCTCCAAGGGCAATTTACCTTGATATTGTTCAGGCCATCGGTAGAGCAGAGAAGGCCCAGCATGAAGGTGCGCTGTTCACCAGCAGTCAAGGTGTCCATGATGATTGGAAGGATAGATAAGTAAATTCTGATGATATTAGATCCCAAGATTGTGGAACTAAATCAGAAAATATGCCTAGAAGCAGAGGATTATGTGTGAGTTGTTGGATTCAGGAGCACTGTGGAATGTTGTTTTTCATAGGAAAACACGTTTGTAAATAAATAATAAAAAAGGAGTGCAACGCAATATCAGAAATGTTATGGGCTTCTCGGCAGAGGATCTCACTTTATTGCGCAGCATCCGGTTGAACAGAAGGTAGTCTGAGAGCAGATAGTATTGTTATATGAACCAAGGGTAGAGTGAAAGAGAAGAGCACTTACTTGTGGCTCCTTGCCTTCCAATAAATAGGTATTGGTTATAAAGCTGATGATACAGAAGGTTCAATTTATTATCTTGTAGAAAATCATGTAAGCGTTGGATGAGAAGAGACTGAAGAAAAGCTGAAGAAACCGTGAGGGTGTTTATAAGAAGAAGGTAGTGAAAAGAAGAATGAAGAGAATTGTAAAAAAAAAGCCCCTTTTATATTGTGGAAGTTGCCTACCAGAAACCCTCGAAACCCTTGAAGCTTAGATTGAGAACAAAGGAAGAAACACAGTATTAATCTAGCTGGATATCGATTATGAGCAAACCACTGTTGGTAATCAAGCTAGACTTCAGCAAGGTAAAACGGTAGGGTGCTTGCTCTGGACAGAAGCACAACGAGGGGAGGGTATCATGCACTATTGACCGGGTATCCAGAACGCATTCGAGGTTGAAAGGATGGTACTATCAGTAGCCTTATCGTCCATTGAAATAAAAACTGGAAATGATTCCTAGAAATTGCTTTATGGTGCCCGGTTGCTCTTAATTAGGGTAAAGACTTGCTCCCATATCTCGGGGAGAAATCTCGAGGTTGATCTTGCTGGCCGGCTCTTCTCAGGTGCAAAAAATAGCACTTGATCTCTTCCCTTCCACCATGGCCTAGGCTGTGGATTAATGTTCATAAAGCTCACTGGGCGAACCATTGACGTGCAAGGGACTAGATCGGATATTGAGACGAGCGTTCGCTTTGGGTAGAAGTTAAACTTCATAGTCTCAACATTCAATGTTGCATTACGTGGGATTTTATTGAGGTACGCTCGTAGGTGTTCCCTTGACTGTTGGGTAAAGACCGGTAGGGAAAGGTACACTTGGTTCACGAACGGGGCGGCTGTAAATGAGACGAAGAGCATCGGTATTGCACCACCAAGGAGAACTTTTTAAGATAACTATTAACAATGGCATTATTGATTTTTTGGAAAGACGGTATACTCACTTGCAGGAGCTATATACCATGGGAATTCAGCCGCATAGAAAGCTGGGGCCACTACGGTGCAGGACACGACGAATATTAGGATAGTCGTGACTCGCATCAACCCAATAAAAGCAATCTTCCCGGTACCGGCATGATATATCACTACCTGTTTCGGCTTTAGGCGGGCCGCTGTATAGGACGTCAGCTTTATATAGCTTGGAGCGGATTGAGTGCAGGATGCAGACTAACTTCTGTTTTGAGCCGGTTGTGTTTTGGCTTGAGGATATCGAAGCGGCGCACGCAATGGGCCATTCTGAGCACTGACTGTTGACTTTTTTAACGGGGCTGGCGAACTAGAGAGAGCATCTGTACCTTTCTGGCGTGTCGGTACTCTGATGGTGATATCTCGGTGAATCCAGGAGCTTGACCGGAAGCTAAGACTGTGACGAGACCGAAGGCAAAACATAACTCAAAATATAGTACAAGTTGAGGATAAAAGTTTCCCTATAGGCGATAGTAGAATACTCCAGAATAGAAGCATCAATGGCAGTAGAAACGAGGTACAGTAAAACGTTTCTCGTCTCTCATTTCTCTTTGCGCGCCGAAGCGTCCAAAATACCATACTCACGTGACATTAAAGTTTCGGGATAAGCGCCGAGCCGCGAGGGCTTGGCAGGGCCTTATTTCCTCTCGGGGTTAATTTCGATGGGTTACCATCCATGCTGACTTTGGTTTATCAGGTGCTCGGAAGGGCATCAAAGGAAGGCAACGGTAGGACAGTACTCAGTCCCCACGATACGGGATTGCGGAGATTTGTTCTAGTCGGCCTGCCCTCATGTATATTTATATCTAGGTAGGCACTGGATATCCCATTCGTCGCCATCTGACATATTGGGCTGATTTTGTTCAATGTTAACAGGTTACCATGACATGATCTATCACGAAGCTACGATTTCTTGTTGCACGACTTACGGTGGCCATGGCAGTGTCAGGGCGGCCAGCTCCTGCCCTTTTAACGATGCTATTATATCTCCCGTTTCTCGGTCTGCTCTTCTCACCAGTTAATTGCTATACACCCGTATCCGATACTACTTTACGGTCGTTGCCTCGTCCAGGAAGCGACTTCGATATACACAATGGCGCAATCCTTGCTCCAATCTTACGGCCTAGGGTGCCTGGGACCCCAGGATCAATTGCTGTACTTGAACACTTCGTGAAATTCTTCAAAGAGAATTTACCAGATTGGAGGCTCGAGTTTCAGAACTCCACTTCAAAAACCCCAGTAACCGGTGATAAACAGATTCCGTTCATCAATTTGATAGCTATTCGCGATCCCCCATTTGCCAAAGTTGGCGATGTCAGTAGGTTGACTCTGGCTGCTCATTATGACAGCAAATTCACCCCGGAAGGGTTTATTGGGGCGATAGACAGCGCTGCACCGTGTGCGATGCTATTACATGCCGTAAGAAGCATTGATGCGGCATTGACAAAAAAGTGGAAGTCAATGCAATTGAGTCCCACTGATAATCTTGACATCGATGCGCATCAGGGTATTCAAATTTTCCTGTTAGACGGTGAAGAGGCATTTGGCGAGTGGACTGCTACAGATTCCCTTTATGGAGCTCGATCTCTAGCTGAACACATGGAACATGACTATTATCCTGCTCTCTCCACGTTCAAGACGTCATTATCAGCCATAAGGCTGTTTGTCCTCTTCGACCTACTAGGAAGCAAAGATCCTGTCATGCCATCTTTCTTTGCAACCACCCACTGGGCGTATAAGCATCTAGCTCAACTCGAACAACGACTCCGTACACTTGGGCTATTTAAATCAGATCCAGACCCTAAGAAGGGTGCTCCGAAGGCATGGTTTACTGAGGGAAACAGACCATCAGACAGGAAATTCCTGTCCTTTATTTCGGATGACCATATACCATTCATGCAGCGGGGAGTTGAGATCCTCCACCTGATACCTTGGCCATTCCCAAGAGGTATATGGCACACAATGGCGGACAACGCAGACAATCTTGACCCTCCTACTGTTGAAGACTGGAGCACCCTTATCACTGCATTTGCTGCCGAGTGGATGGATCTCGAGGGATTTTTCGACACGAAAAAATCAAAGCAAGCTAGACTAGACGTGGAAGACAAGTCGGAGCTGTAAGCCATTTTATGTTACATTTAGAAGTTTGTTAATGTTGACGTGGCGACCTTCCTTACTCGGGGTATCTCTGTCTCTGCCTTCAAGTGTCTCCCTGTCAAAAGCCGACATGCATGTTATTTTCAATGATTAACAACGCCATGGACTAATAATTCTTTCCTAGCATTTAGGGGACCGTGACGGGATATTTTCATTTATCAGGCAGTTTTCCCCTTTGTTTTACATTCTTCAAGAAGAGCTTCAACCTCCGGCTCGATATCCACAGCATAGATGGCGCTCAACTCATCCAGGAAATATTTTCGGGAAGGCACTTTCGTTCTATTTTTCTCAAGAAACAGCCCAGTCTCGGGCATTGAACCGATTAATCACAATCGTTAATAAATAATGTTCACCTAATTGGTCCAGATAATGACAAATGCTGCAAGTTGCAGATAAAAGTCGTTTGTGTTGTTATACTCTATTTCATGGTTGCTATCTAGTCAGTCAGGGGATATTGAAAACGGCCTTAGGGGCCAATCATCGGACACTATGTTCTAAAAATATGTACAACTGGGAGCTGCTTTCTTAGCAACAAAGGAAGAATACACTTCAAATACCAAGGAGGCTACCCAGCCAGAAGCCAGCGAGCCATGGTGCTCCCCACAGCGGCGAGAGAGCCGATCTCAGCAATCCAGGACCAGGACAAACACCACTTAGTCCCCATCCAATACCAAAGGCAACACAACCAACCACAAACCTCCAATCAATATCTGCTATTGTAGCAGTTGGTAGGCTGAATCGGTCAGCCAGAAGTGGTGGTTTCATACCATCTTCGTTGCCGTATTCAGTTTTCATATATAAATAGGACAAAAGACTGGGTCCGACACCGAATACCATGACAAGCGCAAGAGATGGATCAAACTTGGCAGGATCAAACCAGTGGAAGAAACCAAGGACCTTCTCTGGGTTCGCCATGCCCGTTATAAGCAAGCCTAGACCGAATTGGAGCCCTGCAATGCAGCTGTAGACCACGTTTGAATTGGTGTAACGGGGCAACAGAGCTGGAACTAGGAATGAATTGAATGCCTGGGAAATGGCAACGGTAGAGAACATGAATGCAACTTCATCTATGGATGGGTAGACGGGCAAGTAAGCTGGGCGCCCATCCGGTGGAGGCGAGACCGTCGCCCCAATTCCAAGATTTGCAGTGACCAGTGCGGTGATAAAGAAGATTCCAGTTGCAATGAAAGACCGTGGTGATATTCGAGATATACCACAGAGCATATGTCCGGATGTGCATCCGTTACCATTCTAGATACGCAGGTTAGCTATGCTGCCCAGATCTTGTTGGTCTATCAGCCGGACGGGACGCTGTCAAGCGAACTAGCTACCTACCTTCGTTCCCCATCCAACCAGGAAACCAATTCCAGCGAGTGCAAGCGCAGCTCCCCATGTTGCCGGCGGGGTAGCATATGGAGGTAAGAGTGACGGTGCCAACAGGTAGACCGGGACAATGCTCGATACCATTCCAAGTATCACAGGGACATTTTGTGTGTTGGGGTTTCCCACGCAGCCTGACAGGAGAGACGAGATACCGAACACCCGGCCATTGTTTTGCAGTAGCCCGTATGAGCCCTGGTATAAAAGCAGCGCCCCCAGGGACGTATTGATAGGCGTGAATGGCATCTCGATGTTCAGGATAACTAAATGTTGACCGAGTTGTGATCCTTTTTGGCGCGATGCCACAGCCTCTTTAAGCTGCCAGGCGCAGAACCGGCGTAGAACGAGGTATAAGAGCCCGCCGCCATGCCCACCATCATGCAGGCTGGCAGCGGGGAAGAGAGATTTCGTCCATTCACATCCATGGCCAATATGCCGGAAGCCTGGCAAGGGCCGTCTGCTTGCCAGCAGACAAAGCATCGGCGAGCACTCCACTCAAGGCTCGGGATTCGCGGCTTGGTCCCCTAGCGCTGATGGCGACTAGCAGTCCATCTATACTTGCAGCTGCATATAAACTATAGTTACCCCGGGGGGCTCTGTAGAGGAAGACAGAGAGCACACGACTGGCCAGTTGCCCATGATGCTCTGTAGTTGTGTCGTAGCGGTGCTGTCGGAAGGAAAGGAGAGTGGCCAGCAGTATAGTTAACTAACTAGATAACTAGATAACTAGTTAGTCAAGGAAAAGTTGCTGGCCAAACCAAACACCAAACGGCCCTTAGCTAATTGACTGCTCAGTAACTAGCTGGTTGAACACAGCCGGGTACCAACAGCGCCGCAGTACTGTGATGGAGGAAGGATCGCACAAATCGAGGACGATCGAAAACCCCTTTGTAAAGCCCGAGAATCAGAGATGGAGCGTCTCCTTGCATCGATCCCTCGTTCGAAGCGTTTCACCTCCGCCGGCCAGGGCCAGGAAACGCCGTCGTGAAGGCCAAACCCCCCCTAGGGTCGCCGATGAAGATGATACGAAGCCCGAAGATCAGCCACAGAGCGAGCTGAAGGTCGATATCGCGGCTATCGAGGCTGGAAGAGAGGATGTTGAAGACCACCTCGAGGTATTTTCCGCGCGCCTCCGGGCTTCAACCCGGCCTGAGCTGCCGCAGGTCCCTCGGCTGGATCATTCGGCGTGGAGGGACCTCTATCAGAGGAACCAGCATGAAGACGGCAGGCATTTCGTCGTCCATCAGCATGATCATCCCATTGCTGGCCCGCACTACGATCTCAGGCTGCAGTTTTCACGGACCAGTTCGTTGAGCTTTGCCATCATGTATGGCCTGCCAGGGAATCCAAACAGCAAGCGACTGAGTAGAAATGCTACCGAGACAAGAGTGCACAATGTATGGGTACGTCGACATGCCATGGTACGCCGTTTGGTCCGGAGAGACGTTTTATTGACGGATGAATGTACGGAGTAGAATCACTTGATTGAATCTGCGTCTGCTGCATCAGGCAGCATGATAATCTGGGATACTGGCGAGTACTCCGTGCTTCCATATTACGGCAGTGATGCCCTACAAACAGACAAATCCGATGCAAGCCTTTCTACAGAGGAGCAGCCTACAGAAAGTGAAAAGCTCCGAAGAGCATTCCGTCAGGTAAATGGCCAAATAATCTTCATGAACGGAAAGTAATCACTGCGTTGCATCTCTAACGACTTCATCGCAGCGGAAAATTCGGCTGAGACTACACGGCACGCGACTGCCACCTAACTATACGGTAACTCTTCGACTCACACGGGACAATGATAAACCAGGACAACTGAAACCCCCATCAAGAAGAAGAAGGGCAGGTAGGCAGGTAGATATCAGACAGAGACCCGAGTTGACTTCATCAGACAGCGAAGAGCACGAAGAGAGGCCATCTTCAGATCAACCTTCATCAAATATCTCGCCCTCGCATTCTGACCAGGAAGACGAAACCATACGCCAGACAAACGCGTATAGAGGGGCGACAAATTCAATTTCTTCCATCCACCAACGGACTTGGTACTTGACCTTGGACCGTGTCAATTCGGGTTTTGATAGGCGTGTGGGCAGCACCCGAGCAGTTCACTGGACCAGAAAAGAAGAAACGAGCCCCGGAAACGGAGCCAGTCCCCTGGGATTCGAGCCGTTCTTCGTCCGGGGACCAGACTTCGAGCGAAGTATCCTCACCGGAAGATTGGGCAGCGATGTTCTCCATGATGGGGCTGTTGTTGGCTTTCGCGGGAGGAAAGGATGGCGCCCCGTTCTCGAATAATCTAACTAACGAATTCCATCAATCACAGCGTTACCCCAAACCAACTCTCTTGACAGACACTGAAGTTGCTCGTGGAGTTCTACTTTTTTTAGAATTTTTCCGGCCTTCAAGCTCCAATCCAAAAGCTTAGGAGCCAACATGCGCTGCCCAATCAGCCCTCCGCAATTAGTTATAAAAACAGCCCAAAGTCGACGTCCCTCTTCAAGACGTCGATCTCGGTCAAAAAAAGCCGGGGGTGGCTTCTTACACAATCAAAGAACGGGTTTCTATTAATGTTTTCCCCCATTGCCAGTGGAGCTGCGCTCAACCACGTGTGAATACAAGTGACCGCTATTTGGGCTTGGGTGGAGGAGACGAAGGGAAAGTACGAAGTACGAGTTGGATGGAGTCAAGTATCTGAGAGACGGAACAGCCTTCTTGTCAAAAGAACAGAGTACATGCGCTCTCTGGCCTGCCATGTAACCAGAGGGCTTCTTATCTGGCCTGCATTACTTGATGCAACCTCCTTCATGAGGTGGTGTTGCTGTGGCAGGGATAGTTAAGCTCCTCCTGCCCCCATATATGCGGGACCCTAAAGTTCGCCTTACCAACTCCTCGCGGAGTTGGATGGTGCTTGCGCTATGATGGACATTACCCTTGCTACACATGCACAGTTTCTACCTCTTCATTCGCTTGCTTTCGGAGGGCAGGATAATCTGGGCCTTACTTGACGTGAGAGTGGAGAGCTTCATCTCGTGAAATGCTCCCCGAGATAACGAAAATGAAAGCACTGCGATCGGGTATTGCGACTATGTCGGTACTTAAATAGCAGGCAGATTTCCTCAGGAATAAGATATTTTCTCTGTCAGGCTAATCTCGCCTGGTTAGTGAAGATGTTCTATACACTCTCTCTTTTGGCGCTTTGCGCTACCACGGCAACTGCATCTTATGGAAGCAATTTGAACTACCGCAGTCCTTCGCTTCATCATCCCTCCCTCGGTATTTCTGTACCCAAGGTCCTGAAGAGAACCGACCCGGCTATTGAGTTCGCACCCGAAAAATTGAACTTCACTCACGGTGTAGCGTCTGGAGACCCCTATGCCACCTCCGTCATCCTATGGACGAGATGTTCTCCACAATTTGACGATGTCAACGATAACAGCACCGTATCTGGTGATGTGCCACTTTACAACCCTGTTCCAGTTCACAAAGACACAGATGAACATAAACCCGTCTCCAAGGCTCCTATTTGCTTAGAATTTAAGGTTTCCACGGATGAGAAGTTCAAGAAGGTCATTGAGAAGGGCACTGTCTATACCAGTTCTGATGTCGATTATACTGTCAAGGTAAGCCGGTTCTATATTTTTACGTACACGGTGTTATCTATGGAGTCCAAGGTAAGATTTTGACACATACAACAGGTTGAAGCCACGAAACTAAAGCCGTTCACCGAATACTACTACCAATTCAATGTCTGTGACTCTGACAAGAAGAGTCCAATTGGACGCACCAAGACTGCGCCAGCTGAGGATGACCTGGTGGAGGATATCTCCCTCGCCGTCTACTCTTGTAGCAACTACCGTAAGTTTGACCACCATTACTGTAAAGATTTCAAATATTTAACTATTTCAATAGCCTTTGGCTTCTTCAACGCCTACGGAAATCCAGTGCGAAAGGATTCCGTTGACTACGTGCTTCATCTTGGGTATGCCTCGTTGATTATATCTTGTTTGCTGGATCAACCCACTAACTCAATTAATTTCGCTGGTTCTAAGTGATTACATCTATGAGTACCAGGATGGTCACTAGTAAGTCTCAGTCGCCCATAAATGTTCCTCCATGCGCATGATAGCTTACAGTTGACAATAGTGGCTCTGGAAAAGACATTGGACGAGTTCCATTGCCTGACCGTGATATCTTCACTCTATATGATTACCGCAAGCGTCATGCCACCTACAGAACTGATCTTGACTTGCTTGCCAGTCACCAACGCTTCCCTTGGATTCCAGTTTGGGATGACCATGGTACGGTTTAATTCTTAATAAGAAATTTGGCTGCCAGAATGATCCATTAACAATACCTGCTAGAGGTCGCCGATAACACCTACCGTGATGGGTCATCTAAGCTTAACAACACTGAGGAGTCCTTCGTTGCAGACGGTGGAATCAGTACTGACCAGAGAAAGATGAACGCTGTTCGCGCTTATTTTGAATGGATGCCTATCAGGTCTGTTATATTCACCTGTATTTTGATATCATTCCACTAACCTTCTGGCAACCAGACAAGTGGAAATGGATGACAACCTCCGTATTTGGCGCAACTTCCAGCTCGGCTCCCTTGTTGATGTTATCATGCTTGACACCCGTGTGTATGATCGATCTATTACCGACCTAACGTGGAATAAGGGCTACGTTAGCCAACTTCGCGGTGATGCTAGCCGCAGTTTGATGGGCTCTCGTCAGGAAAATTGGTTCTACCGCAACCTCATCGAGTCTGCCGAGCGAGGTGCTAAGTGGCGTGTCATCGGCAGCCAGGTCGGTACGTAACACGCCAGCTAGTTAATATACACTCGCTGTGTAATCTGACAGCTAATGGTGTCTCGATGCAGTGTTCTCCCACATTAACGAGTCTGCTGCCTTTGGTGCTGCCCGTAACCTCAACAATGATGCCTGGAGCGGTTATCAAGCAAATAGAAACCGCACGTTCAAGACCCTCTACGATCACAAAATTCCAAACAACATCATGATTGCAGGCGACAGCCATGCCAACTGGGTCAGTGATCTTGTCTGGCTTGATGAGGTCCCATATGATCCAAAGACCGGCGAGGGTGCCATTGGTGTCGAGTTTGCCGGGTCTGCCATCTCTTCACCATCTCCTGCTGGCAGTAAAATAAACCTTAAGAACTCGATTGAGAAGTCCAAGCTACTCGCAACCACCAACAAGGTCCTGCAGTGGTCCGAACTGTACTACCGTGGCTACTTCGAGCTGCACTTCAACCAGAAGGAAGTCCAGGCTCGGTTCTTTGGAACTCCCCATATCCGTGACCGAAACCCAGATGAGATCTCTCTGGCCAACTTCACTGTCAAGGCGGGAGCCAACCGCCTTGACCGCGGCAACGTAGGTGTTCCTGGCGGTGGCGTGGTAGAGAACGGATGGCTCAAGGGTGGAAAAGTTGTTCAGACCAACTTGACCAACAACACCGAGAGCGGAATGTGGCACATCAACAAGTAAATATAGTTATTCATTACGCAGCGTACATCAGAAATAAACAAGCATAATGTACATGTCCTTGGCCTTGCTTGCTTTTTCCCCGGTCCTGAGGCATTACAATATGCCACTTTCAGCATACATTGATGCTATCCCTGGCCCCAGGCAAAAAAGAATTAATTTATTACTGATAGTTCTGTCACTACGGAGTATAGAGACGGCGTTTAGGAGTTACCCAGCTACTCCTTAGAAAAGGGCCCAATCATTCTATCACCAGAAACTAGATTCAAGATCCTCCACCTCATTGAATCGGTCGATAGAAGATCCGTGATAATTGCTTTTTGATAGATAGCGACAAACAAGACTGAGTTACGAATGTTCCGGCCGGCAAGGAAGAACCACATTTTATAAGCAATTAACTAACTGGCCAACTAGACAAGCCACGGGCCGGACCCTAAGCCCGTTCTCCAGGCCTCAAAGGACGTTGGTCCGTCTGGCTTGCATTCTCGAGTCCGTCACAGCACCATCCATGCCGACGAAGAGGATCGCGAGAGAGGCCTTCGTGCCCCTCTACGCCTCTCACAGCACATCGACATGGATCACACCAGACAGAGATGGAAGAGATGAAGATGGATAACCTGATAGCTGGTTTTGGAGCTGTGAGCTAGCATGCAGCAAGCTGTGAAGCCATCCAGGGCCGCAGCCAACCAAGATTCTCAGACTCATGGCAGATCTCAGGATGCTTTAGCTGCCTGGCCGTTCTATCGAATGTGCTGGTCTGATAGGGAATCCTTCCCTCCAGCTTCTGGACCCTACGAGCCGGAGTTGTGCTGGGCTTATACATATATGCGGCGGACTCGCCTCTCCACTGCCTTTGAGATATCCTTTCGTGTTTCTGCTCTGCATCTCTATCTTCATCCCTCTCTCCTCCCCTTTTCTTCGATTGCGGGAGTTACAAGTTCCATATCCTTTTTGTTTTCCTATCATATTCTCACTCCGTATTCGCAGAAGGAAGCGGTGGTTGACGTCTTTGAAGAGAATGGGAGGGCTTCGTTAAGCAGCTACATAACTCGAGCCGAAGGAGTCCACCATCTGGCCTTGGAAGATTTTCCTGTCCACAGTATCTCTGGCTGTAAATGAGGAAATATGGCAGACTACTCTGTACGCAGAATACACAATTTGTCGATTGCGATTGGCATTTCCGGATCTTGCCTCACTGCTGTGGCATCAATTCCAGCCATCCGCGCAGTCATTGCTCGATACCAGCTGAAAAAGGAGAATGACCTGTATCAGTCTCTATGTCAGCTGTACCAAGATGAGGACGGACATGCTACCGAATTATCCTCCGAAGCGTTCTCAGACAGGTTCCAGCGAAGCTTGATCGCATTGGCCTCGCTCACAGGCGTCCTTGCATCTCTGGCCATTGCCGTACTGGATACTGATGGCCACGGAGTCTATAGCCGACCGATCATTCTGCAATGGCTGATTTTTACTGTTTGGGTAAGTGGACAGCCAGTATTTACCATATACTGTAACTATATACATCTATACTTGGAGTACCAAATATCGATTCTGACATACAACTTGATTAGGGGATGCTCTTAATACAGGCAGCTGCGCTGAGTGTTGAGCCTTTCTCAGCCAAAAGATATGAATTAGGCCTGTATAAGGCTGTCTCCTGCTGCTTCCTTTTATTTGTTCTGAGTGGTCAACTATGGTCCATCAAATCGATGGATGGATGGCAATACCTCTCCTCTCCTCATGGCATCGTCCTTCTGGTTCAGTTATTAGCCGGGCTTTCCAGCTGCTGTGCCTCAGTCTCTTTGCCTCGCCGACCTGAGCTGTATTTGGACGGGAAGCCTGTGGATCATCAGTTTACTGGCACCTTCTTCGGCCGCATTTCCTTCTCCTGGGCAGGACCTTTACTTAAATTCGCTATCAAGAACCAGACTTTAGAAATAGATGACCTCCCAGCGCTCGACTATGCAACCCGGTCTACGAACTTGCGAGATGTTTTTGACAAGGCAAAAAAGCCTGGTGAGAAACTCTGGAGGACGCTTGTACGAGTATACGCTTCTTCCTTGATTAGCCAGGCCCTCCTAGTTGTCTGCACGTCAATTTTTAACTTTGCGCCTCAGTATTGCCTGTTGAAAATACTGCGTTCTCTTGAGAGCCGCAACTCAGTTTCGTGGCATCCCCTGGATGCCTGGGTTTGGGTATTTGCTCTCGGAGGCTCTATACTCCTTTCTTCAACTGTCGAATCTTGGCTGTACTGGGTTGCACAATACCAGCTGGGTATTCCAGTATATGAGCAGCTATCCGCGGTCATATTTGCGAAGGCAATAAGGCGGAAGGATGTCAAAGGCCGACAGCAGGTCAATGGACAATCTGAGCAAGGAGACAAACAGGACTGTCCTCAGGGACCATTTGAGGAAGATGGTGAAGATGACAGAAAGACCAGACAAGCCACTATCAACCATATAGCCGTTGACGCCACCCGAATTGCCGATTTCGCGGCCTACAACTGCATCATTATTCTCATCATTGTCAAGCTGACTATTACAATCATTTTTCTTAGCGGCTTGATTGGCTGGAAAGCTCTTGGTGCTGGACTACTTGTGTCAGTGATTATAACTCCTATGAATATTTACACAGCCAAGAGATATAACTCGTCACAAAATACCCTGATGGACCACCGGGACCGTAAAATGGGAGTGGTTGCAGAAGCCCTCCAGGGTATCCGTCAGATTAAATTCTCTGCGTTGGAGAGCCAATGGGAGCGGAAAATATTCGCTGTGAGAGAAGCTGAGCTAAGTGCTCAATGGCAAACATTTATCTGTGAAATATTCCTGGTCACTATCTGGATAATTGGCCCTGTTATGCTCTCGGCCGTATCCTTAGGAGTTTATACCATTTTATACGGCTCGTTGTCTCCTTCTATTGCGTTTACCACTATTTCGGTGTTCACAGCCATGGAGTTTTCCCTGGCGGTTCTGCCAGAATTGGTTGCAGACTTTATAGAAGGCTTTGTTAGTGCGGAACGTATAGGAAAATACCTCGAGTCATCAGAAAGGATTCCAACAATAATTCCAAGTGAACATATCTCATTTGAAAAATCCACCGTGGCGTGGCCTACGGAGAACCTTGATTACAAGGCCGAACTGTTCACGCTTCAGGATTTGAACATCAACTTCCCATCAAAGGGGCTAAGCGTGATATCAGGGAAGACTGGCTCTGGAAAGAGTTTACTTCTCGCTGCTATCCTGGGCGAAGCTGACGTACTCGAGGGTGTTATTCGAGCCCCTGTTCCACCTCCACTAGAGGACAGATTTGACAGTAAGGCCACGAAGGCCAACTGGATAATTGACTCTGCTACTGCATTTGTTGCACAGGTTCCATGGATTGAGAATGCAACCATTAAGGAGAATATATTATTCGGGCTCCCTCTTGATAAAGAAAGATATGAGAAAGTCTTATTTGCCTGTGCATTAGAGAAGGACTTTGAAATGCTTCCAGATGGCGAACTCACGGATATCGGAGCAAATGGTATCAATCTCAGCGGTGGCCAAAAATGGAGAATATCATTTGCACGAGCGTTATATTCTCGTGCGGGAATACTTATTATGGACGATATATTTAGCGCCCTTGATGCCCACACAGGACGACATCTGCATATCCATGCCTTAACAGGCGAACTATCCGAAGGACGGACAAGAATTCTCGTTACCCATCACGTCGGACTCTGTTTACCGCAGGCTGATTACGCAGTCCACCTCGAAAATGGTGCTGTAAAATACGCCGGAACGCTCGTCGAGCTTCGACGAACAGGGACCTTGAGTGAGATCCTTGCAGAAGAAGATACTAAGCAGGAGGCAAAGAAATCCTCGCCGTCACTGGCTCTTCATAAACAATCTGCTGAAGGCGGCTCCGCTAATACTCAAACATGTGTTCAGAGACAAATAAAGGAGCCACCAAGGAAATTCCAGCAGGAGGAAGGTCGTGAGATTGGCGCCGTGAAATTGATCAACTACGTGAAATATCTGCAAAACGGAGGAGGGCTACCATTTTGGACTATCGTGATGTTTCTGTTCACCCTTTTTGCAACCTTGGGAGTACTCCGCGTAAGTTAACCTACCAAGCGATAGCTTTTCTCTGTCATAACGCTTACATTCCTGATGATGGTCTATAGTCATGGTGGGTTAGTATTTGGACCAGGTCCGTGGAAGAGATAGCAGAGCAAAAATTGGATATCATGTTCCATGTCACCAACCGCATCTTGACTCCAAAAGAGTCGCCCCCTGATAAGTTATGGTTCTACCTTGGTATATATGTAGCACTGTCAGTGCTATCATGTGTGGTCGGGTCTCTTCGATACGCAGCTTTCCTATACTCATGCATTCAGGCTTCACGGAGCATATTCAGGAAGCTTACATATACCATCCTTCGGACTCCTCTGCGATGGCTCGATACTGTTCCTCTCGGCAGAATCCTCAACAGGTTCACTTCAGATTTCAATCAGATTGATTCCAAGCTTCCATTTGATTTATCCGGCATGGTACAAAATGTTCTACAAATCATTGGAATTATAGCCGCAGGTGTACTCGTCTCGCCTTTTCTAATCATCTTCGCCATGATCTTACTTTTGCTATGTTTTTATTATTCCAACTTATTCCTTCAGGGAGCTCGCGAGATCAAGCGTCTTGAGAGTAATGCAAAAAGTCCGATATTCGAGCAATTCGGTTCTGCCCTTATAGGATTAGGGACAATTCGCGCATTCAGCAAAGGGCAAGCTTACATCGAACGCATGTATGCTAAGATTGACCGCCATGCCCAGGCTTACTGGAACCTATGGCTGTTTAACCGCTGGCTTGGTTTCCGCATGAGTGTCATTGGAGCAGCCTTTGCCAGTGCTACTGCAGCTTTTATTGTAAGTCTCAGTTCAATTGACGCATCTCTTGCTGGGTTTGCTCTTAGTTTTTCTCTTCAATATACATCCGCAGTTACCTGGATGTTGAGAAAATATGCCAACGTTGAGTTGGAGATGAACTCAGTGGAGAGAGTATTTGAATATTCGGATCTTGAGATCGAGAATCAAGACGGCCTAGATGCTCCAGCAGCATGGCCAACGGAGGGACGATTGGAAGTCTCAGACCTTGTTGTCGCATATGCTCCGGAGCTCCCTCCTGTTTTGAAAGGACTGTCATTCACGGTTGAAAAAAACCAACGAGTCGGGATAGTCGGTCGGACCGGCGCAGGCAAGTCTTCCCTGACGTTAGCCCTCTTCCGTTTCCTGGAGACTCGAGAAGGGTCTATTCATATAGATGGAGTTGATGTGTCTAAGATTAAACTTGCACATCTGCGGAGCCGTCTTGCCATTATTCCACAAGACCCGGTTCTATTCTCTGGAACCATTCGCTCAAACCTCGATCCATTCGATGAGTATTCTGATTCCGAACTTCAAAGTGCCTTGGAACGTGTTTATCTGGTCCCTCAAGCCGATCAAATGTCGTCAATCTCTTCTATTGGGGCTCCAGAAACACCCACCGAATCCGGTGTAAGCACTCCCACTGCCGTTGAATCCAGCGCTTCCAGTACCTTAGCTAGCAGGGCCGGTACGAGCATCAATATCTTCAGGAACTTGAATTCTAGTATATCTGAGGGTGGCCTCAACCTTTCTCAAGGTCAACGTCAGTTGCTTTGCCTGGCACGAGCCATTGTATCCCGGCCGAAGATCATGGTTCTTGACGAGGCTACTTCTGCAGTTGACATGGAGACCGATGCGCTTATACAGCAGTCTATCCGGTCTGAATTTGGCCGTAACTCAACGACCTTACTGGTCATTGCCCATCGTCTGAGCACCATCGCAGATTTCGATCGTATTCTGGTTTTGGATGCCGGAAAGGCGGTTGAGTTTGGTACACCAAAGGACCTGATGCATATTGAAAACGGCGTATTTAAGAGCCTTGTGCATAATAGTGGTGAGCGAGAGGCACTAGAGAGTATTGTTCTGGCCTAGTCTAAAAGTGATATGCCCTCTAAACGTTGGTTTGGGCTCTTAAGATGCAAGACTGGTTGTATAAAATTTGTTAGCAGCCCATATAGTTGATTCAAAGCTAGCTAGTTCTCTTCTTTCACTTCTTCCATCGCTTTACATTCTTTTTTTGGGGCTAATAGCTTGGGGTGGGAGGCCATGTTTCCTATATCAGAATATTCTAGGACATTTATACAAATGAAGGTCTACATCTTCTCGTTCCATGCATTCATACATATGTATATTCCACTATTATATTGATAGACACTAGGCGTCTATCTATTTGGCCCGCATAGTGGCATAGTCATCCAATAGCTTCTTCGACTGCTCTTCAACCGTGTTCATTGCCAACCTCCACATCCGTGGTCCGACACTGATTCTTGCAATCCCAATATCGGCCAATTCCTGGACCGTCAGTCCATCAGGGAGAAGGCTAACATTTAGCATTCCACCAAACTCCTTCGTGAGTCTCTCAACGTCGGCACGGGACAGGCCACCCCATACGAAAACAGTGGTAGCACCAGCCTCGAGGAAAGCCTTGCCTCTCACAATAGCATCTTCCAGATCTTTGTGCAACAGAACAGCGTCGGTGCGAGCATTGAGGACAAAATTCGGAACTCCCGCCTTGACGGCAGCAGCCATGACACGGCGGACACGGTCAACGGCAACATCAAGGGGGAAGAGCTTGCCGGTCTCATTGTCCTTATCTTCCAAGTTGCATCCCGAAGCACCTGCAGCAATGACTGATTCAATGGACTCCTCTAGGCGGGAGCCGTATCCGTCTTGCATGTCCACGGAAAGGGGCTTGTTGAATTCGGCTGCGACAGAGGCGATTCGACGAGCCGATGCGAGGTTGGTCTCAAGGTCAAGATCGTCATCGCTTACTCCATGGACAGCAGCTACCGCGTAGCTCGCAGTTGCTAGGGCGGTGGAAGAAGGGTTGGCTGCCACTATGCGGGCGGAAGAAGCATCGTAAACATTGGCGAAGACGAGGGGCTTCCCTGGAATATGCAGATTCCGCAGCTGGATAGCTTTGTCGTTTGCAGAAGACATTTTTGATGGTAACTGGGAGGTATATATATATATATATATATATATATATATATATATATATTCGAGACACAAAAACAGGCTTTAACAGGTAATTCCTTTCCGTGGCTGTAGATCTTGATGTTTGTAGAGGATGCCTTGGGGGGGAGCAGTGAGATGCTGATATATATAGTCACATCTTAACTCCGTTCAGCTTGTATGAAGCGGGGCAATTGACTGTCCGCCATACGGTGATAATGAGGCGTGTACTCCGCAGGCTCTTGTATTTGTAAGTGGTTACGAGAGCTCGAGACGAAGTTCCATCAACGGATCGATCTTGTGTCGTATTCTGGCGGGCTAGCGCCCGCATCTCGTTAAGGCGAGTCAGCCGTTTGGCATCCGAGATGCCCAGCCCGAGTAGGCAATTCCTTCCGAGAGAGCCTATTAATCCTTCATGCAAGCTGGCGATTCTGTGAGGTTGTTGATATCATCGGCCTTGCATATCCAACATAGCCTATGCAGGTGGTGGTGGGACAAGTCGGGGATACAGTTGTGGCTCGGTATTAGTTAACTTATCACCCTTTAACTAGCTGGGTAACAGCTAACCTTATAGTCGGCTACTCAAGCGCGAGTCCTGTCAGTAGAACTACATAGTAGTTACTTAGATATTTGGCTAAATGGGCCAAGGTAGACCGAATACAAATTTTTTGAGCTCCTAAAATTCAGGTCTAGTAGTTAAGGCATGTACAATTGACTGAAGAAGACCGCTCCTGGTGCTCGTTCAGCGGGTTCCGACGCTTCCTGGTGCTGGGTTCAACCGCTGCGAGTACAACGTTAACTACAGCACGCAGACAGGTGCGTCATATAACCTGATCTCGGATGAGAAGTTCCCGTGCGGCTGGGAATGGGCCTCTTGCATATGCTAGATCCCGACCTCGTCTTTCTGATACCCGAGAAGACACAAGACTGCTATTTGTTTGTCATCCCTAGCCGTTTTGTGTATATCCAATCGTCTAAAGGACGCAAGATCTATACGCAGGGTTGGGGGCCATCGCACCACGGTTACCCGGCGGGGGAGATATCCGGGGGCGGTTTGCTCGTAGGTCTTTTTGTTGACACTGGTTCACAATGGTTGATATCACCGGAATGCATATATACGTGTATATGCGTGGGCAACCCGGATACCCATGTGGTACTGGATCGTATTGGGGATGAATTTCCTCGCACTTATATCAAAGCTTCTGTTTTGTCGAATGTACTGCTTGCTCCGGGACCTTAAGCTCGGTTTTCTCATCCAGCCCACTGATGGGTGCAATATTAGCAGACTTTTCATTTGACACGCTTTCCTCGTCGTGTTTCCATTCAGGGAGCACAAGATTCATCTTCTTCTGGCCCGATGGCTGAGCTTCCATAGGCAAACTGTCTGCAGATGTCGTAAATATATCGGACCCCCAATTCGGCAGGTACATTCTGGCTAGGGGACGGATCATAGGAAAGGAAGCACATATGACGGCTAAGTTGACCTCCAGGTCGTTCCAAATCCAAAGATTATATCCAACCCCTATCAATGTGTCCACGTATCATCAGTACATCCACCCATCGTATAGGAAGACAAATCAGAGTAAGGCAACGGTATGGGCTTACAGGTAGAATCATACGATACGTAAAGTATCACATATGTATACGCAAGCCGCACTACAGACGCTGCACAAGCACTGTTGAATAGGGATGTTAGTGAAAGTTTTTAAGAGGGACACAGGCCACACGCACACAAGTCCAAAACTCATGAGGATGATAAGCACCACCTTCTCTCGTCCCGGCAGGTGCATTTTAAATAGCGTTGGGATCGGGAGCATCCATATAATAATGTCAGTGAGAACATGAGGGATCGAACCACTGATGATGCGTGCGCCGTTATTGATACAATTCCGCCGTGTCGGGTCGTTCCAGTAATCTGATAAGGGCCTGGTAATTCAAAGGTCAGAAGACACTAATGATGATACTCGTTATCTCTGTTGAGAAGACAGCTTGCCTGCAAACGAACAGGAGGGGTAGTGCAGTTGCTGGAGAAAGAGATAAACCGTAAGCTATTGCTTCTGATAGTCAATTAGCAAGGGAAAAATACCAAGACCCCATGCCACTACAATGTGAAGCATAATCCAGGTACCCTGCCTAAGCGTTGTGGCAGTTCTAGAAAAGAACCGCAGGTACGAAACCAAAATAGAGGACTTGACCATTGTGGCAACTATCACAGACATGACCTGAGAACACCAGCTGGTCTATACATGACACCCGTTAGCAACACTCTTCATTGAGAACGGAAATGGAAAGTTCTTGGTGCATACCAGACGGCACGTTACTCCCCACTCGGGTTTATTATCCCAGATATGATAACCTGGACGTTACTGATTAGCGGCAATTCAGATGATTGAACGTAGGCCAAGATAACGCAGGAACCTTACCCCATCCGTGATAGACGCCAATAATATTGGAAACTGTGATTCCAGCTAAAAGAGGCTTTCCATTGACAAGGAGAATGTCAGTACCGAGATATACTCCCAATATGCAGATGGACATGCGTCTCTTGCGTCATACCAGCGTGCTCAGCATGAGCCAGTCATCCCAACCGGCATTCTTCTTGATTTTAACTCGGACGTATGTTCGTAATGCCACCACAGCAGACGAGATGGCAAAGCTACTGAGGACGATAATCGTCAAATGAGGGCCTTGATGTTCAGGATTGACATAATTTGGTTTTGGCCAACTAGCAATAACCTCTGGAGGAGCAACAAGCATGTCTGAGGAGGTTGAAAGATGCCGTAGGAAAAGCCTCAGTCGGATGCTGTGTAGGTCTGTCGAAAGGGACCACATTGAAGATTTTAATCATGCCAGAAAGAAGGACAAAACAGAACGGGATGGCGACAGAAGGGCTTCCAAGGCTACCAAGCGCCTATAGTAGGCAAAATAATTGCATATTCGAGCAGCCAAATGAGCCACATGCCATTTAACTTCTGGAGATATGCGCCGTCACTGGTAAAGGCGGATGCAGCAGCTGTGCAGATGCTGAGATTGTACGTACGGAGCCCAGTTGTGATTTTTGAGACGAGAAACGCACGCTTAACGGGCAATGGCGGTTCGAGAGCCGCCACACCTCTGGATGTCATACAAACAACCCGGCAAAGCCAAGCGCCTCGGCTGGAGGCATCTCCGACCTGCCGGACATGGTCATGGGTGGTGGAGGAGGTCGATGAATAATACAATACGAAGCTCAGTTCCTGGTACAGGAGACGCCTGGGTGCATCTAGACGGAGCTGCCTTGCCCGGAAATGCGTTGCTTTATAGAGTGTTCTCGCCCATCAGCGTAAAGCATATGCTCCACGTTCAAAGCTACGCAGTATCTCATTCCCAAGCTTGCTCCAGCTCCGCCAGAGTTGCTTGTCACGCCGCGGCAAGTTGACCTCGACAGAAGGTCGTGCAGCCATGTGTTTATCATCAGACGTCTTCCCAATCCTCAGCACTAGCGCCTCGCTAACATGAATATCTTGCATGGAGGATCCTCCTTGGTCGCCAGGCCGCTGATCGATCGCTTGGCTGGTGAGGTACAGAGTGAAATCCGCACTGTCTCTCTCACACACACACTCTCTCTCTGAGATAGACGGCCGCGGTGATTGGACGCTCGGACTCGCTGTCAGGTTGTTTTCGTATTATATTGAAACACAACCCTCTGCCTCTTAATCAGGGCTGGAACTCCCTGTACTTCTGGTCATGGTCCCTGTGCACACCATTCCTCCCTTTCGCTCCCCATCATCCCCAGAAGCCGAGCTGTCCCTCGCCGTTGTTTTTGCTTCTTTTCTTCCGTCTGTTTTTGATATCAGCAGTTACTAAAGACAAGGTCCGTGCGGGGGCGGCGTAGAAAAAGGGGGCCCACTCGAGCGTTGTCACGTGGAAAAAAGGAAATAGTACATGGCGCTCTTCCTTGGGGGCATTATGCGAAGTGTTATGCAGTATATCAAACAATAGTCTCTCCAGCAGGGTTGCAAGGGGAGCAGGGGTTCCTTCTTATTCGTTGTCTATTCCTATAAGTATATTAAATATCGATGATACATGGTGTGTTTGGAAGAGAGGGCGGGGAGCGGTGGGTTCCTGGCGTTCCGACAGGGGGGATCGGGGGTAATACAGGAGCGACGGGATTGTGTAATATTATACGGAGTACGGAGAGGTAGTCGAAGCGCCGCGCAGAGTATGCTAATAATGATATGTTGGTACTGGGGGATGGCGTCGATACAGGGAGGGTGACGGTGGGAATTCTATGAAGTGAGACTGGCCGAGAGGGATGGGGGGTACATCATGCTCATGCAGATATGATGATCCCTTGCACCTGGTGTATGGCTTCTCGCGGTCGTTTTCCCGCGAGTCTACGGCATAAGCGGCCTGAATATCACTCCGGTTCAGCCAGAGTAACATGCTGCCAACACATCAACAGCCCGGCCATTGGGTTAATTGATCATACCTGTTGCGCCGAAAACTCCCACCCCCACCACGACAGCAAAAATCATCCAGATCCTGATGTCCAGGGCGTTCAAGCGCTTCCTTAGCGTGGGGATTAGGGGTCTCGGGCGTACAACTAGGCCATCCACACTCCGCGCCTCATGAGCTATCAAGCGAGACAAAAAGCCTTCCCAAGTAATATTTTGATCAGAGAAACCTTAATCGCGTCCGTGAAGTAACAAGGTGGGTGTGCCGAACGCCGATATCATTCTCTCTCCGGGCCTTTTCCATGGAAACCACTTGAGCCCTCCGGAGAGGGAGAGTTTTCATGTCGAAGGGGAGCGAGCTGAATCATATTTCACACGCTAGGCTTTCATCATCTACAGAAGAAAAGAAAAATACAGAGTTAGTACAATGAATAACAACACATCTCAAGCTAGATGGACTTTGCATGGACTCAAAATACTCACATGAATAAAACTTGGAAGGATGAAGAAGGAAAAGAGAGAAGGAAATCAAAAAGCGAGGCTAGAAATTCGGTTTAAAAGGTTTTTGTTAGTGCGACCCGATTCGGCCTGAGCACGTGACCGTGAAACAGCCCCGTCACGTTTTTCGTGTTGACAAGATGACCGTTTTTTTTTTCTCCAGGGAGTAGCTGGCCTCGCTCCAGCAATTGCTTTTTTGTCTTTGGGTATAATCGACTGATTGGCCCTCTAGAAGGCGACGATGGTGCCAGTACTGCGTTCTGCAGCTTGTCCGTCGCAATTGGGGAGGGTGCTTGCCCGCCGGCGGAGCTTCATCGAGATATCAAATTACTTTCGAGGCCGCGGAGCTCTACGACCGTCACACCTGAAATGCACTCTCCAGGGAGCTAGCCGGTTTTATTCCACCGAGAAAACGAACGAAACTGCGAAGCTTCTAGGCCAATACTCTAAGTCGAGTGAGAATCTGTCTCTCCATCAGTGTGAAGATGGCGATTCCTGTGCTAAGAATGTATGCTGACATTAATACTTATAGTTGATTTCCCACCCGCCTCTACCACGTTTAGAGATTTATACAAAGAGCAGAACAATGGGCGGCCAGTCACGATTCACGGGTATATTGGCAAACGGAAGAAAATTGGCAAGAATATGACATTTGTCCGGTTGAGCGACCCTACCTTATCCCAAAGTGTCCAGATTGTGGTATCAAACCCGCACTCTCTCGACGCTTTGAAATCAATTGAGCCGAATAGCGCCGTTGTCGTTAGCGGAATTGTGAAATCAAAGGAAAGCCAGTCTCAGTTTCGTGAATCAGGTGACAAGAGTGAGCTTGACGACGTGGAGGTTGAGCTGCAAGATGTGCAATGTTTAAACGAGTTCCCAAGGGACATCATTATAACTCCTGACACAGTGTTTCCACCAAGTAAAAGGCATTTGCAGATCCGCAATGACCCTTCTCTTCGACAGTCATTGGCATTTAGGGCAAAGGCAAATGCAGCGTTGCGTCGAGCCCTGGAAGAATGTGAGCCACCATTCTTGGAGATCGAGACTCCAATCTTGTTCAAGTCTACCCCTGAGGGTGCTCGGGAGTTTTTGGTTCCTACACGGAATCAGGGGCTAGCATACGCACTGCCGCAAAGTCCGCAGCAGTACAAGCAGATGCTCATGGCGAGCGGCATCCCTCGATACTACCAATTTGCTCGATGCTTCCGAGACGAGGACCTGCGTGCTGATAGGCAGCCGGAGTTTACACAAGTGAGTGCGGTTTTGTTAATTATCCTTCAATAAAAGTTAACTCACGCAATTGTCTAGCTCGATATGGAGATGTCGTTTGCCACGGCTGAAGATGTTATTACTACCACTGAAGCTTTAGTCAAGAAGCTATGGGCCTCCGTTATGCCTGAACCTCTTGGGCCAGAACCATTCCCTCGCATGTCGTATTACGAAGCTATGGCTTCCTATGGTAGCGACAAGCCAGATACCCGTTTTGACATGAAACTTCACCGAGTTGAGCAGTATCTACCTGCAGATTTCATAGGCAAGATCAGTTCTTTAAACTCCCCTGTTGTCGAAGCCTTCATAGTCAAAGGAAACGGCCATCCCGAAGAAACTATGAGAGTCCTGAGAAGCTTCATGAACACTCCAGAGGCCAAACCTTTCTTAGAAAACCCCGATGGAGCTCCAGGAACCTTTGTCATTGATTCCTCGAAGCCAATGGGTGGTTTGTCTGCCGCTGGGTTTGAAGGTGCATGGGATCTGGAAACGCTGTTTAAATCAGAACATGGTGACTTGATATTTTTCCAGTGTCGGAAAGATGAGCCTATTAGCGGAGGTTCAACCAAAGCTGGTGAGCTACGTTTAGCCGTCCACCAGTATATGGTTGAAAAGGGATTCCTCAGTCCTCCGGTCGGATTCAATTTTCACTGGGTTACCGGCTTCCCTCTCTTCTCCCCCTCGGTCGAGACAGAGCCAGGCCAAGGCGGTACCGCTGGGATAGCTTCAACTCATCATCCCTTCACCGCACCTCGGACAGCAGAGGATGCTGCCCTTCTATTAACAGATCCGACCAAGGCTATCGCTGATCATTATGATTTAGTCGTGAATGGCGTCGAGCTTGGCGGTGGAAGTCGTAGAATCCACTCAGCGGCAGTCCAAGAGTTCGTTCTCCGGGACATCTTAAAAGTTCCGCCTTCCCGCCTCCAGAGCTTTTCTCATCTACTAGAATGCCTCAGGGCAGGCTGTCCTCCCCATGCAGGCATTGCACTTGGCTTCGACAGACTGATCGCCGTCATGCGAGGCACTCCAAGCGTTCGCAATGTGATCGCCTTTCCGAAGGGCAATAAGGGAGAGGACCCAATGGTAAAGACTCCCAGTCCAATGACAGAGGACTCGTTACAAACTTATCATTTACAACTACGCCGAGGTGGCCAAAGTTGACCTGGTTATACCAGTTAGACGAACTTGTCTGGAGACGTTCTAGTTTTCTCGCAAGGTTCATCTGCACTATGCTATTTGAGCTTTAGATCCTCCTATACCACGATCATAAGTTTTAGGCAAACACCCTGTATATTAGAGAATCCGTGTGCATGTTGGAAGCGTGTATGATATCATAGGCGTAAAAAGAGATACGGGGAGGGGACTCCATTGTATTTTTATAAATTAGTCGCATATTACGGAGTACCATTTGGTAGATCATCAATCGCTGTGCTAATAATGGAAGCGATCTCAAAATTCAGTCCTCCGTAGGTATGGGTACAAGCCAGTTGTCGCACGGAGTACGTGACACCGAGTTAACTAGCCCACATGTTTAGAAACAAGAGACGGAATACACATCCGAGCACTCGATATATTTTAACTCACCGGACGAGGCCGCACTTATAATTCCTTTGGTTAGACAGGCCGTGAAGGCTCTCCCCGTTTCCCTGGCCGGCCTAGGTACGGGAAACTGAAGAGATCTGATAACGAAATATTCCGGAGCAGGCCCAAAATGCCCAAGAAAACTGCCGTTGGCCTTTTCATTGGACAATGGACTGCATTCTCTGGACTGCCCTTATTTTGGCGTCGTAATGATCTGGGCATGCAGGTCTGATTTCCCCTTCTCAGGGATGATAGGCATCGACCTGGCCAGGGAACCCTGCTATATTCTTCTCACTCCGCAGCGTCTCCATCCGCACCATATGCAAACAAGAGCACCATGGGGAACCTCGTCCGCTTTGGCCCAGAGTATGGAGCATATCCTGGGCCCAACTTCGTGTTCTGTCTTGCGCTGGCCACCGTGCTTCGGGCGGGAGGACGGTCCAGAGGCCCGCACCTAACTCGAAGGGGATATTCCCATGGATTAGATCCCGACAATTTTCGAGCTATCCAGGGGGGCCGACCAAAACTCACCGCATATCAAATCAAGTCAGCTGGCCGTCGCCTCTCTGGAGACATGCAGAAAGGCAGACAGATGGTACCACCTGGAAGCCAGCCGAAGAGAGGGAAAAGTTGACGAAGCTGACGGCTGAAGGGGAGGATTCTCGAAGGGCAAGTTCTTCCCTCTTCCACCGCATGGCAATGATGCACACTCGTTGACTTGCAGGATGAGCTCGCTATCAAGATCCAATAACAGGCCTTGAGAGCCTACCCTGGCGCTTGTTTAGAGGTGTACGATATGCGAGAGAAAGCGAAAAAGGAGGGAGAGACGGGTTTAACTGTAGTATCCCGGTGGAAATTGCCGGCCGCCTTGCTCCATTTTGATGCCTTCGACCAACGCTAACGCTGCAGCTCTCAACTGCACCTTGATGACGGGACGTTCTCTCGCATGCACCCATGTACGGAGCATTCCGCCCTTAAAATAAGTATAACCCCTAGAGGCCTGCAGGGCCTTCCAGCCTTCTCCCGCCCTTGGACTTTTGCCCGTCGTTTGTCGACTGTCTCTTTCTCTCAGCGTATATTATTTCGATCAGTATGCCTTTCTCTTGATGAGTTGTACTGGTGTTTGAATTCAATTGAGTGTTCCTATCGCAAGTAGCCCTCTTCCGCTGAGTAACTTTTAGTTACACTACTCCGTATACTCCGGGCCTTCACGATGGGTTTGGACCTGGAGGCCAATGGGGACGAACACCCCTTTCTTATGAATGAGACGGTCGAGCATTTTTCCTGGAAAGGCGTCACTGTCAATGTTAAGGATAGAGAAACAAAACAGCCCAAAGCTATTCTTCGCGATGCTACCGGTTATGTAAATAAAGGTGACTGGCCTGCCACGGTTAACCTGACTTGAGAAATTGGAGAGTTGACTGGCTAACTTGGTGAGTGCTTTGCTGTAGGTGAACTGATGGTGCTCATGGGCCCGTCAGGAAGCGGGAAAACGACTCTATTGAATGTACTCGCCGGTCGAGCCAATAGTCTGCGTGATGGGGTTAATGGTGAGGTTCTCGTCAATGGCCGGACAGCATCGAAAGAGACGTTTAGGCATTTGAGCTCCTATGTGGAGCAGGAGGATGTGCTTATCGGGTCATTGACAGTGGAGGAAACGCTGTACTTCGCGGCCCAGCTGTCGCTCTCCAGGTTCGTGTATCGTTTGCGCATGTATGAATTCAATGCATTGCTAATGCTGGGTAAAAAAAATAGATCCATCCCAAAGAAGGATCGAATCCAGCGTATCAAATACCTTCTCAACTCATTCGGTATCCAGAATCAGGCTAAGACCTTGATCGGTACCCCAATTCGCAAGGGAATCAGCGGCGGCCAGAAACGCCGTGTCAGTGTGGCCGCTCAATTGATTACCTGCCCTAAGATCATCTTCTTAGACGAGCCTACCAGCGGCTTAGATTCCACTGCCAGTTATGAGGTGATGTCGTTTGTGAAGGCCCTGGCCAGGAAGAACAATGTGAGCCCGCACCTGACCTTCACGTATCCCAATGCGCCCTCAAGTATGCATATACTGATATTGAAAACGAATAGCTCATCGTAATTGCGAGCATTCATCAGCCGTCCACCTCAATGTTTGAATCATTCGATAAGCTTCTCATTTTGTCTGCAGGAAAGACTTGTTACTTTGGGCCCGGGAAGGACATGAAGGCATACCTTGACAAAACAGGACACCCGATGCCCGTTCAGATAAACCCGGCAGAGTTTGTGCTGGATCTTGTCAGCACTGATTTTGCAACCGATACCGACGAGGCTGAAGCTCAATTGGCCAAAATACATCAGGGGTGGGAAGATTCAGAAGAATCTTCAAATGTGCATCTCGAGATATCTAGGCTGACTACCCTGTCCGAGAAAGAAGAGAACATCACCCTTTCGGCCGACCAGTTGCAACATGTTAACATTGTATCGACCATCATCACGTTGCTGCATCGATCTTTTATCAAGGGCTGCCGTGACGTTGTTGCATACGGCATTCGAGTTGCAATGTATCTTGGCCTGGCTATCATGGAGGGTACAGTCTGGCTGCGACTTGGGACCGGCCAGGAAAATATTCAGCCATACATCAATGCTCTGGTGGGTATCATTCTAGAACATTACAACGAAGGAGTAGCTCGTCTGTGCTAACGATCTCCGTGCAGTTCTTTTGCTCCGCTTTCATGTCATTCATGGCGGTTGCATATGTGCCTTCGTTCCTTGAAGACCGCGCAACGTTCATAAAAGAGCGAGCCAATGGTCTCTATGGCGCAACTTCGTTCGTGATATCCAATTTCCTCATCGGAATGCCATTTTTATGTATGACTTCAGCTTCCACCCCTGGAAAGATATATATACCGTGCCGCCGCTGACCCCATCGCAGTCATGATCACGATAATATTCTCTGTTGTAGCATACTGGCTTGTGAACTTCCGCTCAGGTGCCGACACCTTCTTCACGCTGGTTATGTGGCTCTTCCTCGACCTGCTTGCTGCCGAGTCCCTTGTCGTCATGATAGCGTCTCTATTCCCTAATTTTGTGGTTGCTTTGGCCCTCACGGCCTTCACAAACGGTATCTGGATGAGCGTTGGCGGCTTTATGGTCGCCCCAGCAATCCTGAACGTGTTTTGGAGATACGTCTTCCATTATATAGACTACCAGGTATGTAACTATTTGCTTCTGCTCCTTTCATCCCGCGAACAAAGAAAACGGTACCGAGGAGGCAGGGGAGGAAAGAAGAAAATATAGCACAGCTCGCTAACGGATCCCGGCCATCAGACGTATGTATTCCAAGGGATGATGGTGAACGAGTTTTCTGGCCGTGTCTTCGACTGCGGCAAGTCGTGTCAGTGCATGTATGCCAGTGAGCTTGCGTCTCAGTGCCAGATTTCAGGAAAGGGTATTCTGAACTCGTTCGGATATGCCACCGACAAGCAGGCACAGTGGGCAGGAATCCTCATTTCTATCACTGCAGTGTATCGGATCCTGGGATGGATTGTCCTGTACATGAAGAAGACTTGAGTGATTGTGGCTATCCTGCTATGTTGGTGCCGTGTTCTGGTGGTTGCTTGTAGTTTAACCTGATGTACTAAAGACTGGGAGGAGACCTCTTTAATGACTGGATATGGACTAAAAAGAACCAAAGATCAAACAGTCCAGATACGAAGGATACGAATAATGGCTGATAGCTATGGGCTACATTTATCAACGTAATAATAATATATTATATCTTTGGACTATTATCGCATACAAAAGTATAGGAAGATCTCTCCTGTATAGTTTGCATACGTGAAATATTATTGAATATTGGTAGGATGGAAATGGACAGATGCTACCAAGTGCACCATCACCTTATCCCCGATGACTCCTTTGAACACCTCGCCGTCACCCGGTGCACCCCAGAACAGGAGTCGAATGAATATGAGACATGATAGAGGACCGAAAACCTCAACTCCGTGCACAAACGTGGATCGGACCCCAGGAAAAGTGGTATCAGTTGAGAATGAAATAGTTATTGTCCGAAAGTTTTTTACCCGCCAGAAAACCCCGAAAGTTTGGAAGAGCTCTGCTCAAATCAGGCGAACATGGTGATAGATTGGGAAGGAATATATGAATATACTCCTCTTGGCTTCTCTTGCGACGGGCTTGTAGCGTTCGCCGTCTGGTTTGATGGTCACCGACGAAGGCCGAAGGCCAATGGTAAGCACAGTGACTATGCAAGAACCCGCGGGATATGCGTTGTCAAGAAAGGCGAGACAGTGTCGGTTCGTTATATCCCGCTGACCATCTCGGCGACGGCAAATCCTGCAACCAAGAAAAAGACATGGGAGGAGAAAACGGGGGGAAAAAAAAGAAAGGAAAAAGAAGGAAAAAAAAAAAAAAAAAAAAAAAAAAAAAAAAAAAAAAAAAAAAAAAAAAAAACAAGGGATACCTGTGCGCCCTGCAGGCATTAATTAAATAAATGAGCGAGGAGAGAGGGTAGCGGGATATATTTTTCTTTATATGTTGGAATATATAAAGGAGGAGGCCCAGGCTTTCCAGTCAGAAAACAAACAAAACAGGCAAAGCTGCGTTGGTTCATGTTTGAAATGAGGCTGAAGTTGAAGCCTACTCAACAGGGATATCACCTAGCCATATATCATTATTGACAATGGTAGCAATGTCAGGACCGGCGTCTTCGACAGTCGAATAAGACGGTGGTCGGACGCCAATATCAAGCACCTCCCTTGCAACCATCTTTATGTGCCGCATTACCAGTCTGGATATCGACCATGTCGGACCCAGGGCCTTGAGTTCCCCTATAAGCAGTGCAATACGATCCCGGCGAGGTTCCAGCGTATCCGACGCGCGAATAGAGCATGCGCAGAGCTGCACAAGTGCACTCAGCACCATGCCGCAAATGAAAAAAGGCGAATGCTTTATGCTCGGTGACCTCAAGGCTGCAAGGTTTGCCAGGCCATTGGCAGCCTTGATCGACTTAATGGCATGGGTTAGGTTGGAGGAAGGGTTCGTTCTGAGCAACCGTATCCAACGTCTGGCACAGGGAATACTAGACATGGCTACAGGGGTGGACAAAAGGTTGGACTGGGGAGTATGCAAGTATATCGATGCGCAGTGGATTATCATGAAGGCACGGAACATGACTTGGTCCACTTGGTCGTCTACTGCAAGAATATCGCGCCTCGAAGGGGGGAGGTGATGGAACCAGCTGCCAATACTTGCATCTATAGACTCTATCTGGTCATATTCAGGGTCCTCTGGAGCATAGGTGAGGTCGAGAGTACGTTTCAGTACTCTCGACGCCTCGATTGCATGGCAATAGGACGAGTACTCGCTGCTTCCGTCTTCGTCCTCGAAGATTCTGTCATAGAATTGAGCGGCGGTGGGCGATTCAGTCAGGTATATGCCGGCTGAATAGCTGAGGTCATCACAAGGGAGGGGGACATCCATGATGACACTGCTTGAAATCTGGCAAGGGGTCTGGTCGAACCCGGAAAACATCGCATCAATCATATACACCTCCCACCACGTCCGTCTTATGTTTTCACACAGGACAGCATCTTCGCCTACAACGCTGGGGGCAAATGTTCTCATGTTCATCCCCAACTTCATTGCTAGACCTGCTGCCTCTGTGAAGGCTTTGACTCCCTCTGCTCGCTCATTGCGCCCATGCAAGGTGATGGAAAGTAGCAGCAGAGACTGGACTTTATAGCAAGATACCTCACTTTTCGCAATCGACGTGTCGACAGCCGGCCTGTATGCATCCGGGGATACGCCGGAAACAAAATGTGCGCCGATGAACTTGAGCGTAGCTTCCAGGCAGGTGGGAAGGGGATACAGGCGAGGCAAGAAGTGCGCGGGCGGTAGTATAGGATGAGAGTCGTGAAAGTACGCATAGTAGAAATCGATGAGGTACGAGTCCCCTTGTAAGTCCGTGACGCCATACTGGCTTCCTCCCGCCAGCCCCGGAGCAGCCGCTGCAGCCGCAACGGGTTTATCCACACATATTGGGGTCTGGTTATAGAGACCGTTATGGTTGCTGTTATTGCCGTTGCTGCTGCTATGGGTGTTATTGCTATGATGATCTGTCGTCTGCCAGGTGGGAACTGAGCTGCTCTGGTCTGAAGAGAAATCCTCCGCCGTCGAAACGGTGCCTGGAAGAGGTGTGCTGACGAAAGAGAAGGTCGATAGTTGCGGCGTCAACTGTAAGGTGGCCGGGGCGGTATATTCGGAAGAGGGGGTCAACAGTGGCACAGGAGTATATGATACTGCATACTGGTTTCTAGAACCAGGTTTATATCCTCGACGAGACGGGGTGTAGTGGCATCCAAGCTGGCCTTTGCGGCACCGTCCACATATTGGCATCACACCGTCGCATTTGAGATGCTTCCTTCGGCATGCCAGACAGGCTAGCGAGGAGGGCTTCTCCCCGGATCGATTAGTAGTAGCGAAGGACATGACGGCGCATTCTGTGCAGCATAATAATAGGGGCGATAATGGTCAGTTGGCACAGTAACAATTGTCAACAACTGGCGAGGGTGGTCAGATTTGCTCTGGTTGCAAGTCCACAACAGGGTGGTTGTCACCACAGAGAGACAGAGCGAAAAAGCCGGACAAGAGCTGCCATGGGTTGAGCGACGAACTCCTCCAGCATCACGTAGTCTCAATACCCATTTGCGACAGTTAGCTGATCTCGAAAAGAAGAGAGGAAGACGAAGGGGAAATCGAACAAGGTCGAAATCTCGAAGATCGGTTTTTGCCCCCTTGTCAGCGTTAGTTAGTTATGTAAGCACTCAGCCTCAGGCCACAAGGAGCACGGCAGGCAATCTAGATAATACTTGAGTTCGGAGTACGAGGCGTAAGAAGGCACGCTCGGATGGGTTATGACATCTACAGAGGAGCTAGGCGAGACCCGGCCATTGGTATGCATAGAGGCTATGTAACCTTTCCTGGGCCGGCCAGCAACTGCGGTTGGTGGAACAGCTGGGATGAGACGTCATACATGGTGAGAGCTTCGACGTCAAATAGATTAATAAGATGCAGCGAGTTAAAAGAGGCGCAACTGGGGGAGCGCGGGGGAAGTCGCAGGAGCATATAAAGGATCATGAGCCTGCCGCACTTCCGTCCGTCTTCTGAGTAGTACCAGAATCGTGATCTATTTTATTTTGGAGACGCCTTGTACTGTACATAGCCATGTCTGCCATCCAGGGAAAATGCCACTGCGGTGCTGTTGAATATACAGCCAAGCTCGGAGACAAGTCTCATATCCTCTGGTGTGGTCTCGCCATCGTCATCGTCTTATATTGGCCTTGCAAAGTATCGTAGACTAACAGACCTAGCCATTGCGATGCTTGCAAGCGTATCAATGGTAGTGACTTCACTCTCAACCAAGTCATTCCCAAGGCCGACCTCGAGATAAAGAAGGGTGACTTAACTAAATACACCTACAAGGGTGATTCAGGTGTGATTGCTGGCCCCTTTATATCTGGTAGCCCAACTTGATATTGACTAGCAAGGCAACTCTGTGCACTGCTTCTTCTGCCCCACCTGCTCCACCCACATCTATCACCATCAGACTGTGTTGGGCGACGACAAGCTCATCCTCCGCACGGCATCGTTGGAAGGCAACAAGGACTGGCCGGCCTCAGTTGAGATATACTGCAAGGACAGAGCAAAATGGCAGCCAGACGTTGCGCCAAAGGTGTGCCAGGCCGGTCCGGAGTAGGTCTAATCTGTCATCTTGGTGTCAAGAGTGAAGATGTAACAAAGTTGGAAGTAGTTATATGTGATGAAAAAAAGAAAAAAAAGTCTCTTTGTATAGGTCGTAAAGTCCTAAGTCGTGAAATCAAGTCAATGTAGTATCGGAAGAATCGCTCTCTATCCATGGTTTCGTCACTTCAAGACTTTGTCTATCCAGAGCTGACGGGGGGGATAATGGCAACCTCGTCATTGCACTCGATCATCCTCGTTTTGTCTTTTGCAGTCTCAACGGCAAGCTCTTCCCCATCCACGTACTGAAGGCGAACGCTAACAGCACAGCTAGACAAGATCTTCTCCTTCATTCCTGGATATCGCGATTCGAGGAGATCATATAGCCGGCACAACGGGTAGGGTGCGGGGAAGGTCTCTGTGTTCTTCTTTGTGTACGAAGAAGCACTCGCAAAGTAGTGGAGCTGAAATGTTCCTGTAAAGGAAGTTGGAATATCAGCAGTGGCCATGGCTAAGATAACGAATGTCAGCCTGCTGCTCGTCAGTTTTAATTAATATTTGCCTGCTTTTATCCTCCCTTTTATGGCTGTTGCTATAACGAATTTATCTCCAGCCTTCGTATTTCTTCGGCGCTTTTATGCGAAAGCCGCGATAGGATGACTAACAAGGTTTTATTAAAATTGACCAATTACAGCGCACTATCAAATGGGCATTTAAGTTCTCGAGGATGTGTTATTATTATATTCAGCTGTCAATTTGACCACCATTAGCACCGTTAAATGAGCCCATAGCTTGTCTCAAACAAAACTCTTCAGTCCAGAAACGATATCATCCTTCAAATCTTGCCAATTCTCCAATCCAACGCTAACTCTGAGCAGCTCCCTCTCAACGGACGCGTCGCTCATGGCACGCCATTCGATGAGTGACTCTACACCGCCGAGACTGGTAGCATGATGGAAAAAGTGCAGCTTGGATGGTAAGGCACGCGCAATCCTTTCTTCCTTCATCATTATGGAGAAAACAGGCCCATACCCATTAGGCATCTGTTTTGATAGCCACTCCATATCCTCTCTCTGCAAACTAGAATGGTTGACTTTGGCCACCGTCTTCTGGACAAGACTGGCTTCCTCATCTGTGACAGTGGCAGTTGTCTCGGGAGCCCCCGGTTTGCCCTTGTGAAGGGCTGCGTCAAGCCAAGCCACGAGGTTAGTGGCATTCTGGCTCAGACGCTGTACACGGATCTCTAATGTTCTCAGACTTCGGGTACCAAGCCACGACTCCAGATTGCCCATGACACTTCCGATGTATTGTCGGTCATTGGCAAGAGATGAATACCAGTCCTTTCGCTGGGTGACCAAGACACCACAGAGCATGTCACTGTGGCCTCCGAGGTACTTAGTTCCTGAGTGCATGATCATATCCGCACCCCATTTAAACGGATCCTGGAGACCGGGGGGTCCAAAGGTGCTATCAACCAGAACGTATGCTCCTCGGGAATGAGCCTTTTTGGCATAGCTTTCTATGCAGAAGGAAGTTCCATGAGGATTCAATGGTGTCTCAAGGAGGATTACATCGCCCTTCTCCAGCTGCTCGGCAGGACAATCAAGATCTATCTTTTTCATGCCTGTGAGACGAGATAGAATGCCCATGACGCCATGGCTTCCATGATATCCCTGTCCGACGGAGACATGGCGAGGGTTGAAGAAGACGAGTGCAGCATGGAGAGCCGAGAGACCGGACGAATAAGATAGGCAGTGGCCGTTGACGAGCTGTGAGAGAATGGTCTCAAAGCGGGTGCTGCTTGGGGCACCACAGCGGGAGTAGACGAAGCTATTTGTCCCTTCATGCTCGCCCTGCGATGCGTTTTAGAAATATTATCATACTGAAAGCCGCAGTTAACTTGGAAGTACCTACGTGAGCTTCAGACTCGGGAACTAACTCGTCTGGGTTCTCGGTGTATCTAAAGGTGGTCGACAGATGGATTGGAGGGGACACATCTGTCACATTGTTCATAGTGTCATCGGCGTGGAGAGCGACCGTCGACCGGCCTCTGTCCTTCAGGTCCATGTTTGCGAAGCTCTTCTCAACCTGCTCTGCCATAATGATATCCCTATTCAATTGTCGACCCCGTCCTGGCGAATGGATTTATATACCGGGCAGCACGGACTCAGTAGCGATGGCTGACTCAACGCTGCCCGCTATGATATAACACTAATAATATATAGCAACTAACTACAGCAGCAAGACGTAAAGGCGGGGTCTTTTTTTTTTTGCCGCGGGCGGGCGATTTCCGGTCGACGCGCCGACGCCGACGCCGACGCTTGGCATGGAACCTTGGAAGACGCGAGGTCACGTGGCCAATTTAACAGCCTGGAAAGCCGAAAAGGGAAACGAGGACGACAAGGAAGAAAAGGACTTTGTATATCCAGCTGTATACAACGATCTAAGGCGCTAGTGGAACGGCCTGCCACGTCAATAGATAAGCCGACAGAGACAGAGCAAGCAAGGAAAGGGGCTAGGGAAGAAGAAGGAGAAAAGGAAGAAGGATAAGCAGAGGCAGCCAAGAAGAGAAGAAGTGGAGTACAGAGAAGGAAAGGTGGGAAAGCAGATACAGATGCCTTCAACTTGTGGTATGGATGATGGAAGAAAAGAGACATCGTCGAGCCTCGTGTCGACATGAGCGATGGACGAACAGAAAAATAAAAAGGGTAAGTGAGCCCGCTGATAAGAATACGACGAAGATAGAAGAAGTAGATGAAAGTGACGAGCGGAAGACGAGAAAAAAACAAAGGAGAGATGAAAAAGACAACTCGCTAAACGCCAAAAGCGCCAAACATAGTGGTGGAAATGCCAGGATCGACGATTATTTCCGCAGTGAGCCCATTCTAGATGGTTCTTTCACTGACCCAGGCACAGCCGATTGGAAACTATACCGATCTACCAAGCAAGTTAGCAACTCTGTTCACTACCGCGTGTATAGTGGTGTGGTAGGTTGTCTTACCATTCTCCGAGTCAAAGCCAATAGTGATATCGTCATGCTCGCCAGGATATTCCGGCATATCAAGGCAGACGAAATCAGCAGACTCGTCATCGCTATTCTTGGGCAGCGCGAACTTGGCATCGATGATTTTAATGCCGTATTTTCCAGAGCGGTTGAAACTTTCAAAGTTATCTGTGCTCTTAAGGACAAAATTCATGCTTCGACCGTGGCTGAAGCCCGCTAGGAAAGCAACTAGCTGGACATTCTTTTCCTGTTGAATGATTTGGAGACGAGCCCTGGAGGCTTCCCATTTCTTGTAGATGGGGACTACCATGCGTCGACGGGCAATGGCGAACATAGAAGCGTAGCTGGAGGATAACGTTCGTTAGTAAATGAGATTACTTAGTGGAAATGAAGAAGAGGCTAATTACCCGTCAAACAACACTTTGAATCCTGTGATGCCTTGTTGGAAATGATGCATATCTATAAATGTGAGTTAGCATGAATTCCGAATTAAAGATGGGGAGCGAAGAAACATTTACTGACCTTGCAGCGTCGCAAAGTTATACTTCCTGATGATGGGACGCGTTTTTGAAACGGTGAGCAACTCCTTCATCTGCGCTGGGACATCCTTTGGCACCATATTTTCGGCTACAGCTACGCTCAAGTCGTCCTGCGGTGGCCTAATCACGCTCAGCGTGGTAGGAACATTGATATCAAGGCTTATCTTCAAATCACCGGGTCCAATGTTAATTCTATCCGTGACTGAGCCCCAGCTCGAGCTGATGAAGACACGCAATTTCTCCGAGAGGACGGTGGTTGGCACGCTGTGTTTATGACCAGGCCTCTCATTGATGACTGAGGCATTGCCTTTGTCAAATTTGAGGAATATCTTGCGAGAGTTAAGGGCATTGCCGGAATTGCCCAGTGGATCAACGCCTTGTATCATTGTGAAGGACTGGAGAGCGAGGTCTGGAGATTTGGACTCTGACTCCGAGGGTGTGATGCCTATGAGGAGGGAGTGCAGACTTGCGCGAAGTTCTGCATCCTGGAAGGTAAGAAGCATAGAGTGTTCGACCCCATTCTCAAAATGCTTGAGCATCATCGCCGGTGCGCCATCGTCACCGCGTAAATAACCAAACACAATGGGGGAGCCGTTGCCTAGGGTATGTGAGACGCTACTGAGGGTCTTTACTTTGGGGCTAGTGACGGCAAAGAAGCGGAAGCCACGGTGAGATTCACGTGTGCCCGTCCCTTCGGTGATTTTGGTAGACTTTTCGAATAGCTGTATCCTGCAGCGTTGGGTGGGTTCCGAAGGGAAAGACTTGTTGGGGGAGCTTTCGGTATACTGGAATTCATTCAAGATGTCTGCAAACACCAACCTTTCGCCAGCGGCAGGCTGCATGTCCGCTTGCACTTTGCGGGTGTATTCAACGATCTTCCAGAGCATTTTAAAGTCTGCATCCTGGAACTTGATATCCAGCTCGAATCCGCGAGGGAGACGGAGAGTGAGGGAATGGAGGCGGACCTGCCAGTCTATGTCGGCCCAAGTGGGACCCTGCTTCTTGTCGGACTGGATGGTCAGGTTGACGAGCTCGTTCTGGCTAGTGAGGGTGGCAATTACGTTCCAGTCTGATCTGTCACGGGTGATGGAGAGCATGCATGGAATGGCATACTGCTCGGTGTCATCGTCTGAGGAGCCCAGGCAGACCTCGACGAACATTCGACCGTAGCAGAAGTGGCGGTTGGTGTCGCTGATTGGCATTGTCTCCGCAATGTCAGGCTTCTTGGTCGAGTGGTCGATGAGCATGGACTTGGAGCCGGAGCCAGACAGCACAGATGATATACCGGGGGCGAAGAAAGGGTAGCGGATCCAGATGGAGGTATCGATGTTCTGGGAGAGAGCAGGAAGCTGGCCAGCTGAGGAAGACGAAGGGATGATGTTATTACGCTGCATGGACATGGAAAGGGCTCGTAGATGACTGATAATGGCCAGGTGGATGCTGAGGTGGCTTGCTAGGGTATCGTTACCCATTGACTGCACCATGGGGAGTATGGCTTCAGGCTTCATCCTGCCAAACTGGCCGAGCTCGGGGTGCTGGGGCACGAGATGCTGGTTAATCCACCATGCCTTAGCCAGATTGACGATGGCCTGCTGCGATTGCTCGGTAATGGGTGACTGTCTTCCATTGGCCGAGTTGGGGCCAGGCGGGTGAGGAGGACGGGCGCGCATAAAGGCCTCGAGATCAGCTCTGCCCTTGATGAACCACCAGACGCTAGCACGCACCCACTCCGAGAGGGAGGTCTCCATGATGGGTTTGACACTTTCGGCAGCACGAGAGAAAAGAGAGATGTAGCAGTCGACGTATGCGGAGAATTCAGCCAGGGCAGCGTCTCCAACCATGTTAGCCACGTTCTTGAGTTTTCCTGAGGAGCCAGAGGAGGTCTTGGAGTGGTGACCCAAGTAAGCCGGCTTGTCAGGTTGTAGCCTGTTCGATTGCTGCTGCTGCTGCTGCTTCTGCTGCTGTAGGAGTTGGGGATCATTGTAGGCAGCCTGTCTGGATTCTGTTCTAGCATAAGGCGGTGGAGAGGAAGTAGGTGGTTTGGTAATCTTGGTGTGAGCCGGGTTCGATGGAACGGCAGTAGGAGGAGGGTAACCATCAGGGGCCTGTCTCTGCTGTTGCTTCTTGTTCTCCTCTGGCAGAGCGGCCATGACGCTGCCCCAGAAAGATAGCCCTGACTTGCCAGACTGGGCCGGTTCCTGTGGGCTGCCTCTGTCGGCGTCTCTGCTCTCCTGCTGCTCGTCTCTGACATGCCTGCCATGATCTCTATCTCTGTCTCTGTCCCTGTACTCTCTGCCGTAGTCTCTAGCATGATCATTGTTGTCTCTATAGTCTCTGGGGTAGTCTCTCGAGGGGACCTGCTCAGGAGAATTCTGCTGGGGGTGATCCTGCTCGGCCGCCGCCTGCTCCCTGGCACGCTGCAGCGCAAGACCTTCCTCATCCCTCATCTTGGCCCGTATCCTCTCTGCAAACGAGCTCTCCTCACTGGTATCTCTCCATGACAGCCGGGACCCTCTAGGCTGCTGGCTGATGGACAAGAGAAAATCCGAGTTCTGCGCATTGCGTAATTCCGGCGACGGCTGCAGCTGGGTCTCCTTGCTGGGGGAGCTGCTCTTCTTCTCCCCGTCTGGGCCTGAGACGGCAAATGAAGGCAGCGTGGGCTCCCTGTTATCCAGGTAGCGAGCCTGGGAGTCTGAAGCGTCCGAGGACGAGCCGCCGTCTGCGCCATCCGTGAACTGGGAGGCAGACGAATTGGAGCGTGCACGATAGAGCGATATCTCCATCGTCGGGGCCTCTGCCTCCTCGCCTCCCTCGCCCATGACCGAGGGCGGCCGGTCACAGAACCTCACCCGGAGGCCCTCGCAGCGCCGTCTCCTCTTCTTCAGGCCTCCTGGACCTGCCACCGCAGTGCTCCCATTGTTGTTTTTGCTGTTAGTCCGAGTGACATTTATGCTGACGTTGGCGTGGACGTCTACTGCGGCCGTGGGGGACTGAGCAGCACCCGGCCAGCGCTGCGAGACAGAGACATCGATCTTGGGCGGGAGCCTTGCGGAGGGGAATTGCTGCTGCTGCTGCTGCTGTACGGGAGGGCGCGAGGAGGCCAGGAAGTCGTCTATCTGCTGGTCCCGGGTGGACTGCTTGGTCTCCTTTTCGCGGGAGAAGAGCTTGCCGCGCCACTTGCGGGCGACCTTGGTCTCTGCGGCCGTCAGGCTGCTCGTCTCGGGGGAGTTGAACATGATTCCTTCATGCGGTTATCCAGTCGTTGTCTTCGTCGTCGTCGTCCTCGTCCTCGTCGCCGTCGCCGTCGTCAAGCTGGCTGCCGTCCAGGGGGCGATCTATGTCTGCGGCCCGGCGAGTCGAACCGCCAGCACAGCCAGCGAATGTCCAGTCCCTCGTCACTGTCGGCCGTCACTGCTCGCTTCCGGCGTCTGTCTGCTCGTCTGCTCGTCCGGCTCGTCTGCGTCTCGTCGGCGGCGGCGTCTGCGTGTCTTGTTTCTGCTGCTGCTGCTGCTGCGTCTGCTGCGTCTGCCCTAGAGGTTTCGGGCTCACGTGCTTTTTTGCTGCAGATGAAACGCCCAAGGGGCAAGTTGGAGGCGCCGGGGACGCCAGGCGGACGCTCGCAGGCGGACGGGCAGCTGGCGGATGCAGGTGTCGATACAGAGATTATTGGTCTATAGCTACAGAGGACGTCGGAGGGGGGCGTATAGTCAATAGCAGTAAGTTAATAATATGTAGCTGGCTATAGCGAGGCCGCTGGCGTGTCACCGGAGGTTAGGATGCAGCGCAGCGCAGCCAAGGGCCTCGATGCCTTAAATACAGAGCCGTGGACGAGACATCCAGACTTCCTTGTTTACCTGCGCTCTCGCACCCAATGCCAATTAAATTCCTGTGGTCCGTCTGCGAGGGAAACGAGGGAGGCTTTGCCTGCGCCACCATCGACCTGCTCGGCCGCTCGTTATATTAATAGCTAGCTAGTTATATAGCACCAACGCTGCTCCTACAGCAACACCACCAACGACAACGACAGCGACACACGACAAAACGACATCACCAACCCCGGCGTCCGTCCTGCGGCCCTCGTCCCTGGCCGTCTCCCTCGTTCGGCGGCCCGTCGACCCTCGTTTTTCGACCTTGTTGGCCTCCGCCTGACCTCGCGGGCCCGGTCTTTTCGCCCGATCTCGACTCTTCCAAGGCTAACGACTTGATGGACAGGAGGAAGCCCGCAGCTCCAAGCCACCAACAGACCAGCGGCCAGCACCAAACCATCCGTCCGGCTGTCCTTGGACGCGCGACCAGGAACCGCCCAGAGCTCGTCTCTGTCAATTGGGATCTTCTGCAGGGCAGTGGCCGGCTGGACAGGCTGACAGAATAAAGGGGAGATGGTTGAGCTTCACGCCGGCAGCTCCAGCACCATCACCACCACCGACGCCGCCAGGAGGACGCACAATAACAGGCGAGATGCAGGCTCAGCAGCTTCGACCGTCCTCCAGCTAACGGCCACGGCCTCCTCCTCCTCCTCCTCCTCCTCCTCCTCCTCCTCCTGCTGCTCCTCCTGCTGCTGCTCCTCCTCCCGCGCAGCAGCCATGCCTGCCTCGCCGTTGATCGCCCTGCTGCTGGTCCTGCTGCTCGCTGTCCAGGCCGGCCGCGCAGCCCTCGTCCCCTTCAGAAACTGCCTGCCGGACGCCATCACCAAGTCTAGTCCCGTCAAGCTGCAGTTCATACCTCTCTACGTCGCCGCGCAGTTCAACAGCACGCGGCCGGATCTCAATCTCAACGTCACTGTCTACGGAAACGTCAGCGGCACCGAGACGAAGGAGCCATACCCGCCCCCAGACGACCCGCGATGGAGCAACCCCAACGAGACACTGGGCAAGATAGTCAGTGTAAACCCGTCGACAAACACCTTTACCACCCTGTTCCCACGGCTAGACGTCGTCAGCTTCTCGGCTGCCGGTGGCTCGGTCCAGCCGTTCTGCGACTCTCTCACCCAGGGCGAGTGTCCTCTCGGGCCCGTCTTCAACTTCACCCAGTGAGCAACTCCATACATACACACACACATATATATATATATATATTATAGTAAAAAGATACTAACAAGATCAGGGATTCGACGGCGGATCTGCGGGCGTTCTCGACGACGTTCAATATCACTTCGTCCTACGCGTTCGCTTCTCTCCTGGCTACGCTCGAGGTCAAGGCTGGAGACGCTAGCAAGACGCCCTACAGCTGCGTAGTGGCAGACATCGCCCCAGACCTGGGTGATCCCCTGAGATCAGCTCTCGCATACGTCCCTCTTGCTATACTCTTGCTCGTTGGCGTGGCTACTGTCTACGCTGCCATCTACAGCCCCTGGGGAACCACAGATATCTTCCGCTGGACCTGCAACTATGGCCGAGACGAGGACCTCATCCGTCTCGTCACACCCGGATTCGCAGACTGCCTGCAGTATATCCAGTTCATCATACTCACAGGCTCGCTTACCCTGAGCTATCCGGGCTACTACCAACCCGTCGTCAGCCAGATCGGTTGGTCCGTCCTCATGTTCAACCAGAGCTTCGTCAGCCATGGCAACGGCACGACGCCCCTGATAGATGGCGTCTACTCCGTCAACGGCACCTACGGGCTCGACCGCATGGGCCAGTTCGTTGGCATGACTCGAGCCGCGGACATCTGGGCAGGCACTGTCATCTGGCTACTTGTCATCCTCGCTGCCGTCACAGCGATCATCCTGCTTGGTTTCGGTCTCAGATGGCTCCATCACAGCGTCAGCCACATAGCAGAGCAGGATCTGCAGTCCAAAAACACAGCCTTCACCATGGGAAACGTCGTCCGTATCGTATTCAACTTCTTCCTTCTCCCGCTAGTCTCACTATCCATGTTTCAGCTCGTCGAGGCTGGCTCCTCTCCCGTCTATGTCGTGGCCCTGGCTGTCATCTTACTTGTCCTGCTCGTCGGATTCGCTGCATGGCTCCTCTATCTCATCTTTTGCACCCGTCCTCGCTCGTATCTCTTTGACGATCTGCCTACTGTGCTATTGTACGGGCCACTTTACAACACCTTCAGCGATGGAGCGGCGCCTTTCGCTCTCATATCTGTGCTGCTCACCTGCATGCGAGGGGTAGCCATTGGTGCCGTTCAGCCGTCGGGGATAGCCCAGATTGCTATCCTGGCCATATGTGAAGTCACCATGATCCTCACCCTCATCGCTTTTCGGCCCTACGAGTCTCCCACTTCGATGAATGCATATCATACCATCTTTGCACTCGTTCGGTGTCTCACTATTCTCCTATGCGTTGCCTTTGTTCCCTCGCTCGATATTCCGGACCCGGCAAAGGGATGGATTGGTTACGTTATCCTCATACTACATGGCATGGTCCTCATATTCGGATTCTTCTTGAATGCCATCCAAACTCTCATCGAAGTTGTAGCCAGACAAGCTGGAGCCGGTGATGTAGGAGTCCAGGGTGAGGCCGCTAGAGGTGGTTTGGTAAAGGTATGTTCACATTCAATTGGGTTTTTCTACATTCTATCTCTCAGTACATAAGTGCTCACTAACCTACCTCTACAGGTATTTGGTGTCCGTCAACTATCCCGCCGCACCCCCAGGAAACGCCACGTACCGCGCAGAAGCACCAATTCCGAGGCTACCATGCTCAATGTTGACTTGGAGCGTCCGTCAACTCAGCTCGACAGTGAGCGACCCAGAAGTTTTTCGGGCAGCTCAGCTGTCCTGCTAAATCGGCCTGGCTTGGACCAGGCAAGCACCGGCTTTGAGTCCGGGGCAGGGAGTCTGTTCAATGCCAGCAACCCGCGTGGACCGGGCAGCGGCCCGTACACACCTACCACCCCGGGAGCCTTCTCAACCGGGCCAGGACAAGCTTCAGGCGGCGGCGGGTCACCGCGCAGCGGCATCATGCATATGCATTTTAAACACGAGACGGCAGACCCGTACTACCGTCCGCCCCGGCAACGGCGCGCTACCCTTGAAGGAATACGCCACACTTCATGGAATAGCAGCGATATGGGCAACGGACAGTCAAGCCGTGCGGCTAACACTCCCGATCTGGATCCAGACGCAGACCATGATGCCGATGTCCTAGCTAATCACCCTGTCGGTAATGGAAGCACCCCAACGCCAGCTTATCTCGGCGCACCCAGAGAAGATCCCGATGGCGACGCAGATGGTGATCCTTCCCTTCGAACAGATTATGCAGTTCGCGAAGTAGACTTTTACTACCGGGTTAGAGGCCCTGCACTGTCGCATTCCGCTACTAGGAAACTCAAGACTGGTCCTGCTGATCCCACTGGCCCTGTATCATCGGCCAGCGGATGGCTAAAGAACCTATTCGGTGGGAAAACAAAAGATAAAGGCAAGGGTTTCGAGGTTGTCCGAAGCTCTCGTGCGCCTCCCCAGGCTGCAATGCAGCGACCACCACCGCCTGAGCAGGATAAATTCACAGAGCCTTACAAGGATGACCCTGACACTGCACAGGATCCAAATACTACTGCTACCACCTCAGGTCCTGCTCCAGATCCTGATCCAAAAGCTTCGCCTGTCACTGAAAAGGCCAAAGCAGCGGCTACGGCAGACAATGACAAACCAGTCCTACCACCTATTCTGCTTGAAGACGCTATCGAATTACCCAGCCGAGCAAACACTCGCAATGTCCCACCAGATGCTACATCCGCTCATTCACGCTCCCAATCCCAATCACATCCTGGAGCCCACGGCGGCATGCGAATAAGGCCACCAACTATCCCCCGCAAAAGCTCAAAGCGCGGTAGTTCCGTTGACCTAAAAGACGTAAAACCTGGTGCAGCAGGGTCTTTCATGGGCGGGCCCCATTCCCGTAACAGTTCTCGGGACTACGAAGCCACCAACTCCGAGGCGCTCGTTCCTCAGCGGACGTTGTCAAACCGAATTATCCAGCAGTCACGATTACCGTTTGGTTCAAAGTCGTCTTCAACACACAGTGCTCCTGTATCACTCGACTCTAATGATTCGATGGCACAACCTCATGCTACTGCTGATGGGACAGATACGACTGACCAGCCTTCTTCTCCAGGACCCAGACAGAGAAACACATCAACTGCGACTTTCGAAGCTACTCGACGAGGAAAGTTGAAGGGCATGGGATACGTCCAACAGCATCGAGCCAGCGACCACATCCATGAAACAAGCTTATCCGGTGGCAGCGCCGCAGAGTTCATAGGCGAGCACCCTCTTCCACCTACCTCCACTCCCTCATCCTGACCACCTCCTGCCTTTTGCCTATTCTACCCTTTGCATCTCATTCGATCTTTTTTGTTTTTCGATCTTTTTTCATACAACCATCTACGAACCGGCAATTGACAGATATTGATTCCAATACGGAATGGATCATAACATATCAATATCTCCTCCCTTTGCATACTAATGAATAATCGCTTGACGAATTTCCTTTGCTTTTCCCCCACTACCACCTTCTCCCTTCTTGCTCAAAAGTTGGATTTACTCTTTTTCTATTTCTTGCAATGTCGTTAATACGTGAGGTTTTTTTTTCCCAATCCGCCTTCCAGCCAGTTGTTCAGTGCGTTTAATAGCCATTTACCCTAGCGTGTTCTTCCCAGCCTGTTTATCAAGAGCGACTATTTGGTTGGATTCTCTTTTGGCGATCCCTTTTTTTGTGTTCTATAGAGACCGAGGTGATTTCAATATTGGTGGATCGGTGTGGCTATATTGGTTTCTGTTGAATTACAACAGATGTATTAAATAACTCCTATTTCAAATAAGAAAAGTCTTGGAACTGTGCTAGAGTCTGGTGTCATCGATATTTTGCATTGAAAGTATTGATATATATACTAAGGATTTGGGGAAATTTTCATCCTTTTTTTTTTTTTTTTTTTTTTCTTTTCACTCACATGGCTCGCTTCACTGGCTCAGCCAACCGAACAACCTACCATTCCTCAAGCATCAACGACCCGCCGCTCGATCCGAACGACACCTGCTCTGCTAATCTTTTACCCTCGAGCTGCTCTACACTTCCTGATTATCGTCTCAACGCCTTCACGGCGTCTTCAGCCTTCCTGGCGCACGGTTTGTGGCGTTAGAAGCATCACCCACCGAACGCCGCAACTCTGTCAACGGCCACACCAGAGAGACGGGAGGAATGGAGAACTCCTCGTGATCGGCAGTGGAGACCACTAGAGCTGCTGTCATAAAGTCAGCTACTTTGTCTGAACCTCCAGCTTGCTTGCTGCATCCCTCATGATTGGGAGAAAACGCCGCGTTTGACACTTTCAACGCGCTGCATCGTCCTCGCCACCTCGAGACGAGATATTAATTAGTTATACAGATATTATCTTGATACACAACCTATCTCCCGGAAATCAACGAACTCCCCTGGCTCAAAATCTACGTGGAGCCTCCCTCCCGTGCCCACAGCAAATGCTGGCCCGTCCAAACAGCGGAGGTTGGCGTCATCGAACACCCCCCGGATAACGGGCAACGTTGTCCAACAGTTAGAAAGGAGAAGAATACGGATATTACTACTTTTTTTTTAGAACTTGGTTCCCCCGATGTCATTGCCTTCGGAATCTCAGGCCTCAACTCATGAAGCGCGATCCACGACCGTCCACCGCTCATTATCAGAGAGCCACCATGACTACACACATGCGGCGAGACGAGGAAGCAGTGGGGGTGAGGATCATACAACATGGACACAGTTCTTGCGAGAAGATCAGGATCTTTTGATGGATAGCAGTAGTCCTGATAGAGACGACAACTCGTCGACTTCGCCGAACAGAAAACGAAGACTGAGAAGCGGTAGTAGTAGAAGCGGCGGCGGTAGCGGCGGTGGAGGCAGCAGCACTGGTATAGAAATACCAGGAGCTAGAGCTACCCAACCCGTTTCTATCAGGCAGCACTCTCGACCCGGTGCGTCTGAAACTGGAACTCGACCATCGGGAAGTCCCAGCTTTGTTCGACCCGACGAAGAGACGACCGAGACTCAGTCTGCTGCCTCTCCCCCCTCCTCATCGATGTCCCGCCAGCTAAACTCCCTACGGCACCGTGAAAGAAGCTTTACTGACTATCGGCTCCCACGATGGCAGCCGGACTCTGAAGTCACCGAATGCCCAATATGCGGCATTACATTTACGTTCTGGTTTCGAAAACACCACTGTAGGAAGTGCGGCAGGGTCGTTTGCGCGGCTTGCTCGCCTCATAGAATTACAATACCACAGCAGTTTATCGTCCGTCCTCCCGAAGCCCAGACGCAACTGACACTATCGAGCCTTATCCAGCGCAATACAACGGACCGTGAAGGTGTTGACCTTATTGACGACGAAGAAGTACAGCCGCAGCTTTCACCATCACAATCCCGAAGCCACCATCGCGCAACTTCGATCCATCAAATTCCCAGAAATGCTCTAGGTGGAGGGACCGAGGTTCGTCTATGCAATCCCTGCGTGCCTGATCCCAACCCTGAGCCTCCTCGCCGATATAGAGCGAGCAGCAGTACCTCTCATCATGAACATAGAACGAGAAATACCAGTCTGGGATGGGATGACCACCACCATCACTCACGGGGAGATCCACACTCCCTACCGTCAGAATATCAAAGCCCAGGTATCTGGAGCATAAGTGCTGAAAGGCCCCGTCGCCATATACCTTCTGTACCTTCTCGGATGGAGGGAAGAAGGCAACGGAACCAGGAATTTGAATCTAGTGTATGTTATTATATATCGGGTGTTCCCTACATTACCCCTTGCTACATGATCTAACAACCTTGTACAGGTTCACGGCTACAGGCGAGATCCTCAAAGAGGTCTTCGCGCAAATCCAACAGACGCCAATCTCCCCTCCTATGGAGGTTTTGGTTATGAAGTCTCATCCAGTCTACGGGGGTTGGCTCCCCGGTATCTACCAGGTAGAGAGACAGAATCTCAATCCCAGGGTTCTCCGCCTCTTTATTCCCATGATGGATTCACAGTAAGTAGTAGACATTATATATATATATATACCCTACAGCCTCGAGTGTTAACCTGATATCCAGGAGTTACAACGAAACCAGCATCATCCATCATATACAAGGACTATACTCCGCACAGCAGATATGAATCGCCCTCTGCCAGCACCACCATCCGGTTCACGACCTCGCCGTACTATCACTGAGCGGGATATTTGTCCCGTGTGCAATCATATATTTCCCCCACAATCTCCAGGCAATGATGAAGATGCACGCGAAGCACATATCCGTGTATGCATTGAAAGACACGCCGCCAGACGCCCCGGGGCTTCCAATCAATCCACACCATCAGAACGCCTGAGGATGCTTACTTTTGTTGCAACGGAGAAAGACTGTCTAGGCACAGACGGCGTGCAGTCTGAATGCTCCATTTGCATGGAGGAGTATGAAGTTGGTGCCGAACTGGCACGGCTCGAGTGTTTATGCAAATTCCATAAGGCTTGTATTCTTGGGTGGTTTGACCGTAAAGAAGAGTGTCCCGTCCATAAAGTGACATAAACGCATCTCAATAAGTGTGGATTTTTGTGTGATTTCGGCGTAATTTTTGGTCTGTTGGCGTATTGAAGCTTTAGGACTTGGGCTTTTATATCCTTGGAGGCGGCGAATATTGTTAGCGGACTCTTGCCATATAATTGGTTTTAAATATATGATACTATTATTAAAGCGAGATAGAAATATCACTTTAATAAAGAATTCACTGGTGAATATATTGCTTGTTGGTGTTAATAACTGCTAATGATGCCTAATAGTTAACTACAAGCAACTCCCTATAGACGACGGAAACGAGCAAGCAAGCCTGCTACAGATCATCCTCTTCCCTTGCATGTGAGACGATCAGCGTCACCAAGGACAGGAGATGAGGACTGATGTCTTTGTCCGGGTTGAGGAAGCAGCCGATGGCACGTAAGTATCGTTCTACGCTCTGGTGAATCGCAGCTAACCTGTGTATAGCACAGTACTGTGCATCTGATTGAAGCCTGCCATGGAAGATTTCAAAGTAGAGTGGAGCTAGTTATGAAAGGAGCGTGGATGAAATGCTACAGTCCCGAGTTCAATGCGAAGCCTTGTTTATGGGAGAGTCGGCGCGTAGCTCTGACTTCATTAAGGGTGAGCCGCAGTGGCACTAGAGGGCTCAAGACGGCTTTCCTTGAGGCCTTGCGGATACAGATATCGCTTTCGTCATGCGGTCGATCTGCTCGCCGTTGTAGTCAACAATACGAGTACGAGCGAGCGGCTCTCCAGGCAGCTAAATATGAAGGGACTAGCACTTCCAGCCGCAAATCCAGATGGATGAAATCCCACCTCCACCAAAATTTTAAGGCTCCTGAGGCTGCCGATTCTCAATATATTCGGAGTTGCCTGGCTTATACGATGACTCTCTGAAGGAACGCTTACCCCGTTGTGCGCATTTCGCCGCCAAAAAAGGAATATTACTACTGACTGATATACGTACGCCCTGTCCTGTCGGAGCAGTTTTTGTGTCGGCCGCCGACATACCGTACTTCCGTGGATGGCGGCGTTAGGCGACCTGGCATGGTCCTGCGAGAGAAGAAGATAAATCTCAGAGGAGCCGTCGATACTTCCGGGTAGATGGAGGTGGAATATCCCCCTTCGAACGCATCGGCCCAGGACGCTTCGTCGCCTTCCGCCACCTCGACCTCACATAGAGGCTCACCCTCGCTAATACCGCCGCCCTCTGACTCACGAACGAATTCAAACGAAGCTACTGCAGGTACAGATGGCTCGAAATCAGCACAGTACAACAACAGCCCTCCCGCCGCAGGTGCGGCTGCGGATACGGCACCGAGTGATCCCCTCGCCGACCTCAAGCGTCCTCGAGCATGTGAGGCTTGTCGCCAGCTAAAAGTGCGCTGTGATCCCGACCAAGACCATCCAGATGGCTCTTGCAAACGTTGTGTCAAGGCGAATAGACGCTGCATTGTCACCGTCCCCACCAGGAAGCGGCAGAAGAAGGCAGACAGTCGGGTTGCGGAACTGGAGAGGAAAATCGACGCGTTGACAGCTACTCTGCAGGCGTCGAGAGCGAAGAGCTACCCGTCCGATCTAAATGACTCTGGACCGCAGCAACATGTCGAAAGGAGCTGGTCTGGGTCAAGCCGCTGGTCCTCTCAACGGCGGGTCTCGGGCGGTGAGAACCCATCAGGCCCCGCTGGGATGGCCGGAAGCAAGAGGTCGTCAAATGGGGATATCAGGTCGCTACCGGGGATGAGGCCTCCTGCTATTCTTCCACCTTCTAAGAGCCCTTCGAGCCATACAACTTTCGTCAATACGTGGTTGCATGGGGAATCCCCCAATAAACAGGAGAGCAGCTGGCCGGTATTTCTACCGGAGTCATCAGCAGGCCGACGCCCGGACCATGAGTATGCAGACGTCATAGACCGCGGCATCATTGACCAGGAAACAGCAGTAAAGGCCTTTACACATTATGTCGAGGTTATGGCACCATTGATGCCAGCGGTAGTGTTCCCGCCGGGCACCAAGATGGGTGACGTGCGGCGAGAAACCCCCATGCTGTTCCTATCCGTCCTCTCTGTATCAATTGCATCATGTGCACCCAGCCTGGAACCGATTCTAACGAGTGAGATGCACAAAATATTCGCCGACCGCATTGTTGTCCGTGGTGAGAAGTCGTTAGAATTGATGCAGGCTCTTGTGATCGCATCTCTGTGGTACATGCCACCGGAACACTATGAAGAGCTCAAGTTCTACCTCCTTATTCATCTGGCGGCTATTATGGGAACAGATATGGGCATGAATCGCCGGTCAAAGCCTCAGGCACAATCATCAGAAATCATAAAGGAACTTATGAGTAGAAAAGCCATATTTGTTGACCCACAGTCGCTTGACGGTAGGAGAGCGTGGATGGGCTGCTATTTTTTGGCTGTGAAGTCCGTGCCTCTCTCCCTTTTGTGATACCCACGATTGTTTAATGTCTGTTTGGTTTTTGATATCTAACGTTTGTTATATGCAGTGCATCTATGGGCCTTCGAAGGCCTCTTCTCACCCGCTGGAACACATATATGGATGAATCAGTCAAACTGCTACTGGAATCGTCCGATGCATATCCCAGCGATCGGGCACTTGTTGAATGGGTTAAACTCGCCCATATCGGCGAAGAGATCGGCTTCCAGTTCTCTATGGACGACCCCCTGACAAATATATCCATAGACGAGCCGAGGGTGCAGTTTGCTCTCAAAGGCTTTGAAACGCGCCTGGATGAGTGGCGGAAGGAAGTGCCTTCCAAAGTATACAGCCGTAAGACAGTTGATGATCATTCTTAATTGTTATTTCAACTATCGCTAAGCATATATTCACAGCCGTAATGGAACACTATGAGCAAGTGCTAAGCATATATATGCACGAAATTGGCATGCACATCGATCACAACATCGACGACTTCAAACCGCCATTTCTCCCAGGTCTCGCTGAAGAATCACAGGCCAATCTTGGGACGGCTGCACATGTGAATGCACTTACAGCATGTCTCACTTCCATTCACCGGGTCCTTGACCTGTTCGGCACCATGGATCGATCCTTGATGTCTTGCCTCCCTACCATACATTTCGTTCGCACATCTTATGCATGCGTTGCTCTGATAAAACTGTACTCCGTTGCCTCATCACCCGGCAGCCGTCTCGCTAACGTCTTCAGCACTGCCGATTTCAAAGTCGAGGCCTCGCTTAATAACCTAATTAATCACCTCCATACTTGCAACGAGGGGAATCAAAGTCGAGTTGGCCTCAGGTTCTCGCTTATAATTGGCATGCTGAAAGCCTGGTATGCGAAACGCAAGGATAAGAAAGCTGAAGTTCCTCTTCCGCCCTTTCTCCAGCCACGGGCCTCAAAATCCGAGAAGACAGCACCCGCGGCCACGGACACGGGTGCTGACGATGACGCGAATAAGTCGGTGAGTAATCGCGACTCGCAATAATCTACATTCTCCGTAAAGGGGAAATGCGTTCCTTGACGTCATTATTTCATGTAAAGCGCCTTGAGCGCTATTTTCTTTCATTGATCTGCTGATACTTTATTTCTTCTGCAGGCTCCTTTGAGAAACTCGAGCACCTCCAATACCCTCGGAGAGGCTGCTGTGCAATATCCCTCAAGTACCGCAACCACCAAGCAGGGAGTGCAGCAATCTGCCAACAAGGCTGCCCAGAATAATATATCTCAGCCCTGTGGTACTAATACACCTGGTCAAGCCATCGTGACCAGTCCAGGTGAAATCAGCACAACATCTGCGGCTACTATTCGCACATACGGCCCGAGCGGCCTTTCGCAGCCAGCATCTAGTTCAGGCGACTGGCCGCCATTCGTCAGCCAGAACCAAATGTCAACTAATCCTTACACTACGACGGCACCCTGCGAGTCCTCAATGCAACAGCAGTACATGAATCCAACCTTTGGGCAAAATGAAAACTTCGTTTCACAAGCCGGGTTCAATAATGTACCTACCACAGGCATGGACCAGCAGATTCTGAGCTGGGGACATGGTACAATCCCAGGTGCAGATCTATCCGCAGTTATGACCTTTCACCCCAGTTTATGGGATGAAGAGCTCTTCCAGCTCTCGCTCGAGGGCTTCGAAGGCGTCTTCTAGGACAATAGATGAAAGAAACAAACCAAGCTTGTGAATGTTTCATACCCTAGGCGGTCGAATGGATCTGGTTCGGAGTTTTTAACTCTCATGTTTCGTTTTCATTATCATTCACTTCCTTTTTGCATCTTGCTCGTTTTCTTTTTCTTTTTCTTTTTCTTGCTTGGTATGCTTCTGACGTGGCATTCCGAGCCCGTTGGTTGGTGCTTCTCTCCCAATCTGCATGGAAGATGCATGAATCATGCATGGGACATTGGCGAAATCTTCAGCATGTTACGCTGCATTGCAGGGGTGCGTGGTTGACGATGCAAGAAACAGGACATATATACACACCCAACTCCCTACTCCAAGGGACTCTCTCCTCAGTCTTACTGGGATGTCGCGGAGCCGCAGCATCTCGACTTTCTTTCACTCTCCACCCTTTGTTTTTTTTACAATTTCCCTCTCTTCTCTTCGACCGGCGGTTCCGGAGTATTGATTGGACAGGGCGTTATTGTGCATGTACTAGTATTACCAGCCGGCTATTCACCATTCGCTATGGAGAAAAAAAAATCCCAAACCCCCTGTCTCCTCCGTATACTGCCTTCTGTATTTACGTTATTAGGAAGTTTAAAAAAATAAAAAATACTGCTTAAACCAGTAATTCTTCCATTACCCGAATCGATGCCGTGGAGGTGCACTGCAGAGGTCTTATTATGCAGAAATCATCGCTCTGCACTCGCACTGGATCATTCATACGGCACCAAGTAAAGCCTGAAGGGGTAGCGATATATCTGGCATAGATGCTGGCTATAAAGGGGGGAATAGCAACCACAGCTCTCGGGACTTCCTCGACCAGAAACATTATCGTAGCCAGCCGCCGGCAACATCTCATCTCTTTTTCCATCTCTTGCCCGTCGACATACCTGACTGCTTTCCCGGGGGTGACTTCGTCGTCATGTTCATCAACGACGAAGAACTAAATGGCGTGGGCAAAATCCAGTCAAAGGGCATCTATCACGGGCTGCCTGTCTTCCCAGAGTCTCTGAAGGGCCTTTCTGCCATCATAACGGGCGCAAATGGAATATCTGGCCATCATATGCTTCGGGTCCTGGCTGAATCACCAGAAAGATGGACAAATATCTACTCCATGTCAAAACGGCCACCGCTAGTACCCACGAAATGGAAGACGAACGTCCAGCACATCTCGCTGGATTTCCTTAACAGCACGCCAGTGGAGCTAGCCATGGCCATGAAAGAAAATGGTGTGAAAGCGTAAGTACCTGATCGCAAGATGCGGATAATTCGGTTTTTAACATGCTGATTGGATTCAAGTGACTATATCTTCTTCTTCTCGTACATTCAATCAGAGCCTGAGGACGGTGGCGGCATCTGGTCCGCTGCAGAAGAGTTAGTCAGGGTCAATAGTATGTATATGCAAGCCCGTTGGAAGGATATTTGACTTCCTTCCCCTGAACCAGAACCAGAGTTGCTCACAAATAGTGTCTAGCGGCGATGCTCTCTAACTTCCTGGACGCCGTTAAGCTTGCAGGAATCACGCCCAAGCGAGTCATGCTGCAGACTGGAGCCAAAAACTATGGCATCCATCTTGGTCCCACGATGACACCCCAAAGGGAGGGTGATCCTCGCGTCTTGCTGGAGCCCAACTTCTACTACACCCAGGAGGATACGCTCTTCAGATATTGTGAAGAAACTGGTGCAAGCTGGAATGTAGTTATGCCATCTTTCGTGCTCGGTGCCGTGAAAGAAGCTGCCATGAACATGATGTATCCTCTGGGTGTCTTTGGGGCTATCCAGGCACACCTTGGACGGCCTCTTGTCTATCCGGGAGAACTCGCTTCGTATATGATGCCTCTGGATCTATCGTCGGCCACGTTAAACGGATACCTGGAAGAATGGGCTGTTCTCACCCCCAAGGCTGCAAACCAGGCATTCAATGCTTGTGACAACAGCGCCTTCACCTGGGCTGCATTCTGGCCCACATTTGCCAGCTGGTACAACTTGCCATACCAGATTCCCGATGATGAGAAATCGCAGTACATTTCAATTCCGACTCAATATGAGCCGCCACCAAGAGGGTGAGTGAGACGATCCTTTCTGCGTGTTTCGGGAAACAGGCGGATACTGATGCTGATTTGTTATATATCTTGATAGATTCGGTCCCCGAGGCATCATCCGGCTGAAATATGCGCTCTCCCACTGGGCCACTGACCCCGAAGTCCAAGATGCATGGAAAGTATTAAGTCAGAAACATAACCTGCAAACTAATCCATTCCAAAGTGCAAAGGACATTCATCGCCTGTTTAGCTTTACAGACAGTGCGTTACTTATGGCATGGCCACTCCAATTTAGGTCAGGACTTTTTGTTAATTTTCTTTCTTTCTTTCTTTCTTTCTTTTTTCATTTGGCTTGTTTGCATATTGGAAATAAGAGAGCTAATAAGTTTATTCTGTAGCCGCACAAAATGCCATAAACTTGGCTGGTTTGGAGCTGTTGATACCATTGAATCTATGCGGCAGATTCTGTATGAGTTTGTTGGGCTTCGGATGCTGCCCCCCCTTCCGAGCTTCAAAGTATAATAGCATCCAACCAAACTATACTTATATTTCGCTACTATTATTTGTATCATCACTATACTGGATGGGATTATTTTTAAAATGATCTGGCTATATAAAGAATCATATGCAAGCCGGACATGCAAGCGTTTCTCTGAACAGTGTGCATATAAGGTTCAAATTAGAGCTATCTTACAAACCTAACTATGATGGAGGAATTGAGGTAAAAATAATCATTTTTAATGCTCTATCTTATAATTTGCATTATACCCTTAGGCATTAACTAGTTGACTCACGGGAAGTACAATTAACCAGAGAATGGAATACCATTCTACAAGTTAGACTAACTACCCCAGATATGGCTAACTTAGTTAACGTGGCCCACATAGATAGTTAAAAGCATTGACAACTAGTTATAGAATAAGATAGATAAGATCAGCAATATTGATGGAGCAGATCGCCGGTGTTACCAATACCAATATAGGCAGTGGTCTTTGATATGGCCTTGAAAGTTCATGAAAAAAATATGATTGGCTGAATCCTATCCAAGCACTGTGGGTATAATTACATAAGCAAAGTTATCCTCTCGGCATAACTACGTCACTTCTCGAGTCTCCAATTATGGTATGAGAATATGGCTGCTCTACCAGAATGCAGCTTCGTGAATGCCTTTGCATTTTGCGAGAATTTAGAGGCAAGGCACCCTGATTAAAAATAATAGTACATACTCCACATCCCTCGTTTATTCTTTCCTACTCGCAAACCTGTTGAGGAGGCAATAACGCATATCTTATCTTGATAAAAGAAATGCATCAAAATATCGCATGCCGTTTGTATCGGTCGACGACATGGCCCTCGGATGGACGGCAGATCGATTGTTTTGCCCAGGAGAGGTGCGTATAACTTGGGTGTGCAAGTTTTTCTTATACCAAGATTATGTTGCTCTCCTTGGCGGCGAGAGGAATGACAGAGGCTACCGCAGGGCTGGAGCTGGCCCCTTCTCCTAAACTGTTGGTTAAGAAGGGGAAACCCTTGATTTGCTGCAGAGAGAGTCGTTACATATCTGAAAAAACATGCTAGTTATGCCGAATTGGGGAACTCGGTGGAATTTGATTGTTGCAAACATATTTTGCTATGAATAATACTGAATAGATGCCGTATACCTTCAGCAAATGTCATGTTTCAGCGCCCCATTACCTATCAGATTATTCAACTGACTTTTACAGTGGGAAAATAGACTTTGTGGAAGGGAACTGATTGAGCCTGGAGTCACAGACCTCAAGACAGTGAAACTTGGGCTGTACCAGGGGAAAACTATAACATAACACTTCAACGGCCTTAGTTCTTGTCTCCCAACCCCAGCTTCTTCCCAATGTCTGACCCTTGATAGGACCAGATGATAGCTGGCTCGTCTCCAATTGCAGGCCAATTGCTTCGGAATCCAAGCATTGCCTGGCCTCGGTAGGACATGGTCTCGATAATCTCTCGGGAAATTGAAAGCGGGTGTGCTTGCTCTGGCGACAATATTCTTCGAATAAAGCTCATGGACAAACCACGCCGGAACTCATCAGTTGTACTATTGGTGCCACCACCATGAATGACCTTTCCTGAAAAAAAGGCACAGTCCCCTGGGTTCATGACAGCTGAGATAGTCTTGTCACCGCCCGGCAGCTCTCCGTCCTCGAGCCTCTCAAAGCTCTCGTTAAGATGGGTCCCGGGGGCGAACACCGTCGCTCCGTTCTCCGCCGTAAATGGGGTGAGAGCAACCATGAAATTGCATACAGCCTCTGGCATCGCGGGACCTCCTATAACAAATGGATGATACAGCTCTAGATCACGGTGAATAGGTTGTGGCTTGCTTCCAGGTCCAATTTCGATGACATCGCTTGTATTCATCCAATATCCGGCTAGAGGATAATCGATAAAGTTTCGCTCCAAAAGAGAATGCATCAAGTCATGCTCCAAAAACTCGTGGCGGAAGACAGAGCTAACAGTTGATAATTGGCCAAGGCGTTTAGTTTTCTTCCCAAAGAAATCATCTACTTGTTCATCACCATCTATGCGAGAGGCATATCCCGCGGTTAGCTTCTGCAGGGCAGGGTCGATTTCGGCAGTGAATCGGTCCAGTTGATCCTTCGTAACGAAGTTCTCAATAACAACCACTCCATTCTTCTTGAAACTTTCAAAAATGGCATCAGGCCCAGCCGACATGGGGAATCGTTCAATTATTTGTTCACCCATGATGGATAACGGTATGCAAACAGGATAAACACTCGATGTGCAGTCAATTTGCTTGGAGTATAGCTCTGAAGTGTGAGGAGCAGCAGTTATTTAGGTCCCAATGACATCGGGCTTGGGGTTTATTTATATTCCCCAGTTAGCACATCGATTTTCTTCTTCTTCCTCCATATTTCTAGGTCCACCCACTGCTGAACACTTTCACAACTCAAAGAAGCATGATCATCATGCAGGCCTCAAAAAGAGGATATGTTTGAACCATGCAGGTTGATAACCTGTGGCGATTGAAGTGTTGGCATGCTTCATACCTTACCTTACCCTACAGGTTAAAGGTCATGTAGGGAAAGGTCGACTAAATCTTATTTTCTTCTTTTTTCCTCTGGTAACTAACAATAACGCCCTCTCATGTTAGCATGTAAGCATGCAGATACTCTATATTATCGTCTATATGATACAGGGCATTCGTTCGATATCCAAATGTCTGGGCTGATACTTCTAGGTTTTTAGTTCTTTGGAATTCTATTTGCCTGTCAGACATAGGCTCAATTTAAACAACTAGTTAGGCACGGACTGACTTTGTGTTACCTTGCATTTGTAGGGATGAATACCAATATAGTATTCCCAGTAATCCTGGTAATGTTCAAGGAGGTAACACTTCAACGCAAATCCGATCCAGCACGATAAAGCTCAAAGTATTGATTCCCATAGGCTCATTTCCTCTATTTACATTCGTATGGAATGGAAGGAGACAGGGAGTATACTCGAGACAAAGTATCGTGATGGCATTTTCTAGCCAAATCAAGGTAAGGGAGTGTTACTAGCCCAGAGCAGTTATGTTGGGTGACGTGGCGCAAGTTGCCGTGGTTTGATATGAAGGTCAACCTTGTTGATATGTCAAATCCTAAGAATTCCACAGAAATACATAGAAATTTCATTTTCATCTAAGTGAAAGTGATTCGGTAGTGAGTTAGTTGGGCTATGGGGAAGTTAAAGCTTGATCAAGCCCTTTAGTTCGGGATCTGCAGGCCAGATTCTGACAAAATACATCCTGACGGGGGGGAAGGTTGGCGCAATTACTTGTGTATCTTTATATGAGTCCACTGAATCTCTGTTTCTTATACGGGGTATCGTGATAACCGTTAGTAATGTGCTTTGTAGAATTGTAGTTTAAATCCATCGACCATCCTCACTTCTAGAGGACGCTCGAATTTTCTGCTCATCTCAAAGTCATAAATTGGGGTCTTCACATTTTAGAAGTGATCAAGTGACTAGCATGGTACATATGTTCCGTTTGAAAGTTGCATACAAATTTCAAACCCGCCTGGGCACTCGAAATGGGATATTCCCTCCAATAGTTAGACAGCGCCGCAGGCTACAGAACCTGCAAACCATCGACAGCATTGCGCAATTGCCAAATATACAAGACCGCTCACAATCGATGAATTAAAGCTCAGCAGTGTAGCTTCATCCCTTGTTCTAATAGTGTGGTTTGTTATCTAATGATTGGTTAACTAGTTAACCATATGTGACCTTTGCTAAGTTGTGAAGCCATCTACCTGTATCGAGTCTCTTCCAGATGAATTTCGTAATTCCCGGCTTTGAAGTTGGGACGTTCTCGAATATTTCATTTAATATTTGTATATTATATTTCGCCTAATTGCTCCGATACCCCTGTTTGCAAAAAAAAAAAAAAAAAAAAGGTAGCTCGGATGCCCTTGTTTTATTTTGTAACTTTTAGAGAGACACACGATCACACGATGTTTTCTAATTATGTATATCCACTAACCACAGAACCACACATAAAGTTGCTAGAATGCCCTTCTTCCTAACTACAGAGTAACAGTAACAGAAGGTATAGTCTCCCTGACCTCCCTAGCCTACTAAGTCCCCTAATACCTAGCTTAAAATAAGGGCTTAACTTAGGATATCAGGGGGTTAGGGAGGTCAGGGAGATTGTATCTTCTGCTACACTCAAGATATATACTCTATACTTAGGAAAGAAGGGTATCTTAGCAATTCTACGTGTGGCTCTAGGCCTTGGGATACACATATAAAATAGTATATTACCCAAATACAAGAGCTTTACTCTATGTAGTTAGGTAGTGTGTAGCAGGGGCATCCAAGCACTTTTTTCTTGCAAACAGGGGCATCCGAGCAATTAGGCGTATTATATTTGTTCTATGAGAGGACTAATTAGTTATATAGATCTTGTTGATATGTGACGTCATATGAAACTCACTTAGTTAACCACGCTCGGGCCATGGTTGTTCACGTGAGTACGTGAGAGCCGCATCCAAGACGTCAAAGCTTTCAACGTCAACCAACTTGAACTTCAGGATCAACCTCGAATTCTCACGGCGAGTTCTCTTCTCCTGCGCTGAATTTCAAGGTCGTGGGGTGACTAACCTTGGGACCACTGCCCCAAACTACCTGTTACTACCTCACATCCTGACTGAAGGCGTGTCTGCGGGCAGACAGCTTTGCTGTGTAGCAGAAGGGGCATCGTGCTGGACTCACCGTGGGCACACACACACCAGTATACAATAATATGACATGTTGTGGCGCTTTTATTCAATCTGTTACCATAGAACAGAACAGTGACTAAAACTGCTCTCTAACTAAGGTAGAAAAGTCCACAACATGGCTTACAACCGCCGCTGGAAGAGGCCAAGTGTATTCGGTGCTTATGAGACAAGTAGGAATAGGAGGATAGGTAAGTTCAAGTACTAGTCAAGCGATGTATCCTGCGTTATTTTAATTCTCTAAACCCTGGATAGATGTACTGGGTGAGCAGCTAATTCAGCCTTGCATTTTGGATTTAGTACAAGTCGTTATCTCTATAATCTACTGCTCCATGTCTAGTGGCATAATTTTCGGATATGCTGCCCTAAAACCAATCCTTATCAATGAAGGTGTGTATAGCTATCTATGCACGGAAGATGAAGCTGTCCCAGGAATGAGGGCGTGCTACAAGCAGGAGTTACGGTACGCTACCCAGTTCCATAGTTTGCTCTCAATACACCACTAACCATCAAACTAGATTAAATTTTATGTTCACTGTATCAGCAATAGCATCGAACCTCTTTGCTTTACCAAGTGGTTCCATTTTAGACAATTATGGCCCTCGATTTACCGGCGGAGTTGGTGCTATTCTCATTGCTATGGGGTCCCTTTTATTTGCAACTGCTTCCCATTTTCCTTATGACAGGCATTTGTTCGGATATACTCTCATGGCAATGGGTGGTGTATCTGTTTTTACGTCTTCTTTACATCTGTCAAACGCTTTTCCGAACCACTCCGGCCTAATACTGGCTATTTTGACCGGTGCATTTGATCTCTCGAGCGCTCTATTTTTAGTCTTTCGAAGTGTTCACAGCGCAAGGGCTTCACTGAAGTTTTTATTTCTTCTATACCTTGCTGTGCCAGGACTTATCCTGGTAGCTCAGGTATTTCTTATGCCGTCAAGACCATACAGTACTATTGGAGAGCTCATCGGACACATTCAAGATATTTTGGCCGAAGAAATGGAGAACGAAAGGACTAACGCTGTCTCAGCCCTTGATCCAGATCAGCAACCTTCCACATACCATGATACTGTAGACAAACTCAAGGCTGTCCTTGAAGATGACGACTACGATCACATCAAAGATACCTGGATGTTTCCCTCGGTGAAGGAAACTAATTGGAGACAGAATACCAGCAATCAATTATGGGGCATCCTACACACCTTGCCGGCATCAGAGCAAATTAGTTCATGGTGGTTTATTCTACTGGCGGTTTTTGCGATGGGCCAGTTTCTTCGGATAAACTATTTAATATCCACCCTCCGTGTACAATACGAGTACCTCTTATCTTCTCCCACGCTCGCCAAATCGTTAAATCAGCTATTTGACTGTCTGCTGCCTCTTGGAGGTATCGTCACTACCCCGTTTATAGGGTTATTTCTCGACTATGCTACATTACCATCCATGCTGTTCCTTCTTGTTGGAGCGACAACCATTATCGGCATTACAGGCTGCATCCCTAACAATCTAACTATGGGATACGTTAACATCATACTCTTCACATTATACCGACCCTACTTTTATACGGCAATTTCCGACTACGCAGCAAAGATATTTGGTTTTCAGACATTCGGTAAAGTCTATGGCCTGATAATATTTGCTGCCAGTATAGGGAGTTTTCTTCAAACTCCGTTGGAAATGATCACTTTGAGGGAGTTCAATGGTGACCCCTTGCCGGTAAATGTACTACTTACAGCTGGCACATTTTTGGCTGGAGGAATTCTTACTCTGTTTGTTTGGCATAAGTCTAAGCTTTTCCATTCTTGTTTAGCCCGCAACGTGGATATCGAACCAAATTATGGCGATGTACCGATGGGAAGATCGAGCGTGGCCATTGAGGATGACTATGCTGCCGTTGAAGAATATTATGCAAGGCCAACTGACCCCCTTCTTCATTCTTTTGATAAAACGGGCCACGCTTCATCTTATAGTGCCATACCACATGATGCTTAATACAGATAATTATTCGAATAGAAAACTCAAAGTAAAATAATACATACAACCCCAATGAGCTGGCAAGCTCTCTGACGTGATTGCAGATGCAATGATTATAAAATTCTTGATAATAGCACAATGACCGCTAGCTACTACAGGAAATAAGTTGATGTGACCAAGAAAGAACAGTGATGCCAATAATTCAGTCAACTTCCAAGAGCTGGTACTTTCCACCATCACCACCCGGGCCCTTGTACTCTTCCAAGGCTCGCTCAACAGCATGCATACACCCGATAACCTTCTCCTCGTGCCACCTTCGCCCAACAACCTGGACAGCAATAGGAAGACCGTGCATAGCATCGGCATCATAGTACTTCCAGGCACCCCGGGAAACGGCACTGTCAACACCCAAGTTCTTCAGCACACGCTTGTACACATTCTTGCCCTTCTTGCCATCAGGCCCAACAAGGGCATCCCTCTTAGCATCAACATGGCCGACTGGAATGACACCGGCAGAGTAATCAAGCATATTCCAGAAGAAAGTGTAGCCACAGGCGCTGACAGCATCAGTCATAGCGCCGTGGGGGAGTGCAGGGGTGGCATTGACAGGGCAAAGAATGAAGTCGAAGTCTTGCTCCTTGGCGTTCCACCAGTCGTGCCAGGTAGCACGGAAAGTTTCACGCTGGGCGACAAGCTTCCATTGCTGAGTAGCAGTTTTGAGGCCAAAGTCACGGAGAAGGTACGCCCATGTTGGATCACGCTTAATGTAGCGAACAAAGAGGTAATAGGCATATCGGAATGGCCAAGAAAACCAAGAGAAAGTGGTGAGGTGGGCAGCACCCGGATCAGAAGATTCACCTGTTTGCAAATGGGAATTGAACGTTTCACAACCATCAGAGTTCAGCAGAAGAGACGCGAGGTTAAGACCCATTAAGGAAGTAGCAGTCTCTGGCTCCTTGACCTCAACGATTGTGTGCCCGGCTGCGGTCAAAGCAGCAACTGTGGTGTTTATTCCACGGGCAACTGCAGGAGTTGGTGGTACAACACCTGAGGGGCTTCATGTTAGTGAAAAAATCATCGACTAAAGGCAATTAGGAGGGTAAAGGGAACAACTAACCGTCCGACCTCATGACACCAATTCGGAGCTTCTTCGTCTTGGCCTCGTCTTCTATTTCGCTCCTCCAGACGATTGGATGAACTGTGGTATCGTACTTCCATGGCTCCATTCCAATAATGGACCGAGCGAAGTAAGTCAGATCATTGAGTGTTCTTGCCATAGGGCTGAAAACACTAGGAACGCCCTCCTGTCCCGCCATACTAGTGCTGACGCCGGCCTTCGGCCATCGCCCAGTGCTGCAGCGGAGAGAATAACAACCACTCCATGCAGCAGGGAGACGGACGGAGCCAGCAACATCAGAGCCGACACCAATACGGCCTCCCATGGCCAAGAGAGCAGCTTCACCACCAGAAGAGCCACCAGGAGTGAAAGCAGAGCCATGGGGGTTACGGCAAACTCCCCAGAGATCATTGGTAGATTCAAAGGAGAGTAGTGTGATCGGAAGAGCAGTCTTTGCATATGGAACAGCACCTTGAATCATGTCAGACAGGAAAACTGCATGTTGCGACTACCAAAACGACATACCTGCGTCTTTTAACAGCCGAACTAAGGCACCATCCTTTGCAGCTGGCTGACGGGTATATCTCGTATAGCCCACAGAAGTGTCGAAGCCACCAACCTGGATGGAGTCTTTCAACGAAACAGGGATACCAGCCAATGGCCCCTGAAGGTTGATCCCAGACTTTGCCCATTCTTCAGACTCTGGAATCAGCAATTCCGTTATACAATTGCATCGTTCCTGCGCCTTGATGGCGATCTTGCCATAAGTATGTAGTACATCGACGGGGGCGAGGGCGCCCTTGTGGACGTCTTGGACAAGCTCTTCGATTGGCTTGTCGATCACTGACTGATCAAAGGCGGAGAAGGGAGCATGGTAGACAGAAGGCAGAGAAGCAAAGCGCTGCGATCTTTGGTTGCGCTTGAAGTTGCTGTTTGTTGGTTCTACTTAGTAACTAGCTAGGTACCCGAGGTAACAACCCAACAAAGGAGAGGGGAAGGAATTAGGTGCTCAGCTTACCGAGCACTACGGTACTGGAAGTAATCGAAAGGAGGAAACATCTTGACTAGGCTGTGGCATGCAATGGCGCTGTCTAAAAGAGTGGCTGGCTTGCAGCTCGAGGTTGCTGGTGGTTGTTGCAAGGACGGGAGGTTGGTGAGGAAATGCGGAGAAAGATGCGCGGCTGTCAGGGTTGTTATTTATGCTTGGGCGGGCGGCTCGGCGCTAGGGAGTAGCCGCGCTAAGCCGGCGCAGAACGCCGAGGCCTTTTCGGCATTAGACGACATGACATGACAGGGCGTTCTTTGTATATTTCTACTTCTACGACAGGAAGAAGAGATGGGGTGATAGGTGGCTATTCTGATTGGAGTGACAACGATGTGAAGATACTAAAGGGCCATCTCAGCATCCCCTTCAATGAGCTGCTGGCCTTTGCTGCCTTGCCCTCGTCGAGAAATTCATTACACCAGCGGCGGATAAGGTTGCAAATGGAGTCGACAGCTGCGTTCACTGATTCCAAATCCCCTGCAAAAACCCTGATGATAGTCTCGCCGTCCATATCATAATCGATTCTGCCTAATTTTGCAACTCGTTAACCCTCTATGATTGAAGCACTCCGGATCATTAGTTGAACACTTACAGGCAGCTTTCTTTGCCCGAGCAAACGATATGATCAGATCTTTCCCGTCCATGATCATGGAAGTTATTGCAGCTGGAGGACTGTCAATATATGGCAATCTTTGAAAACATGGGCATGGTTCACTTACATGGCATGTAAATGAACGAGATATCCTTCCAATATGCTCCTCCGTGAACTTGGATGGATGTTAGCTTATAGGCTACCACCGTGGTAAAGCAGATAACTTACACATTGAAAACTGGAGTTTTGTTCCAATAATGTTACCGGTCTTACTCTCGTTCCAAGTTACCAGGAGTTGACCATCTCTTTCGGTATACGCCCAATGATGTGCATACACAGAGTGCACCTGTCGAAGCATTGGGTGTACATGCTCTGACTTGATCAGGCTATGCATTATATACGGGCCTTGGATATCATGCGCCACACCGATGGTCACAACTGGCGTGTTCGATTCGGTTCCTCCTATGAACATCCAGTTATAAAGATGACCAAATATTTTTGAACGCATGATTGTCCCAGATGAGTAGCCGCTAAACACAGGCACAGCAGTCAAAATATCCTGTGTGAAATTATACCCATCCCAGTATTCATATGCACTGCGATTTTGTGGCTCGTATTTTTCAACCCTGGCCAAATAGATATCCTCACCAAGCTTTCCCCAGACATAGAAATAATAACTCTCAAGAACTGAGCAGAATGATCCAAACGCTGGTTCGCTATCAGTGAAGAGCAGGTCGTTGCGCATGATCCGTTCGGCCCTAACTTCCTCTGTATGTCTGTTCCTTACCGCGATGGCCAGGCCAACTCCTTGAAACGCGATCTCAATGATACCCTCGGTTGAACGGGTCTGTAGGTATTTCTGGAACCAGATATAGCCTCCAATTGCATTGGGTTCAGGCTTGCAGAAACCACCGGGCATTTCGAGTATGACTTTGTGGTTATGACCTTTCTCAAGCTCCTCTTCATCCTTTGTGAGAGGCAGGAAAGGCGCCATACCCCTGTTACTCGGCATAGCAACGTTCGCTATTGGGTTCACTTCTGGATCAGAGACCAATGCTAGTGAATTTGCAGCTTCGCCCACTATTTCTCCTTTTGCGTCTTTCCATATGGTTTTACCGAAGATATGATAGACGTTCCCTCTGAGGGTAAATGATCTGCCATTACCTTGCGGGTATATTGGCTTCATCTCATCATTCAACTCACCCAGGTAGTAAAATGTTGCAATCTTAGGAGGATACTCCGCGCTATACTCCTCTGACCCACCAGTGACCAGGAGATTTCCGCAGGGGGTTCCCACTTGTTCAATAGAAGGTAGCATGATGAATGCTATCAATCTCTAATTAACCTTTAAAGAGTTCAAATAGATGTATTAATATCCAGCCCCAAAAATAACATATAGCTTTATGGATATTCCCTGACAAGCCAGGTATCTTAAGGATAGCCTTCGATACCGGGTATGTGAACATGACTATAATCCTTAACGTAAAGGAAATATTGGAGGCGAAAGGTCTCAGAAGGTGTCATAGCAAGGGAAAGGGCCGTAGACTATCAGGAGATCTCGACATCAAAAGGAAGTGAAAAGTAACTTACTATAATTAGACTTTATTCTTTCAACTTAGTCTGTTTGAGAAGGAAGAATGATTGTACCTAATCAATAATAATAATGGCTGAATGCAGAAAGCCAGAGAGTATGGGAGAAGCTGTATAGAAGGAGTTAAAACAAGGAAGACTTTTTATAATTATTGCAACTATATATTTAGGTTCCTTTTTCTGTTTGTTTATCCCGTCACTCGGCGAGTAGACAGAGCACATAGAAGTAAATACTTAGCTCCATTCTATATACATATATAGCAGGACCTCTGTGAATAACATTGACTTTATGACAATAAAGCCCATCCCTTAGTTCACAAAGTTATCCCACATGATTAGTCGAGCTTGCCTGGTATCTACTATGATTGTCCATTAGAACCAGAAGGATTTTATATAGATTGACACATTTTTTTATATAAGTAGGATGTACCCCTGTAAACTCTAACTGCGCCCGGGCCCAGGCACCCGATAAACATTTAAACTTTCGGCTCTAAATTATTCCGCAGAACTACCACGTGACTCGCCACCTCGACTTCGCCGAATCTTCAAAGTCGAGAAAGTCGAAGAAACAGAAAAGTGATCGAACTTCAGTCAATCAAGCGAATTCTTCAGGAGGAAACGCGGTCTCCGTCACGGGTATACCCTTGAATTGTTCTCGGACAATACTCTCGCAGCCACTCTTCAGCTTCACGCACCTTCGAAAATGGCCAACTACCTCGCATCTATCTTCGGAACAGAGCAAGATAAGGTAAGCTCTCTCTCCCCTGGACCCAGCTCCCTTGTGATGCTGCATTACAGCCGCCTTCCTGCAGACAGGAGCTAACATCAGGCCCGCCGCATAGGTTAACTGCTCGTTCTACTACAAAATCGGCGCATGCCGTCATGGTGACCGCTGTTCGCGAAAGCACGTCAAGCCGTCGTATTCGCAGACTATCCTCCTACCGAACCTATATCAGAACCCGCAATATGACCCCAAGAATAAGATGAACCCCAGCCAGCTGCAGAATCACTTCGACGCCTTCTACGAGGACTTTTGGTGTGAGATGTGCAAGTACGGCGAGATTGAGGAGGTGGTGGTGTGCGAGAACAATAACGACCGTAGGTGTATCTCCTGTCCATTCTCGTGTCTACTGCAATGCGCAACGAAGTACGCTGGCTAACCACCAACACCAGACTTGATTGGAAATGTATATGCTAGATTCAAGTACGAAGACTCTGCACAAAAGGCCTGCGATGCGTTGAACTCCCGCTGGTACGCTGCTCGACCGATATACTGCGAGCTATCGCCCGTCACGGATTTCCGAGAAGCGTGCTGCCGACTGAATAGCGGCGAAGGGTGTGTGCGAGGTGGATTCTGCAATTTCATCCACCGCAAGGAGCCCAGCGAGGAGCTTGACCGGGAGCTGGAGCTTTCCACGAAAAAATGGCTGAGACTGCGCGGCCGGGACGAGCGGAGTGTTACCCGCAGCCCAAGCCCGGAGCCCACGAGGAAGCGGTACTGACCTCTTTCCAGGGCTGGCCTCGTACATCTTGGGGGTTTATTTCCTTTGGGGGAGAGGAGCGCACTTTAGGCTACTGGTTTGGAAGCAAGGCGTTTGGTACCTTTCTTTTTTTTCTCTCTTTTCTACGAAAACAGATAATATACTCGGGTCATGGATGACACTCGGAGAGTCTCCCTCCATACAACCTTGAGAGGATAATGTATGCTCTAGATAAACGTGCCGTCTAATGCAGCACATTGCGTCATAAACCGGGAGCAGCCACAGCAAGGCCCCTCGGGTCCTCCAGCTCCTCCACCAGCTCCTGTTCCTGTCCAGTCCAGGCACCGCGGCGAGGTTTCGGATCCCGCTGGAGGGTGATCCATGGGCGAGAAAGGCGACTTTCCCGCTGCACGCTACAGCTAAACTTCCGGAACGCTCCCCTTATTATCCATCATCGTATTTCTTTTTCGTCTTGTGTCTTCGTTTCTTATTCCTCTCGTCAGTCGTCTTCCTCTTCTCGCCGATTCACGCAGGCAGGCAGCCTTGCCCTGTCCTGCTCGTGACCCCATGTGGGGGATGCCTCGAGGTCGGCGGGAGCAGGTCGTTCGCAGGCGCCGGCGTCGTATGTAGGCGGCATCCGGTGTGACAGACCCGGCCAGCCTCAAACACTAGTTAGTTATATATATATATATATATATATATCATGCTGATGGCTATATAGGTGGCCTGCTATGCGCCGTGTCAGAGCGGTTTCAAGCACACAAGCGCCGGACAGTTCGCGAGCGAGCCAGACTAGTTGGTTGTTTAGCTGCTGGCCGGGTCCCTCTCGTCCGTTGGGCAACAACCTAAGGTTAACCAACGAGCTAAATAAATATCCACGCAGTCAAGGCGGCTTCGAGGTCGAGCCCCCTTACACCTTGTTGATACACCGGTCTTTCTCTGCGGCCGTCGTTTGGCAGCGGGCCCTCGTGTGATTCTCTCGTCCTCGCTGGCGTTCGACTTGCTGCCTCTCGCTGCCTGGGCCACACTGCCTAGGCAACCATGCGCCCGCAGCAAACGACCCCTGCATCGCAGCCTGTTTGCGCCTCATTCGTCTGCTGTTAAAAAGCAGGCTGAGCCCCTCCTGACTCGCGAAGAAGTGAGAGGGCAAGACAAAAAAAACACACAGTGTGGATATACCCCAAGCACGGCGTTCTAGCAAAAGCGACGGCGAGGCCCCGAGGACGTCAAATGGTTGCTCTTATAGAGTACAACACGATGGGACCAAAGCAGCCCGCGAAGGACTTCGACTGGGGCTATCTCATACAGCCGGACAAGAGTCCCTCGCCGAGGCTAGAGCAGCTGTGCCTGGGGCTCGCAGGTGTTATCGTAAATATACCCCGTCCTCTCGTCTTTTTTTTTTTATTGATTTTTTTGCCTGATGATAATATCTATGTATCGTCAAAAGCATATTTATATGATAGACTAACGGTGTACATAGTCTGAACTCGACCCTTCATCTTCTACAAAGGAGCTTACCCCTGAGAAACTGGCTGCCTTTTATCGTGCTGTAGGAGGAAACTATGATAGTTTGTTTCTGAACACTCCCAGTGCCTCTCTTTCATTTATATACCAGTCTCTAGGCTGCTTTCATACCCTCCAACCGACCAAGAATGCCTTTGAAGCACCGTCTATTCCAGCTTTGCTGCCACATGGCTATATCCGATGGCAAACAATCCAGCTCTTGCTCTGCCCCGAAGAACACACCCCTTTTCTCCAGAGAGCAGTGGAAATGTTTGATATAGTTGACGTCCATGAAGGATACTTGCTTCCCAAGACCATTCCCGCGTCTGCTTTCCCCACACAGCCAGATCCTGACATGGTTAAATGGCATGAGACCGTCAGTAATCGTCTAGAACTAGAGTCTGCTGCCACTACTCCACATACACGGCCGCCTGGTAATGCGCCTCCTCCGTCATGCACACGGGGGACTCGCCAGTCAAGAAACGAGGAAGATGGTGATTATTTCAACCGGAGTCACTACTATTCACCCACCGGTAGAAAGGGGGCCACTGCATCGAGACAAGGCTCTAGAGAACCTCATAGCCGTATCCCACGTCCTTTACGGTTTACTGAGGCAGCCGACTATACTGGTGACACCGGGCCCAAGACAGCCGGCTTCGAGCGTCCTGCATCGGCCTCTCGATCCAAGACATCATACCATTATCGTGGCCATTCCAGCCCACCGAGTGCATATAGGCGGTCATGGGCACACCCCGAATCATCAGATGGTGACGACGAAGGGGTTGCTATCGCTGAAGATATTCACGCACATCATCATAATCATCATCATCATCATAGCCGGATGGGTGAACCACGACACCACGACCACGGACATTCTGTCCACGAAGAAATATTCCCTTCTCGCTCCTCCCACGTACGACATCATTCTCACGAATCCATGCATCGCCATCGACAACCCTCACATAAGCCCATGCACGAGTCACCAAGGAGGAGAATAGACGAGGAGGAACCTGAGATCTACTACTCGTACCCTCCGCCCAAACACATCCCCGAAATCAAACCAACAACGTATGACGACAGTGCAGCAAATGCATTCCCTTCACCAAAGCACCATAGCCACCATTTTCACCCTAGATATGTTGACCTGTTCGATGACGATGGCATGATCAACTTCAGTCACTCCACTCCCAGCTCTCACCGCGGCTCAAGGTCCAGCAACCCAGCGGAGAACCCTCGCATGTCTCCTCCGATATCCCCTACCACGACAACTGATCAGTACAGCGAGCCAATGCACCCAGATCATCGATCACGCTTGCACCGTCACCAATCCCTTCGTGAGCCAAGACAACGGAAAACAAGGGGGAGACGGGGCACTGAGATGCGTCCTCGCTCTCACTCTCGCGGGTCCCCATCTCGTCGTCAGCATCATTATTACCAAGACTACAGGCATGCAGATGACCTGATACATTCGTCTCGAAGTGCACGAGAGCGAGAGCGAGAGCGAGAACGAGAACGAGGACGAGAGCGAGATATAGAACGCTCCCGGTCCCGTCCACGACGCGGCGAGGACGAGACGTGGAGTGAGAGTGATAGCAGCATCGACATTTCGGACGACGAATACGCTACAGCTGCACAAGCACAGGCACAAGCACAGACACAAGGACAGCCGCCGTCATCAGCATACGCTGCTCCTCCAGCACCAATGCCTCCTACCGCCGGTCCAATACCGATCATTAATTCCAGCGGCGGTCAGCGGGAGACCAGCAGACGAGCGAAATATGCCGCAAAACTGGAGTCTACTATTAAAAACGGGCTGAGGAACAGCTCCGGCAGTAGTAAGGAGAAGAGAAGGAAGAATAGGAGCAGTGGTGAAGGACAGTATGGTAGTTATCCAGGGGGTAGGCCACGTTCTCGGTCTACGCATCGGAGGCGAAGTTAACTGTATGCCATTGTTCCTGTGGCTATGATTTATGATGACGGCCGACCCAGTTTTTACTACATTTTTTTTTAATCCATTTCTTTGTATTTTTGGTCTAGGAAGGACATCACCTCTCTTGTTTGGCTTGGGAGCCTACGGGATATTTATAGGGGGGATTCTGTTAAAATGTCGAATGCAGTAATCTAACCCTGGCATATTCTATGCACTTGTTTTTTTTTTTTTTTTTTCTGCGTGTAATGATATTAAAAGCGACTATGAAACATAAAGCCATGACCTAAGGGGTATGATGGATTGCATTTTCCGTCAATCAAATAGGAACAATTGACTATATGAGACAGGTTGGAGAAGGAAGAGTAAATAATAACTGTCCATTTTCGATGACCACTTTTTGCTTCGATTCACGCACGTATAACCGCTCATCTTAATATTTGGTTTCTGCATTTTTTTTTCTCTCTTAGCATATGTAAAGGGAAGGAATGTCAGTAAATATGCATTGTGTTATTTGTTGATTAGGAGACGCTCAGGAGAAAGAAAAAAAAAAGGAGGAAAAAGACAACGCCGACGACAGCAGATTTTTTTCTTTAGTATGAAATAGGAAACTTTGCACGCAGACAGAGGAGAAGAAAAGGATTAAAAACGGGATACTGTAGAGCAAGGCAATGGCAATAGCATGTCAATGTTCAAATGATATGACGATGGCCATGAGAGGGGATGAGAATGGTAGGTAGTGGAGTATGCGAAGAAAAGGGCCCGGCGTCTAATGCTCGAGGATGCGAAGACTGCCCTGGACGACGACGTTCTCAAGGATGGAGCCTGGGGGGATGTCAATGGTGCTGCCCTCGGTGGCCACGATGATGACGGTTCCCTTGAGGGTGACACCACGGCCGAGGTTGACGGCACCGGAGATGGTGAGGTGGTCGAGCTCGAGGATACGAGGGATGCTGGGGATGTGGTTCATGAAGTCGGAGACCTTCTTGAAGTCTGTTCCGAGCTTGATCAGGGGGGCGTCACCGAAGCGGTTGGGGTCGATGACGAGCTGGCCGTGCTTGAGGGTGTAGAGGTCAGACTTGACGAGCATGAGGTCGGAGCAGGTCTTGACGGGCAAGAAGCGGCGACGGGGCACGTTGACTCCGTGAGCGTTCTTGAAGTGGCGGATGGCAGCACCGACGGCAGTCTCGAGCTGGATGATGGAGATGTCTGCCTCGCCCTTCTTGTCGGCGGGGATGGTCTTGCCATTGGGGATGATCTCCATCTGGAGGCCGCCCTCTTCGACGACACGCTTGACGGCGCGGAGGTTCATCCAGATGTTGTTGGTGTTGAAGTACTTGAACTTCTTGATGGACTTGAACTCGTTGACGTGCTCCTTGGGCACCTGGGCGATTTCAAGCAGGCGGGCTTTACCCTCGTAGTCGATGATGGTACCACCCTTGACGTCGGCCTTGGTCTTGTTGGTGAGTTCCATGATGTACTCGGCGTCGTTCTTGACCATGTGCTCGAGGATGCGCATGTCGACGACAGCACCCAAGTTGTCGGCGTTGGAGAGGAAGATGATCTCGACACCGCGGTCGAGCAGCTTGTCGAGGGTGCCCGAGTTCATGAGAGACTCGAAGACGTCTCCGTGGCCCGGGGGGTACCAGTCACTGATGGCGGAGTTGTAGCTCTTGGGCGCTGGAAGAAGGGAGTCCCTGAGGATACGGGGATATCTGGACTGGTTGAAGGTGATGATGTCGATGTTGTGGCCCTCGTACTTTTTGATGATGGACTGGGTGTCATCGTCGGTGTTGAAGGAGTTCATGAGCACCAGGGGCACGCTGACGTTGTAGGTGCGGTTGAGGTACTCGATCTGTCTGACGGAGAGGTCGAGGAAGGACATGCCCTCGCGGACCTCGATGACGGACTTTGGTCCCACGCATCCCATGGAGGTACCCAGGCCGCCATTGAGCTTGACGACTGCGAGCTTCTTGAGATACTCGACCGAGGCGGACTCGCCCAGGTCGTCGTACTCGACCACCTGGTTGGGCTGTGGAGGAGCAATGCGGTCCCAGGAGAGGACGTTGCCCTTGGCCTTGTCGTTCAGGTATCTGCGGAAGAGCGAGAAGAAGTTGTCCATCTCGGCCTCGAACCGCTTCTTTTCGGCGGGATCCTTGACGGTGTCGCTAAGGGCGTTGAGGGCGTTGCGCATCTGCGCGGCCGCCACGTTTGTCGAGGCGCTCTCGAAGGCCTGTCTCTGTTAGCATATCCGTACAAAACATGTCTATTGCCGTCATTGACCACAGTAGGCCATCGTAGGCCATCGTAGACCACAGTAGACTATAGTAGACCATCGTAGACCCTGGTTGATCGTGGTAGGCGATGCTGGCTGTCGAGGAGGGTCAGGGTATCAATCAACCCCCCTGGGCCACGAGCAGAGTACGCCACCACCACGGCCCAAAAAGCACCACCAACAGCAGCCAGAAAAGAAGAAAAAGGGAGAAGAGAGGACTCACCATGTTGGACTGAGACTTGAAATGGTGTCTGCTCTGGCTCTCATCGCGTCCCTCTGCCCCGGGAGCCTGGAGATGGGTTGCAAATGCCCTGCCACTAGCCATGTCGAGGGAGGCCGGATAAACAAACGACGGGCGTTTTAGTGTTAAGCTCGGAGCTTCGAGTAGCTGCTGCGGCAAGAGGAGTCAATTGAGCAAGATCAGGCACCGGCAGACGACCTAGATACGGACAGACGGAGACGAGCTGGTCAGCGTGGGCGTTGGTGCTGGTGCTGGTGCTGGTGCTGATGCTTGGAGGTGCAGAGAAAAGGGATGGGTGGACGAAGGTCCGTTTTCGAGGGGTTGAGGACGCTGCAGGCGAAAGGGACGGCTGGGCAGGGTTCCCGGCCGGTTTGGCCAGCAGGGCAGACGCAGACCAGAAGCAGGGCAGCAGAAGATACACGAAGACGGCACGGCTTACCTGGTGAGGGTGAGGGTGAGGGTGATGGTGAGGGTGATGGCTATGCTGGTGGTGAGGGTGAAGTTGGTGGTTGCGAGTTCGGCTTTTTTCTACAGAATAATAGATAATAATAATAACAGCGAGCATAAACTCGAGGCTTGCCAGCGAGATATAAATAAGTAAACGCCTATCTTACGTAGCTCAGGGGCAAGGGGGAGCTCGCTGGGTCTGCTTGACTGTCTACGGGCGTCTCCTTTTTCCTACGACGCAGCAGCAGCAGCAGCAGCAGCAGCAGCAGCATCTCCTGCTGGCTCTGCGTCCTTCCATTGCTTCTTCGGCCGCGTCTGCTTCTTCTTTTCTTCTTCGTGGCGAGTCTGCGTCCTCTTCTGCTGCTGCTGCTGCTGCTGCCTCTGTCTCTGCCTCTAGCTGGCTGCTCGACCAAATCTGCGCCCCTGGACCCAGAACGTGAGAGGCTGCGCTGGTGCTATTTATTTCTCTGCTGGGCCCTGGCTGCGTCCTGCCGCCCAGGGGGGGTGAGAGAGGGACCACATCCACTCCCCTTCCAGCAGCACCCCCTGGCTGGATCGACTGCTAGCGAGCTGCGAGATGGAGAGCTCGAGACAGCCAGCGGAGACTCGCAGCAGAGACACGGCCGTAGATCGAGAATAATAATAATGCAGACGGACGCCGTTGAAGTCGAAAGGGACTGACTGACTTTATACTTATAGTTAATATTAACCACCAGCTAGCTCCGGACTTGGCGGTTTTACTTCTGGCGCACACAAAACTCCAGCTCGACCAAGGGCGCCGGGGGCAGCGGATGGGCAGTCGACCCAAGACAGCGACCAGAGACAGGCCAGGTAAGCCGGCAGAGAGACAGAGACATCCATCGCCCTTCAATAATAATAACAATAATGATGATGATGGCCCCCGGGAGACTGCAGACAGCTGATCTGGGCGGGTAGAAAAACGACCGAGGCGCCATGGCTCAGCACGGCGCGAGACGATCAGAGAGCTCGACCAACTGGCGGCAGCGGGAGCCCCAAAGGGAGCCCCGGCCGGCTGCGAGACCTGCATCAAGCTCCAGCTCCAGCTCCAGCTCCAGCTCGACCGCCTCGCTGACGTCGACACCCTTCGAGCGGCCGCGGTGGAAGCCGGGCAGCAGCAGCAGCAGCAGCAGCAGTAGCCGCCGCGGCGAGGGAGGAGCAGGAGGAGCAGGAGGAGGAGGAGGAGGAGGAAGAGGAGGAGGCAACATCCGGGGCTTTCGTGGCTGGGAGGCCGTTGACTGCGGCAGCGGCAGCTTGAGGACGCTGGGTGCCCGATACCACGAGTCTCCTCCCTCGTCGTCTTCCAAGGTGCAGACGCCCATTCACCCGGCCATCGTCGAGCGGAGGAGGCTGTACGTCGGCAACATGCCCTATATGGCCAAGAAGGAGGACGTCGTCGAGCTGTTCGGCGGCCAGGGCGGAGACGAGACCACCAGCCCCTACAACATGTACGTCTAGAACTTCCCCTTCTTCTTCTTCTTCTCTTTCTTGCTCTCGTTTTCAGGCTCTTGTTATTATTATTCCTCTCAGTTCCTAACCTAGTACGCCGCCGGTCTTATCCCCATTGGGTGTGTTGTGTGTGAAGAGAACGCATTTATATATCAATTGACCCCTTTACGGGACGGAATCCATCCTACTGTTTCGTCGACCTCAAGTCAACAGACCAGGCTGAGCGGGCCATGGCTGATTTAAACGGTAAGCTCGTCCTGGGCCGTCCCGTCAAGGTCAATCCGGGAGTTCCCAGGGCAGACCTGCAGCCGCCGCTGGGCCGGCGAGACCCGGACCTGGACTCGCCGGAGCCCAGGGAGGAGTCAAACGAGCAGCAGCAGCAGCAGCAGCAGCAGCCGGCGGCGGCGGGGACTTACCCTCCCAAGTTCGTCTTTGAGCGGTGGACTCGAGACGATGCGTCCAAGCACTGGTACGGCTACGCTGCAGAGGGTCGCCGTCTGTTCGTCGGTGGCCTGCCTCGGATGCGTAACCAGCCTACCGTCGACTACGAGATCCGCAAGGTCTTTTACGGGTTTAACATGTATGTCTGTTTCTACATATCTTCCTCCCCCTTCCCCTTTCCCCCCCTCCTCTCCCCCTTTTTTCGGTTGCATTAATGCGTCTGGGCTTGGCTGGGTCGACTATCAATTAACCGATATCCTATATAGTGAGGCAATAAGTAAAGTCATAATATCTAATAGGGACAAACTGCCCCTGTCTGGCAGCCAGTATTACTACCTCTTCGTGGACCTAGAGTCTGCAGAGGAGGCCGACAAGGCTCTCAAGACCCTGGACGGCGTCAGCGCCATCTACGGCAACCGGCTGCACATAAGAAAGGCCAGAGGTAACTCTCGCAAGCCGTCTGAGCGAGACCGCTGGCGGGCAGAGCACGAGAAGAAAAAGGACGAGGAAAAGACTGCCGCTCAGGGCCAAGATCACCTCCTTGATGCTCCAATTGAAGCCGAAGGGATCACCCAGTCACTTGTATAGCCTTCATCGTCTCTTGGTTGGTTGGTTGGGCTGTTCCATACGATTATTACTATTATTAATCTTTTAAAGATACGCTTCTCTTCTTGGTTATTATTTTCATGGACTGATATAAAAAGAAAATACCTTCAATAACTAGTCAATTGAATATCTGGATTCCACCCCAACTCTAGTATGAGAATATGGCCGCTTTTTTATTAAAATGCAGCTTCATAAATGCGCGCGAAATTAGCTAAATACTTTTATATTTTATAAGAATCTACGGAGTAGAGGTAGGGGATTATAGTTAAGATACTCTATACCCTTTATTTATTCTTTCCCGTATATTTATACTATACTATTATCTAGTAGTAGTAGCTTACCTATCTACTAGTTATATCGATATCCAAAGGTTACAATAAAGGTCAGTTTTGGCAGCAAATTGGAACACAAGTGTTGTCACCTGATAACTTAGTATCCATGGATCCATGGATGGATGTCCTGCCAAAAGGAGATTTTATTTGAACATTCCAACATCAAATCTTTCTTCATAATACGAAAGACAACTTGCCCAGTGGGCTACCTCGGCACTTACTACGTATTCGATACACCTTAGAGCACTTTCGCTGACTCGGCCTCTCCCCAGCGTCGCATCATGAAGCAGTCTTCAGTTCCGGTTCCATCACGCGCTGATGTCATGGCGGCATGTGCACTCCGTGGTCCTTTGGCAAACGGCATCCCATACAATAATGATATCTGGGTCAAGTACGGTACTGGCGTGACGGAAGCCGAAGCGATATTGCAGCAGTTTGTGAACGAAAATGCAGATCACAGCATCGTATACACGCCAAAGGTTTATGACTACTTTACCGGGCAGCGAATAAGCGATATGCCAGTAACATATATTGTTATGGAGCGAGTATACGGCGAGGCTCTTACATCAAAAGAGGATGATACAGTCCTCGAAAACATTGCTGCTGCTGTCCGCCATATCTGGGAGCTTCCATTACCACCACAGGCGTCAATTGGACCATTGGCAGGGCAGGTGCCTCATGACCGGTTCTTCTCAGACTATGGTGCAGGCCGGACCTTTCAGTCGACCGAAGAGCTCCAGGCCTGGATTAATGAGAAGCTGAAGGAAGAGGGATGGCCTGATAGGGTGGACTTACCCTCGGAGCGGTGCATCTGCCACTGTGATCTCTCGCAGTTTAATATCCTCCGTGGCAACCCAGTTATTATTATTGATTGGGGCATGTCGGGAGTTTACCCACGCATCTTCGACGAGTTCGCCCTATTTCACCAGTTCAATCTCCGAGGTTCCAAGTTTGCTAAGGCTCTTCATAAGAAGCTTTTCGGGGACAAATTGCCTAGACACCTACGACCGCTAACGATTGTATCAAGAATTAATACCTGGGGCTCGTAGAGAGAGTCCATGCAGGTACTCGATATCAATATCTAGTGATTGCATAGCTCATGGCGAAATTTCGCAGCCGGCTTTCACTGGCAAACTGACAAACTGACAACTCCTGGTGGTTCCATTTCCTCTATGTCACCATGTCTTGTAGCATGCAAAGAACCAGTACGACTTACCACTTTGTCGAGCAGCCTGCCGAATGGTCCATTCTCCAGACGATCTGGAAAAGATGCTCTCAGAAGACGGGCCACAGATCCAATACCCTCTGATCATGAAACCTTCCAGGGGCTGGTCATCTGAGGGTGTCTGGAAAGTGGCTAACGAACAGGAGCTGCGTGAAAAAGTGCCTCTGCTATGACGCGATGCCTTCACCTCGTGGCACGGCCATGACGTTGTCATCGAAACCTATATCGACGGCCCAGAAGTCGACGCTAACATGGTCCTTGTAGATGGCAAGGTAGTCTTCTTCGAGTGTGTCGTACTACACCATCTCCCTAGTGAACGCCTTGGCCGATAAAGACCGCGTCGTGTCCTTGTCAAAGCCTTTCGTCGGTGGATCCCAGTACAATATGCAGCTGCTCTTTGTCTCGGTTCAGAAGGGAGGCGTCTACAAGTTTGGAGATATCTGCTCGACTGTCCTGCGATCAGACGGACAAGCTTCCGGTCCAGGAGAGCAATAGAAACAAGACCTGGCTGCCCACGTCGTCAAGTGTGCCAATCTCATGGAAGACGGTGAAGAAGTTTTAGATCCTAGTATGGGACAGGTAATTTCATTGCATTTTTCCTAGTTGTTTCGCGCACGAGTCGCAAGGAAGCAATTTATATCGGGCATGAGATTGAGCGTTGGCTTAGGGTGCACACAGGTGGTATCTGATTTTCCTTTTTCTTTTACCTATGATGGGGAGTATAGACGATCGATTTCATCATAGACAGGCTATGCCATAGTTATACTTATGGGGAACATAAACAGCGGTAATTGAGCTGTCTGGAAGCTTCAACACTCTGAAGGATTGGAAGTTGTTCTCATCGATACACAAGAAAGATAAGTAAAAAAGAAATAAAAAATAACATACAATAAAAAGTAAAACTAGAAAATATTTCTGAGTTCTGATTTGTTATTGGGTCTCTTACAAGTTAAAGAGTTAGTTATTATGTGAATACGATTGGTTACAAGGGTTGTAACCAATGAAAATATATATTGAAGAGCTTGGACGAGGGTAAATATATCATGAAATCTCTACTCAATATACACGGTTGGAAGCTGACATTTGGCTATCAACTTGGATCAGCTGTAAGAGTGTCTATTAACAAATAACTAGCAATTCCCCGTTCATTCAGGTACAAGCAGGCTGCGAAGGCGTCCAATGTCATCCGAGGTTGATAAACAGCATCCTCCCATGACAACCTGCCGCCAATTCCCCCTTGCCTGTGTTACCTTAACCACATCCGCTACCTGCTGCTCCCATAGGACCTTTACCGTATCCTTTTCAGTTTCCGGTAACGTAATCCACCATTCGATGACCATCTTCATTCGATAACTACCATGATACTCAGAAAATGTGGAATATAATATAAAAACATGGTATTTCTCTTTCATTAGTTACCTTCCAAGCAGTATAAGAAAGAAAAGAAAAAACAAACAAACTTGCTACTGACATTATTACCTAAAAGGCCATATGGAGGTCAAAAGTGAGTAGAATAGGAGATTGGCTGACATGACAGTTGAAACAGAAAACTAATATCAAAAAGGAGGCCGAAAGAAAGGAGGTATCGCAAAAAACAGAAAGATAGATGGTTACCATAGTGTACGAGATTCGACCGGGTTTTTTTTCATCCTCTCCCTCTCATTCTCCTTCTCATCTCAATCAAGATGCGCCCACGCCGCTGACGCTTCGTTTCGATAGGAAACTTCTACGTGGCTTTGGAGAGTCAGCGGTGCTCTCTTCTGGACCAGTGTTGGAATGGGAAGTACCTGGTCTCAGAGACGAGGACTCCGAAGACGTAAAGACAGTCTTGATAGTCACAAAGCCATTTCCAACCTTGACGTTACGCTCCTTGCCCGCGTTAGACCCTTGGTCGTCCAGGAAGAAGAGAGCTTCTCCCAGGATGTCGTCAGATCCAAAGACGGCGTGGTCCTTGACTTGAAGCTGGAACTGGGCGTCCGCCGTGACCGAGTTGATCTTGATGGTCTCGTGGCCGGGGTCGAATTGCACGACTGATTCAGTCTCGGAGGAGGAGCCGTGGGCCTTGTGGGCTTTGGACTTGTGGATTTCTTTCATCCCTTTGCTGGTCTGCTGCTTGACTACTACTCGGACGTTAGTGGAGCGTGGGTAGCCGGTAGCAGAGACAATCGTGATGTTAGCTGCTCCCGTTTCGCCTTTGATACTAGATACGCCGAGACCGGCCTGAGAAGCGCTGCTGCGTGAGCGCGAGTGTGACATGACGGGGGATCCGGAGGGTGAGTCTGCTAATGCTCCGGCGCGCTGAGGGGTTCCTGGTGCTGACACTTCCACACTGGGCGTGTGGCCGTGAGTCCCGTTGGTAGCAGTGGCGGCGGCGGCGGCTTCTGGCTCGGCCTCAGTCTCAACCTGGGCACGACTGGATCGCTTGAAGCCGTGCTTGAGGAAAGACGCCCCCTTGACTACTCCGCCTCCAAGCATGGTGACTCCCTTGACGGGGGCTCCAACAATCTTTCCTGGAGCTGCAAAGGTCCCGGAGAACGTAGATGAGCCTTGTCGAGAACGGGTAACGTAGGCTGGCTTGAAGAGCAGCTTCAGTCGGATTGCGCCAGACTTGCCGTCGAGAGGAAGGCTGATCTCCTGTGCCTGGAATGGATCCAGATTGGTAAGGTCAATAATAGTGCCTCCCAGGTAATCCGCCTTGTCACCAAAGTCCCAGTCGTAAACGTCAGCCCTGAAGTTAGCTGCAATTCTAGACTTGATGGGTGTTTCGAAGAATTCGTTCCAGGCTGGGTGCAGTGTCTTCTTCTGGACCTTGGTCTTGAATACTTCCTTGTCTCCAAGCTTGAACTTGCAGTATGGATCACTGTATCCGTTTCGATCTGCTGATGGCAGGTCGGCAGCATCCAGGACGTCCACCCGAAGATTTCCCATGTTGTTGATGCTCTCCGATGGGTCAAGCTTCATCTTAACCGGGAGATACTTCAAGCTCACAGTAACCTTGCTGTTGATTCCATCGGATCCTCTCAGAACAAGCTCAGTTGGTTTATACTATCACATTGTCAGTCAAACAGGATTCGGGCATCTAGTTAGTAGCAAGACGTTAAAACTAACCAAACATTGTTGGAGAGTGGCCAGAGTTGGTCCAGAGAGCTTGGCGATTGAGTGATCATCAGAGTCTTCGTTGTGACGGTCAGACTTGTCAACAAGGCGCAGGGTGATCTTGGAGAACTCCATTTCAGGAACGAATGCATCGCCAACTATACCACTCGGTTAGTATTGATCAACGAACACTTCATCATATGGTTCCTTTCTTACCATCGCCAAATACCATGTGTTTGGATTGAATCCTAGGAGAGGTGTACGTTGGGTAAAGGTTGTCATCCATCAAAACCTCAAGCTGGGTGCCAGTGCTTGAGAAATCTCCTTCCTCTAGCTTAAAGACAATCAAACCAGATTCTATTGTTCGTTAGGTTCCATTCATTTGCAGTGTGCCTTTGCATAGGATACAACATACCATATTTGTGCACATCTTGGGCAGTGAGGTGGATCTTCGGTACTTCCTTCTCGGTCTTTTCGCCGTTGACCAGGCCGTCAGTGCTTGGGCGAGCATCACCGTTCGTGGTAGCCTCAGCCTTAACAGCGGTATCAGCATCAGTCGGCTTGCCTTCTTCTTCAGCAGCAGCGGCAGCGAGTTCCTTCTGGGCCTCGAGCTCGTCGGCCTCTTCATCGGGGTCAACAACTTGGAGAGTTGGGTAGAAGGCGACAGTGTAGTTGAGAACTCCCTTCTGGTTACTGCGGCCATCGAGCTTGAGAGGAGTGGACAAATCTCTCTTTTCATCGTGAACTTCGTATTCACCATCCTCTCCCTCCTTGATGTACTCGCCAACGTTCAACTCGACCCAACCAAGTGGTCGATCCTTTCCAATGGATTCGTCATCCATGACTTCAAGAACCAGCTTCTCGCGAGCAGAGTTGACGGGAACGTAAAGAACCTCGTCCCACTCGGGGTTCAAGTTGTTCAACCAGGTGACGGTACGGCGAACTTCCATTCCAGACTTCATGACACGTAGATAAGGATCGGATTTGCCCATGGTCTCGACGTTTCGAAGATCCTTTGCGTTCTTAATGTGAAGTCTCATGACACCTATGGGGTTGATGTAACCACCGCTGCCTACGACACCCTTGAGAGCAACTGGCTTCCATTCTAACCTCATCTTGACACGACCGGTTTTGGCACCAGCAAGTTCGAACCATTCTTTGCCCTTGTCCATCATCTTCAACATGTCGTTCAGCTTGATCTGCTGTTTCCCAAGAATGGGGTCGGTAGCAAGATCACGGTCATCCTTGATCATCATTCCGAGGCGGGCAGTCTTGCGATCAGTGATCAGGATTTCCTTCGATGGGTCGGGGAAGATGGGATTGTTGGTACGCTTCAACTTCTTAGTGATGTGGACTTCCTTGCCATTAAGAAGCAGGACAGCATAAGGGTTGAGTTGTCCAATAAAGGACTTGCTTCCATCGAGATCCTTGGCCTGTTCAACGGTGAACTTAGCAATACCGGTGTTGAGCTCTGGTGGGGGCTCAATGGCACCACCATCGGTCTTCTTGGAAGTAAGGACGGGGAAGAAGCGAACGTCTGCCTGCATGACACCACGGTTACGGCCGTTTTGCATAATATCGAGGTTAAGGTTCTCATGCACCTCCTCAGTCTCAAGAGATTCCAGGGAGAAGGTTGCGGTTCCGAGTTCAACGTCCTTTCGGAATTCGTTCCAGTCGAAGACCTGCAGAGTGAGGGCATCGGTGAACGAGGTGATAATAACATAGAGCGTTTCGTTCCACTTGGGGTTCGAAGTGTCAGATATCGTCTTTGTCCTGCCCAATTCGGTTCGGCTGTTGATCGAAACCAGGGTATAAGGGTCTGGGGTGCCGGAGAACTGGTCGGCCTTCTTGAGACCGTTGGCTCCATGGATGGTAACGGCAAGGACACCAATGGCCTGGTCAACTGGGTTGCCGGCGAGCATTTTAGCAATTTCGACGGGGAAAACATTTGGATCGTACATCATTGGCGCCAAATTTCCGTGGATCTGTTCGGTGATGAAGGTCTCGAGACCAGGAATGAAGTTGATATCGAAGCCTAGGGTCTCACCACCAATGGGTTTACAGACGTAGTCGATCTCGGGCTTGCCCAGGAAAGAAATATCAATACGTTCGACGTGTGGAAATTGGATTTGCAGCTTTACTTTTACTCTCATCAGGCCGGAGAAGGCAAAGTCCTCCACGATGACATCGAGACCTTTGCTGACAATGCCCTTACCAACACGAACTTCAAGCACGACCTTGGGGTTAATTTTGTCCTTGATCTGGCGAGCAGTCAAGTCCATCTTGTCAGCAGGGGTGAAGCTGAATTTCCAGTCCATGAGGACGATATCTGGCTCAGTCTTGGGGTAGGTTTTGACATGCTCGAGACGAGGCGGTTTGCTACCGAGGGTGAACGTCTTGAGCCGCAGACTGTCGAGGAAAGCTGGGGTAGAAGTGCTGAGAACCTGGTCCACAGAGCAAATGATAGAGTGAGCAAGATTGGGGGCATAGATGGGCCAGAACTTGGCGAGGAAGCTGTTTATCCACTCGAGAGTCTCAGTGTCTGTCTCGAGCTTGTTCTTAGCCAGTTCTCGGGTGATATCATCACGGAAATTTCGTCGAACACGGCGGACAGAAGTACGGTAGTAGGTACCACAAGCGGCCATGACGAGGAACACCCATCCTAGACCACCACCGAAGAGAGCAATAATCCAAGAAGCCAGACAGGCAAATATGATAACTGCAGTGTTGTGGTACCAATCTACACGGTGATGTTAGCTACCGAGGCCCCTGCTCAAATAAGAAACAACACTGGCTGGATACCTACCTCCGAAGAACTTATCCTCAAGCTTCCCTTCTAGGAGAGTCGGAGGCAGCCCCGGTTCCTCAACGGCACTGTCTTCTGCAGCTGGAGCAGAGAATCGAGGAGCCCATCCAGTTCTACCGGGAGCGAATTTCTCCTCTTCAGAGAGTTCCTTGACCTCCATCTTGGGCTTGTCTGCTTCGTCAGCTTTTTCCATTTCGGCAGGTTTCTTGGTGCCATTTGTAGCTCCCTGGAGATAAAAAGAAGTCCCTGGTCAGTCTCTGAGGTGAATTGATGATGAAAGAATGGAAATGAAACAGTAGGCCAGTGAAAATATCAGTGAACAATGCTGAGGTATCCCTTTCAACGTACCATATCCGTAGCTAGAGCAACGGCACCAGCCTCCTTCCCATTGACAGCAGCCTGACTCCCGTTTGTTCCATTCGTGCCATTCTTCTGGAAACCAGCAGGTATCGCCTACAGATGGTCAGTTAGAGTCCATTCTAGGGGCAGCAGCAGCATGTATGTATGTCTGTACACTGGCTGGTAAGGAGGGTGGGGGGAAGGGGAGCCGACGCACCATCTTTGCCTGTTCAGCTTTCTTCTCTGGCGACGCATCCGGATCGAACTGGAACGCAGGCACTCCGGCCTTCTTGCTCTCGTCTACTAGCTTCTGCTCGATGGCCTCCGGCGCCGGACGAGCAGCGTCGGTGGCTGGCGACTCTGCCTGTGTAGCCATGGCCGCGGGCAGCAATTGGACGTTCCGCCTTGGTTGTTCTTCACGTATCGATGCCGTTCAAGTCGCAGCAACGAGCTTCATGCGGCGAGCGGGCGAGAGACGGGGAGTAAGTTGCAGGACAGCGAGGCGCGGGGGGTGGGAGTGCAGCTGCAACGGGGAGACGCAAGCTCGCAGGGCGGACTGCCGCTGGATGGAGTGGTTGTCGTTCTGGCTGGGTTGTTTGGCGATGTCGACTGGGGTTTTTGGTGGTTGGTTCACTTTTTGACGACGGCGGAGTTTGGTCCTACACAAGCACAGCAGACGACACCGCAGCTCATTTCACACATGCAACACGCACACACGCACGCACACACACACAGCCGGCAGAGATGGGGAGAGGGAGAGCAATTAAGTTCTGGCTGAGTTGGCGGAGCTGGAGATAAATAAAATAGGCCGTCGACTGGGCAAAAGTACAGGGGAAAAAGCAACGACCGACAAGAGTTGCGGCCAAAGAGGACGGCCGCAATCTCACCAACCAACACCCCGGACAAGGGCCGCGATGTGGAACCTGGCTTGGAGAAAGCAGAGAGGACGAGGAGGACAGAGAAAGAAGCAAGAGATAGGCAGGACGATGGGGGAGTTTACACAGGTTCTTTTACACAGAGCGGAGGGCGTGAAGGTTGCGGACACTCATATCGACTTGCTACCGATGCCGACTTTTTCGACAACAATTGTCTACCAGCCATCACTGCAGCATTGAGCGGACACAGCAGACGGGATAGACGAGACGGCGGGCGCCCTGGTGGCAAGTAACGTGCTAGCAGGAAGCATCCCTAACGATATTTAACTCCATCTCCATCGAGATCGTGCTTTTTGCGCCAGATGCGAGCTCCGAGCTTGCAGGGAAGCAGCTTCTGGTCCCAAGCAGCCGATACGATGACACGCAACCCGGCCTCCACCTCACCAGCCACGCTCTCTGCCTATGGTCAAGGGTGACAAGAGAAGACATGGGAGAGCGGGTTGACCGCGGCAGACGCCCCCTCGCCTCGATGATCGTGAAATTTTGTCCATATCGTGATACAGGCAAGCTTGATCGTGGCTGATGCCCCTTCGTCTTGACATACTTCTGACCCCCTTACTGGCCCAACCAGCAATATTTGCCACATCGTGGGCTTCAGGCAGGCCACCTTCTCCACCTAACTGCCAGTCAGTTGCAGCAGTAACGCTGGCCGTGCGTTCCCTTTTTTTTTTTTTTTTCCCATCGACTTTCTTCGGACTGAGGGAGCCCAACACTCTGGCTGGTAGAATTAGTCTCCCTTAGAGTCGGGAAACAGAGGCAGACGGAGACGGGACCAGACGCAGAGAGGTGGCATGGGTAGCCACGGCGCTGGTTCAGAAATATGGTTATACCTTGTCCATATATATTATTATGATATTATGACAGGTTCCTGGGCAAAGAAAACAAAAAAAAAAAAAGGGCGTGAGATGCATCAGGACCTCATTCTTACCCTTGGCTTGGACGGGATGGAAAGAAGAGAAACGACACAAATATTGAGAAATAATGGGAAAAGGGAGAAGAAAAGAAAAAGAAAAAGCAATGATGTCCTGATTCAGGCATGGGAGTCCGATTGAAAAATGACATGCATCGATGACGGGAAGAGGGGATGCTGGAGCTGGAGGGCACACTTGACCAGCTGGCTGCCCTTCTTCTGACGGTTCCGTGTTTCAGACAAGGCCTGCTCAGACGATGCCGGGTACCTGCTTCTCCTCCGAGATATATTATCACCTTCCATAGACTGCTCCGGGGTTGGTTGAAGTTACTCTGTCACGATCTTCCGATCTTCACTATATCAACGTCATCGTCGTTTCCATCCCCTGGAAACAATTACCATACTATGGGTTTTATCTCCACCCAGACATTGAGAACTGGCTGGAAAGGGATAGAAAAGGAAGAATATATGATGTTGCTGTTCATTACTACATCGACTAATGGGATATTCTTTAGTGCCTGGTTTTTAGCATTTAATCTTCATATTCATTGTCCTCGTTAAGTCAATCAATCTCGCCGTTTATCCTGTTCGGATCACTCCAGCTGCTATTAGCTTCTGGATCTTGGTACGCACAGTAGCGTTCTTCATGTGTTCACGAAGGGCAGCTGGGTCGTTTCGGGCTTGCTGGAGGATAGCCTGCATTACTGGATCTTGGACAATAGCCATGATCTAAAGTAGGAGAAACATTTATGTTAGTGATCATCATTAACTCCATATCACATTTGATAGCGCAACAAGGGGGTTTAAAAAAAGAAAGGCACAAAAGAACTTACCTCTGGGTCCCTTTGGATTCTCTCAGCTGTTTCAGCCTCAGTCTCACCCGCACGAGCGCTGAACTGAGCCTCAAGCGCCTTCTGCTGCTGTTGCTCAATCTCTCGCTGGTTGGCGCCATTCTCATCGTGCTCTTGTGCTTCGGTGCAGACATCCAGGCACTTGTTGTACTCCTTCATGGCAAAGAGAGCCTGAGCCTTTCTCAGGTAGGCTCGGATGAACTTGGGGTCTCGCTTGATGGCCTCGTCACAGTCCTGGACTGCCTGCGGGAACGCCATCAGCTTGATCAGGGCGGCCGCGCGGTTGCTGTAGCCGCGGTGGTCATCCGGCGCACGCTTGGTCATCTCCGTGTAGGCCTCGACCGCGCCGGGCCAGTCAGCTTCCTTGAACTTCTTGTTGCCTAGCTCGCGGGCCTTTTCAGCCTCCTCAGGGTCGAGGTAGGCCTCCTTTTCGGCCTTGATCTTCGCCTTCTCTGCAGCACGCAGCTTGGCGAGGATCTCGGGAGTGCGGTGCTCGGTCAGAGACTTTTGATAGTTAGTGATGGCTGTGGCCAGGTCTCCAAGCTTCTCGTATGAAGATCCGATTCGTCCAAAGGCCCTAAAGCAATATTAGTACATACACATGATATATGTCGTAGTTTAGTGTTCCAAGTATACATACTTTGCGATGATCTTGAAGTCAGCAAGCATCTCTCGACCCTCGGCAATGGCCTTCTCGCAGGTTGCAATGGCATCCTTGTACTCTCCCTTCTCGAACTGTGCGGCACTGAGGTTGGTCAGGTAGGTGATGTCCTGGTATATCTCCCACGCCTTGCTGTAGTGTTCAATTGCAGCATCAAACTGTCTCTTCTTGTAGTTCTCTGTACCCAGCTTCTTCTCCTCGTCAGCCTCAGCCTTGGCCTTCTTCTTTGCAGCGGCCTCCTCATCTTCAGGCTCTGGCTCAGGTTCGGGCTCGGGGGCCTTTTGAGTCGCAGGACGTGCATCAGGCATATTCACATCCTCCTCCGCTTCTTTTGATCGACCGCCAGTAGCACCATCACCCTCTGGGGGATTACCAAAGGACATATCAACACCAAGCAGGACACCCATCACTTGCAGGAATCGGGGATCCCGCATCTCATTGCCGATGGAGTTAGGGTTCTTTGCAAGATTCTGCAGCTTAGCCATGAACTCTGAGTCTGCAAGGAGAGGCGCAGTCTTTGGGTTGCTGGCCAGCTTCTGTATTAAATTGGGATCGCTGAACATGTTTCCAAGTCCTGCAGTCGGATCACCAGAGACGCCGTCTGCTTTGGCTTCGGCGTCAATCGCACGCTTCACAGCCTCTAGGCCGGCTTTGGCCTGCGCATTGTTTGAGTCGAGCTTCAGTGCCTCTTCATACGCATCGTGGGCACCCACTATACAACCACAGTTAGAACCAGAGCTCCCTTTTATTCGCCTGTAGACCGCGTAGCCACTCACATAGATCTCCCTGGCCGTGCAAGGCAGCTCCCTTACGGCCCCAGCCCTTGGGCCAGTCTGCCTTCAGCTCTGTCGTCTTGTTTGCGTCTTCCAGCGCCTTATCAAAGTCCTTTAGCGAGGCATAGGCTCCCGAGCGGTTTGAATAGAGGACATGGTTGCTTGGGTCGAGCTCGATGGCCGCAGAGAACTTCTCACTGTCTCATAACCGATCAGTTCGTGCTCATCCACCGTCCGGGTCAAGGTGTCTTCTGGGTACTCACACAGCTGTAGCAAAGTCCTTGGCCGCAAACGCCTTGTTTCCCTCTGCCTTCAGATCGTCCGCCATGGTCACTTGTCTATCGCAGCACTAGAATAAGGGTCAAGCTTGTCTGTGTGTCTGCCTGTCGAGAGAGAGTCCGTCCTGTGGAAGGCCTCTGTCGTCTGTCCTGTTGTATATTTATCGACGTGGGAAAAGCTTCTGGAAATTTCGAGCTTCTTTTTATTTTTGCTTTTGCTTCTGTCTGGAGGGGAAGGAAACGAACTTTTTTTTTTCTTTGGCCTTTTGACAACTCCGACCACCAAAGACGCCCGGCAACCAGCAAGCTACTATCCTGTAGATATCGACGGCCGCTGTCACTACTTCACGCAGTAGACGTCCAGCGATGAACCGCTCTCCCAGGCCCTACCGGTGATAGTTCGGCCCTCCTGCGCACCCCGATCCCCCGACTAGGCGCAATTACATACTCGACGGAGCACACAAACAGAGAGAATAAGATATATAATCGACTATGGCTTCGAATGCTGGCCCTTCGCGAGCAAAGCCATCGTCTGGCGATCCGCAGAGCCTGGCGATGAAGCTGTACGACCAGTGCCTCTCCAGCTTCCCGGCAGACCATCTCTTCTACCAGCAAGACTTGCTCGGCTTAGGAGTCATACCAAACGATGATTTGGCGCTGCTCTTGAGATGTACCCAGATTCTAGTTGACCAGAGCTTACTTCGTCTCCTGCAGGCAAAAGACGACCGTCTTGCATGGAAGATCATTGCGCAGTCAGATGCCGAAAAGTTAGTGACTTTTTGCCCGTTTGATATCAATGTTCAATAATGCTATATCTACTAACACTATGATAGGTTACAGAATCTCAACGGTGAGGAACGTTTGGTATACAATGTAATTCATTCGACAGGGCGGAACGGTATCTGGACCAAAATCATCAAGACACGGACAAACTTACATCAAACTATTATGAACCGATGTCTGAAATCTCTTGAAGCAAAAAATTATGTCAAATCAGTCCGGAACGTCAAATATCCTTCAAGAAAAATATACATGCTATCGGGCCTACAGCCCAGTGAGGAAATAACTGGAGGTGCATGGTTTACAGACGGCGTGCTGGACGCAGATTTCATTCGTGGCCTCAGTGGCTGGATTGAACACTGGGTCAGCGCAAGGAGCTGGAACTCCCCAGGAGCTGAAGACCAGCCCAAAGGGAAGAAGCGAAAGTTGCAGGCCGACGATTCGGAAACACAATACATCCCATATCTACCCTCATACCAGGGTCATCCAACCACAGCTGATATCACAAAGGCCATAAATGGCTCTGGACTCACACCTGTAACGATGGACGAAGGAAGCATCTCCCAACTCCTGCAGATGCTCTGCTACGATGGAAGGCTGGTCTCCCTTCGAGATGGAGCCGCATACCGAAGCGTCAAAAAGCCTAATGAAATCTCCCTCCAGCGTGACCTGGGTCTTCAGGGCCCTGATGGAGGCGCTAATGAAGGCTCGGCCTTGGGATCAAATGGCATGACGGAAGCCCCCTGCGGCCAATGTCCCGTATTTTCCCTCTGCCGACCAGGAGGACCAGTCAACGCCGAGAACTGCGAGTATTTCGACGAGTGGCTGAAAAGTTCTGCATTATCATTTTAACATCTATCATTTGATATCTCATTATCAACCACAATTTTCGACATCATACCAGTATCAGAACCAACTAAACATTATCGGAAGTGTCTAAATGACCGCATCAGCAACATCATCTGGGCATATTTCCATTCCTGCTCTCAAAAAAAGAAAAAGCGACAGGACACGTTCGTCCTTATTTGTTGTATCATAACATAGAAAGCATAGCGCCGGAGTCAGTGTTTGTTCTTTTGGTTGTTTTTACAGTGTTGAGCGAAGCTACAACATGGGAGGGAAAAAGGGTCAATATATTTGTGGTTTTAAGTATCTGAGTGACTTTTACTATCTACCCTCTTTTGAATAGCAATGCGTTTGAGGGTTTCAAGTTTTTAATTCAGCAGCAATCGAGAATACTCTTCCAAGCTCCGGGTCATATCACGTTAATCATTAAAAAAATATATCTACACTATCGTAAGTATTATACATCCAAGATGTAGTATAAGAACACACTTCCTCATTTGCCCAAATTCTTGCGACACTCATCACAATACCAAGTTCCTAAGGGCTCTCTGGTAAGCCCAACACATTTCCAATGAAACCACTCGTACGGGCAGTTGTCATTATCACAAGCCACCATGTCTCCATGGCTAACGCTTCGACAAGTGCAATATGTCTTTGTGTCTTCACCTCCTTCTTCTTCATCATCATCATCCGCATCCTCTTGTGAAGACCGTGCCATCTGTCGTCGAGATATATGGGCATTTTCAGAATCAGACATATCAGCACTACTGAGCATCGATTCTTCTTCATCATCATCCGCTATACCTGACGCTGGAGATCGAGACTTCTTCCTCCCATTTCCAGATACGGGTTTCAAGCGGTTTCCACTTGACGATCGCTTTGTCGGCTTTCCAGGCGCATTATGCGCTTTTATCTTGCGTACTTGTTGGTGCGGTGCAACCTTTTTTGTGGCTGGCTTTTTCACTCCGGTTGTTGAACGGGGACCGGCGCTACCTGCCCGTGATACTCCCGGGGTCCCCGCTTTGGGGGTCCCAGGGCCAGTTGATGACTGCCGCAGGTTTGAGGGTGCAGCAGGCAGCGTACTGATTGATCCATTTAATCGCCGCCGTTTACTATCAGCTGCTCCTGCAGATGATTCACGGCGCTGCTGATGTAGTGCTGTTGCTGCTGGTGTAGCCGGTGCCGAGTTGCGAGCAGCAGCTTGGGTAGCAGTAGCAGCCCCTACCGGAACACGAGAGGTAGTAGTAGTACTGTTCAGTCTCTGAGCAAGGTTATATTGTAAATTCATGTTTCCTGATGCGGCATTCAACGGGGTGGAATATGACCCTTCATGGGTTGTGGCTTCAGGAAAGATGGCTTTGGGAGTTTCACGGAATGAGTCCTTATTCTGGAAGAGAGAAGGAAGCGGCGGATCGTTCGAGAGAAGGCCATCATTTTGGAGCTCGCGGATTTTCACATCGAGTCGCTTGATATGTCGGTCCAGCAGAATGCTGGCCTTATCGCTCAAGATAACCTTCTCATCCTGCAGTACTTGGCACCGGTCCATATTTTGGAGGATAGTCTTGCTGTATGCTTCTTCTTTCGGGTTCAACGCATGGCTTCCGTTTATTTTGATAAACTTCTGTAAACTTCCGTCCCTCGAGTTAATAATTGCGCGACACTCTTGTATTATTTTATCTTTAGCTTGGATCTCCTCCATCAGATGGTTTATTTCTGCTGGTAAGTTTGCCACTATTAATAGAAAAGCTGTCAGTCAATGACTCTACTAGCCAAGGTGACGTAGTGATATACTGCACTTACCATTGTGGACAAACTGCTCGAGCACAGAGGAGCAATCCTCTGTATGTGCCATGGCAAAATATCACAAACACGAGTCCCAGAGCTTCCTGCTAGCGTGGGGATTCCGGAAAGCAGATAAGTTCAGTCTCCTCAGTAGACGAAACAAACAAGCAGGCCTCCAGACCAAGCTGTACAAGCAACAGCTAGTGTTATTGTCGTAAATCAATAAGACGCCGTCAATGAGAAAACGATGGAAGGTGAAAGTTGCCTCATTAAGGGTCTGAGTAATCAATCACCTGATAAAAGCTTGGCGTCACGTACATCGATCACTTGTCCATTTTAGGACTAGTCTGGATTATGCTCCGCCATAAGCCGCACTAGTCCTAATTAGGGGTATAAACTTTGCGGGTTTCTGATTGGCTGCTCGTTTTGATGGCCCAAATTTATCCGCAAATTCCACCTTTGAGCTCGTCCAGCACAATCCAAACAACGTCGCAAGAGCAGCCAAGTCGCAGACACGCAGATATCAAGGAACATCCCCGAGATATAGCCATAACCATAGCTAGATATAGCTGTTTATGGGATAGAAAACCGACAGACGCCTGTACTTGACCATGGGCCGATCCGCCATTGTCCAAGAATACGGCCCTCCACCCCTCGCCAACACAACCATCACATTTGACCGCAAGACCACTGATGAGGTGGCTCACGACATCATTAAGAGGCCGAAGGGGTACAGAGTGTCATGGCACTCAAATGCAACCGTTGAACCACACCATTTTGGCCAGTCGCACCCCATGAAGCCATGGCGCCTGACGCTCACCAAGCAGCTTGTCATGGCCTATGGGATGCACCACGCCATGGATCTTTATGTTGCCCGAGCAGCAACTTACGATGAAATGGCGGAATTCCACAGCACAGATTACCTTGACTTTCTGAGCCAGGTTATTCCCGCCGATATGGACAGCGCAGCGCAACAGGATCGGCTAGCCGGGTTCAACTTTGGCGATGACTGTCCCATTTTCGACGGCCTCTATGATTACTGCGCTCTTTATTCCGGTGGAACCGTCGATGCTGCTCGAAAACTATGCAATAATCAGTCCGAGATTGCCATTAATTGGTCCGGTGGATTGCATCATGCGAAAAAGACAGAGGCAAGCGGGTTCTGTTACATCAATGATATTGTACTCGGAATCCTTCAACTGCTAAGGCACCATCCCAGAGTGATGTATATTGACATCGATGTCCACCATGGAGACGGAGTTGAGCAGGCTTTTTGGTCAACAGACCGAGTTCTTACCGTTTCTTTCCACAAATATGACAAGGATAATTTCTTTCCGGGAACTGGCCCGCTCGATAGCACTGGGCCAACACATCCCCTAAACCCTGGGGCTCACCATTCTTTAAACGTCCCATTAAACGACGGAATCGAAGACAATGATTACGTCAACCTTTTTAAAGCCATTATCGGCCCATGCATTACCACCTACCAACCTACTGCGATAGTCCTACAATGTGGTGCTGATAGCTTGGGTTGTGACAGACTGGGCTGTTTTAACCTCAATATTCGCGCACACGGAGCATGTGTTGCCTTTACAAAATCGTTTGGCCTACCTACTCTCGTTCTTGGTGGTGGAGGGTATACTCCTCGCAATGTCTCTCGTCTGTGGGCTTACGAGACAGCTATATGTGTTGGAGCCGAAGATCAGCTCGACCCCAAACTTCCCGAAACACTTCCCTTTCGCAGCCATTTCCAGCCTGACTGCTCACTCTTCCCGCCGCTATCAGATCTACGGAAAGTTGAGAACAAGAATACCAAGCAGTATCTAGATTCTCTTGTTGAAGGGATATTGGAGCAGCTGCGATACATTAATGGTGCACCAAGCGTTCAGATGAGTGTGATTCCGCCAGATATATTAGGAATTCGAGAGGAAATCGAGAAGGAAATCGAGGAAGAAAACCAGCTGAATGAAGATGAAAACGAGGACCGAGGAGTAAACGGGACATCGAGCCGGCGAAAGGACGCAGAGCGAGGGACTGCGACTGCTGGTGAACTTTATACCTGATATTTGGGCAGTATGATTGGACTTTATTCAGTCTACTTCTCACCGTTTACACTTCTTCCGTTGCATTGGAGTTATAGGTGTTCCTGAGGCATTGGTTTCTGGTGGGGATTCCTATTACGATCAGGAATGCGGTATCTTATCCGCTGCGCCTTTACTTTTCGTTTGTACAGGCCGGTTACACTGGGATATTTTTTTTTTATTTGTTTAGATGGCCATTCAGATACCCAAAACACTACTCTATGTTTGGTACTAGCATTAGACCCTAATACATGACTTATTGATGGCTTCTTCGATCCCATCAGCACTAATTACCCGAACCCCATGAGCAGCCATGTCCATCTTGGAAGTCTCCCAGCCCTCGTCCGGATCCACGCATTTGGTGGCCTCGTCAATAACGTAGGTCCTGAAGCCACGGTCTGCAGCGTCAATGGCCGTAAACCTGACACAATAGTCCCCCGCGAGCCCGACGATAAACACATCCGACACCTGATGCTCATTCAGCAGAGCTTCCAGGTCATGGCTGGCTCCTCCGGCCTCCACGCAGTTGCCGTTTCCGAACGCATCAGTAAAGGCCGAATACATTTCTACCCGTTCGTCCATCCCTTTCCTGACCATGGCATCCAGCTTTTCAGATTCGATTTCAGGGATGAAGCTAGCTCCCTTGGTCCCTTGAATACAGTGTGGTGGCCACAGCCGTTGTGTTTTAGTCTCATCTTCAGCCCCGGCCACGGGGTTTTTGGTCTCAATCGTCGAAGTAAATGGTATATTCGACGGTGCCGGGTGGTTTGTGGCAAAGGATATATGGCTCTCTGGGTGGAAATCCTGGGTCCCTATCTTGACCACGAAACCCGGCAGAGCGAGAAGCTTGTTGATCAACGGGGCGATTGATCTGCCGTCCTGGATGGCAAGAGAGCCGTTCTGTTCATTGTAATTTTGATAAGTATGCATTGCTAGTTCCTATAGTAGTATGAGCAGACTGGTTAAATGGCCGGAACGCACAGGTGGACAGAAATCTTCCTGCATATCAACCACTAGCAGGGCAGCTCTCATCTGGGTGTCTGGCTCCATGTTTGCTTTGCTGGTGCCCGAATAGGTTTCTGTGGTATGTTCAATGAATGATCAATATCTGCTAAAAGAGGGAGAGATATGTTGGTGGCAAATATGCATGTATATATATATATATATACACTTCTGCGATTGAGTCAGTAACGGCCATCATGCATGTAGTTAACTAACTTAGGCCTAAGCAGGTGCAACTAGCCTGTGGCAACTCCAAACCCTTTTTTATATGTTTGTCGATATGATCAAACTCACTCTTTCTGTTTTCCCTCGGGTTTATATTGGATTCGCTATAGATCCATAGACTATACTCTGTACACGACGCTTTCAGCTAGAGGAGATGACCAGAAGCTCAGAGACAGCTCCCATACAGGCTGGGCCGGAGGGGCTACCGTACTGGCTGGTGAATGTACCCCGGGATCGATGGCCAGCCGAGTGTCCAGACTATCTTTGCAACCTGCCGGCGAAGAATATTAGCATCCTGTCGACTCCAGATAGCGAATATGTTCGGCAAGACTGGGATCTAGTACGCCAAATAATCGGTGTGTTTCTCGTCGACGGACTCAACTGATCGATGATATCTCATACTCAACTGACCAACTGACGCTGGCCTGGGCAGCCTCCAACCGGATCGATCTGTTCCGCCGTGTGCCTTCTGATCTGAGGAGATATCTTGAATACACGTCCTACGTCAAGTCCAAGTATGGCTCGGTCATGAATTTCGTTGTCCGCGAGAGGCTGCGTTGGGAGAATGATATGGCTCCCAGAGGCTCACGGCCATTCGAGAACCCCGGTCTGTGATTGCTCAAACTCATCCTATATTTTTTTTTTCCCTCTTCTCTTTTTTCTTTTTCTTGAATTTTTCTCGCTTCTTCTCTTTCTTTTCTTTTCTTTTCTTTTCTTTCTTTCTTTCTTTTTTTTTTTTTTTTTTTTTTTTTTTTTTATTAATCGCTTGTCCCGCCTCAAGCCGGCCGTTTATGCATAAACTCCAGCGTCGAGGGTCGACTTGATTACCTCTGCAGGGCCAAATATACCACCTTATTTGGTAGCATAAGCCCTTCTCGCTCTTGTACTTGTTATAGCCTGTTGACCTTCTTTTGTCATATTGAACAAGACGTACTCGATTGACCATAATGAATACTACGGTTGTGCACTGACACTGACTGCATTTACGGGCGATATCCAGATGATCACAAGATCCTCTACAACGACTGGCCCTATGGAGTCGAAGAGGGCATCATCCACCTGGTAGTGTGGACGAAGTTTACCTTTGAGGACGATCCGGTAGCAGACGATCTCACGCCTCGCGCGCGAAAGGAAATTGACGACTTTGTGGATTCGACCTTTCGCAGCAGGGTTCCTGCAGAGAAGGTATGCATAAATGAAGGAGAGGGTCCGAAGGATGGTCCAAGGACACTTCAGGCACACGCACACACACACACTCTCTCTCCCCAATTCCGTCCCCAAGTTACCCTTCCTGAGTGGAAGCTGCGGTTAAACTGACATCGTCTCTCTTGGTCCACAGGTCATCTGGTTCCGCAACTGGAAGTCCCTAAAGTCCGTCCATGCTGTTGAGCATTTCCATGTTATGCTGTACCGGCCTGACATGGGATTTGTCCACGAAGTCACAGATGGGGATGTCCCGCTGATTGACAAGGGCCTGGACGAGTGAAGGCATCTGAGTGCATACGTCGGGAGTAGACCTAGTGACTGAGGGATCCCCCGCGATCTTCTATGAATCTTGCTGTCTTTTTCTATCCCTTGCTCAGGTCTTGTGCCTGCAAAAAAAAAGGACCGGTCTTGCCAGTGTTTGACCCTTTTCCTTCTTTTATTTAACCAACAAGATCTAGAACTAGTATATATAACTACCGACCATAGACACAATAGAGCCATTAGCATGAGCAGCACTCTGTAGAGCCTCAGGAGGGGCAGAAGCTGGCAGTTCAGGAGGCAAAAATCCGCAGTATCAGATATTCAGTTGACTGCGTCATATCGAGCCGTAATCCATGCAGCAGAAGCCCTCCGCCAGCCAGCCAACATGGCAGGGAAAAGCAAAGAAAAGGGCCCCGCGATCATCACTCAACTAAATCTTCCCTATGAACCGATTGATGCGGGATGAGGAGCATCACCAGCGCCGGCACCAGCACCAGCAGCAGCCAGGGCGAGGGAAAGAAAAGGATGTTAGCAGCAAGGACTCGCAGGCCTACACGCCCCCATCGCCTGGCCTGCCTCGCCGGAGTAAATACAGAGCAACCCAAGGCTCCCTTAGCTAGTTATACATAATATTTAATGGGTCTAAATCAGAGACAGCGACTTGCAGCGCGGGTCACTTTTGTATGGCGTGCAGGCGGGCGGGAAACCCCTCCGCAGGGTTGACTAGTTAGCAGCAGAGAAACAGAAAAAGAAAAAGAACCGCCCCAAAAGTCCTCCCAGTCCTCCCAGTCCTCCAACGTCACCGACTCGCTCGCCTCGCCTTGCTCGCTCAACCCGTTTATCTTCCGAACAGCCCAGGATCCGCGATTCATCCAGCCCAGGGGAAGCGGCAGCCACGAGTCTTGCAGTATTTATACGCCCTTCTGGTCATTCTCCCGTTGTTCACTACTAGTTAGTTGGTTAGTGTTAGCATAACTAGTTAAGTTGGTTGTTCACCACCACCGCTGCGCCCGCCGCCGTCGACCGTCCATCCCGCCGCATCCCCCAGCCCAGCTTTGCCTCCTCGACCATCCAGCTGTCAATCCGCAGTTGCAAGAGCCGATCGTGATAGCACATCGGTAGCCAGCCAGTTCAGAGAGCTTTCCAGGCTGCCGTCTACCTGCGTTGCAGCTACAAATCCGCCTTCCCTCGTTTTCCGGCCGCTCGAACGTCATAACAACCTAGCTACCGTTTGTCACGCTTTGATGTCTTACTCGCCCTGAGCTGCTGAGCATACGGACAGAACCCTCGAGCAGAGAGCACGCATAGCTAACCAACGGATACCGCCTATATCTACTGCCAGAGAGCTGTATTCCACCATGTTGCCCAAGCTTCCAATACCGGGGATCAGTTCGCACAGTCATTCACCCTCCAACTCTGTGTCACACCGCCGGACTCCAACGAACAACAGTACGTCATGATGGCCCCAGAGCTGGAGAGCTGGAGAGCTGGAGAGCTGGAGGGCTGGAGGGCTGCATAGCACTGCCCTCTGCACCCTCTGTTTCTTGTTTGCTGGAACTGTTGGACCTCCGTTTCTTGAACAATGCTAACCCATGGGCTCCCCTCACTTGTTGGAATTAGGCAGCCGTTCGTCAGTAGATGAGTCGAGCAGACCCCCTACCCCGGGAGGGGAGGAAGAGATCGTGGAGCCGGACCAGGGAAACAGTGAGTTTTTGGCCTAGTTTCTGCCGAAGATGTCTTGATTGTGGAAATAAATCAGGCATCCAGGCGATGAAATAGTTACGATGCTAATGTGCTATGCTATTCTCCCGCCGCGTGCAGTACTCTATCACATCATCTCTCAGCTGAGGCCTGGGGCCGATCTGAGCCGAGTTGTGCTTCCTACGTTTCTTCTGGAACCTCGATCAATGTTGGAGAGAATTACAAAGTACGCCTCCTGTGTCCTGCTCATTGTTAGACCATGGTGGTGGTGGCGGTGGTGGTGGATGTGGATTTGGTAGGCCCAATTGCTGACTTCTATAGCTTCATGGCTCATCCCGAGACATTATTACCAATGCCTGAGATTGACGACCCGCTCCAACGGTTCGTGTCCGTGGTTAAATTCTACCTTAGCGGATGGCATATCAAACCTCCGTAAGTCTCCAAATACTTTGACAATCAATTTACTCCTGCTGACAGATCGAAAACAGTGGTGTCAAGAAACCCCTTAATCCTATCCTGGGAGAAACATTCACAGGCTACTGGGAATATCCCGATGGCACCAAGGGCTATTACATTGCTGAACAAACGTCACACCACCCACCCAAATCAAGCTACTTTTTCATGGCACCGGAGCATAACATCAGAATCGACGGTACTTTGAAACCGAGAAGCAGATTCTTGGGCAATTCCGCGGCAAGTATGATGGAGGGAATCTCATACATGGAGTTCCTGAACCGAGGAAAGGAGAAAGGCCATGGCGAGCGATAGTAAGTGGCCTCTCCCCCTCCCAAATATAACCATAATATCTTCTAACTTCTCTTTTCAGCATTATAACCCAGCCAAACATGTATGCTCGTGGAATTCTCTTTGGAAAAATGAAATATGAGTTGGGAGACCACAGCTATGTCAAATGCCCAGAGAACCATTTTGTTGCGGACCTGGAATTCAAAACCAGGGGTTACTTCTCCGGGACATACAATGCCATTGGAGGCACCATCAAAAATGACGAAACCGGCGAGGTGTACTATGAATTGTCAGGTCTCTGGAACGGAGAAATGTTCATAAAGGATGTCACGGTATGTCGACTCGTATCAGATTAGACCAGTACGTCTTACTAAATTCCACGGACAGACTGGACAAAAGGAACTGCTCTTCAACGCCACACATGCAAAGCACACTCCCCCTCTAACTCGACCCCTTGAAGAACAATCGAGCCGCGAGTCACAAAAGCTTTGGTATAGCACCGTTCAGGCATTGCTAGAGAGGAACCAGGACCTTGCAACCGAAGAAAAGACTAAGATTGAAGACCGACAGCGAGAAGAAGCCGCTACTCGGGCTAACGAAAACATCGAATGGAGACCCAAGCTTTTCCGCGCCGTCCAAGGAGGCCCCGGAGGGTCTGAAGAAGGAAGAGAGAACCTTGACTGGATTATAAATGCTCACATGTAAGCAAATAATTCTGAACCAAACCCTTTCCTCTGTATCCGCGTGAGGCTAACATTATCTTAGTGATCCTCATAACCCTTCTAAGGCTGTAGAGCAAATTCTCGCATTTACTGCGATTCTCCCTGGCCAAAAAGTAAACCACGAACTTGATATTCCCCCACAAGCGCCAAAATCAGTAAAACCCAGCCAGGCTCAGGAATCACTTCTTGATCTTGACAGTAATGATGCTGCGCCAGGGAATGCACAGCACAAGCCCCAGCCTTCCGAGGATCTACTCGGGAATCCCGTTAAAAACCATAATGGAAGTAATAACCCCGCTGATGTAGGCACTGGCTCTGGCATGATGGCTCCTCTCCAGCCGAGTATGTCAACCAGCAATACAGCACAGCAGAAGCCCACTCCGAACCCCGGGATGGGTGGGCTTTTTGATGCGGAGCCTTGAGCGATACCCTCAACTTCCCCTCAACCCCCTGTTGCTGGCGATACAATACGTATCCTCCATCGCCCGCGCGATAACTCATTTCATCAAACTCAAAAGAATGAGTCTGACTGGCTTCTCCCTTTTCTGGGTTGGAATGGCAATGACATGTTCTGACCCTTCATCAGTACTCATACTTTCATCGATGGGTATACTCGATATCAGCGCACTGTTTCGTTACTCCGTTCAGACATGCATTTGACAAGTTTTTTTTTGGCTTCCGCTGGATGCGCATGATGCTGGTAACTAGGGTAAGGATGCCATTTTTGCATCCGAGAATCAATTTCCTTCTTCAACCTCAGAGAGCCGGTGTCATTTGCAACTGGATCAACTCGACTAACGACATCATATTGGGCCATTCTTCTCTCCATCTCTCACCTGTTTCCTTTTATATCTCTTGCATTCAGCATTTTCGAAACACCTCTAAGCATGGCTAGGGTATCCAAAAATTATTAAAGTGGAACGGAGATTACTTGGATGTAATCGGGAGTTTTTGATGGGCTGAGATTTCCCTTGATCTAGGGCAGATGGACATAAATAAACATATATTACAAACTAGATTATATATTTTGGGGAGTGACGGATATACTTGACATGGCATTAAGATGGTCCTCTTAGGTAAAACAATCTGAAGTCTTTGTCCATTCATTGTAAAGGCTATAAATCTTTCTTGGTTGAAACCCAAGAGATACGTATTTGCGTTGAAAAAGTGCAACGGGGGCAGTTTATAAACGAGCATCTCGCGGCCTTGCACTATCCCCATATACAATACGGCTGTCCCAGCCCACTTCATCTGTCCATGACGTTGGAGAAATGGCATCTCTGAGGATCCAACGTCTAGCAATCTCTTTAGCAACCCCATCACCATCTCTAGACGCATCTATGATAAGCAGACAACCGCATACAAGCCGCTCTAAATCTTTCAGGCATTTCCTGCCATACAGGTTGAGTTCTTCTCTATCCTTTGTTCGAACGTAGGATAAGAATTCGGCCCAGAGTTGCTGGAGAACAATCACCTCATCGGTGAATGAGTGTGTCCTGGCTACCCTTAGGCCATGGGCTACCCATTTATCCAGAGCATCCAAGCAGTCCGGGCCCTTGCTGCCTTTAACAACTCGCATTAAGTCATCTGCCATGACCTCCGTAGTTCCTTCCCAGATGCTGAGAACGCAAGTATCACGGAAAATCCTGGAAATATTCAGGATAGGGTCTTCATTTTCAAGATACCCAATCCCGCCGAGATTCTCCATACTTGCTCGCACCCCCTTAATAGCACGGAGCGCAGTTCTTGCCTTTGCCATAGGTGTGAGCAGCCGGAGCAATGCAAGGGTATGATTATTATCCCGAGGCAATATATTTGTTTGTGACGCCATGCAGGAAGAACTGCTGCTTCCCTCAGAGACACCAAGAAGGGCCACAATAAAAAATGTTAGATGCATGCTTGCTGCATATTTGACGTGGTCTCTTGCCAGTGTTCTCACGTATGACGGCGTGTCTTGAAGGAGCCTTCCACTTGTCACTCTTACTTTAGAATAAGCTCGACAGATAGCTAATGATCTCCCCCAATAGCTGACTGATGCGATGCAGTTTCCGGTCCTGGTGATGTTAAGAATAGTTGAGATTTCTTTCACCCCTTGGCCTTCTTTGCCGACAAGGTAGCCTCTCATCCCCTTTATCTCCAATTCCGCAGTAGGGAGTGCTTTTGTGCCAAACTTGTTTTTTAACCTCTGGATGCGAACTCCGTTTAGTTCGCTTTCCCGGGGATCTTTCCCTTTAACTTGCCTTCTTAATGGTGCATAAAAGGCACTGATGGAATGCTCTCCCGTTTTGGCCAGCATAATGGACATGTTTGCATCCGTGGCCGAGGAGAACCATTTAAACCCATCAAGTCGCCAGGGACCCAGTGGCATACCCTCGGAATCAACCCCGTCGTCCTCCTCCATCTCTTTAGGTGTAAGTTTGCGGGCTACAGTTTCTGTGCCGCGCACGTCACTTCCACCCGATCGCTCTGTCATCCACTGTCCGCTTGTCCAAGCGATAGACGGGTCCCGACTTGTAAGCCTTTTCAGCGCCTCAGCAAATATCCGGCCATTTTCACTGTCAAGGTGTCTGCTAAGCAGTTTTGCAGCACCATCGGTCATGCTACCTGGACATGTCACCATTGCCGAACTTGGGGTCCAAAGATGACTTTTGATGCCCTTGGACACTCGGGTATTCCACTGTGTACCGTGGCCAGTCAATCCCGGCTCAGGAGCGAGCCCCACGAGGCCTTCTCTAATATTGATGTCTTGAAGTGCACGCCATCCTTCTCCAGTAACCAGTGGATCCTGTTTATTCTCGATACCAAAAGTAGAGAGTGGTTTCAGGTATGGCTGATTACGTTCAGCCTCAGCAGCAAAATCAAGAACTGGCTTAGATATTACCAAGCTGGAAAATCGAGTAAGGTCTTTCTCCAGGCTCGGTGGCAGAGGGGACGGCAGGTGCAAAGACACGATCCGACGAAGCACTGCATCCTCCTGAATCTGGGGTTGAATTGACGGCTGGACTTGGAAAAACCCTTCCGTCGAGCTTGATGCTTTCATAGCTTCAAAATATGGCAATTTGATTTCAAAATAGGAGTTATCCTAGTAGTGACGATGTAGAGCTTCATTAACACGTCTTTGGGTCACCTTTGAAGTGAAAATTACCCCAGATACTTAATATGGGGTAAAGAACTATGTACCGAGGCGGCAGCTTAACCGGGAAAAGCTTGTGAATCGCCATGGTAACTAGTTGTAGTTACATTGGTTGGTCACTATGCCACAATATATATAACCATGTAGTATCGAAAGTGTGAGTCTGTAAAAAGGTTAGCGACCGTACCAGCAGGCACTCCCGATCATTAATGCTTTGCATATGGCCTTATGAAAAGGGGCTTCCACAGGTCGTTATAGAGTATGTTCCTCTGTGCCACGCGAGGGCTGATAAAACGGTTCCTGGGTCTCAGATACGGCTCCTGGGGCAAGATCCAACAACCAACCCCAGGAACAGGGCCCCTTTTCCCACTTCGCCAGCCAGTCAACAGCCTCCGGCACCTCTGAGCCTCTCCAAGTCTCAAAACCTGCCGGTCAGAGCTCTTTCATATAGCCATGTATTGTATATACACGTATATATTTTTGGCTCTTTTTCCTTTCTTTTCCTGAGACGTCGAGATAGAGTGGACGGCGAGAGAGGTCACATGCCCCTGCTCTCATTGGCCCAAAAATTCTCGAAATTCTTTTTTTGTGGCCGCTTGGGTGTTTCCTCTTATGCGGGTTTGTTTTGCGGCCATGAGCTCATTGCTCCCTCGCGGCTGATCGCGAGGTTGCTTCTCTCTCTATATAAGTCCATATACCTCTTCGAAAGCAGTTGGTTGCCAATTACCACCTCCATCCCTCTCTTCGCGTTTTTTGGAAGCTCCTAAACATGGCCCAGTCTCCCTCAGCAACTGGTTCAACAGATGTGCCAATTTCACCGCCTCCCCAGGCCAACGGAGTCTCCCATGCGCCGTCTGTGGCCTCTTCTACGGCTCAATCCGTGACCCCGAATGGCCATGAATTCGGAAACCAAAGCGAAGGCGCCGAATCGACGGCCAGAAGTTCGGTGCCGAGCAACCATGGGGCTGGCTTCGTCAACTCCAACCACGAAGATGACCATGAGATGGACTTTAAGAGCGGGTATAATGCCGTATCGAAGGAGGAACCAAAGGAATTTGTGAACACACACGCGGATGCGAAGCAGATGCCCGGTATCCCTGAAATATTGGAGATGCTGGCTACTATGGAACGGAAGTTTCAACAGATGGAAGCCAGGATGGACCAGCTAGTCCCACCACCCGTTGATGAGCCGCCGTCGATTTCGCAGATCCCTCGTTATGTCCACAACCCGGAGATTATTGATCGTAGCATCAATGCTGAGGTGCCCGTCGAGGACACAATCACTGCTTTCCGCTCCCGAGCGAGTCTGGTGGCTCGCGCCAAAGTCCTGCATATGGCGAAGAAATTTCCAGACTGGAAAGATCGCGTCTTCGAGCAGGCGAAAGCGGCAACCTGTCTGCCGATACTGGAGGATGGACAGGAGGTTTGCCCTCCCGATTCGCAAGTTCATCCAAAATTGTGGGAAGTTCAAAACGAATGGCTCTACGATTTTATGTACGAGTCTATCGGCCCACAGTTCAAGGATGAAATTTTCGAGCCGCCAAACCGATCAGCATACCTTCTCTGGAGGCAGATAGAATCATATTGTAGCTTAGTGAATGAAGATGACCGGCGATATCTCATTCAGAAGCTCATGACCATCAATGCCAAGAACGATTTTGACTACATTTCAACGTTCTACAGGTACTACTCCAAGATAAGGAAGCTGGGCTTTATTATACCGGATTGGATGGCTCAAGACTTGCTTTACCTGCGAGTCTCCGAGAGGGCAAGGGAGATGATCCAAAACGAGATCGATGCTGCCCGCAATGCAAAAGATGGGCCGTTGACGCTATCGGTCGATAAGATGGTTGCACGGGTTCTGAGACCAGCCTTATCACGAGGAGCGAACGAGGAGGAGCCTCAACCCGAACCTACTCCATCTGTAACCTCCTCTGTTGCCAATGGCCCTCGTTCTGCAGGCTCAAAGCCAGATAGTCTTAATGCATCAGGCTCTCAAGCTGACGCCGTCGATAAAAAGGGGAAGGTCACCTGCGGTTATTGCTCAATGCCTCATCATTCAGAGGATGGATGCTTCTACAAGTACCCAGAGAGGACCAGCCCTGCATGGCAGAAAGCTCACAAGAGCGGCATTGAATTCTTTAGGAAGAAAGCCGAAGGCCGAGAGCAGCCTGACTCGAAAGAGCTGCAGTCGGTCACCCAAGCTGTTAAAAAGATCCAGATCGCGCAAAAAACTCAGTCTGAAGCCGTGTCTGAATCGAAAACAAAAACTCCAGCCAAGCCCGAGTCAGTGGCTGGGTCAAAGATGGAGGCTAGACCTGAGCCCAGGCAAGAGCCAGTAAACACTCAACCACAGGTCAAGAGCCCGGAAATTTACAGTGAGAAGCTCTCATGCAACTATTGTGGCCAAAAGGGCCACTCCGCTAACGGCTGTCCCTTCCAATTCCCCGACCTGGAAACTGCCGATTGGCGCCAGAAAAATAAACACCTTATCGAGTTCCACGCCAGGAAAGATAAACTGCGAAAGAGAAAACTAGAACGTCTTAAAGCGAAGCAGGCCCTAGAAGGGAGTAAATCAGATACACCCTCCGCTCCCAATGCTCCCCGTCCTGTGTCTCCCGAAAACCTGTTGATTTTGGATTTGTGAGGCGGTTATATACATGATTGATAACCCTCCAATTATTTCGGTTGTTTTTATTTAAGAGCACAACGGGGCATACTATGCTGGGGCTTCTTTCACTTTAGCGATGAGGTAGCATCGGGGTTACTCCACTGGAATATATATATATATATATAATAAACGTGAAATATACCATCAATATGTAGTTCCCTCGAAATAGCTAAGTTCGGGGGAGTTGTCGTAGTGTAACTAGTAAATAAAAATAAATATATGCCAAAAAACCACGTTAAAATAGATATTCCCCTTCATTATATAAGCGGGTTGTATAATGGATCAATGCGAATCACGTGTTATTTCCATTACTAAGGTAAGGTATGGGTATCCTGGTATAAAAAGCTCGCTAAGTTGAATTTCCAACTTCAAGTCAACAACGCGACTCTTGCCAGCTTTGAATCGGAGGAAAACTACTTAGACGGCGAATATACGATGACAACGGGTACCAAACTGGAATATACATTCTAAGGTATGCTATCAAATCGTCAATTCCTAAATCCACTGCGCTGTTTATTATGATGATTCCCTTTATTGGAGCTGTCCTATATCTCTTGAGGATAACCTATTATACGCAACTTACTCTCTGATTATTATTTCAATCCATTATCCACTCTCATTTTTTGCCCTCTTTCGAATGGGCATTTGAGCGCTAGCTAACCTACTTGGCCATAATACAGCTTTTCTGGTATAAGAAGTACTCAGTGTTGAACTGTCATTCCTACTCAACATGGACGCAGGCACGCACCAGGCTATGACTATAAATCCTCCTCCGCCTCCACCACCCCCTCCACCTCCTGCGGAGCAGGCTGATATATCGTCGGCACCAAATGAAGGCACCGTGGTAAACAATTCAACCCCTCCTCATCCTGCATCAACATCCTTCAAACTCAAATTTTGCACGGTTTGTGCCGCAAATCAGAACCGATCCATGGAAGCACATAATCGTCTATCTGCACCTCCATCATCATACTCTGTCATCTCATTTGGCACGGGCTCCCTAGTTCGTCTGCCTGGGCCTTCTATCACACAACCAAACGTTTATAATTTTAATACCGTATCTTATTCGCAAATATATGATGAATTACAAGCGAAAGATCCAAGATTATACCGAAATAACGGAGTTCTTCCCATGCTAGAACGGAATAAGGGCGTAAAATGGGGTCCTGAACGATTTCAAGATTGGTGTCCCGGAATGCCTCGCTTAGAGCACGTATCCAGGGGGGATAAGGGTAGCCTTGGAACTGAAGGGGGTGTCGTCGATGTTATCATCACATGCGAAGAGCGATGCTGGGATGCTGTGGTGGAGGATCTCATGAACCGTGGCTCTCCTTTGAACAGGCCCGTTCACGTTTTCAACGTCGATATCAGAGATAACCATGAAGAAGCCTTGGTTGGAAGTAAGGGAATACTGGATTTGGCGAACAGACTTAATGAAGTGGCTGATGAGGAGCGGCGACTAAATGGACCCAATGGGTGGGATCAGGGCACTGGCGATGCCCGGAGAGGCTTCGACGAACGAGTCCCTGAAATACTTGCTAAATGGCAGGAGAAATGGCCCAACCTTCCCGCTTTGTGGACACTCTCTTGGTTTTGAGTTATTGATTCCCGTTTCGGAGTTTATTCACGGTGAACGGTGGACGGTGGACGGTGAACAGCGGCAACAATGCGGATTTAGTTTTATACGCCCATGGGAGCGTGGAGTCATGGATGGGATGGTATTGGTATCGAGTTTTCTAAGCAATAATAAGTGAGCCTCCGCGTGCTCTTTTCATTCAAATCTTCGGAGTATATCCTTAAACCCTTCTGTTTAATACTAGCAGCCTGGCAAGTCTAGCAAAATTTGCATTGGTAAAGAAGCCGTCTATGCACGTCTTGACTCCACAGTCCACTGAGTGAGTGAGGTACATAATTAGCCTACTTTAGTCTGACCACTGTTGTGGTGCCGAAGGCATTAACCATCCATCCCCAATGGCTTAGTAGCTATGGTTCTTCACTTAACTAGCCACTATCCACTATGATTACCATCAGCCCCCAGCCTTCTGTGGTCTTGTAGGATCTCGAGAATCTTTGAAGATTCCGCCGCCGAGTAACTTCTCTCTGCGTTCTTTATACCAATTCTCTAGCCAGGTTCTCCGTTGTGCTGAAGTCAAGCCTTCGACTGTAAGCGCAAATTCTGTCACATCGCGGAAACCATAACGAGCCGCCATGGTACAAAATTGACGCTTCATGACTTCTGGAGGAGGACGGTACTTAAACGTAGCAGACTGTCCATTCTTCCCACGAACTTGAATGCTAGCAGGCTTTCCTTCCCTAGATTCCGGTCTAAAGACTTGTTCTTCACCAATCTCCTCGCCATCATTAACTAACTCGGCACGACGGCTGAGCTGGGCTTCAATCTTGGAAGAACCAATAACCTCTGTGTTCTCATGGGTATATTCAACACCCGCGCCTGCGAGAATAGCTTGTATAGGGTCATGTTTGAGGATTGGAGCAAGCTTCTTGTTTTCTTCTGCAAGTCCTTCACCACGAACCAAAGCCGCGAGCTGGCTCATTGCGAGGTCATCATTTTCATCTGGTGTGGATAGGTTAAGCTTGTCATCTACCCCATCATAATCTCTTTGGCTTTGTTCTCTCTCCATCTCGAAATCGATTACCTGCACGCCAGCTTTGCTTTCAGCTATGTTAGTTTTGTTAACAATATCTCTTAAAACAACATTATTGTTCTGGTATTCGAAGAGATTTGCTAAACCAAAAATCTCTCCCTTCTGATCTTTCTTCTCTTGAACACCTTTGAAATAACGTCTTTCAGTGCTAGCATTGTAGCCGATGTTTGCCTGTTGCTGCTTGTATATTTGACGGGCATATACTATCTCTTCGATGGTGCCAGCAGAAACAAGTCTAAAGACTTCCACGTCCCTAAGTTGGCCAATCCGATACGCACGGTCTTGCGCCTGAAGATCATAAGCAGGGTTCCAATTCGGGTCAACAACAACGACCTTATTTGCAGAGGTTATGTTTAGCCCTACTCCGCCTGCTTTCGTGGATATAAGGAAAACGAATTGCCGGGGGTCCGAATTGAACGCGTTAACGATGTTTGACCTGTCTTCATAGCTCATCGAGCCATCCAAGTAGCTCACATTATAACTTGTGTGATTGAAGAGCATCTGAAGCATTTTAAGTAGCCTGACGTTATGGGAAAATACCAGGACTTTATCTCCGTTGGCGTGCCACCATTTCAGAAGCTTCTTCAAGACTTTCCACTTTCCACAGAATTCGGGATTTGAGTAGTTCATGATTGATCCCCGGGTGCGGTATAGTTCCCTCCATTGATCTGGGACAGCAACTTGCAACATTTCCAAGTCTTTTGCTTGCTTGTCTTTCGGGTCCATTGGCTGTGGTATTAGAATCGCAAGATGGTTGCTGATCTTCTGGAGGTTTGAAATAGCAGGAAAGACATAGCTCTGCCATTTACCTCCTTGGGGTAAAAACATCCGACAGCACCATCCCGCTTTCTTCCCAGACCCACAGCTGCAGTAGTCAGATGAGTTCTTGATATAATCAACTATGTCGCTATCCAGAAAATTCTCATATGCGTCTGACTGTGTTTCGGTAAGGGGGCAAAAGACAACCCGATCACTCTTTTTTGGCAACTGGTCCGCAATAAGCGACTTCATGCGCCTTAAGAAGAATGCAGGGAGAAGGTTCTTCACCAATTTCCGTGCCGTCTTCCTCGCTCGGCTCAGCTGATATATTGTAGCATCATGGGATTGTCCTACTTTTAACGGTTCACATATTGTGGACTTCCAGGTAGAGATAGGTCCAAATTGCCCAGGGTTCGTCCAGTTCAGTAAGGTCCATAGTTCTTCATATTTATTCTGTATGGCAGTTCCAGTTAGTCCAATCCTACACAAGGCATTTAACTCATTCATAGCCTTCGCAGTTTCTGACTTCCGGTCCTTTATTATGTGACATTCATCCGCGATCACACAATCCCACTCCACCATGTTAACTGCGCTTCGATTCAAGCGGTATGTGGTGTATGTGGTGATAAGGATCTCCGCTCTCCCAGATGCGGCAGATTTGAGAGCAGCATCCTTGGAGTCGCCATGATATACATCCACATGCCACCAACCCCATCGATCAAACTCGTCTCTCCAATTTTGAATAAGTGTTCCAGGGCAAACAATTAGAGTCCTAGGATACCAGGCACATTCTCCTTTTCGCCTCATCTTTCGCATTCGTTTGGCATCCCTCTCATCGCCAGTTTTACCGTATGCAGCGGTAAGAAACGCGATGACTTGGACAGTCTTGCCTAGGCCCATATCATCACCAAGAATGCCACCTTTCTGATAAACGAATAACTCATGGAGAAATCCGACACCTTCAACTTGGTAATTCCGGAGCCATTGAGCAATCGGAGCAGGTATCAAGCCTAAAGAATATGGCAATTGGACATCCTCATACTTACGTGACGGCTTCACATGCGAAAACGAAGGCTTTTCTATCAGCGAATCGAGTTGTTCGTCATCTGAGAACTGCACATCATCAAAATTGGGCGGTAGCTTTAATCCGGCTTCAACAAGTTGTTCTCTCCTTTTGTCAAAGGCAGTCCGGCGTCTTTTCAAGTAGTCAGGGAGGGTATCTTCCATCATGTCATCGTCAGAACTGAGGTCACCATATTCTCGCGGCAGGCGAGCTGGTTTGCGGCTTTCAATTCCGGTACCACGACGGCCAACGATAGAGTCCCTTTGGATTTTTCGGCGTTTGCGCATTTGTGCAGCTGATCTTTTACGCTGGACAGTCTTACGATTCTTAAACTCCTTGTACACAGCCTCGCCATTGTTGAACTCATCGTCACTCCCTTCACTTGCGGTCTTTGACAGATCGATGAAGTTGTTCTCTCTACCAGGTGTTACAGGGGACTCCAGTAATGGTCTCTGTCGTTTTTGCGGCTTGTCATCTTAAACCCGTTATTATTAGTTTCATTCAAATAGCATCTACATGCACGGTAGCATCACGTACTAGAGAGTTGCACAGGGCTACGCCGCTTTGTCGGCACTCTAGCGACACTTGGGTATCCCAGATCATCATCATCACTATCTTCCGTGGTCGCGTCAGTGTCCTGCAGTTCCCAGTGAGTCGGCATCTTCTAGTCATGAATTTAGTCGTCTATTTCAAATGGAGGCTTGATCAATCTCGAACGAGATGAGGTGACGCGGAAACGACTCGTAGTCACGTGAAATTAGCCGCCTAATTGCCTCCAGGCGCCGATACCACGACACATGGAAACTTCATGATGCAATGCATAGAGTAACGAGCTGATCGCGGCTAAAAATAAGTAAGATATGAGATACGTGCCCGGCGATTGATATACAGAATACAATTGACCTTTTTCTTTTGACTAAATTGATACCTGGGCTTGGTCCGTTAACTAGAGCCAACGCTTGGCTTATGTAACTAATCTGTCGCTTGGCATAATTTTCACCAAAAAAGGCAAATTACTGAGCTTCAGATAAAAAAACATCGAAGCCCTTTAAATTCGAATAACTCCCCCATACCACAAAATATAGACATTTCAGCTAATCCTACTGTTTGATACATGCGATTCTCCCTCTGTGTCTCCGGTTTGATAAAATGCCTCTTGACACGTCCACAACCTATCGTCTCACACGATTGCGACTAGACGGACGACGATGGAATGAACTACGACTTCTTCAGGCCCAAATATCTACCAATCCAGCAAGCTCTGGCTCCTCGTACCTATCAATGGGTAATACTGCGGTTCTTTGTACTGTACATGGGCCCGCGGAGGGTAAACGCTCAGAAACAGCTGGCGCAGCTGGCGCAGTAATAAATGTTGTTGTCAATCTAGCTGGATTTGCGAATGTGGACAGGAAAAAGAAGAGTGCTGCTGGCAGTGGCGGAGGTGACAGGTATGTCATTTCTATGTCTCCTACTTTGTATATTAGCGGTTGACTAATGGGTGATTAACAGGCAAGCCACAACGGAGCTAGCTACCTTGCTCCGGGATGCCTTTCAACCACATATACACGCCCATCTCTACCCCCGCAGTACAATTTCGGTTCATGTATCGGTCCTTTCCTCTGACGGTTCCCTATTCGCTGCGTGTCTGAATGCATGTACCCTCGCCCTGGTTGACGCCGGTATTCCTATGCCCGGGCTGCTGTGTGCCTGCACAGTAGGAATGAGCGGCCGTGCATCTACTCCAGCAGTAACAGCTGAATCCGCACAGATAGGAGGAATAAACGAGAGCCTCGATCCTCTGCTAGACATCTCTGCTCCTGAAGAAGTCGAGTTGCCGTATATGACGGTCGCCAATACAAATCCTATGCCAGACATAACTGTTCCAAAGGACGAAGAAGATGAGGAAGATGATGATTATGATGCCGAAAACGAGAATCAGATGCTATCAATTGTGCATATGGATTCGGGAGTGCATGTGTCGTATCTCGAGACCATGTTTGCGGTTGGGATCGACGGGTGCAAGCAAACAAGGGAAATATTAAACGGGGTACTGAAGGCAGCGGGGAAAAGAGTTTTGATGGGAGAAGCTGCATCCGGCCCAGACTATGACGATGAGTGAGGAACTTGAGTGCTGGCAGTACTTATTTAGTCCACATCGAGAGATGCCCGAAGACTTCCGGGTCTTGTACAGCCGAGGGTGCAACAGGCATATGATGACTAGTCCATCATGCATGGCCTCTGTTGTAAAGTCAATGACGATCCCAGGGATTTCTATCTCCGTGATGCGGAGTTTGCTCAGAACTCGCCGCTGTGGGTTTTGGGCTTCCCCATTTGAACGCAAACAAGTGCCGGTGCAATGCTCATACTCAAAGGAATAGACGTATGGCCATTTTACATGTCATGCTGCATCACCGGATATCATAAGGAATGAGGTCAAATTAGAATGCATCTATTGGGGAAATCACGGCGTTGGAGGGATGTTTTCTTTTTCGCTTCTTCGAGTGCAGAAGAAACTCAAGTGGCAAACGTTCATCCATAAGTCTAACCCCACCATCTACTATCTTGATGCAATGAAGAAAACTACGAAAGAAAAACAAGGAAGTAGCAGAGATGCGAAATTGTACAATTGAGAGCGAGTAGTGCCCCTCTTTAATTTGTAGCTATGCAATGTAAAATGCCGAATGATTATGTGCTTTGTCTTCGTACTGAAACAGCCGCCTTGATATGTTGCAATCCAGAAAGAATAGGTATGGCAATTAGCTTCTTGACAGAGAAAAAGAAAGGTGATCTGGTTGTCCTTTCCAGCTACTTCCCACCACAGTTGTCCTATCCCTTCAAGCCATACTACCTGTTCATAGCAGAGAGATGAAAAGTAGAGATAAACAAGGACCACAACGGTAAGAAAGAATCACAAGGGATAGAGGATCAAGCCATAACGATTTCTTTTCTCATCAAAAGGCCAAGGCTGTGTCTATTCGGGCGAAAAGAAAACGGCTCGCAGTTGTTTACAAGACACCGCAGCCCTTAATGCAGGGCTTGTGGCTGGTCTTGACGGCACCGGAAGCACTGCCGCAGGCCTCGAGACACTTGACGATCTCCATAGACTTGTCGTCAGCGACCTCGCCGAAGACAACGTGCTTTCCATCAAGCCAGGAGGTGACAACGGTGGTGATGAAGAATTGAGAGCCGTTGCTGAAGTTGAGAACGGGTCAGTAACGTGATTGCAAGTATGGAAATGGAGACTCACGTGTTGGGGCCGGCGTTGGCCATGGACAAGAGACCAGGGCGGTCGTGCTTGCGGTTGAAGTTCTCATCGGCGAACTTCTCACCGTAGATGGACTTTCCACCGGTTCCCTGCATACAACTCAGCGTTAGCTACTCAGTCACCGGACTATAAAGACAATAAAATGACAAGAGACATACGTTTCCACGGGTGAAGTCACCGCCCTGGATCATGAAGCCTGGGATGATACGGTGGAAACCAGAGCCAGAGTATCCGAAACCCTTCTCGCCGGTGCAGAGGGCCCTAAAGTTGGCAGCGGTCTTTGGCACAACATCATCATAGAGTCTGAAGTTGATGCGGCCGCTCTGAACTATAGGGAGCAGAAAAAACATTAATGTCAGCGTGCTGTATCGTGTATAGCTTTGTCTGCTGCCCAATTGATGTAATATCACCGCCTGGGAGTCCCTTTGATGTAGTGGGAGTAAACAAAACACAGGAAAGAGGGGCAGAGAGCGGGACAACAACAGCAGCAGCAACATACCAGAGTTGTTCTTGTCGGTGTACTCGACGTCAAAGTAAACGTTAGACATGATGGGCGAAGTCTTGTGAAACGACCTGGATAGCTTTGGTTGAGATGCGATGGATTGGAGAGTGTGAGGACGACGGATGGAAGCGAGCAAGAAGGAAGAAGAAGAAGAAGGACGAGCAAAGGCCATGATGGCGGCGACGGGTGGCAGAAAAACAGAGGTGGGGTGGGGGGGCGGGCGGGATGGAGGGGTGTTTGCACTGTTTGCTTTTGATGATATAATACAAAGATGAATAAGAAATTAGTAATACAAAGTCTCTGACTAAGAAGTTTGAATGGAAGAGAAAGGTCGCTCTTTCCTTCCGCTTCTCTGCTCCTTCCTTCTCTTTATACTATCAGGTCATGTGACTCAGGGGCGCGGGAGACCCACACGGGAGGCCAGGCCCAAAGAGGAAACGAGGCCAACGAAAGGGAAAAAAACTCTTCTGCATGTTTCGATAGCTCATACGTACAGAGGACGGGCTAGGCAGTTCATTATTATTGAAAGAGCCGAAAGTGATGCAGAGAGAGCAGATAAAGAGGTAGGTAGCATGATTGCCCATAACTGACATTAAATAATAGTCGGATATACGAAATATCTATCTATCGAGAGAGAATAAAAGTACATCCATCCGATCTCGTCACCGTTGCCCGTAAAAGTCTCCGCTGGGGATAAAATAATAAAAAATAATAAAAATAACAAGGGAATATAAGAGCGATTGCAACTGGTGGCTCCGAAAGAGAGAACCGAACATGAACTTAAGAGCTGGATCCCAGAAGAAGCTTTGCAAGAGAGAAAATAAATCTGTGGCCAATGAAAAAAAGCAGGTCATTCCGCTGGATAAGTAAGAAGCAAAGTAAATAAAGAAGTAAGTCTGTAAGGTGGTGAGATGAGAAGCATATCAATAGGAAGGATAGAAGAGCAAGATGAAAGTGAATGGGTAGGTTGGAAGTAGTAGGCAATTGAGTGAATAAATCGGTTAACGGAAGTCATCTTCCTCGTTGTTCTGGCTAGCATATTCGATCTGATCGATGCGCTGGACTAGCTCCTTCGTCTCCCGGGCAATTTGGAAGGCGATGGGTGGGAGTTTGCTGTTCAATTCACGAATCTCGGTTCCGTCAGTGAGGTTGCTAGCTTCAGCGCCGATGTCGAGCAAATTATCGCGATGCCGTGCCAGGATCTCAATGACAGGGACTGCTCTGTCACGTAACGCTGGGTTGGCGTCAGGTTTAGCCATGGCTGTTTCTGTAGACGTGACGACCTTCTCGACTGCGTCTGCAATGGTGTTGATGTGCAATTGGATGGCGGAGATGGAGTCCTCCCCGCGGATACTAGCCACGAGGGATTGTATGGAGTGAACCAGAGAGCTGGTCTGATCTTCAAGGTGGAGCTATACAAGGTTGCGTTAGATATGGTCAAGACTGGCCTCTAGTGTTATATAGAGTATGAATTGGTGTAACTTACCCGAAGCTCTTCTAGGTCTTTATCAGGAGATAGCCCCGGATAGCCATGCTTAGCGCCCGAAAGTCTATTTCGTGACATTGAATGGGAGTTTGTTCTTGACCGTAGAGATGGCGGAGAGCTGATGGCGCTGTAGATGGATTCATTGCCGCTGAACCTCGTCAGGCTGGGAGCTACACTGAAATATCCCGGCGACTGCATGGGAGGAAGTTGGTCTTCCTCTCCTTCATCAGCAAGCTCGTCCTCTGGTGTAGGTCTGATCTTCACCTTGCGAACGAGCTCGACAACAGCAGCAGTCAGGTGGGATGCAGCTGCATCTAGTAGAGAGACAGGAGACAGGCCATTGGAGTTTCCAAAGTTTTTCGAAGCCGTGATCAGATTGTTCGCTGTGGCTGACACCTGTGCTTTGGCTCGAGCACGGATTTTCGTCAGCTCGTCATCGGTAGCTGTGTTAACATTGACGGCACTGTCGATATCTTGCGTTATATACCGAACAGCAAGTACAACCCCTTTCATCTGGCCCAGCACGAGGGACGGCTCGTCTGAACGCGCAATGCGCAACAGCTCATCGATGGCCATCTGGAACTTAGTGATATGTACGTCTTTAACCAGTCCGTCCGGCTGGGTCAGCGCGTTGTCTTTAGCTATGGTGTTCGTGTCTTGAATGTTATCAGGTAGCCCGATAGACGAGGATCGTAAATGCCGCAACTGCGTTTTTGATTTTGCATAGCGGTTCTTCCAGTGCTTGACCTCTGCTTCCAGTCGATGTACGTCCCGTATAAGACGCTCTTCGCGGTCCCAGTTCGAGTTGTGACCGTCAGACAGCGCTCGCATTTCCTGTAAGAAGGCTGATGCTTGTTGTCGTACTTGCTCAGTGACCTCCTGTTGATGCTTGAACTTCGCTTTGAGGGATTCGTGCTCTCGGTCGAGATCTTCAAACCGGCTTTTCCAGTCATCATCACCGTCATGGGATCTGTTACCACCAGCAGTTCCATCGACAGAATGTTGCTCCTGGCGGAGCTTCTCTAGTTCCATCTCTGCGTCCTTCTGCCGATCCCGGGCCTCCTCGAGCTGAGAGAGGACCGCATTGTTCAGGTTATGCGTGTTAGACAGCTGCTCTTCGAGTTCACGCTTCATTTCTTCATATTCTGCCTTTTCCGCCTTCCAGCTCTAAGAATTCCATTAGCCAATCTACTCACATAGAAGAGTTGGAAAAAAAAAAAAAAAAAAAAAAACCTACGCTTGAGCTATCATTGGATTTTCTGAGAGTGTTGACTTCTTCTTCCTTCTCTTTATGCATCAATTCCAGCTCTTCTACTTTCTTTTGCAGCTCCGATACTTGGGCCTCGGCGTCAGCAAGTTTCTTGTCACGTTCTGCACTTCCTGCGCCAGCCATCATGTCCCTTCTGTGGTCAAGCACTTTATCCAGCGCAAAGGCATCGCTTCGTCGATCATCGTCATCGTCCGCGTCGTCGTCTTCCACCATTGTACTCTTATTGGGCACAACCGTGTTATTCTGAAAGGACTTTTGATAGGGTGCGTTGTCTGGCATGCCCTCGCTATTTATTCCCAGTCCCGTCGCAGAAATAGCTCCGAGAGAGCCTTGTCGAGGGGGAAACCGGTTACCTGGTCCGGGACCAGAATGGTATCCAGGGCCTCTCGGGCCCGGCGGAGGGCCGCGAGAGCCGTTTGGTGTACCCGGGTATCCGTATCCTTGCCCATTGGAGTCGGGTCGTGGGCCGCCAAAGCGCCCACCCATACTAGGTGCAGGACTAGCCCTCCTGTTCATCTCTGGCCCAGCAAAATGTGGGAACCTTCTCTCTAGCTCGCAGAAAACGTCTGTTGCCAGGTCTTTGAACCGCTGGTCCTGCAGGGAGGACAACTTTTGGCGTGCCTGGTTTCGTTTCTTGTGATATTCCTGCCGGGGAAGTAGGTGAGGAGGAACCTCTGGCCGTGGAGGCCCCGGGCGAGAAGCAGCAACGACAGCTTGCCGTCTGAGCAGTTCATCGTAGACGTCGGTACTCAGCTCCAGGAACAAGACAGGTGATAGCCGTAGAAGCTTGTCTCGAGCTCTGTTTGACCGTATATTTGATTCCTCTCTTGAAGGGCCTTGGAGATACCTTCTAAGCACAATGTAATGCTGAGACAGCATATCCTCCATCCTCTGTCTCCTGGCGTTGCTCTGGTCCGAGAGGGTGCCATCGCTCACTCTGGACGGAGAGGTGACTGAGCTTGGAGGCGAAGCCTTCTGTGACATCCTTCCTGACGGCGGCAGCGTGAGGCTGTTGGACGAGACTGATGTAGTGTCTGAAGGGCCATTATGAGAGGAATGAGCAGCGCCAGACTGCGACGGAGTAGGGAATCCACGGACTGAATTGGGCGAAGGAAGTGAATACTGATTTATTCCTGACCATTCGCTCCCGTCCGTCGAAACGGGAGACATGACGGTGGCTTCCGAACGGCGAAGTGCAGGACTATTCATGAACACTGTCCGCCAGCCGTCTACCGGTCACACATAGAACGTGGTAGCAAAGGTGAAAAAAATAAGAAAAAAAAAAAAGAACAAGGTAATTAAATCAAGGACAACACACAAGACAGGTTGCCCGAGCCGTTCAACGGTGTCCGGAAGCCTGGCAGACAGAGCGAAGGGAGGCGAAAGACGCCGCCGGGCGAGATATCAACTGCCTGGCTGGCTCCGAGCGCAAAGCGTCCCAGATGCTCAGCGGCAATTCTCCAGCCCGCCACAACCAGTATCGCAGCACGATATAATAGTAAGAGTAATTCTGATCGAAAGGAGCGTCGGTTTCCGTGGCTTCTCTGGGCGGATGAACGAGTATGGTCCTGCAATCTAAGCTCGACGTCGTCGTCGTCGTCGTCGTCGTTCGTTAGCCAGCGGAAATTTGGTGAGGACGGCAACGGGAGAAAAACAGAGCAGCAGAGGCGACTGGCATGACAGTCAAGGTAGGACAGGAGCAGAGAGATACCGTATGAGAAACCGGGAAACAGCTGGCCTTGTGCTCTGTCTGGTTTGCAGCAGGACTGGACGCTCGCAGCGACGCAGGGAAGAAAGACGAGGCGCACTCGATGGGCCGGCGGTTAAGGGAGAGACGGCGACGGCGAGCTCAGGACGAGGAGGACGACAGGCGAAAAGCAAAGCAAAGCAACAAGAAGAAGAAGACGGAGAAGAAGGAGAAGAAGAAGACGACGACGACGGGTCGGTCAATCGCAGGGAGATGCAAGGCACCGCATCGCCGCTGGTTTCTTTTCTTTTCTCTTCTTCTTCTCCTGATTTCAAGGAGGCGACGGGGACTGCAGTACTTGGACTTTTTTGACTGCGCGATCCCTGGCTCTTTTTTTTTTTTTTTTCCTTTTTTTCCTTTTTTTTTTTTTTTTTTACTCTTTTCGCCGGCTTCTTCGTCTCTTCCTCGCCAATCAAGGCCAGCAGGACTTCCCGCTTCCAAGAATAGCCGCAGCCACCAGATCGATCGCAGGGCCAGACGAGATGCATAAAGGGATACATATATATATCTAGGGCTCACTCGCTGTCTACTGATTGCCTGTCTGTCTGTCTGTATACCGGGCTGCAGGCTGGCCTATGATCCCTACCGCAGGATATGCATGAGAGGACAAAGGCGGCTCTGATGGCTACAGAAAGGCATACCAAGCAGCGATTGCTAATCGACTGCACAGGCGTTCAAAGGACGTCTTCAGGGCAAAAAGATACGGGAGAAAGAGCTTGGGGGGACCCGCAGGGACATGAGACAGGTCATGCATTCCCGGCGTGGTCGATGTATCGATCTTGTTTCTTAGATCCCTGATGCTGCCTGCATTCTGGATCTATCAATAACAAGACGCACTGGACAGCCGGCCAGACAAGCCTTGACAACTCATCACGGAGGCAAGGAGGCCAGCGAGGTCCATTTATGAGACGACGCCCCCGTGTGCGGAGTAGCTCATGCCCTGTCTTGCACCGAGAGCGGATCGGTTACTGTCATGCTTGTTGACTTGCTGAGGCCGTCAACCCAAGCAAAAAAGGGGGGGGGGGACAACCCCAGACTCCCAGCACCAACAAGCCTCCTAAGGGGTCAAGGATAATCGATTTTCCAGGCTGCAGACCCATGGGACTGGAGTATACTGGACCTGGACTCGTTGAAGAGCCCAGTCCAGCCCTCAAGATGGGGTCCGTGGCTGCGGAGGGGTGGCATGGATGCTATATGCTGCTGCACAAACCGCTTTAGCTCGCTTTCCAGAAGACACAGAGAGACAGAGACAAGAGACACAGCTTACCAGAGTGGGCTGTTCGAGACAAAACCACAGACTACGTTTCCAGGATGCGTTTGTGAGAAGATTCTCCCGCATCATGAAACTTGGAGACGAAGGGCATGCCACAGCGGCTTATCAACTTGCAGTCAACCACTCTATGTACCTCGAACCTTGCCTGATATGATGCCTCCTCCGTCAGGCCGTGAGCCCCTGCAACGGAGGATTATTATTTTTTTTACCTCAAAGCAAGCTCTGGTTCTTGTTTTACCTTTGTCTCGGACCAACGGGAGCGGGAAGAACTGAAAGGCTGAAGGCGGCCGTCGTCGGTGCTGGTAAAGGGCAAGGAGCCTTATAACTGAATACTCCGTACCGCGAATGGCCCTCCACCAAAAAGGCTGGGCCATTTATTCAATTGCTCCATTTACTGTCAGTTCCTTACCAGGCTACTCCGTACGAATATGAATATCTGCCTACGGAATGAATGCCCTGTCCAGAGTGTTTGGTGACTTTCCCACACTGTTCACCGTAATTTCCACTGGCCCACAAGGTTTAACTAACTAGCAAACTGTGGCTTAGACAGATGCGATTTGTCTCCAGAGGACTCGTATGCATTGCATCGTTGTCCAGTTGATGAAGTGCCGAACCTGTCAACATACTGCTCAAGATAGTGCTGGACCAAAAGAGTTGTTCCATAATATCACAGAGGCATCACAGTAAAAATTCACCAGATGTACGGCGGAATAGCTACCAAACAGAGTACGGAGTACATGATCAGAATAAGGTCAAGCGAGAGCTGGAGACGGGCCTTCCCGCAAAAGGGGCTTCTGCCCTGTGGCTGAGAAGAAAAAAAAATGGAGACTTGGTGGAAAACCGATTGGCCGTTGGGACCATGTCGACTTCACAGTTAAACACCACGCGACACAAGCGAAGAGAAGTCGGTACTTTGATGGCAGAGGTTTGCTCCAGGAAGCTGGGAGATGTATTTTTTGCTATTTAAAAAAAGGGCTAAAGCTGATTGATCAATCTGGGAAACAGTTTATTGCAATTCAAAGCAGCCGTTGTTGTTGGCGATACGCTCGGCTAGGTTAACGTCTCTGGCAACCTGGTCGCCGCCGGAAGTGGTCAATGTCGCTCGCAGAATTGGCAGGTTAATTGCCTCGTCGAACTGGAGCCAGATGTTGGAAGCACTGTTGGAGAAGTCTCTTTCTCCCCAGGAGAAATTGCCTGTCAAAAGTCCAACCGTCAGTCAGTCGGCCAGCCAGCTAGGACACGGCATTGAATATGTTCCGGGACAAGAGCATGACCAAGGGACATACCGTTGAAGTTCCCGAGGACGCTGTTGAGGTCAAGACGGGCAGTGACATAGTCACCATTATCGTTCCGAAGCTCGGCGACGAGGAAGTACTCGTCTTCGATGCGGACTTCTCGAGCGCTCTCGTGGAAGCTCATGGTGGCAGTTGGTGGTGGTAGTTGGTAAAAGGAGGTGTTTGCTGTGATAGAGAGGATGTTCTGTGTGGGCAGGATAAGGAGAACGAGTAGTAGAGGACGGGGGAAGGGACATCCCTTAAATACTTCTGCCTCTCTATGGAATGGATCCTTATCATTATTGACATTATTTTAGCCTGCACTTGTTCACGACATGATTCACTTTGAGTGATTAACCACACCTCTGCACTACACAACCCCGCCGCTCGAAGGCACCCACAGAGGGTCTCATGGTTGCATTGGTGGATCAGAGAGAGATAGAAGCGACGTGGCCAGCTGAGACTTGGGCATGGAAAGGGGCCCTGCCTTCGGTGTGGCAGTCCGGGATCCATGTGGATCGATTCTATGACAATCGTGAGCGGATGGTAGGAGAAGCTGCGGACATACCCAAGTCCGCAACGGCTGCACAAAGCATGAGATACATACTTATTGCATGTAGACCAATAAGGAGCTGCATAATACCATGCCGGCTCGCTAACAGTAACGCCTTTTAGAGTGGCAGGGCGGGGGAATGTGGCTTGCCTCCGTTTATAAGGCGACAGTCACGAATACCAGACCTTTATCCAAGAAGCGTATCATTAGAACTGCCTAGTTATCTGTTTCGTAGATGGAGATGCTGCAATAAAAAATAATGTATGAAAGCCCGAGGGGTTGTCTCGGGCATGAAAAGGTTGGTTCCATTTCTACCGTGAAGAAGTCTACGGAGGAAGAGGGTAAACGGTATAGAAGGGCAGTCCGAAGATGCAGTTACCCCATGCAACAGACAGAAATGAATCACAAACAACTCATTCAGGCTGAAAGTCCGAAATCGAAGTCGAAACTCAAAGGCCTGCAAAATGACGCTGTCTTCCATCAGCCGAACAGGGGTAGGGAAAGACAGGTTCATAAAGAGCAAAACAAGGCAGCAGAAAAACATACAGGGAGTAAAGGTAAAAAAGAAAGAAAACAAAAAAAAATCAAAACGTTTTATCATGGGCAGGAGTAAAACTAAAGGAAATTGTAAGTGATGCGAAATTAAATAGAATAGGTGGCATTATATCCTCACACCAGGCGATGGGGTTCTTCTTTTTTTTAAGTTGCGGCAGGTTAGTTAAGAATATCATTTTTGATCGCTCACAGCCGTCATGGCAAGGTTGTTCGCAGACTTTGCTGCGCCAACGGCAGCTGAGACGGGGGTTACCGACCGAGTTGGTGGAGCGGTGGGAGATGTTGATGACGCTGGTGCTGCAGGTGCTGCGCTTCGGTTGTGGGCCATGTGAGCGCGGACAAGGTGGCCGGCTGCCAGGGCGGCGCAGAGACTGAGCTCACCGGCAAGGACGGCGGCGGCCACGATGCGTGCGAGACGGCGGGAGTTGTCGCCTGGGTTGGTTGGGTGTGCACCACGGACTCCGAGGAGGTCGAGCATGGCTCCTTGTCCCTCGAGAATGGTGCCACCGCCGATAGTGCCGACTTCTATGGATGGCATGGAGACGCTGATGTGCAGGTTACCACCCACGCTGAAAAGAAGGTTAGTGATCGCGAAAAGGCGCCACGAAGGATGCAAAGGGATGGGAGATACATACTTCTTCATGATGGTGATGCAATTGCTGCTCTCGACGTTCTGGGCAGGGTCCTGGCCGGTGGCTAGGAAGAGGGCAGTGACGATGTTGGATGCATGGGCGTTGAATCCTCCAAGGGCACCAGCCATGGCACTTCCAATCAGGTTCTTGGAGATATTAAGCTCGACCATAGAGTCGACGTCACTCTTGAGAACGGACTTGACAACGTTCGCTGGGATAATGGCCTCGGCTACGACGGATTTTCCTCGGCCATCAATCCAGTTAACGGCAGCAGCCTTCTTGTCAGTGCAGAAGTTACCAGAGACAGAGATGGTCTGCATATCCTCGAATCCAGCCTCGTTGGCCATTACGGACAGCGCCTTCTCGACACCCTTGGAGATCATGTTCATACCCATGGCGTCGCCAGTGGTGGTCTTGAATCGAATGTAGAGGTTAGTTCCGGCCAGAGTTGTCTTCATAGTCTGAAGTCTGGCAAAACGACTGGTAGAGTTAAACGCGGCTTTCATTATGGACTGGCCCTCTTCAGAGTCAAGCCACAGTTTGGCCTCACCAGCACGAGAGACGCTGCTAAAGCTCACGCAGGGGCCTCGAGTCATGCCATCAGCGGTCAAGACAGTAGTAGCACCGCCACCGGCATTGATAGCCTTGCAGCCTCTGCTAGTACTAGCAACAAGGACACCTTCAGTGGTAGCCATGGGGATAAACAAGCTCTGTCCATCAATGACCAGAGGCCCAGCAACACCCAGAGGAAGCGGAAGGAAACCGATGACATTCTCGCAACAGGCACCGTGAACTAGAGTATAGTTCATCCCCTCGTATGGCAGTTTAGAGTTTTCGACGGAGGCACTGGTGGCGGAAGTAACAGGGTTTCTTGCAACAACAGCTCGTCTAAGCTTGACCGCCCTGGTAAACGCTTGCAAGCGAGTGATACTCTCGTGCTCCATGGTTTTCTCAAGGGCATAGCCAGGAATCTTACCACGAAGAGAGAGCTCAATGAGCTCTTCGTCGTCAAGCGAGGTGACAAGCTTGTCTTTGAGCATCTGCTCACACTCTTCAAGAGTTCTTGGGGTGCCGTCTTCCTTGATGATGGGCTTGCGCTCAACCTTCACGGGTGCAGGAGCCGGTGTAGGAGACTCGGATGGGGTCGAGGAAGTTGAGGTCTGTTCTTCCTTGATGCTCCAGCGAGCAGCGTTGAAGAGATAACCGTTGAGAATCAAACTCAAGATAAGAGCTGCGATTATCCATTTGCTGATGATTGGGTCATCGAGGGACCTCAGGATACTTTCCAGAACTCGGCCGCCTACAACGTCGAGGACAGGGTTGTAGTCGGTGTCGAGCAGGCGGTCAACATTGGGGTTAGCATTGCCATAGTATGCAGAAGGGTATTCGAGTTGGTATTTCATCGGTGGAAGAACGGTGACCAAAGTTTCGACCTGCTGACTCTTTGCACTAACGTAGATGACATCCAATCCATTCTCGGCAACCTTGAAGGGGTCGATTGGGACAGGAGAGAGAACGTTGGACACCTTGGATAGAACAGGCATCAACAAGCCATCTTGGCGGTTGCGGAAGGGGATGGTGGCCAAGTTGAGCAGGTTGATCAAAACGAAGCCTCCAACCATGAGGAACTTAAATTTGGGGATGCTGCTTGCTCGGACCTTCTGGCCAAAAATGCTAGTGGCTCCGCTGGTCTTCGAGTTACCTCCCTTCCCGTCAAAGTTCATCTGAGGCCAGTCACTGGTGGAGGCGACCTTCTCGGCGACTCGATGGGTGATACCTTCTTCCTCGAGGGTCTTGCGGATGTCGATATGCCGCTTGATGCGGTTGATTTCAAGTTTGATGCATAGGATGGTGGTGTAGAAGGTGAAGAGCAGGAGACAGTCGAAGAACAAGATCCATGCAGCGAGGAAGCAGAACTGTCGCAGACCACCCTGGATGCCCGAGGCAGCACCAGCAACAAGAATGGCAATTTCAATCAGGTAGTCTCGAACGATGCCAAATCCAGTGGCTTCAACTGCCTGCTGGATAGCGTCTTGGATAGAGCGTACCGGTGTAGCAGGCTTGGCAGCGGAACCGTTGGGCGTTGCAGGGTTTGCTCCCGGTTGCGGGCGGCTGCGTTCGAGCACGGCCTTGGTGAGAATGATGGGCTTTTCAAACCCGACAGTGACAACTAGGAAAGGAAGTCCTTCGGAAAGCAAGACCATATTAATGGGCACGCCGAGGGCGGTGGTAACGAGCAGGCCGAAGAGGAATGCAAACCCTCCAGAGATGAGGACGGTAGCAGCCAGCCAAGATTTAGATCCAAGACGACGTAGGGATAGGAACAGCGATACGAAGGTTAAATGCATGGAAAGATAACCCAATGCCATGATAATGATATCGATAGTCTCCGCGTGCTAATAATATCATGTCAGTCCCCTGTAATGTATGACTTGAATATAGAGATACTAAAAAGTAGGAAAAAAAAAAAAAAAAAAAAAAAAAAAAAAAAAAAAAAAAAAAAAAAAAAAAAAAAAAAAAAAAAAGGGAAAAGAAAAGAAAAGAAAAGCAAAAAGAGGAAGAGAAATACCTTGATCAGGTCCACGAAGGAGTTCCATCCATCAGAGAACCAATTGCGCATGGCAACATGAGACCCGGAGACCGAGCTGCGCGCAGCCTTCATGATCCATTTCTTCTGCTCAATGCCTTCGGGGTCATTGACAGAGTCAGGGATCTCCTGCACGGATCTGAGGAAGTAAGGTATTTCATCGAACGGCAGCGAGTAGGCCAAGTGTGTATCTTGTGAAATGGGCGAGAGAACATTGGGGGTATACGGGATGAGTTTGGCAGAGCTGTTGGCCGGCAGCGGCACATTCTCTGCAAGGGGAGGAGACTGGGGTGACCCAGAGGATGAATAGGGGAACACAAAGGTTGCAATGGCAAGATGCTGTGACACCTAGCAGCCGCCCCAGTCAGCATATAGTCAACCAGATGAGAGAAGCAAATAGAATAGAACAGGCAGGAGATAGCAAGAGAACTGGAGGGAGGGAGAGAGGTACCTTTTTGGGATCAACCTGAGCTGAATTGTCGACCTGCCATCTCCACTGCGTATCCTGGCCCAGATGTAGATTCCTGCCTCCGCCCACGATCGACGCTACATCGACCTGGCCGGCGCCGGCCTCTTTGCTCGACTCGACCAGGCTGCCGTCCAGGAGACCGACGTAGGTGGTGCTCGCAAGCAGGGCAATGGCAACGATCGTGTGTATAGGGTGTCTGCAGGCCCTCAGCGAGACCGACTGCAGCGCTCCCGTCACCTGCCGACTGAGCCATCCAGGCTCTCCAGCATCGTCCGCGTCCCCACGAAACTGGCGAGGAATAAGCGAAGATCCCCTCATGGCTGCTGAAAAACTCCCTTCTGGCTCAATGGCTCATGCGCATAACCCGCCGTCTGTCTCTCTGTCTGTCTGTCTGTCTGTCTGCCTTTCGCTTTCTCGTTCTCGGTCTCGTCTCGATCCGTTCGTGCGTGCGTTGAAGCTGCGAATTGAGGCCGGCGGAAGCGACCAGGGCCGGAATATTTGCTAATTTAAAGGGAGACAAACGGCATCAAACTAAAAAAAAAAAAAAAAAAATTCCACGAGGAGCTTCAGCGAGACTAGAGATGTCCTTTTTCTTCACGCAGGGTCGAAGCGGTCAGCCAGGCCACAGAGTCAAGCTGTATTATTAACGAATAAAAAAGGAACCACTCACCCTCGAGTTCGATTATTATTATCAGGGGAGGCGGCCCAGCGTCAAAACTGCTGCGGCTGCGAAGGGGAGATGACGGTGCCAGGGGTGGCTGATACTGCGACGGGGCGGGCGAGCGGCTTTTCAACAAGCTGCCAGCTCTCTCTCCACACGCAAAGAGAGGGATGTCGTCAAGAAGAGGAGAAACCAGGCCGCGAGGAAACCTGATGCTGCTGGTTATGATGGAGCTGAGCTGGGCTATGCTCTGCCACCCAACCCTGTGGAGAATCTTATTTTTTTCCTCCTGGGCTTGTTTGTCTGACGGCGGATCGGCCAGACAGACTGCAGGAGACGAGGAAGTAGAAGAAGAAGAAGAAGAAGAAAAGAAAAAGGTCCTTGGTCAAGAATCCCTACAGAAAAGCCCTTCTTACAGGGGTTGCTGCCCGAAGCATTTATATTTATATACAGAGCGACCACCACGGCCAGCAGGGGAGGCATTATTTAAAATAATATATCGCCGAGCAGCGAACTACTTAAAGGGCACGCCCAGCTAATGAATGGCTTCCTCCGCCCGCCATCGTTCTCGATAGCTGGCCATATTTCCCCCCCTCGTCCTCCTCCCATCCCTTTTCTTTTCTTTTCTTTTACTTCTCCTTTTCTTCTTCTTCGTCTTCGTGTTTTTTTTTTTTTTTTCTCTCACCAAAAAGTTTTTTCTTCCCCAAAAATTTGGACGCCACACAAACCACGTGACCTCATCATCGGCGGGTTTTTGGCAGCTCAAAAACGAGCAAAAAGGACGGCGGCGGCGGCGGCGGCAGGCAGGTAGGTAGGCAGGTAGGTAGGACTAGGTGGTGCATCGTGTGTTGTATGTAATATACTAAGTATACGGAGTGCAGGGTTGAGGATGACAGGAGGGACAGGGCAAGGCTAGGCCGGGTGTGTTGCATCGACGGCGGCCGCGGCTGTCGGCGATGACGGTGGTCGGCGGACAGAGGAACGACGACGCCAGGCTGGATGCATATTCGCTGGGTGCATACTCCATAATATTTGCTGGGCTGGCCTGAAGACGGCGACCTCTGCGATCCCTACAAGTTACGACGGCCGGGAAGGGTAAAGAGCCCAAGATGAAGACTGGCTCTTTGTCTAGCCGCCGCCGCCCGTCCGCTTCAGGTTGGCGCCGCTGGTGGTTCTATTGTTCCACATTGTTCCCTCGTAGCCGTTCTGCTTGTTCAAAGTACTCCCTATGTAGCCCGCTAGCTAGCTATTCATTCATTCACCATTGTTGTTAGATAGCGAGAGACGCCGTTAGCGTCCTACCCCGCATCGAGTAGTCGATCTGTACATTCACATCTAGCCTGCCAGCCTGGCCGGGATATGCATGCAGCAGCCCGCGGCACGACGGGGCAAACACTCTGGTTAGCTGGCGTCGTTTTATTTTTATTTTATTTTATTTTATTTTATTTTGGGCTTGCTTGGACTACGAAGACAAGACGAAGGAAGAAAGCAATTAGGAGGGAAGGGAGAGAGCTGCTGATTCATAAGCGGAAGGGTTGACATTTCAGTGGCATCACGTGAGTAGTTCTGTGTATTAGATAAGACGGAATAGACCAGCCAACCAATAGAAGCACGAGAGCCATAAGGAAGCCCGCTATAGTCAAACTTAGCAGGTCAGGACAAACAGTGAGAAGAAGCATTGAACAGAGCAGAAGAATGCTTTCGAGAGGTGAAATACTTCATGCTGGCTCCAATATTAAAGGGATGCCATACCGCTACTAGCTCTCATACCTTGAGATTGACCGGTCAGTGCTGAATATTGAGTCTGGACACCTCATGCATGATCCTGCATAGGGAGCTGCCTGAAAGCAGGCCGGAGTAGAATAGCTTACAGCTAGCTATGCTCCGGCCAATCCTCAGCACATCATCCGCCACTACCCGGCACAACGTAACACGACGTAAGCCAGCCATGACATGAGCTCTTCCTCAGACCATCCTCGGCGTCCGTCTCTTCAATCTGACGGCCTCACCTCGCCGCCGCGCAATTACAGTTGATAGATATCTTGGAACATGATATCATCGACAGAGCTTTAAAAATGCTTAGCTTGGGATCGCAGACTGTGATTCGTAGAGTCTCCTAGAATTCCATGAAGTCTGTCAGGGAAAAAGGTAGGTGTGTCGTAACGGAGTTAACTGCAATGACGACGACTATTCAGAGCTTCAACATGCTTCATCGATAAGACGCGTAGTTACCGGGAAACTGCTGTTGTGCGGAGTTTTGTTTCAAGCAAGCCCACCTTCCCACGACTCGTGGATGGTCTCCAACTCTAGATCAGCTCGCTTGCTATCATGGTCCATAATACAGGTGTATTTTCCACGGTAGCCTGTGCTATATAGGTTAAATTAAGCATAATCTGACATAGAAGACTGTGCCTGGCGTTGCAATAGTACACTCAGCTCATCACCGCCATAATACTTGTCGTCACTCTAGTCATCTCAAGGGACGTACGGAGTAACAATCGAACAATAAAAAAAAGGATTTTATCGGTGTTCCATCACAAGACAGAGAACATTTGAGCAGAATGTTTCATGAAAGGGTCCCCGGCTTTGCTGTTTCTTTACGCGCCGGTCTTGCCTACCGACCCTTGACGGCGCGTAGCTGCTTCCAGCGTTCGCCTTTCTTTCTCTATGCATCTTCTCGTATCTTCCATCTTCGCTCTTCCGTCTTCCACCTGCTCGACCCGAAGTATTTCTGAATGCAATACTTCGTCATACTGTTCTGTCATTCCCACGCTGCGGCAAAAGCCATCAGTCAACGCCGTCATAGTAACGACGAGTTCAACCGTAGGCGCCTTCGGTGGTTGTAATAAGGTTAAAGTACGGGAAGAGGCGCAACGTCGAGAGCCAACCAGACGCCGCGCCAAGCCAGATCCTGCGACTTCAACTCCTAGTTTCGAAACTTCACTATCGACACCGTCAAGCGCCCGGACTGCTTGATGCACCAGACAACCCCGGCCTTCCTGTCTCCAGACATCTCTTCCTGCTCAGGCCGGGCCAATAATTGGCCTCAGCTTGGACTGTTATACCCCCCGCGGCAGATGAACGTCATGGTTTGCAGGCCAGGATGTTTCTGCGTTCTAGGTTCAATGCATTATTCTGGTCCGAGTTTTCAACGGCTGAGCCATGGGTTGAAACATTGCAGTGGGAAGGTTACCAGGTAACATGTCAGGCAAAAGAGCGCCCTTCTCTGGTTGATTGGCTGCCATTAGCTCAGTGGAATGAGCAGGATCTCATGGGGGTTAATTGTAACCCCGTCTGCTCCTACTCTTCAGTATACCCATGTCACTGTCTATAAATATATACAAAATACGTACATATATATAGGGTGGCAGTGACAACTTGTTCTATCTTCACGTTTACAGGATAACTATTATACTTATTTTCCTATTCATATTTCTTAGTGTTGCTGGCCAATACTTTCTTTCCATTCACACTTGACTATTGATACCCATACTCTTGTGTTCTTTCTATATATTAGTTTTACTTGCCTATACTAAAGATTTCTTTCCTTATCTTTTCAACCCTCTTGCTGATCCAGACCTTGCCACAGCATTCCTTCCCTTGGTTCATACGACTACTGCTGCGTGCTTGCCCAAAGAACCTTACGGACTGTTGTTACCTCACAACTGCCACATCCAAACCACGGATTCGATATCAGCGTCGCCATCACTATACAGGCGCTCCTTCCTACCGCATCATCAGTTTTGACGTCATCGACTTCATCTATCACTGATTCTGTTCGGTTCCCCTCTATCGAACTTGCCATCATAGACATAATCGAAAACACTGGGATCGCTCTTACCCATAACCATTCGCCACCCAGGATCGTCTATAAATATCTCCTCAACCCCCATCTTCTTCCTCTTCCTTTTCTCTTCCTTTCATATCACAGATTCTCTTCTACTCTACTACAGACATATTCGCAAACATCCCTTTTCCTTGCGAACCGCACTTCAAACTCGAACAACTATTCCACTTTATCTTTCCCATCTTCTTTCCTCTTCCTCAAGGGTTATTACTCCACCAAACCCTTGATCATGGCACCCAGAATTCTATCAACTCTCCTCTACCTACTCTCTATTGCCTCCATGGCAAATTCTCACAGCTGGGTAGAGGAGCTGGATGTCGTTGCCAGTAACGGGTCCTTTACTGGCAAACCTGGCTACATCCGTGGCCATGTCTCTCGAACGGCCCAGGGATTTAACGACGACTTGATGACCAGTCGTCTCCCTCCGAACGGGCGGCCTGCAAATGTTGGGGTTACCCCCAGCGACCACATGTGCATGCCGTCCCAGCGGAATCAGCAGCAGACGGAGGGCTGGCCCCGACTAGAGGCAAAACCTGGCGACGTTGTCGCCCTTTTGTACCGGGAGAATGGGCATGTCACTTTACCAGATACCCAGCCCGGGAAACCTAAGAACCGCGGAACCGTCCATGTATACGGTACCAGCAACCCCCGTCCGGATGACAAGTTCCTAGACATCCACGGGGTATGGAACCAGGACGGAACAGGTGGCGATGGACGAGGCAAGCTTCTCTCACGCCAGAACTTCGACGACGGGCGCTGTTACCAAATCAACGGTGACAGAATTTCAATGGAACGGCAACAAAAGTATCCACACGTTCCTGACGAGTTTATGGGCGCAGACGTGGCATGCCAACACATCCTAAGGCTGCCCTCGGATGCCGTCCCTGGAAACGTCCTGTCGATGTACTTTGTGTGGGACTGGCCGACGGCCCCGGGGGTAGATCCCAACCTTCCCCATGGAAAGACAGAGATCTATACCTCGTGTATGGATATTGACATCGTTGCGTCCGGGAGTAAGATAGCCACAACTCCAACGGCGCACTTCATCGATGGTCAGCCACTGAACCGTGCTGCAGTTCCTTCACTGCTCACCAATCTCGACCAGCAAGTGGACAGTGGCCCTTCTGATGACGATGCTGTCTCTTCCACCTCGGTTCCACCGTCGCCGTCTGACGAGGATGCTCCTACCGAAGGTTCAATCGTTCCAATTCCAACACCCGCTCAACGTGATTGGAATTCCAGAGTCACTAGGCGTAGATCGCGCCGCAACCGCCGCGATCCCAACTTCTCCTAGGACTCCACCTTGGTAGTTACTTGTCCCTCGTTCCGTCGCTGAATCCGAGCCTCGACATCCGCGTGTTTTTTCTTTTCTTTTCTTTTCTTTTCTTTTTTGTATTTTCCAATTACGCAACTTAAGAAGACAAAATATACCTGGCCTTTGACGAGTCTTGACCTGTGGAATCTGTTTGTGATACCCACCGCGTGGAGCGGTGATTGATATGCAAGCATGGCGTTTGGGATGGGCGTTGTAGAGTGGCGTTTGTTATTGTTTACCATGTGTGTAGCATACATAGCAATTTAGTTAACTTGCTTGTGGAAGGAAGACTCCACCACTATCTACAGGTAGTCGCAATCGAACTTTTCTTTAATACATAACTAGTTCTGTCTTTATCTCGTCGCTTATAATTGAACTTAATTCTCCTCGAATCTCCTCCTGCCCCTAGTCAGGCAATTACCTAGATAGCTATTAATTCTCATAAACCCTTTATCTTCCATGGCTAGATCAATTTCCCACATTGGCCCTTTCCCATCGTCCATTTTTCCAAACCCAAAGGAATTTTCTAGTCATCCAAATCATTATCTCCACGCAATCCCTGCAACGGGGAATTTCAAGCATCTCTGCCTGTCCAGCTATCCCTGTTTCTTGCTTATTATCCGTTATTATCTTTTAGGTTTCATTTAAACGTTGGCCATCTTTATACCACCCAAGCTGAGTCTAGCAACGACGAAGAATAGAGTGCCAATAATGCAGTTCACTCCAGCAAATACCATCATATAGCGCAGAGACCCGCTGCTTGCTTCAATAATTTGGCCTCCGATAGGTGATCCGCTGAGTCCAGCCAATGATCCGATTGCAAATATCAGTCCCGTACGAGTGCCTATCTCTTTCATGGGAGACACTTGGGCCACGAGGGCAGGGGTGAGACCGACACCTGAGCCAGATGAAATTCCAAAGAATACTGCAAAGAGGATCATGGCTAAGTTGTTCGATGCGGTCATCCAAAGGCCGAGGATAAGAAGTGAGGTTATACTGCACATGATTATCATAATGTTATATCTACCAACCTTGTCAGCGATGACGTTGGGTGCTGTACGGCCAAGGATACTGCAGCCACGCGGATTAGTGATATTCATAATATGACCAGCAGAATAGAACGTGAATTCGTACCTCGCAGCGTTGAGGATTGGAACCATGTAGTTGGCCATATGTTGTGACATTCCGTTTTTGCGAGCGGCGACAACGATATAAGTTACAGGGAGAAACATGCCCCCTATATGTACGTTAGCTAATAAAGGAGTAAAAAGTGGGATGGAATAGTCAAACTCACAATAATAGAAGAAGACTGCGGCTGCGAGCGCTATAAAGGCTGGTTCTTTCATCGGTCGAGTCATTTCAGAAATATGCCAGCGTCGTTTGGATGGTGGTAAACGGGATTTGAGTGTGAAGTTGGTGAATAGAAGCAGGCATAGAATAAGTAATGCACAGGCACGCATGGTCCAATTGAAACCCCATTTAGGAATCAGGTGGATGACCATTATAGGAAATATTACACCTCCGAGAGAGGACCCTGCAACAACGGGGCCTAATGCGGCTGCTCGTCGTTTGTAGAACCAAGTAGATACCTAAAGCGAAGGATATGGCGTTAGAACAAAAGGGTAGCTTGATAGGGAGAGGTGAAAAAAAAAAAGGGAAAACCTACACAAGTGACAGAAGGGTAGAACACCATCGATGCCCCCAAAGCCGAACAGACAGCTTGGCTAAGCAACAAGCCGTAATAGGTATCCATGAAACTTGCAATAGTAAGGCCACCAACGTGGAGAGCAGTCCCAACCATAACCAGATAAGAATGGCCGAAGTTGTCAAAGATCCTGCCAAAAAATGGGCCGCAGAACAACATGAAGAAAACTGGGTTCAAGTTAATAAGGGTTACTCTTCTAAAATAGATTATTTGAGGGTAAGTGACCTTGGAGAGAAGATATCCATGCCACTTCTGATTCGGTGTATGCCTTCAGCTGGTGAGTATGATAGTAATTTTGGAATATTCCCACGCAGTTAACCCAGCCGAAGGATACAAACAGCGTGGCAGATGCACCGGCAACGGTTAACCACGCTGCTGTCCCCCCTTCTGGGTAGTCATTCTCGAGGTCATCCCATCGCCTGGTTTCGCTTATGGGGCTGGCCTTTTCGGGGTCGTTTTCCAAGTGCCTTTTCATATGGCCTGTATCCAGATTTCCGGACATTTTGTTGGACCTAAAGAAAGCTCAAAGGCTGAGCAGAATGTGAGAGGAGGATAATTAAAAATAGAATTTGTGACAGGTGTAAATTTGAAACATATGAGAGTTAGAAAGATCTAAGAAAGGGGATGGCAAGATAGAGGCTGTGGGTAATTAAGAAAACAGAAGAAGTAGAAGTTCAAGAAAGGACTTGAAATTTCAGAGCATTTATGCTAGAAGGACAATGGAAAGCACCCGCTTCACTAAATATCATTAAATAGGCAGCTCGGCAGGATCCGTCTAAATATCAATTAAGAAAGGGTTATGTAAAGTGAATGATGACTAGAACCTAGCCTTCCATGCACCTTGACGGCATAGGAAGGGCAGAATAAAGAAACAAGTGCAGTCACTTAAAGTTTATTATCATAATAGGTATATACTACTTGCTAAGTACAAGTAGTAAATATTGAAAGTACCATTGAAATAGCCCTCATATCTGTGAACAAACGGATAGTACTCCCCTATAAAGAAGCAATATGCCCTTGGAGTAAACAAACAAGAGTGGACAACTGGACTCAGCAGTAACTTAGGCAAGCTATTTATTATCAATCTAGATTAGCCTAGATCAGGCAAGATGAGCTTGGGATAACAAATTTACGTTTATCCAAGAGTGCAAATAGTAAGCCCTAGTTTATATGTAGAAACATATCACTAAGTAGCATTACCCCAGGGAATCATACAATATGATGTCCAATCCGATGGGTCGCAAAACCAATATGAGAAACAGGAGGGAGGAGTCACTTCCGTCCCTTTCCCCACTATGATCAGGGTTGGTATATATATCAGGGTGTAGATCTCTCGATTGGGAGGGCCGATTTGGTAAAGCTTGACTGGGGAGGCTTTTAATTTCCAGGAGATAGGACATGTCGTCATCGGCGTCATAAGGAGTTGGCTGTGTTGGATGGTATCAAGGAATCAAAGAAAAAAAAAAAAAAAGGTAGCTCGTCAAGGCAGAAAACAAGTTGATTTTGCAGCAATTAGGACGACTAGGCGTCTTCGCAGCTCTGTCGGGACGCGCAAACGAGCGGCTCAGGGGCGCGGGGCCGCCTGCAACAGCTCGGGGATCCTTAGACCGGCCTCGTAGGCCAGCTGAGTGGCCGTTCCGGCCCTGCTGCTTCTTCACCCATCTCGTCTCTCCCGCCAGCTTCCCCTGGGACTCCTGCACACGCAGTACAGAGTACGCAGCACTACTTACTACTAGTCACTGGCTTGGTCGACGAAGCGACGTCGCGATAACTATTTGAGAAATTAAAAGGAACAAATTTAAGCATACGGTCATGTGACCACGAGCCTCCTTTTATTCCTTCTGCTCGACGTCAGTTTCAACTTCAACCACCAACACTGCACGTCTTCGCGGCTCTCTGGACTGTTGCCGCTGATATCCATCTGCACTGTCGCCTCGTGTGGTCTCCTGCCTCTTTTCTCTTGCTGCCAGGCTGCTCTACCATGAAATCTGTCACCAGCCTGCCCATGGAACAGTGAAAAGTCGCCTTGAAACGGTTTCGAGTTGGCTCTATAAATAGCCCTGCCTATCACCTTGCTTCCCTGGCAGAGTTTTCTTTTTCTTCCTTGCCTTCTCCAAGCCCCTGGTCCACCCCGAAATCCTGTGGGACGCTTGTGGAATTTCGGCCTAGCTGTTGTTTGGCCAATTTCGACCCTGGTGTGTTTCATCATAACTCAACCATACCAATTCTGGTACCTTCCCACGTCGATTTTCCATCGTCTGCCAAACACAGCCAGCACCGCCAGCCCTCCAGAGAGACAGCCTCGCTCCCACCCTCAGGACACAGATCAAGAGCTTCTCCTTAAACCAGACGTGTCAAACTCCTTGCATATGCGTGTGCTGGTGGCCACATTTCCGTCCTGAGGCTTCTGACCGAGCTGAAAGGTCACAGATACGCAAACGACTCGAGCGGCACACCGGCGGCTAATTCTGCTGCGACCGCGGGCCCAGAGGCATTTTTACCTCCTGCCTTCGTATCATCATAACAAACAGCATGTTCTGATATGCTGGACAGCTGATTTTATTGCCTGGGACTGCTTCTTACCTGTGCCTGAGGAAGAACAGTCGCATCTGTGTCTTCCCCCGCCTTTATCGAGATCTAGTCGTGGACAAGCCCCTCTGACTTCGCGACTTACTCTGCCCACTGAACCAGCTAGCTGGCTTGCCCACCAACTCCGTTTTCGCCGACCTTTTTCAACTGCAGCCCCTTTGATTCAGTGGGATTTGCACAGAGTCGAGCCACCAAAGTGTCCGACTATAGCTTCGCGCCTGCCTGCGCCTAATTTTCTGTCATACCAGCTCAGAATCGTCATAGTGGTGGCATCATTGGCTTGAGTGTTCACACAAAAAACCGCTAAAGATGGCGACTGCGATGGCATCGTCACAGTCGCCGCCTCAGTTCGATGCGTCCGCTCCTTCACCGATCTCATCGCGGGCCTCTCTACCTCCCTCTACCATTAAGCGGACGAGCCTCCAAAGACCTTCGTCGTACCCAAAAAACCGACTATCCGTCCACTCCAACAAGTCAAACTCGCAAAACCGTTCACGCCCAACCTCTGCCACTTCCAATACCTTTTCTGTTTATCAGTCAAGCCTGCCTTACGCTTTGGTTCGGGATTTTGCCTATCCTCCGAGTCACCCTCTTCATTATGGTGCACCTCCCAAAGATTCGGGCATTTCGACACCAGTCCACGAATCTCGGAGGATTTCAGATGCGCCCCTATCTTCACTGGACGCCACCCGCGCTCACTGGCCCGCCCCAAACTGGGACCCAGGTACCATGTACAGCCAGCAACAACTACCTCCGATAGCATATGGCGATGGGCCTCCGTATAGTGAAGACGAAGATTTACATAGCCCCGTCGTCACCACCTCACGGCATCGAAAGTATAAGTCCGGCCACTCTAGTGAGAGCAGACCTGGCTCACGCCGACGCAAAGGGTCGGGTTTCGGTGACCCCGACAATAACGGTGATGCTGAGAAGGGTGTCTTGATTGGTGTTAACGGAGATGGAAGCGAGACATATTATGTTAGAGACGAAGATGCGGATGATGATGGACCAGGAGGCGAGTACGTGACCTACCCAGCAGGGGATGGCAGACGCTCATACCACCCGGGTTTTGGTGACCAAGGCGGGGCTGGAGGTGCCGGTTTAGGTAACTCCGCCCATAACCACGGAGCTTACGATAGAGATTTCGAGCTAGCCTCTGACGACGATATATCAGACGACGATGCGTGGAACGACCCTTCTAGATACTCGCGAGATTACCAATTTACAATTGTTTCTCCAGATGAGGAGATGCATGGTAAAGCTGTTGCTCTCTTCGATTTCACTCGCGAGCACGAAAACGAACTTCCTTTGAAAGAAGGCCAGGTAATTCTGGTTTCTTATCGCCATGGCCAGGGATGGCTCGTTGCTGAAGACCCGAGGACTGGAGAAAGTGGACTGGTTCCAGAGGAATTTGTACGCCTTGTCAGGGATATCGAAGGCGGATTGAATTCTCTCAATGGCGATTTGAATATGATCGACCCTAATACTGCCGGAAGTGAATCCGAACAAACACCGGTTGCCACCACTCTACCGGCCTCGCAATTGAACGATGCTCATATTAGTAGTGATACTGCCGATACGGATGCACAAGTCCACGCCCCGGTTGAAATCGATACGACTGATAGTGGAACACAAGAAGTGGATATACCAACTACACAAAGCAAAGAAACCGAAAAGGACAAAGCAAGAGAAAAGCATCCTCCGGTCGTGTCGACCTTTTCAACGAGCAGCAAAGACCTAAATCCCTACCCTTCACACCTACTTAGTGGTCATCAGCATAGCAGGTCCATGCCTCCCCCGATTGAACATTCAGAAGCTCAGTTGGCCCGTTCCAACTCTGGTGCAACAAAAAGAACCAAGAGTGTGTCTAAACGAGCCTCTGAGTCGGCCTAAGGACCTCGTTTCAAGGATTCTTGTGTTCTTGTCATGATTTTTTCTTTTCTTGTTTACCCTGGACGAATAAACGAGATACCTGGTGTGCATTATGAGAATGAGTTTCATCTTTTACCTTCACACTCCCTCCATATGCCTTCAAATCATGGAACGTGTTCTAGTCAACGTGATTCCACACCTGATCCTCACATAATATGCCCTTCAATTCTTTGTGAAAAACCCGAATACGCTGTCTGCGACGGTTCTAAGGTGGTTGATGTATGTGGGCACTTTTATCATCTCTTTCTTCAGCTCCGGCTCCTATGTTTGATTCTCTTTCCTAGCCCACATCATTATCCCGTTTAGGTTTTCTTGTCTTCATCATCTGCCTTTTTCTTTCTTTTTCTTTTCCTTATTTTAATGTTCATTTTTTTATTTCTCTTTTGCATGTTGGGTGTATATCCTCGCTTAAGACGTGCATAAAATTGTCTGGCAAGGCTAAAGGGGGATTGGTCAATACTATAAATGAATGAGTACAATATGCATACACGGTTGTTATAAGTATAGAATCGACTTAGTTCCAAGTGGGCGAAGCCCGATATAGACCTTAATACATCTCGAGGTAGCAAAATGGGACCAAGATATACATTTAGTTGGGTTTTTGGTTGCACTAGTTCATATCTGATCTTTATTGGAGGAATAATTACATGGGGACTGGAAGGAGGAAGAATCTGAGGGTAGTTAAATTGAGCCAGCAAAGGGGTCAAGTTAGCAACCAAGCCAACGACGAAGGTACAAACCAATTTTGAAGTACGTCAATATACCAGAAGACCAAGCTACGAGCAGATTCTCCCAAGAAACTTCTATCGTAGGTTTATTCAAAGAGCGTCTCGCGATGGAACGCGCTTTAGCCAAGAAGATCGTCCAGCGCACTTCCTCCGCTTGGCTTCTTCTGCTGTTGAGAGCTGGAAGTTCCACTAAAGGTTTGTGGAGAGCTACTTGAGCTAGGCGTTCCCCAGATGCCAGCACTTGCCTTCTCCTTAGCCATGCTTGCAAGGTTTGGGCCCTTGTTCTGAGTCTGTGTTGTTGATTTGATACCAGCGTTGGCACTAGCGGTAGACCATAGGCTCCCAAATGCATCACCGCCTGATTTGGAAGAAGCTGTAGTTTGAGATTTTGTGGTGGATTTATTGGACTCTGATGGCTTGGACTGAGGCGTGGGAATAGATGTGAAGTAGTTCGGCTGCGAAGCTTGGTAGGTGGTTGGCTTTGGTGGCTGGGACTGGGTAGTGGGTGAGAGTGGTCCCATGCTTGATCCTTGAGAGGTTGGGCCAGTAGCCGAGGGTGTTTGAGGATTGGATCGGAAGGCGGCTAAGCCGTTAAGGCTTGCATTCTGAGCAGCTGAAACGGGCTTTGGAGCAGCGAATTGGGTGGTTGGTGCGGATGGAGGAGCAATTGAGCCAAACTGTGACTGTAGGGTATTGGTGGCCGGCGTGGTAGGACTGGCGGACTGGAAGTCGTCAAATTCATCATCATCCATGCTCTGAGCTGCAAGCTCAGTTAGGCCACTCGAACCAACGGGTTTTGTGGTGGACGAGGCCTTTGCTGGAGGGGAGGAGACAGAGGGTGCCGCCACTGCTTCATCATCATCACCAAAAGAGACCAGATCAGGGGTTGGCGCCTTCGGAGGAGCAGGCTTGGATTCGGCTCGAGAGGTTGGCTCACTTCGTCGAGGGGCTGAATATCCGCTATTGTCACCTTCATCGTACTCCTCAAACCGGTTTGACCTCCGACTAGCATCCCGAAATTCGCTGGTGTTTCCGTTGAAGCCGCCTCCGTCGCCATATACTCCGCCGCTGAAGCCTCCGAAGTTCGCATCTTCGCTGCCAAATCCACCAAACCGGGAGCTGCCCCCTCCGCCAGAGAATCCGCCAACGTTTATTCCTCCTTCGAATCCGCCGAATTTGTTCCTATTAGCCTTTGCCTTTTTCCTTTCCGCACGAATCATATCAACATCGCCTAGCAACTTGGCAAGTTCTTGAGACCGGTTGCGGATGTTTATTCCTTGGTCTTTACCATTGGGGTCGATATAATGAAATTGGCGAAGCATTCGCAAAAGTGAAATGTGAGAGCGTGCATCATCGACAACCCTTTCCGAACCATTCTTGACTAGAAACTCAAGAAGTTGCAGAGACTAAACAATGTAAAGTGTTTTGTTAGACAACCTTCGAACAACTTATACAATGATAAGGGTGGGGTGTAAAGGCCCAATACCTTATATATCTGACGCCATTCTTCTGCAGATTTCTCCGTGAAACGTTTATAGATCATTGGCATTATCTCGTTAAGCAGTTGACTATATGAAAGTAAACGTTAGCCATTGACTTTTTCGAAGTTTGATACTGCCGATGGAACTGACTAGCTGTGTGTTCCGTTCGCAATCTCCTGCATAAGGGTCGAAGATGCACCCCAAGGCTCGTTGTTCGTAGCTTCCCGGACCTATAGATTCGAGTAAAATTAACCGTTAGCTACAGAGCTTGAGCAGTATATCATATGGCAGAGAAGGCGCCGACCTTTGCCTCCATCTCGGTGTAATTCATCATAGCTAGGCGGATCACAGAGTCAGTTAAATGAAATGACAATAGTTGATGGCTCAAGTACTGGCAAGCCTCATATACAGACTTATATTCCTGATCAAATCACGTACCATTTTGCACTTTGCGGACGCCTGCTTTGATATCATACAGACTCAGGTTGCTGACCTGGTCCTTCAACGAATTGAAGTCCATGACGAATAGCCTTTATCTGGACTCAAATACGGCTTCCAATAAAAAGAACCAAAAAATATTATAGATCAACTGCGCCGTATACTGTCTCTGGGCGTTTCTGCAGAGCGATCGGTCGAATGCGAAGTGTTGCTGCAAAGGGTGATCGTTGGTTTGATGGCGGAAAGCCGTAATAGACGGAGGATGCCCGAGGCTGTCGCTGTAATGAAGGGTGCAATCGCATAAAACACACTATGCCGGAGGATATTGACGGCGGAAGTGTTTCACTCCTCGAGTGGTTGATGTCGTTGGGCGACGATGCTGGCGTTGGTTGTTGTCAAGTTGAGTAGCGAAGGAGGTTTTAACTCGTTACTGGCCGCGTTCTTGGTGTTCGTCGATCACAACGTGACAAAACCGCAGCGCCCATTGAAAGTGGCCTCAGGGGTGGCGCCAACGAGAAACGCATCACAAACTGCTAACAAATATCAGCCTTGTACGATACATAAATCATATGGATTGTATAACTAGCTATCTACTGTTGGGACGAAGTATCTATTTCATACAGGTACCTACACAGAATAGAAACGTTGTGCCACCGGGACACATATCTCTGTTCAGGCAGCACAGAAAGGCAAGGCCAAAAAGCTAGCATACAGGAAACGAATGTCCAGTTCATAATCATGATACCTCGTAATGGGAACTAGATATATGCCGATGCAGGGAGTGATATCTTGGGTAATGTAAAACATCAGACAAAAGGAATAGATAAAAAAGAAAAACGTAAACAGCGACATCATTAAACCGCTATTCCAGCACCGTCACCATGGTATAGAAGCACCGAAACGAACAAAAACATAAATGAGGAATAAGGAAAAGAAGACATCAACAAAGGGGAGTTAAAAGGGTAGTAGTAAAGGGCGAGGAGAAGAAGAAAATAGGCACGAGGGAAACGATCAACCCAGGCCACTTGTGCCAGTGGCTTATTCGTTATAAAATTTCCTCATAATTAAATGCAGGAACAAATTAACGTTAACACGCAGCTGATCCTCAAACAAATCCATGAACTGTGTGTTGTTGAACTGGGCCTGCAGCAGATCATCCAGGGGAATCTGTGCATTTGCTCCGGGGACCATCATGTTGCCGCTGCTACCGTCAATCGTGAAGATACCCACTGCGTTGCTTGAAATTGTGAGATCGACACGGTCCCATTGACGTTCCGTGTAGCCTTTCCAGTGGACGAGAACTCCCTTATCTGCAAGGTTTCGGGCAGAGTATTTGTAGGAGCCAAACTTGAATACACGACCTGAACGTTGAAGCTCTCGCTCATGATCCCATTGTTTTGTAAATGGCATTAAGAATCGCTTCTTTCCTTTCTTGTTTTGCAGAGTGATCATGGCTTGTTCAATGTAATCGTTGTATGTCTTTAATTGCCCCTCAAGGTAGCTGGATTGGTCGTTCAGTCGATCCAACGTTAAGCGGACATTCTCAAGTTCTCGTTGTCGCTGGATTCTTCGTCGATGTTTTGTTCTAATATCGACAGCGATTTCGTTCAGCAGATCCTGGTACTGGTTATGTCGACTTATCCTTCCAGCCCTCTCAAGCTCAACGATATGCTGGAGAGCGGTCCGTTTCAGCTCGGTATAGGACATAGCACCAATATCAATTAATGTGTTTGTGTCAGAGTAGGCACCGCGTTTTCGGTCACCAGCCGACAACTCGTCGCGGACAAGATCTGCCCATCGTTCTTCATCCTCGATGCTGGGTGGTGTGACCAGGATTTCGAGCAGATTGGCCCCTGATTGAACACGAATAATGTATAGGATACACCGTTTGGTTTCAACAAGGAGCGCTTTGATTTCCGCATCTGGGTCTGTACCCCAAAAATTAGTATTGTTCCTGCAACGAGCTCCCAGGGAGTATGTTCCACTTACCCTCCATATTATGCAGCTTGGGAGTCAATGTAAGGCTAATTTCAGAGGAGCTGACGCTCATGAGTTCATTCTCGTTGCTTTTCACGCTTCCAAGATCGCGTATAACTTCTCGAAGGATATCTTCAGGGCTTGTACATATATACGGAGCCTCAGCTGCAATAAGTTGGTGGATCGAGAAAATGTCGGACATTTTGATATATAAGGTTGGCTTCGTTTTGGCATACAGGTCGTTGTACTCGTTAATATCGAAGAAAGTCTCCGCGTCTTGGACAGTGATAACTATGAATCGTGTTAGAAATTGGGAAGCTGAGGCATTAAAGGAAAGTTGTACTTACTGTTTCCCCATATACCTCCAAGTCTCTGTATTGATTCACTAATATAAGTGTTCAGGGGCTGCAGATAGACGTTTTCGGCACCGAAAAGCCTTCCAGACGCTGCCTGACCCATCACTTTGCCAATCTCTCCCAGATTTTTCTTTTGCTCTTGCGTCAAAGCACGTTCAACGACTCCTGACCTTTCCGGGTCCAAAAGGGCAGGTTGAAGGTAGCTTTTCCACACCCATTGTCCTACTAGTTGCAAGATGTATCCTCTATCTTCCTCCTCGTACTTATCTAGCAACTGTTCGTACATCTGCTGGGCAATGAACCGTATTCCAAATGGCAAACGATGTAACGAATCTTCCAAGAGAGCTAAAATTTGGTCGACAATATCACGAAGATCTTGGAGATGGCGGATGAAAGTTTCTCGTGTCTCTGGGTCTCTGATTGCCTCTTCTCTGGGGACGTCTGGTCTGCGCCGACTTCGTTTTCCTGTTCTCAATTCCTCGTTGTTGATAGCAGAACGGTAAATTTGCATAGGATCACTTTCTAAATCAAGATCGGCATTATCAATTATAGCCTCCTTGACTAGAGGGCCGAACAGATCCTTTGTAAATTTTCTATCTCGAGGCGTCTTGATGTACGCAGCCAACAACTTTGTCCAGAACGCGTTGCATCGAATGTAGTCCTGAAGTGAAGCCGAGTGGTCTATTTCCTCCTTCACTGAGCGTACAATAAGCTTGATCAAGTAGTATTCCTCACGTCTCTTTTGAGAGTAGCCAAACAGGCCCATGACAAGATGTTTTATCCTATCACAGTCGCGCTCGGAAACTGCCTGCTCTCGCAGTCGTCGAAATACTCTAGCAAGATATTGTGGTTGAGTCTGGAGAAGGAAAAAGAGCTCTTGATAATGCTCTAGCTTCCTTCTGGATGTCTTGTTGAGTGCTTTAAGATCAAACGGATCCTTGGAGGCAATATCGGAGTTCGACAAGACAGCGCCGACATGTCCACCGAAATGTTTCTGATGTTTAATCACCTCGTCCAGGGTGATTTTGTTCTTCACGAGCAGAGCAATTTTGATGTCTAATTGGGTTATATACTGATCTGCCATCTCATTCTGTCGTACTTGTTGAACGACTGTTTTTCTCAGTCTCTCGAATTCCAGCTCTTCATCAAAGTCAAAGTCACTATCATTCAACAAGTGCACAAAACCCTTTATCGTGCCGACGGGTGGGTTTTTGCCGCTTGTGAGGCTTTTGTATGCTTGTCCTTGTATCTTGCCTCTCACAAAGCTCTGGACTTTGACAACCTTCTCCATGTTTTCGCGATAGAACCGTTGCTTTTCCGCAAAGCGCTCACGAACCATACTTCCCCTGGCAAGGGATTGAAGTTCAAGAACTAAATCTTCCTCGGCTTCAAGTTCGCCTAATAGACAGTCCACATCGGCCCTGACTAGCATAGCCCGTGATACAGCTTGGAGATGGGTGACTTCATCCGTGAAGGTATCGAGTTCGGCTAACAGCCCACCAACGTCTATTCGCAACAAGGCTGCCCGCGCAAGCCCCTGTAAGCGACTTATTGTATGGTTCTCATCGAGTAAATTTTCCATATCTTTGTTTTGAGCTCGTCGTAGTAGAAATCCTCGGATGCTGCTTTGGAGTGAAGTAATGCTATCAGCACTGGCAAGAAGGGCGCACTTGCAAGCTTCGACATCAGCACGAAGTAGTTGCCCGCGGATGAAACCTTGAAGGCTGATAACTGATTCCTCATGGGTGCTGAATTCTTTATTCGTCTGTTCAATTTTCCTCCTGACAGCTATGGCCCGTGAAATTGACTGAAGGTCCACCCACTTGAGACTATATTTGGCTAACTGAGCCTTCTCCCCATTTATCCTGTTGCGCGACGCATTTGCACGAGCGATGGACTGGATGTTCAGCCATTCTGGAGTAAACTGGGCCAAGGTGGCCTTCTCATCTTCTACTCTATGACGAACAGCGATTGCCCGAGCCATTGATTGGAGGTTTAACCAACTAGGGGTAGATTTGGCTAACATGGCTTTATCCCTTTCGATCTTGCAACGGGAGGCATTCGCTCTAACTGCAGACTGGATATTTAACCAATTTTGGCTAAACATGGCCAGCGAAGCCTTTTGATCCTCTATCCTGCTCCGGGTAGCAATTGCACGAGCAATGGATTGTATGTTAGTGACAGCGGCTGCTTTTCGCTCCAGATATCCCCTGTCTATCTGAACGGAGCGCCGTAAGAGCATTCCTCTGATGGCAGACTGAAGCAAATGAACTGCTCCCTCGGCATCCTTGGTCTCCTCGTATCGATCATTCTCCAGTTTCCTTGCAAGAGCACCACGGATTGCTGCCTGGAAACTTTTGATACCATGTTCTTCTCTTCGCGCCAAGGTATGTATGTGCTGCACTTCAGCCTTTGCTTTTTTGGCTCGGACCAAACATTGGAATTGTAGGATATGCTCTTCTGCGGCTTTACACCAGTATTGATCGTTTTTCTGCCGCATCCGAACTACAAATCCTCGAGCGGCCGACTGCAGGTCTGTAGCAAATCTCTGCATACCCAACCGATAATCGGCTATCTGCCGGGCCCAGTCACCACGTATTCTAGACTGCAGATCTATTAACAAGTGTTCCTGGTCCCATAGTCCTTGCATCAAATCTCCCAGTCGCAACCTAAGGAGTGCTCCTCGAGCTTGTGATTGCAGGTCAGTCACGGAGTCTTCGTTTTCGTTCAGCTCCCTAGCTATTCTCTCCTCTTCTGTTTCAATAGGCTCGGGCTCAGGCTCTGGTTCGGGCTCTGGCTCGGCTCCAAACTTGGCTCCCATGCCAGAGAAGCTAGGCATAGTCACTCCTGCCTGATCAAGGCCGCGTTGTGTTTGTTCCAACTCATGGTGTTCGAACTCTAGTTGACCAACAAGATTGCCAATGCGAAAGTCGACAACGCCGTTCTTATACAAGAGCCAAGACAGCGCGTGGATGCAGTGGATAACCTTGGGAATGTTTTTCCTTTCATAAAGGTCTATCAGTTCGAATCTAAAAACTTCTGGGAGTTCGATTTCGTCCAAGAAGCGGAAAAAGAGCGCAATATTGTCGGAATGGCGGAATTGGAGTTTTGGGCTATAAAATATTCTAAGAGTGCGGTGTGGGTATAATGCTTGAACGAGCTCGGCCAAGGTGACACCATCACGGAGTGCCTCTTCCAGCTGGACAATAGGTGGAATGGGTTTCTGTATAACGTCCTCGATCCATTCTTTGGCCTCTCCGATGTGACATAGATACTCGTAGGCCTGGAGAAACCGACGTTGTTTATCCATCCAGTTCGTCGCGGTCCAGGCAGAGACACCGGCTGGTTTTGAAGTGGTAGCAGCTTTTGGCCCTCCACGGACTGAGTCCGCTCGTTTCAGTCGGCGGCGTCCCTGCAGGCCTACAACAGAGGGTGATGCTGTAGCTATGGCAAACTCATCACTGTCACTTTGTGCTATTTGGGAAAGCGTCCTTAGATGCCCTGTTCTAGACTTTTGGAACGTCTGGAGCTCCGGTGCAGTGAAAGAAGTCTGTAAAGATGGCGTTGCATGAGGAGTAGACTGCGTACGTGTATGGTGAGAACGGCGCATACTTTGAGTCCGCGGCTCGAGAGGCTCATCCTTTTCCTGAATCACCGGACTCATATGATCATATGACGGACTATTTAGCTGTTTCGAGAAAGGTGAAGTAAACTCGGGTGTTTGGCTGCGCACCGATTTTGAGTGAGGTGATGTAAACTCGGGCTGCGGAACGAGACCACCCATTGTCTGACTCCTCCCATGGCAGGAAGAAGATGTGGAAGGCCTCGATTTTGGCGGAGTACCGTTGGGAGCCTGTGGCAGAGGCCTCAAGGAACGACGTATATTTCCGTATGTCTCTCCAGCACTCATCTGTGTATCGAAGCTTCCCAGGCGTCCACGCTGTTCCGTCTTGCGCTCAAGTGTGTCCGGCATGAAGTCACTGGGCACGTGAGACGAGACGGTGCTTGTCCGACTGGGCACATATGAATTGGATGACATTGAGTAAAGCGAGGAGTTTGTTGAAGCAGTCGAGCCATGCCGTAGCGGACCGTGTGACGCCGGAGCCAGGTCGGATTGACCCCTTCTTCTTAGCGACGGAGGATTGGAAGACATCATTGACGGCAGGAGATGTGTGACGGCGCAGTGTTATAACAGATATTGCCCTTATGCGGCCTGAGCATAGCGTCCCATGCTTCTCTGTGCAGGTCTGGTCCAGGGATATGATAAGGTATGGGGGCAGCGCAGTTGCGACTCGGATGTGCGAAGTGAAGAATCGCAGGTAAACACACTAGAGACCTATCTAGGAGGAGAAGAAAGGCCGGGGTTATATGTAACAGGTGTATATCTGGCTCCTTAGCGCTTGCAAGATGTGACTTGGTTGCTCCGTCGCTCCGTCGCCTCGTCGCTTGGTCGCTTGGTCGCTTGGTCGCTTGTTTTTGTTCTTTTCTTGCTTGTTGATTTTCTCGCGGGGAGAAAAAAAGGCAAGGAGGAAAACATAGTACCTAAAGAGGACTAGCGCATATTACATCTAATTAGTCATCATGGAGGTTATGATGTAATTAGATGACGAGTATCTTACATGGACAAAGGGGTATTTTACGAGTAACCTTGTTATCGCAATACGCTAAAGGAAGCGACCGCGAAGGAAAGATGCAATCGGACGAAGACAAAGAAGACAACCGCAGTAGTAGCAAGGAAAAGAAGACGATAAGAACCGAGAAGCAGCTGGCGACGGGCACGCACCGGGTGTTTGGTGTTGAAACACCTGGGGATGCTCTGCAGCCATAGCTCCAACTCCAAACGTCATGGATGGCCGTCTTCAAAAGCCCTTCCTACCACCAGCTCAGCTCATGACCATGTGAGCAGCTACTAACTACATAACTACATAACTAGACATCGTAGTATCCGTATCATCTATATCTACTATGACCATTCAATATTGCCTCGACTTCTCCCGTCCGCTTCTCATCGACTTCTCTCACGGTGTTGCTTACTAAGTTAGTATGACTAAGCACAACCCACAAGCGGGAAAATGTTCCTATAAAACCTCAAAATTTACTTGTTTGATTTTTTTTTCTTCGGGTTTTTCTCTTTCTTCCCTTGGGAAAAAAGATATCTCCCCGCCAACAGGTCGTTTTTTTCGAGTCAGACGCTGTTGACGGTTATTCACATTCTTTTTTCCTCGTTGATCTACAGCCAGGTATAAATATATACACATTTTCGCCCGCAGCAATGCCTCTATCTAACGGGGATGGCCGCAAAGCCAGCACGGTTACCTCGCTGGGTGGGCGCACGGAGTTTGTTGACTGCTCCAAGGCCCTGGACCTCCTGAAAACGGAGTATACGTCTGGAGATGGCCTAGATATCAAGGAGTTGCTTGACTCGAACAAGCGCGGGGCTTTGACTTACAATGACTTCCTGGTACTCCCTGGATATATCGGTACAGCAGCCATTTCCTTATCGATAACTCTCCATACGAACAGGCAGTCTAATGATGAATCCGTTTGATAGGATTTCCCGCGTCTGATGTAACTTTGCAGTCCCCTGTAACGAAGCGCATTTCTTTAAATGTGCCTCTACTCTCTTCTCCCATGGACACTGTCACTGAACACTCCATGGCTATCCATATGGCACTTTTGGGAGGCCTCGGTGTGATTCACCACAACTGTTCGGCCGAAGAGCAGGCTGAAATGGTTAGGAAGGTGAAACGATATGAGAACGGGTTTATCCTCGACCCAGTCGTCATCTCTCCAAAGACTACAGTCGCCGAGGTCAAGGAGTTGAAGCAGAAGTGGGGATTCGGAGGATTTCCTGTGACTGGTAAGTCATATATTTATATATTATTTATGTTTTATCAAACCCCTTCCAATGATGTTGTACATCTTATCTTAAACTTTCGTTCAACTGCACGCGGCGAAAGCTGCCCTGGAGAGCAACAGATTATGATCTGAGATTGCCCGTTCCCATGACCCAATCCTTTTGGTCTATAGAAGTCGAACGATCTGACTGACTGGATTTGAATAAATAGAAAATGGCGACCTTCGCTCCAAGCTGGTTGGTATTGTCACCAGCAGGGACATCCAATTTCACCCCGAGTTGAGCGATCCGGTTACCGCTGTCATGACCACCGACCTTGTAACTGCTCCCTCTGGCACTACCTTAGCTGAAGCCAACGAAGTCCTTCGTGCTTCCAAAAAGGGCAAACTCCCAATTGTTGATGAGGCAGGAAATATTGTTTCTCTGCTTTCTCGCTCTGACCTGATGAAGAACCTCCACTACCCACTTGCTTCTAAGCTTCCCGACTCGAAGCAGCTTATTTGCGCTGCGTCTATCGGCACTCGTCCCGCTGACAAGGACAGACTTCAGAAGCTTGTTGAGGCTGGCCTTGACGTTGTTGTCCTCGACAGCAGCCAGGGTAACAGCATGTACCAGATCGAGATGATTAAACACATCAAGGCTACACATCCGGAAATTGACGTCATTGCCGGTAACGTCGTCACTCGCGAGCAAGCCGCGTCTCTAATTGCTGCCGGTGCCGATGGCCTCAGAATCGGTATGGGCAGTGGTAGTGCTTGCATCACCCAGGAAGTTATGGCAGTTGGCAGACCCCAAGCAGCCGCTGTTCACAGCGTAACTGAATTCGCCTCACGTTTCGGCGTTCCCTGTATTGCCGATGGTGGTGTCCAGAACGTGGGTCATATCGTCAAGGCTCTTGCCATGGGTGCTTCCACCGTAATGATGGGCGGTCTTTTGGCCGGTACCACGGAGTCTCCAGGCCAGTATTTCGTCAGCCGCGAAGGACAACTCGTCAAAGCTTACCGTGGAATGGGTAGCATTGATGCCATGGAGGAAAAGAAGGCAGGCGGCAGCTCCACTGGTAACAAGAGCACTGCCGGTACTGCCAGATATTTTTCTGAGAAGGACAGCCTGCTTGTCGCTCAGGGTGTCTCTGGCTCCGTCCTAGACCGTGGCTCCATCACCAAGTTCGTTCCATATCTCATTGCCGGTGTCCAGCACTCGTTCCAGGATATGGGTGTCAAGAGCTTGCGTGAACTACACGATGGTGTCGCGAAGGGAACTGTTCGCTTCGAGGTCCGAACTACCAGTGCCCAAGCCGAAGGAAATGTCCACGGCCTACATACCTACGATAAGAAGCTGTACTCTTAAGTAAGGCATCGCGACGTCTACCAATTTACTTTGCTAAGTCCTTATCTCCTTGACATATTTATTTCAATTACTGGCGAAGTTTCAGGAGTTCTGAAGTGGTGGTGTATCTGTCGGTCAAGGGCGGTTTGGCATGCCAGTTGATCTAATGTTCAACTACTTAAAAAGTTTACGGATTCTTCAAGCGATAGTTATGTAGCCGATGACAGAATGGACAGTAATTCATATACCTTGAATATCTGAATATCCGTAACACCTGACTGCTTGTGCCGGCCGTTATATCACGTTGACTAACTCGGTTCCAAGTCGGGCTTGTATAACGATGAAACAACCTCGGGATAATCAATAGCCTTTCCCTAACTCGTTACTCCAATAAACTAACTAGTTAACTTAGTTGATTAGTTGGCCGGTGAGTTATCACAGGTCAAACTCGTATACACAAGAAACATCACGACACAACGATGGCCTGTATCGTCGTTGAATGTCACTTTCATGGGCTTCGTCGCATAAATCCTAGTGTTATCTGCCCCTCTTACTTTCTACGGCGGTATATCTCCGCGTCCAGAATTCTACAACAGTCGTGCCTTTGTCCAGATAATTCGTTGCGCAGACCAGCGCAATCAAAGAGAAAGAATACAATAAATTATACCCAAAGGGCAGCTTACTCAAGCGTTCGCATTATACCACAGTATCAAAAGCCAATGGCGTCCAGTGATACTAAAAAGCAGGCAATCGATTATAAAATTCCCCGGCCAAGTTCAAGGTAACAGCTTTCCTTAGAGAACGACAATGACAATAACTCCACTAACTCTAAGGTAGTGTTATACTTGTATCCCCTCAAAATGAAGTCCTCCTGCTTCATCGGGTGAAAACATCCTCTTCATTCCCGTCAGCGCACGTATTTCCGGGTGGAAACATATCTTCCCAGGACGGCGACTTTCCACCAGCAGGGCACCCAGATAGTCATGACGATGGAGCTTACTACAGAAAGGCTGCAATCCGCGAAATGTTCGAAGAGAGTGGAATACTGCTTGCGAAAAACAAGAGTACCGGCCAGCTGGTGAAGCTTAGTCCAACAGAGCGAGAGGAAGGCCGACATGCCATCCATAGGAATGAGATCACATTTGATCAATGGTTAAAGAGGGTAGATGCAGACTCTGAGGCAGACACTGGTAAGTTACTCGCTCACGGTATACCTTCAAAAAGGATGTTTGGAATGTTAACAAAGGGGCGCAGAAATGCTGATTCCCTTCTCACATTGGATAACACCCGCTATAAATGCTCGCCGTTTCACAACACAAATGTACATTTATTTTCTACCCCCTGCAAATGATACCACTGGCGACACTGTAAATCCAGGATTAAGCAGCGAAGAATTCCAAGCGCCTACTTCCGATGGCGGGTTGGAAATCACCGAAGCGCAGTTCCTCCCAGCATCGGAGTGGCTACGACGTGCGAAGATGGACGAGATAATCATGTTCCCTCCCCAGGTGCTATTACTGAGCTTCGTCGCGCAGTTTCTCGAAAGAGCAGGTGAAAGGACACCGATACCGGCAGCAGAGTCATACAAACGACGAGAAGAGCTGATCAAGTTTATTCACTCGGGTAACCCTGCATGGTCTCATAAATTCATTTCCCCACGGCCGTTGGGTAGCATGCCTGATGGCAGGTTGATTATGGATTTAAACTACCCGGGTCAGGAACTGGAAGGAACTGGCAAAAGAGGGGATCCAGAAAGGGTTATCCTGGTGAAGTTCAAAAAAGAAGGGCCCAGAGGAGTAGAAGTACGATGGCTCAGCGAGGTTAAACCTCATCTGCAAGACCATAATAGCTCGCTCTAGGTTTGATTCTATAGCTGCCACCGCTACTACGAAGCCGGAGTATCATGCCTTTATATTTATATCTTGAGGCTTATATCCTAGATAGATGTCGAGATGTGTTTGTCCCTCCTTGCATCTTACTTAAACTTTTGATATTGAGCCAAACCTTAAACTCACCCGCTGTAACTATTGAATCACATGACCCACAACCGAAAAAAAATGATTTTCACTTTATCTCGCGCAGACAGCAAAAGCATCAAGACATCGACAAGAGAAGATAACATCTGATTCCACTCCCTCGCCGTCTCCCTTCGATCAACCCTTTCTCACTCAAATTTACTACCGTCTATTCCGCCAAAATGGAGAACGAGAAGGGCGAAATCGTCGATCTGTACGCACAAACCCCCAGGAGCTCTTATCTATCGTCTAAAGGGTCGAACGAACCGTCTCAGCAGTTGCTAACGAGAATCTATATGAAATAGCTACGTCCCACGCAAGTGCAGTGCCACCAACCGTATCATTAAGGCCAAGGACCACGCTTCCGTCCAAATCAGCATCGCTAAGGTTGATGAGAACGGCCGATACACCGGTGAAAACCAGGTCTATGCTCTCTCCGGATTCGTACGAGCTATGGGCGAGGGTGATGACAGCTTGAACCGTTTGGCTCAGCGGGATGGATTCTTGAAGAACGTCTGGAGCGCAAGCCGATAAGCGTGAGGGGAGAAACCGTGGTTTAGACGTCAAATGGTACATATCACCCGCACATTCTCATTACCTGAAAGCGGACAAAATATGCGGCTGGGAACCTAAGAGAATACTGAAGGAGTAGGATAAGTGCTGATGTGATCTTGTGCGCAGGTCGATTTTCTTGAAACGAGGACGGAATGGTCAATGGGAATGAATATTTCAGGAATTTCAGATATTATGAAGACTCTGGCGCTACTCTAATCTTTTTCGAGGATGCGACGATACGAACCCATTGAATAAAATAATGGTGGAAACGAACAGAGCAAAAAAATGAAATAATATAAAAATTCTAAATAATTCCTTCTCCTTGCCAGTACACCACTCTCGTCTCCACATACTACACCATTTTGCTTCCTGGATAGCTAAGTGGGTAGAGCACAATAATCATATCATTTGTTCCTCAAATATACCATTGTTCCTCAAGCTACTTGTCCGTCATCATCTTCTATCCCATTTCTTGAACTTACATATGAACCGGTACTCCAACTTTCTCGTTCTAATCGAGATATGTGAATAACTATCCCGGTTCCCAGACGTGGGCGAGGAGGTCGATTCACAAAAACCAGCTTTTTGTTGTAATCATTATTACCGGGAGAATGACAACTGCCTTCTGATGAGCTGTGACGGTCAAGATCACACGTCAGAGCACAGATACGGGCAGGACAGAATTATCACATGTGAATATTCTTTTTAGGCATTTTGTTCTTTTCTTTTCTTTGAGACTCCATAGCTCTTCTAGGGGGTAGAATGATCACGTCACGGTCATTATGAATACAATTCCTTGCAGCGGCTAAAGAATACGGTTTAAAGCCAGCCAGAAGGTGTAACAATGGGTTGGTGTTTGTTTTTGTTATTAATTTATTCCAGGAGTATCATTCGACAAGTCTATTATCCTCGTCCCATGATTGAAGTAAGGCTGTAGAAAAGCAGGAGTAAGGTGGAGAGTAGGCGACTGGGATTGTTTGATGCCTCATGTGCACAATATAGCTTCTGCAAAATGGTGCTTCATTTATTCCTTCTCTAGGCGCACGGCAGGATTCGATTCAACGAAGTTCAGGTTTACTTTATGTCCTACCAAATCTCGAATATTGTTCACACCATATCTGTTCACGAAGTAAAAACAAAAGTATGTTAGCAAGCTGTTGAGCTCGGTATCTAAATCCAGACACATAGCTCGCACGGACTAGAGAAACGGAAAGGGACAGGGTTGTTGGGATAGTTAGGGGAAGATACTTACTTGATCATGGTTGGTCGCTCCAAACTCAATCCCCAGCCATAAACTTGCATATCACTTGGGATACCCATTGGCTCCAACATCTCCGGCCTGAACATACCACTATTTCCAATTTCGACCCATTTCTTCAAAGTGGGGTGGTAGCCGAAGATCTCCATACTGGGTTCTGTGTAGGGGTTGTAGGCAGGCTTGAAGCGCAGACCATGGATACCCATCTTAGCAAAGAAGACTTCCATGAAGCCGATCAGACCGCCAAGCGAGAGGCCGAAATCTGCAATGACACCTTCAATCTGCTGGAACTCCGCAAGATGAGTTGCATCGAGAGTTTCGTTGCGGAAGACCTTGTCAATACTGAAGTAGCGGGCGGGACGTGGATTTTGTGCTAGCTTTTGAAGCATATAAGCTGAGACAGAGGTGGTATGTGTTCGTAGGACAAGGCGCAATGATTCATCCGCACTCCAGGGATAACGATAACCAATAGAGCCGTTAAAACCCGTCTCATGAGCAGCGTGAACGTTTTGCCAGTATTTCTCATAGTCCAGTGGTTTGAGGGTATTCGTAGAAGAAGCATAGCGGTGGGTCTGGTTTAAACTTGAGAGATGGATGTCACCTTCCGGGTCAGCCCTTGGTTTATCCGCCTGTACTGGGTCGGAGATATAGAATGTGTCTTGGAGATCGCGGGCAGGGTGTTGCTGTGGCACAAAAAGAGCGTCGAAGTTCCAGAAACCAGATTCAACGTAACGGTTGGTAGGCATCTCCTGGAAGCCCATTTCAAAGAAAATTTGTCTGAATTCGTGGCGGACTTTATTCAATGGGTGCAAGGCGCCACTTGGGGTGATGGCTCCCTTGGCCTTGAAGTTATATCCCTTCAGCTTTGCCGTCTTCCATGAGCCATCCGCTAACATATCCACAGTTAGATCTGTTTCCTCCTTTACAAACTCTCTGGCGTACTTGGGGCCTTTCCAAAACTTATAAACAAACACTTTTTGGGTATTGATAAGCTTCCGCTTCCGTAGTTCCGCTAGAACTTTGGCGTCTGGGTGTGTCTTCGTTTTTTGGATGGTAACCAGCTGCTCACGAGACGTGTCCTCTATTGAACCTGTAGCTGCCTTCAATGTATCTTTGTCCTTTTTAATCCACCCCTTTTTAAATGCGTTTCCTGTCCCAACCTTGGCAATCTCCTTTCCAACAATATCCGGCAGGTCAGCAATCTTCAACCCCTCCATCGCAGCGCTGACGGCTTCGAAAACTCTGGCTTCATGACTGCCATTGGCGACGATACCTTCAGCCTCGGGCAGTAGATACACTTCTTCGCTTTCTATCGTCTCTTGCAACACCATGTCCCTTGCGGCAAGACGGTCTAGAGCAGCCTTGACGCTCTGCGCGGGGGCTGATGGGAAGGCATGGTTCGACAATTGCGGCTCGTCCGTCGAAGCGAGGACGTCTAAAACTTGGGAAGTAAGGTCAGAGGCCATCTTTGCAGCTTGCACTCCGATCCACAGCCCGCTAACCACAGGGACTGAGCGAAGCTGGCACAGGTTGTTTGGGAGTTACTCGGGCGTTTTTGATAGTCGATAGTTTGTGACTCTTATCTTGTGCGGATGGGGCATTCCATTTGATAGGGTCACGTGAGTCGCCCGGCCAGAGCCCACATGGGGATAGCTACAGAAGACAAACGCATTTTCATGGAAGAAAAGAGAAGAAGGAATGAATAGGTATGACGACATGCTGTTGTATGAATCCATCCGGGCGTAGTGATTTTGATCCTTGTAAGATGCTGATCCCAACGATTCGTGGCTATCATGGCTGTCACTCTTTGTACCCGATCATATTTCTTTGCTATAGCTAGCTAACTAACTAACTAACCAACTAACTAGTAGATTCACATGAGAAATGGAGGCCATCACTGGATAGACATAACTATGTAGGTGATGCGCCTCCCCGAGGACGGGTTGTCCAGGGCCCGATCGCGGCTCGAAATGACAGATTAGAAATCTCCCAAGTACCTTGGTCAAGCACATTTTTATACGAATATACAGTGATAATAATAACATAACAATAACAATAACAATAATAATAATAATCAAGGCATAACTCCCGGCAGGATTGCGGAGACAATTCTCCCCGCCGGTAACTGTTGAACTGGATCAACTAACTAGCTGGGCTATGGGCAGCCGCACCATTGGTCCAATAGATTACCCTTCGACAGCCTCACATTGACCACAGACAAGAGCTTTCAATACTTAAAAGTCAAACCAAACAACGAGAGGGAGCATAAATCAAGGGTGAACCCCTGTACCGCGTATACGGGAACATGAGTAGAGATGCCAGGGTGATGCACGCTTCCGGGAGAGGGGCGAAGAGGGAGGGAAGGGGGAGGAAGAATCCGTCCAGGAGTCGACCAACCGGCGATGGGGGAAGAAGAGACGGTTCCCTGGCCATGGACATCTCGACTGTCCCTCTCTCATCTATCCGACACTAAAGCTAGTTTAATACGACAACTATAGTTTCCGCACATATACCTATTTCGCATCCCTCACTCTCACCCTCCCCAGCGTGTGGAGGGGCTCACTTGACAGCTGTTCTTGTCGACGGGACAGTCCAGATCCCAATCTATGCACATGATCGGATAATCCGTGGAAGGGGGCATGTACAGAATCATCTGGCTGCACAACCAACGGGACTTGAAAAAAAAAAAAGAAAGAAAAAGAAAAAGAAAAAGAAAACGAAGAAGAAGACGACGACGGGCGAGAGAGAGAGAGAGAGAGAGAGAGCCTGTATTTGTGTATGGAGTAGCTATTACTTATCAGGTAAAAGGCCCAGCAGTGATGACGAGTAGATTCATGCTTGCTGTTCGTCTCCGCCCCAGGCAGCAAGCGGGAAGTTGACTGTCAACGTACATAACCAAGAACTAGTTAGCGTATCCGACCAACTGTCTGGCGCGTTACCGGCTAATGTAAGTACATGTCGAGTACATATAAAATAGTCGACTCCATCGCCAATATGCAGGCAGAAAGGAGAAAAGGAACAACTAACTGTG